GAGTTGCTTTTCTTCAAGGTTCCGAGTTCGTGAAAGCTGTTTCAGGATTTAAATGCCAATTGTGTAATGTCTTAATGAGACAAGAAAATGACATCATTCAACATCTTAAAGAAAAGAAACACAACGATAAATACCAGGTAAGTTGAAAAACATGTCTCAAAAATAAAGTACGCACGTTTCTAGCAATAAGGGAGAGGTGTATTGAATTGAAAATGCAAACGCAAAATTTCTCTTGCATGCATAAAAATTGTAACTCTAAGAAGTATTAGATGTTTGTTCGCAAGAATGATTTTTGTCGCTTATTTAAACTGAAGGTGTATTTGAAAGAGAATCCTGACTATTTGGAGAAACAGGAGAAAGTAAACAAAGAATTGTTAAATATGTTGATGAAAAACGAAGGGCAAGAAATCGTGTTACAGGATAATATTGGAGACAAGTTTGATGATCTTGATTTACCCGAAGAAAAGGTAAACAGTTGTGACCATAAAAACAGCGTTGAAAATGTAGCGTAGTATTTTTACATACAGTTAACCATCGAACAACTCAATATTATCGAAATAAATCTTAAAATTAGTTGCACATTTGTGGCAATTTTCTAAGCGTATACAGCATAGCGGCCCACTGCGACAAATGTTTGAGAAGTTCAACAACAGCCATGTTGTTAATGCCAGTTAACAGTTGCGCCTTTCACCTTTTCTAGCCGGAAGATGTTCATTTTGATGCAATTGAAGCAGTAAAAACATACAAAAATTCAAAGATAGTAGACTACGAGAGAGAATGTAATGAATTTGTTGTTTCCCACAAGGACATTGGAGAACTGAAATCAGGGGTGATACGAGAGACTAGTATGGGAACAGAAGATGGTGCGAAAGCTCAGGATGACGACGAAGTGGACGAAAAACAAGTGGAAAAACCAATAATGGACGATGTAAAGATAAAACAGACACTCAATCTGAAGAAAAACAGGACGTTTTGATGAAAATTGGAGACGAAAAAGATAAAGTTTGTAAAATTGTTGCCGTTTGTATAGTTTGAAGTAATCTTGAAATGAGATTGCTTCTTAGCTAAAATTATTTTAGAATGTTCGCGTTTTACTCACAATTATTGGCTAATCAGATGCTTGCGTTTCTTTTAGTTTTCTCACGAAAATATGGTACATAAGCCAAAACAAAGTAAACTTGATTACTCTCTGTTTAATGGAAAAGTGGAAAATGACATGACAGATACGTCTAGTGATGTCAATATGAAAAAGTCCAATATCGTTGCCATGTTTCCTACGAAGGAGCACGAGACGGAAGCAAAACTCCCCAATTTTGCACGAAGTCAAAAGAACCACAGGTTCTTGAAACCTCTAGTTTGGCCTTGAGCGATTCTGTCGAGCTAGAAATGAAACACGCTTCGCTAAACATAGCAGAAAAAGCAAAACGTGGAAGCATTAAAGCAAAACGAGATGACTGCAAGGTTCAACGTAAGCTGAAGACAATAAAGAAATCAGCGGAGTATGATGACATTTTTGAACCGGAGAGCCAAAAGAAAACCACAAAAAGGCAAATGACCGATGCCAGTAAAACAGCTAAAGCTGTAGTTCAAGATGCGATATCGGCAAAAATCCCTGAAATCAAAACGCCAGCTTACGCTGTAATGGAATTAGCGACAAAGGAAACAGAACTGGAAAAATCGAAAGATGTCCATGAAAGAGAAGATTGCAGGAAACACAACGAGCAAAACACAGACAAACAAAATTATCTTGAGCAAACACAGCAGAGCATGGAACAAGGGACTTCAAGCGAACCGGAAACGTTGAAGGATCGAAAATTTTGAACAAAGAAGGAACTCCTAAAGAAACAGAAGAAAAAGACAAATCAAAGCCAGAAACTAGTTCTCTCTTATCAAATGAGCTCATGTGCTTGCATGAATCTGAAGCAATGTTCAAAAATGATGCCAAAGAAGTCGATGGATTTGAGGTATTAGACGATGTTGAAAGCGATGGTTCTGAGACAGAAGATGATATGTGCATGGTTTGACAAATAATTAACTATGAAAGAAGATTAATGTAGACCAGAAGTATTGCATGAGTAGAGATATCACCACAAGTTAAGTTTAGTTTGACACATTCAACTTGAATACAAGAAAACTTGTAGCTTTAGTAAACATGTAACGAGCTTAAGTAATATAAATTAGCAATATATATCATGATAAAGATAATATATTTCTTGCAACTGTAATGGCATATAATCAGCACCATCAATTTGGTTGGTGGTTTAAGCGAACTTTGACGAATATTTGAAGTAGAATAAAACAATTTAATCACCAGTACAAATTAAAGAGATGTCAAACCATGAAACTCTTCAGTTTTTTCCCGTCAAATATTCATAATCATTGTCTAAATTATAGGCGATTTATACTTATACACCGTATACTGACAAATAGAAACAGCATTTTTTTGGTCAACACGAATGTAAATGATTGATCCTCCACAAGCGGAGGATCAAAATTCTCCATTCATATCAAGTTACTAACTAGATATGAATGGAGGAGAGGAAACGCAATTCGGAATTTTGACCAAACTGAATAATTATAAGAGACGACATTTTCTACTTTAACTATTCAAAAAAATTTTCCTTCAGAGAAGGCTCGATCGCTTGGCTTCGCATCTTTCACTATTTACAAACAAATTCTCCTCATCATGTTTTTCAAAACCTTTTGTCAACTGCAACACAAGTCCAACGAAAATATTCGGTGACTTTTTTTGTGGAATATTTGATCTGATGTCTGTTTTGTCCAGTTATTTGCCTACTTATCTTTGATTGATACTTTGTCTAAATAGTAATTTATTTGCCATTTGAATTATAAGTATAAAAGCAGAGTCAAACCATTTTTGTTAAAGACTGTTTTCCTAATTGTTTTGTTATATAAGTATGTTATTAACATTCATTCTGCACCCTAAGAAACCAAATATTACTTTTCGGTATGTCACTGTAAGTAAAAATGAAGTAAGGTGGTTACAGATTGTGGGTGGACATAAATGGATAAAAAAGATTTACCGTAGCAGACACAGAGGAGACTGAACTAAGACGTTTAGGTGGTTACAGATTGTGGGTGGACATAAATAGATAAAAAAGATTTACCGTAGCAGACACAGAGGAGACTGAACTAAGACGTTTAGGTGGTTACAGATTGTGGGCGGACATAAATGGATAAAAAAGATTTACCGTAGCAGACACAGAGGAGACTTAACTAAGACGTTTAGGTGGTTACAGATTGTGGGTGGACATAAATAGATAAAAAAGATTTACCGTAGCAGACACAGAGGAGACTTAACTAAGACGTTTAGGTGGTTACAGATTGTGGGTGGACATAAATGGATAAAAAAGATTTACCGTAGCAGACACAGAGGAGACCGAACTAAGACGTTTAGGTGGTTACAGATTGTGGGTGGACATAAATGGATAAAAAAGATTTACCGTGGCAGACACAGAGGAGACTGAACTAAGACGTTTAGGTGGTTACAGATTGTGGGTGGACATAAATGGATAAAAAGATTTACCGTGGCAGACACAGAGGAGACCGAACTAAGACGTTTAGGTGGTTACAGATTGTGGGTGGACATAAATGGATAAAAAAGATTTACCGTAGCAGACACAGAGGAGACTGAACTAAGACGTTTAGGTGGTTACAGATTGTGGGTGGACATAAATGGATAAAAAAGATTTACCGTGGCAGACACAGAGGAGACATAACTAAGACGTTTAGGTGGTTACAGATTGTGGGTGGACATAAATGGATAAAAAGATTTACCGTAGCAGACACAGAGGAGACTTAACTAAGACGTTTAGGTGGTTACAGATTGTGGGTGGACATAAATAGATAAAAAGATTTACCGTAGCAGACACAGAGGAGACTGAACTAAGACGTTTAGGTGGTTACAGATTGTGGGCGGACATAAATGGATAAAAAAGATTTACCGTAGCAGACACAGAGGAGACTTAACTAAGACGTTTAGGTGGTTACAGATTGTGGGTGGACATAAATAGATAAAAAAGATTTACCGTAGCAGACACAGAGGAGACTGAACTAAGACGTTTAGGTGGTTACAGATTGTGGGCGGACATAAATGGATAAAAAAGATTTACCGTAGCAGACACAGAGGAGACCGAACTAAGACGTTTAGGTGGTTACAGATTGTGGGTGGACATAAATGGATAAAAAAGATTTACCGTGGCAGACACAGAGGAGACTGAACTAAGACGTTTCGGAGAGTGGAATTTCCAAGAGAAGCCTTAATCCGGTAAACTTTGTAAAATTACATGCCTTTGCAAGTTTTTTGAAACTTTTTCTACAAAAAATTACTCGCGTGTACTACTTTCATTACATTCACCTTTTTTCATCAAATATGCATAATTAAGCGTTCAACTATTATAATTTGATCAACGTCTTTAAAATGTGCTTTTTTTAAATTTATTCTACTAAAATGAATTTATGTTTTAGATAAACTATTTTAACAATTTAGAAAACTGCCAACATGCAGCGACTGTAATCATACCTATTTGAACTTTTTTGCAACAAAACAGAAGAAATTCATTGCTAACTATATTTTGATACCTTTGTATTACTTAATCATTAACAGAGAAGTGTTATTCTAGTAATTTAAAGCTCACATTCACCATAGGATTCAAGTTTCCTCTTAACATTCTGATCTAGTCTAATCTCTTTAACATCTTCAGGAATTATTTCTGAGTAAGCCAGAGGGCCAATAAAACCAGGCAAAACTTTAAATTTCCTTATATTAAGTATGAATTCCTAGAAAAGTAACAGTACAAATATAGAGCTGGTGTAATATTGCTGTAATACTGTAATACTATAATACTGTAATATTGATGATATAGTTCAATCATTTGCTTGCATTGTAAAATAGCTTCAATAAATATATTACACAAATGCTTAAGAAACACCAGAGATTTGCTTGTATAAAATGTAAAATAATTGTAGACAACAGGCAGTAACTTGTTTCATAATTTCATTTACTTTTTCAATGACATGCTCTGCAAACTAACAACTAAATATGCCCAGGAAAAATTGAAAATCAACAATCACAAAATGGTCCCATTTCACTAACCAGATTCTTTTTTCTAGGAAAAAGTTCACATAATGTCTATTAATAATGTAAATTATGAAATCGAAACATACTGATTTCTTCACAAACTTCTAGGGCATTAATTCTACTTGCAAGATTTTTTCATTACATGAGAAAGATCCTAAAATTACTCCAAATATTTTTGTGTTCATTTACTTGAAAAACAACAAATGAATTTTCAAATGGAGTGTATAGTAATTTTCTTGAAATATTTGTATTATAGAAACTAATGTTTCAGCTGGTTTGACTGCTAGAAAGTTCACTAATTATTTACTAATTATGCAAAATGTTAAACAAATCTAAAATACTTCTCTTCACTTTGCCAAATAAAAAACATCCAAAGATCTTTTTATCCTTTGAAATGAATTGAGCCATTTATACTTATAACTTAACTAAATTTGTCTTTGCATTACAACATATACCAAAGCCTCAACCAAAGCTGCCAGAACTGTATGATGTATTGATAAACTACAAGGGCAACTGTCAGTGTTGCCTATCTGCAACTTTTAAATTTGGTTTCTATAAGTGATTGTAAATAAGTTTGATTACAAAAAGCACTTTATTTGGTATTTACACAATAAAATACAAAATAGTAATATAGCGATGTTTTTGAATGACATTTCCATTTTCAGATTTCAAAACAAATTTTGGCCTACCAAATTTATCCAGCATATTGATCTACCTGACAACAGACTTCTATTTTAAAATTAATGTCAACATACTCATTTCTTGAACTAATAAAGTCATTGGCTTATGTAAATGACCGAATTCATGGTTATTCCAAAGTTTTCAAAGAAGCATGAAAACATTATTGTACAGAAAAAAGTCAACAATAGATTCAAGGACTTACTTCACGCAACTGTTGAATGGTTACTTTAAGTTTATAACTTAAGTATGTTATTTAAGAAATAAAAGATGTTTATTGTGTTTCCATCATTGGTTTGCACAAGCTTATGCAAAACACGGAGACGTTTGCAAGAACTCAAGAGCAGATCAGTGCAAACCCAAGACTAAAGGTCAAGAAATATTCATTCGTTTCTTTTATAAGTAACAGTAATGCAAAACAAATAACAAATGTTTTAAATAGACCAAGGTGGAGAAACTTTGCACATGTGCCAATCAGTGATGTAGCCAGCCGCAAGTTTTGAGCATGTTATGTAAAATTGAGATCATTAACATATTATTCATTTCTTTAGAAATTTGTTGTTTTTACAGTGGGTGAAAACAGAAAAATTAACATAACAGGACCAAATTTGAGAGCTGAATAAGCCAATGGTGCCAATAAGCTAAGGGTGTGTGCATTTACATTGTAAACACGAAAAGTAAAAAACGTTGATAGCAAATTAAAGAATAACAATGAAGACTTGTGATAAACATAATACCCCACAAAGAACAATTAACGATACCTACCTTGGTGGGAATATATTTTGTCTTTTCGTAATCCGTTAACACAATTGCAGCACCGAGAACATCAGAAAATTTGTTGAAAACGTGACCATGAGCTTTATCTTTTAGACATTCCTGAACAGCCTGTTGAGAAAAACGACGTTGACACAGAATGAATAGTCGGTAATTTGTCCATTATATGTGCCATCGTCGTTTGCACGCTTTGATAGGCGGGAAACACGAGCTTTTCTTTTTTTTGTCAATGTCATATTTTTGTTGTCCTCGCTTAATACATAATCTCTAATCCATGGAAAGTGTATCAATTTTTGGTTAAACATTTTCTATCCACCATTTTCTATTAAGAATCATATATCCGTAACTGAGAACTACCAGCTGAGAACTACACGTTGGCTACTTGGCTGATTTTCACGCTTTCCACGTCAGTCTGACTGGTCTGACTCAATCAGTTGTCGTCTGACACTTGGACTTGGTCACAGACAAACTTGGTCTTTCACCTACACGTGTCCATGCCACTGACCTTAATTTACTGGACTTATACGTATGTGAATTCAATGTGTTATCGATTGGCAGTCAGCAGAAAGGTCCATTGGCAAGCAGTGGCAAGCAGTGGCCCCAAACTTTCAAATTTAATATAAAAATTTCCCTTCTATGAACAAGAAAAGTGCCCTTTTTTTACAAGAAATGAGTCCTTTGAAAATCCGTCTCAAAAATCTTGAGCCCTCTAACTTTCACTTGCTTCCCAGGCCTCTTTTGGCGAGGGAATTTTTCCTAATCTAAAAATAGGCCACTTCTGATTAAATTACAAAAATTGCTCTGGACGAAGGATTTTGTTTCACGAGTTCCATGCCAGTCAAATTTGTAAAATTGCTAGCAAAATTCTGCAGTGTTAAAAATATATGGATTAATGTCAGAAAGTTAATTAAGCCCCTCCTCCAGCACCGGTTCACAAAAGCAAATAATGGATGACAAAGCAAAACCTTTACCCAAAGTTGATTTCCTTGTTCAAGGCTGCGTTGAAATGCAACAAATCGTGAAAACTTAATTAAAACTAAAAAACTGGTGGAGCTTGGTTTCGTACTTGCATGTGTTATACATGAAGACTCGTGAACGACAACCAACATGCTGAGTCATCAAAATAGGTCATTGCCGAACAACGAAAAGAGACATAAAAATACGCACTTGAAAACCATGTGGCTTTCACGAAATTTGATGAAGGTGACCTGACGTGTCAAACTAAAAGTATTTAACACACCTTGGGGCGTTTGCTTGAGACAAATAAAAAAATGCGCATGTCACTCGTAATTTATTGTGTCTATAGTGCGAACACAAAGGAGCAGAAGGCAAACACAAGCTGCAGGGCAGACAAGCCTGATCAGCCAATATTTGCTTGAAAGTCGTTTAAAAAGCTGAACACTTAGATTCTTGAAAATTAAAAATGCACAGACTACTCCCAAACAACATCAACTGAAACATCCATGTAGAGCATGAATATATTTCTTCTACGACTGACTAACCTCGCCACTATATAGCTATCATTAGTAATGAAAAAAGATGATCCATAACCACATAGAAGATTCATTCTGTCTGAGGATGACTTTAAAATAAAGTCGAAAATTTACAGTTCACTTCTCGTCTTGTTTTGATGCATATTTTGCAATCACAAGAGTCTTGCTTTTTCGGAATTTGCTTTATACTAGACGATACGTCGTGTTTGCTAAATCTCTCTACTAATTTCACTTATTACTCACACGGAAGCTGTAGGTATTTCTCATCCATGACGATCGAGGTTGTACTTGTATAGAAATTAGAAACATTTTTGGTGAAAGTTCACCTTAAACTCGAAATTGTGAAAAACAAGCGAAAGCAGACGCAGTATTTAGTAAACACATTTCGAACAAAATTATCATAAATTCTTCATTAGATTGTGCTATTTTTCTAAAGTAGTGTGCAGGATTTAATTAGCGTCTTCTAACATTATCAATATTTTTCTAAACGTGAAATGTGAACTATTAACTACTTCTGGTTACTTATTATTATTCAACTAAAAATACAACTGTCAGTTATCACACACATCCTACTATGTTAACAGTGAATAAACACAACGACAGCGGGCAAAGAAAGGTTTGACCACATGAAAAGGCAAAAGATGTGAAGTGTTGATGTCTAGCTCTCAATGTATGTTTAAAACAGGAAATGACGTTTCATCGCAGGTGGTTGGGTCTCCTTTCAACTGCTGCTATTGTATCATGGGGTATCACAATATTACTTCCAATTTTTTAAATTTTATGGAAGGGGTGTTTTATAACACAGATTTTTGATATTTCGTTTCCTTTAATCGCTTCTGGAACATCTGCTGTTCATATATTTCGCTGGACATATTCAAGAATATGTGGAACTACTTGCTCAATTCGTATTGGAGTGAAAGCTTTTGGCTGCCAGCTAATGTCACATGGAAAGATTTTCAGTCCAGTGAAAACATGACTATGCCTCAACCAAGCGATCTCAAAATAATACCGCTTTTAACTATACTTTTAATAGTTACTCGAATTTTTTTTGAAAGGTAAATGATATTCAAGATTTTTAGAAAACGGAAACACGGTCATCAAAACTAGAGCATTGTTATTTGTTCATTATGAAAATGAATCGCTTAATCGCGAACTATAAATTGCTGCTATATCGTTAAAGGTTTGAAGAAGAAAGGTTTTATCAAAACTAAACTGACGTGTAAGTTCCCGACGGATGCACAAGCCCATACACGGACTTGACAAGGAAATCTGCGAGTTTATTAGTCGATTTTAAGTGGTATCAAGTTTTCTTAGAATAGTTTGACAAAGGATTGTTTTTGACTGACTTGCTCATTCAACCAAGTCTAGTATTAAATTGTTCTTGGCAATTTCATGAGCATTGCCTTTCACAAGGTCGAATAATATTTACATAAATGTGATCAAATACTTCCTGTGTCTGTTGTAAGCTTTATATCGGAAGCTTCTTTGAAACTACTCACTTGAAAAATTTATACAATTTATACGATGCATATTTTAAGTTACGCAAGCAGAGATGAAAAATTCTTACCCTAAATAACATCAACAATGTGACAAATGGGGTTTTGTTCTGTGAAATAATTTGTAGACAATGACTGACTACTATCACCAGTGTTGTTTTTGTTGTTTGCTTATGTCAATATTAGTAATATTTTTATAAATGAATCATATAAAACCAGACGAATTCTTATAGATACATTGGTTATCACATCTCACTATTCATTGGTGTTCCTGACATAAAGAGAAAAATGGCTGAACCAAACAAAATACTTGAAAAAGTGTTCAATACAATATGCAGGACACCAGATAAAGAAAGAACTCGAGGACTTGCCATGGAGTTGAAATGGACTGAAAAACAAGTTAAACAATGGTTTTACCTTAGAAGAAATATCAAGAAACCAACAATAATGAAGAAGTCAACTGAAAGCTGGTGAGATCTTTGGTGAGATTAGGGCTGTTTACAAATCTAAATGGGAAAATCAAAATATTAAATAACCCTGCTATTGGTATATCTGAAAAATGTTTTAGAACCAATATTGCACCAATGGAATTTTAATTTTGGTTTAAATTTTTGAGCAACTCTTAATATGACATTGTTAGCTCATGAAGTTCATATTCAGAAGTATTTTTTATGAACTGCATTAACTGGGATTCCCTTATATATGAAATGATTTTGAGTCATTTAAAACTTTAAAACATACACAATAAAAGCAAATAGTTAGCCCCAATTCAATAATATGATGTAATATAAAGTTTTAATATATGTGTTTGATGTCTTGACTCCTTTCAATGCCTTTAATTGATTTCATGTCTTACTTCCACTTAAATGGCTTCATATAAACAACCCTAAAGTTTGTCATATGCCTACTTATGAAGTTCATGAAATAGTTCACATTGTAAATATTACTTCAACACTTTTTGTTAAAACTTTTGTGCGTAAGAACTTGCTCATTTTATAGTATCAACAACTTTGAGAAGTTATGAAGCTCTTTTTAGCCATATTAGTACTCATGATTTAATAATTTTTTGATTTTGTTTTCAGTTGGAGATTTATGTTTTATTTTACTGCATTTTATACTGGACTCTATCTTTTACACAAAGTATGTAAGCTTTCACTATTTTTATTTATTTTACTTGTCTTATATGTACATGGTGCCAAAAGAACAACTATTAATTTTGGTTCTATTTCACATGTAACAAAGAATGGTGTGAACCAGCTTTATTCACTCAAGCCATTTATTTATCAACATGAAGTACAAACAACATAAATGTAATAATATCAACAATTAATCACTGAAACTTATCTCTCCTCTGTCTGAGAGCAACTGCAAGTCTTTAATCTTGAGCTTTTGTTAATCCAGCAATGACTTACAACATTTTCCCAAATACATGTACATTAAAGGCACAAAATACAGTTATGGCACAAAAGCCTAGATAGTTGTCATGTAGATTGTCAACCCACCTCAGTAGGCTATGCCTCTTAGGTTGTCTTCTCATAGGTTGTACTCAGTACTGTCAACTACTGATATATATATATATATATATATATATACAAAGTGTATTACAATGTGCCCTCCTGGCTATCACCATAGTAAAATGGTGACTCCTGCACTTGGGACACAGGACATATGGTAAATATACATACATAATCTAATGGGAAGTATTGTGGTTTTATGACCAACATCTTCTATGCAATATAGTATGATACAGCAAAATACAACAAAACTTTTAACATCAATTACAAACCACAATAACAACATCTGTGAGTTCTATTATATGTGTTTATGTATGCGAGCAAGCTTCTAGATTTCTCAACTCTGTGTCTTATTTTAATACATATATTTACTTGGTTGGTTGTCAGGTCTTAATTCTTAATGCCATAACTATGCTTATAATTCACATTTCTATTTTCTGGCTCTTTGATTGTTTATTGGAAGAAAGTTAACTTTCTGAACCTAGTGCCTAACATCCATAGAATTCTGAAATAGAATGTTTGAAGATAATACAATATGTCAGCTAATGATATTTTTTCCACCATAGGAGAAGTTTTTCTTTGACACACGTCATGCCTGGTACAACTACCCTTACTATGTATGTATGCACATTTCTTTCCTGTTTTTTGTGGAAATAAAATATTGGTCATTTTACCTTGTGGATGGAAACAGTTGTTTATTTAATGCATTTTTCCTTTTTGTTATTTTAGAATATCAAAGCATCAATTTATTATTACTACATGGTTGAAGCTTCGTTTTACACATCGTTGATATTTTCTCAGTTTATGGATGTAAGAAGGAAAGTGAGTGAACTGAATATGTATGCTTTATTTTTGTATTTTACACATAAATTGCCTTCTTGCACACCTGTTGCTTGTTGGCTTTATACATTGGACTGTTTCATTTGGTAATTTTTTAATAGTGCATGTATATTCATTGATAAGAATCAGTCAAGTTAATTGAACTGTCTACAAAAATTTTCTGAAAAATTGCCTGACAGGAGTGAAAATTGGGCCGACATCTTCACCTCTGTGTGTAATGCCATTGACTTGCATGTGGTTTGAGAGGCCTTTGTGATAGGGAAAGGTTGTTAAACCTTGTCTTGTATGAGTCTGATACCATGAGTGTTACCAGTAACAAGAAGATGATTTTTGTCTCCATTTATTTTTCAGGATTTCTGGCCAATGTTTATTCATCACAATGCAACGGTTGTCTTAATCGTCATGTCCTATGTGACTAACCATATTCGTATTGGTTGTCTTATAATTCTTGTACATGATTCAGCAGATTATTTTTTTGGAGGTAGGATAAATAATGACTATACACAAGAGTTACTTTTTTACTTTTATCCCCATTTCGACAACCTTTGTCTGATAACTGCTTTTCAACTTTGACTGTATGGTAAATAGTTATGAATTTGTAACATTTCAACTAAGCTGCAGTCCTTATCACTGTTCTGTTCAATTTAGAAACTAGAGATGCAGGAAGATCAATAAATGGGTGGGAGGGGGGGAGGGGTTGTTCATGTTTCTATATGCATGTTAACTGGTTATAACTCCACTGAAACAAAAAATCGATCAGTCGTTGAAATGATTATATTGTGGTTTGGCAAAAATGGTATTGTCCATAAGCCATTAAAATGCAATTTCCCTACACATACAAAAATAACTATGAAAGAAATATCTTTGAATGAATTAGTCAAATTTAGTAAACTTGCATCTTGCTGTTGGCGGGCATTCAATTGTACATTACTTTTGCAGTTGACAGGGTTTTGAATACACAACGTAATACCTGTGTTTGCAAGAAAACATCAACATTCTTCTTGCAATAGATGAGGATTTGAATATACAATATAATACCTGTGTTTGCAAAAAAACTTCAACTTACTTCTTGCAGTAAAATTGATCGCATAAAAAGCATACATTTATCCGCTTTATCAAATCAAATATACATTACAACATTTAATTTCTCAAGAAAACGATCAGTTAGCCAGAAGATACAAGAAATGGAATGAATCACTTCAGTAGTTTAGTAAACACGTTATGTTGTTATTTTAGTATTTAACACCAAAAACATTGTTATAAGTAATAATAAACATTTCACGACGTGACGAAATACAACGGCAAAGGGGACCCTGGTATCCTAATCAATGAAACCAAATTGCTAATTTTTGAAACTTTGCTGGTATATTTTTTATAGTTACAAAATCATTTACAATCGTTGTTAGTGATGATGAAGTTTTCCTCTTTGTTCTAGGCTGCCAAAGTTTTTAACTACGGCAAAATGCAAAGAACTTGTGATGTTCTTTTTGCACTTTTTGCTATCATATTTTGTATCAGTCGTTTGGTCATATACCCTGGATGGTAAGTACACTCCTAACATATTTTTGTTTCTCTCCTATCGCTCACCATGTTCGTGTGAATAAGATGGTTAAAAGGGTGTAGTAAGGTTAGGTTGTATTGAACTTGTAGTTAACTATATTGCAACACTATAAGTTGATTGATAACCAGGACAAGCAGACAATTTAAAGTAAAACAAAATAAAACAAATTCCGAAAACAGACATCTCGTTTTCTTGATATTCAAGATGATACAAGAGTTTCAAAACAAAAGATTGTGTGACATTTCGTCTTTATTCCATAGACATTATCAGACTAATAGTTTACAATGCAGGCTGCGAAACTTTTATATAATTATTTACAAGCGGAAGATTACTATTAGAGAACTATAAGACTCAACAATTAGTCTTATATTCTCAACAAGACTCAACAATTATACTTATATTTAAAATAGAGATAATATTATCTCTATTTTAAATGTAAGTATACTGCCTAATTGTTGAGTCTTATAGTTCTCTAATTACGTAACTGTCACTTCCGCTTGTAAATAATTATATAAATGTTTCGCAGCCTGCATTGTAAACTATTAGTCTGATGATGTCTTTGGAATAAAGACGAAATATCACACCATCTGTTGTCTAAAACTCTTGTATCATCTTGAATATCAAGAAAACGAGATGTCTGTTTTCGGAATTTGTTTATTTTGTTTTACATAAGTTGATTGACAGGGGATGATCAGCTTAGGATGTTAAAACATGAATCCTAATCTCGACCTACGGCACAGATTTTGTTCCAGACTACTCCTGTGACAAACCAGAGTGAACTAGATATTTATTAAGTTTTACAACGTGAATTTTTTGATAGCATGTTTTCACAATGATCTTATAACTTCTCCATCAGCAAACAAATATTTTAATCCGAGACGATTTGTGGAGATTGTAGTCTTTAAAGTAATCTTTGTTTATGTCATTTTGTTTATGTGATGTGACAACTTGACCTTATGAACGCCTTGAATCGGCACTTTTCTGTATTCACATTAGGATTTTAAACACAGTATTATTTGAAGCAAGAGAGATTGTTGGCCATTTTAACTCTTGGTATCCGTTTGTCATTCTCCTTTCACTACTTCAGGTAATTTTATCTTTATCAACTGTTTTTTCGTGAACTTCAAGTCTGACCTACACTTAAGAATGTCTCAAGATGTCCCAAACATTTCAAAACGATCTTTTCTTCCTTAAGTATAATTTATCCGATTGCATCATCGTTATTGCCTTTCTTTCACTGGATCAACGATTTCTATATTTTCTTTTAAGATTCTTCATTTCTTTTGGGCTTTCTTTGTTGTTCGTGTTGTGTATACTTCTATTGTTGAAGGAAAGGTAATTATAAAATTTCACTCCGTATTAAACGTGTTTTGTGATCCATTCGATTGTTAACATTTCTTACGTTAAATTTTCAAACAAGCCAAACTTTTTGCATTGATGATGCTCTGTTGGTTATGTCACAAAACGTGATCTACCTTCTCAGATCGTCCTGAGAAGGACATTTGTTGAGTTCTTGACTGACGTTTCGACAACCTTAGTGGTAGTCATCTTCAGAATCAAGATGACTATTGCTAAGGTTGTCGAAAGGTCAGTCACCATCAACAACAACAGTTCTTCTCAGGACTCTACTAGCCTGGACGATCTACATCTACAAACATGTGACGATACTCCTGGGTTCAAACCATTTACTTTAATGCAATGAATTTTACAATGAAGTTTGTCAAGTTTTACACATAACTCGCTGACTTTGCTCCTCCTGAAATGAATTCTTGTATAAAGTTTTATTAAACTATTCACAAAGTCCGTTCTTTTTACAATTTGTACTCATATGTTTTGTGGGTTTGAATGAACTCATATTTACGTTATAATTTCCAAAAAAGTTAAATGTTTTCCTGCCAAGTAATGCTTTGACTGGGACATTTAAACTATTTCCAATCACATACAATCTAAATATAAGAACATTTAATTTGCCATCAAATCAAATCATGTCTCATATGCCATTTATATAATGCTCCAAACTAACTTCTTACAACGTTTCTTGTTTGTCCTCAATCTCAATAGTTATACTCTCATGCATTTCGTCATTTGTTTCGTCATGCGTGTCATCAATTGTTTTGTCATGTATTTCATCAGTTGTTTCGTCATGTATTTCATCAGTTGTTTCGTCATGTATTTTATCAGTTGTTTTTCATGTATTTCATCAGTTGTTTCGTCATGTATTTTATCAGTTGTTTTTTCATGTATTTCATCAGTTGTTTCGTCATGTATTTTATCAGTTGTTTCGTCATGTATTTCATCAGTTGTTTCGTCATGTATTTCATCAGTTGTTTCGTCATGTATTTCATCAGTTGTTTTTCATGTATTTCATCAGTTGTTTCGTCATGTATTTTATCTGTTGTTTCGTCATGTATTTTATCTGTTGTTTCGTCATGTATTTTATCAGTTGTTTTTTCATGTATTTCATCAGTTGTTTCGTCATGTATTTTATCTGTTGTTTCGTCATGTATTTTATCTGTTGTTTCGTCATGTATTTTATCTGTTGTTTTGTCATGTATTTCATCAGTTGTTTCGTCATGTATTTTATCTGTTGTTTCGTCATGTATTTATCTGTTGTTTCGTCATGTATTTTATCAGTTGTTTCATGTATTTCATCAGTTGTTTCGTCATGTATTTTATTTGTTGTCATGTATTTCATCAGTTGTTTTGTCATGTATTTCATCAGTTGTTTCGTCATGTATTTCATCAGTTGTTTCGTCATGTATTTCATCAGTTGTTTCGTCATGTATTTCATCAGTTGTTTCGTCATGTATTTCATCAGTTGTTTTCATGTATTTTATCTGTTGTTTCGTCATGTATTTCATCAGTTGTTTCGTCATGTATTTCATCAGTTGTTTCGTCATGTATTTCATCAGTTGTTTCGTCATGTATTTCATCAGTTGTTTCGTCATGTATTTTATCTGTTGTTTCGTCATGTATTTCATCAGTTGTTTCATGTATTTCATCAGTTGTTGTCATGTATTTCATCAGTTGTTTCGTCATGTATTTTATCTGTTGTTTCGTCATGTATTTCATCAGTTGTTTCGTCATGTATTTCATCAGTTGTTTCGTCATGTATTTCATCAGTTGTTTCGTCATGTATTTCATCAGTTGTTTCGTCATGTATTTTATCTGTTGTTTCGTCATGTATTTCATCAGTTGTTTCGTCATGTATTTCATCAGTTGTTTCGTCATGTATTTCATCAGTTGTTTGTCATGTATTTTATCTGTTGTTTCGTCATGTATTTCATCAGTTGTTTCGTCATGTATTTCATCAGTTGTTTCGTCATGTATTTTATCTGTTGTTTCGTCATGTATTTTATCTGTTGTTTCGTCATGTATGTTGTTTCGTCATGTATTTCATCAGTTGTTTCGTCATGTATTTTATCTGTTGTTTCGTCATGTATTTCATCAGTTGTTTCGTCATGTATTTTATCATGTATTTCATCAGTTGTTTCGTCATGTATTTCATCAGTTGTTTCGTCATGTATTTTATCTGTTGTTTCGTCATGTATTTTATCTGTTGTTTTGTCATGTATTTCATCAGTTGTTTCGTCATGTATTTCATCAGTTGTTTCGTCATGTATTTTATCTGTTGTTTCGTCATGTATTTTATCTGTTGTTTCGTCATGTATTTCATCAGTTGTTTCGTCATGTATTTCATCAGTTGTTTCGTCATGTATTTCATCAGTTGTTTCGTCATGTATTTCATCAGTTGTTTCGTCATGTATTTTATCTGTTGTTTCGTCATGTATTTCATCAGTTGTTTCGTCATGTATTTCATCAGTTGTTTCGTCATGTATTTTATCTGTTATAACCAGTTGACTAGTTATACCTTGACCGAATGATTGTATTTGTTGCCTTAAGGTCGACGGAGACGCGCGCAGTGATAGTGAAGAATCCGAGGAAGAAGATTCGGATGGTAAAGAAGCCCGTCCGGACACCAAGATCATTCAGAATGGCAAGAAAAAGTTGTAAGTTTTTAGATTGTATAAAGAAAACATTAAAGTTATAGTTTAAAGATTATGTTCTTTCAATTGTATAAAGACGATGTTAGAGCTTTATATCATTGCCACTTGATTATTAAAAGGAAATTGATTGTTTTATCATTTTATATATTTTATTTGTACCATAAAAGGGACATGTTTTCATTTTCGTGGTTATGTATTATCTATTAGCACGATTGTTTTCAAAAAATCTGTAGGTATTTATAATATTCTTTTGTTTTAAAAATAAAAGCTAGATTTTATGGCATATAAACTCAACGAACCTGCCTCAACTTTTTTGAATATATTGACAGAATAGTCTTTTATGTGCATTCTGCATTGTACACATTTTATTTTATTGAAATTCTTTAATTTAATTCCCATCAAACATCTCCAGGTTTACAATAACAGTTATGAATTGTCTAGAAACTTCAGTGCTAAAAAAAAAACAAAGCAAAGCATATTCTCCCAAGGTTTTGGAGAAAACGAAACAAGAAGGATTTTCTTTTCATTTTAATTTGCTTGTGTTGATCATGATTGTGTCAGACGCTTCATTGCTTTTTCTTCTTTTCTTTTGTCTTTGCTTGTTTTTATGTGTATGTCGCAAGCAAACACCAGACCTAAGAGTTACTTATTATAGTAACTGATTACGGCCTACCTAAACTTTTCCACTTTTTTAAATCTAAATGTTTTGCACAAGAACGTCAATAGCGGGTGGTTTAACCCCAAAAAAAATATTAATTTTCTGTAATAAATGAGGAAAATTAACATACTCCACTTTATCTCAGAATCCGTTGTAACGTTAGTGGCATATATATTTAAATTTTGTGCCTCTCTCTTTAACCCCCCACCCCAGCAACGCAACTAATTTGCCACGCTATAAGATTGGGCGAGGAAAGAGTTAAAGAAAAACAGAGTTGCAGTTGCTTAGAAATAGTCTCAAATTAGCATATTAGAAATGATTAGGAATTCTATGTCAGTGTGAGCTGTTGTCGTTGTATCGTTAACATCAACGACAAATAGAATCATTGACGAAACTTTGCTATAACTATGTTTGAGCCTATTAGTCAGTGGTTTTGGAACGAGAAGTTTTGGCTACCTCCTAATATTAGATGGGCTGACTTGAATAACGCGAAAAGTAGCATTCGTATTCCGGAGACTCACGACTTGTATGTTGTTTTCCCATTGACTCTTTTAATCATCTGTATTCGACGTGTATTTGAAAGGTAAAGAATTCTTTTTCTGTTAATTGAAATTCCATAGTAATTAGATTTGAGACATTTCTTGTAAACGATTTACAACAATTGTGCAATAGTAGCAATACTTTACTCTGAGTTGTGTAAGGTTTAGTAATTTTACAATTTCTGTAGTTCAATAAAAACCCGCTTCCATAGTGTAAATAATTTATTAAGTCTTACATATTCGTTGGAATCAGCATTTCATTTTGATATACATCTTTGTGTTAACTATTGTTATGAGGAATTTTAATTGAATATTTCTCATTATTTATCAGTGTGTATTCTTGTCAATGTGTACAAGTAAGCTATTCAGTCTCTGAGTCGTTTACAAAATTTATGTGTTTTGATAGAAATAATTGCATGCACTGTTGTCGCTCATACGTGTTCATATTTTTCTTGCGTAAAATTGTTAGAAGTTTGGCCAAGATTGTAACGTCAATTGGACGTATTGTACTGTGTACCTTATCATAAAAATTGTGTATTTAACTAGAGGCACAATTATAAAATACCCTTCCTCAAAACCTGCTTGCAACTTTCAGGCTAGGACAGCTAGGCTTATGAATCTCATTTATGAAAAAGGTTAGGTTGTTGTCAGGCTTGCAGGTAGTTATGTATATGACTGGGTATTCTATAAATATTCCCTTGATTTTTTTTGTTTGATTTAATCAGGTTTATAGCTCTTCCATTGCTACTCAAATTTGGTCTTAAAGATCGAAGTGGGGTAAAAGTAAAATCAAATCCCATGTTAGAAAAGGTTTACAAAGATTTAACAGGCACACTACAACAGCAACAGGTTAAAACTCTTGCATCCAAGTTGGGTTGGACTGTAAAGAATGTTGAAAAATGGTTTCATTATCGAAGTAATGTGTCCAAGCCATCAAGGTTGACAAAGGCGAAGGAATCCAGGTATTGTAAACAGTAATTAAGTTGCATTTGGACACTGTTTGATTGACAATAAATCATGAGAAGCCTATGTCTGTGTCTTTGTTTTTGAATGCAATTTGAAGAATAATGAATGAATCTCATATTATTAACTTAAAAATTACATGAGTAATTATGAAATATGTGTTGTTTTAGTAAAGTATTTTGTGTAAAGCAATTCATAAATGATTGTTGGTATCAACTTCAGATTCTTTGGATTAATTATATAAAATAATTGCATATATATTTTTCTTCTTCTCTAGTTGGCGTTTTTTCTTCTATTTTTCAATATGCATATTGGGAACCATAGTTCTTGCAAAGGTTAACAATTATTTGTTTGATTTTTGTTTAGTTGTTTATTTTTACATTTGCTGATCATTTATATTTTTTTATTATAGGAAGATTATTTATTTGATTCAAGACATTTTTGGATTGGATATCCAAATCATGTAAGTGATATTTTTCCTATTATTGTTCAATGATAATTGATCAGTTTGAGCAATGGGTAAAACTCTGGCATCTTTACATGCTAAATGAAGTTAATGAAACACCATCTGATGGCATTTTGTGTTTGGCTTTGACCATCCTCTGATTTCATTAATTTATTTTGTAAGTCTTATTCTTGCCAAGGGTAAATTTTCTCAAAAGTGAATCAGGAATCATCTTCTACACAAATCAACATGCTAGCACATTAGCTATTTTGTGTTGGATCCATAACTTGATGCAATTTTACTATTTCTGGTGCCAAAATTTATGTTCTTTTTATATTGACAATGTTTTGGAGCAAATGAGTGGAATAATGAATTTTATAAGAGCTTGCATCTGTTTTAGTTGTAAAATGATTCCAAATACACCAGTCCACTGTCCCATACAGTAGCTACATGTCATGAAAACTTTGAGAATGTATTAAAATGAGATTTTTAAAAGTAGACATGTTTTTTGAAAGAGATTTTGGTGAATCACCTTCATTCAACTTGTTTCCACTCCACCATTATGCTGGCATTTTAAATCCTCACAGCATAAACCAGGTTTTATTCTACTCGCTTGTTATTTTCATTACAGTATTCATTATTGCTTTTTTGTCTCTTTCAGCTATTCAGTATTAATTCATTGTCATCATCGACGTAAATCGAACATTGAGGGCAAACATATTTATATATTCTGCTATGTCTGGCTAATTTCCTTTAGAAAAGACGTCACTTTGAAAATAATGAGCGTGGCATAACAGAATATGTGTATGGTTCCCTTCAGTGTGCGAATTAACGGTGTGCAATGTGCAATTTGCACATCGTTTTAGCTAAAATGAAAACAATTGCAGATCACTTTTTCAAACGATGTGCAAAAATCAGCGGTTTTAACCAAAAACACTGTCGTAAATCATATGAATTTGTTCAAGTTTAAAAATATTAATTTAGCAATTAGCGCTATATAATAATTAACATAATATCGATTTGATTATGCCTCTAAAGAAACACTTTTGTCAAAAAAATTGCACATCGTTTTTTCTGAACTAATTCGCACACTGGTTTCCTTCGTTCATTCAAAGTTGGATAAATTGACGCTCATGATTGTCATTTTAGCTGGCAAATCTTTTGATTGAAATTATACAATAAACGTGCCTTATCGCAAGGTTCTAAAACAGGACACTTCGTTAAGACCCAAATTTATTTCCATTTAGCTAATTCGTAACTATGAAATCTCTATCAAGCGGACACCTCCATTTACCAACACTCGTTGGTTTGCTGAGGTGTCCGCTTAATACAGGTTTGACTGTAATTAATGTAAAAATATCTGCGAGAAGAATTTATAATGTATAAGGATTTGCTCATGGATTTGGATTTGCTTCTTGCTCAACTTATATTCTTTGCATATTAACGAGTCTTTACTTGTAAGGCAAACTTTATACTATCATTACTATACATATATGTACATTTGAACCTTGCAGGATCTTCAGGACGGTGTTTATTATTATTACGTCATTGAACTATCTTTCTATTCAGCTTTGTTGATTTCACAATTCACTGATGTAAAGAGAAAGGTCTGTCTTAATACAATTCATTTTATTGATTATTTTCTATTCTCTGATGCAATCATGTATTAAATTTACATTTGGAGCCATACTGTATTGTTTTACATAACTTTTTCTACACTTTTAACTGGATCCCTATTAATAACATACATATAGTTCATCTTCACTGTGTTTGATTGTGCTTATAAATAAAATTTTACCATCCGTCATCAGTGCAGATCCAGGGGTTGTCAAAATACGTTACTGGAAATATATTTCCATTTTAAAATACTCTGGAGCAGATCCTAGTGAGAATATTTTACCTTTAATATTCTTTAGAAACTTTTAACCTACATCGTTCAAAATTTTAATTTAAAATGAGCTTCTATAATTTATTTTGATCCAACTCAGATCCGCCATTGTCTATCATGAAGATCAACATATCTTTATGTCCAAGAATGTAGAAAACATGAGACAGTGATGCAAGGATTAGTTACATGAAATTACTAGTATTTGCTCACGTTACCCGTTTCATTTGTTCAGTGGACTTCACTCTATTCACTCTACTTACAGAAAATTGCTCAAATTTTCGTCTTTCTATGGTCATATCTCTGTCGTTGTGCACAGAATAATACACATTTATAATTATGTCATAATACTGGTCTATTGTTTCTTTATAACATTTCATCTTTTCTTTGTTCCAGGATTTTTGGATTCAAACTATTCATCATTTAGTCACTATTTCTCTACTTGTATTTTCGTATTCTTGTAACTTTGTAAGAGTTGGTGCTGTTATATTATTGGTTCACGACACTACGGATATTTTACTTGAGGTAATATTGATTTTATATGATTGTACTAAAAGCATATTCCATGAAGGCTTTATCGCTTCAACTAGACATATATTTTTTTTATTGGCAAAGTTTAGTAGGAAAAATGTTAACCATTTTAAATGTGTGAGTGAGTTACACATAAAACTCAAATAGAAATTTCGAAAAGATTACTTTTTTTAATATAACGTAACAATATTTGTGTTTATAGTGTGGTAAAGTGTCAAAGTATCTTAGTTCGGTAATGGATATTCAGAGATTTTGTGATCTTATATTTGGAATGTTTGCAATTGTATTTTTTATCAGTAGAATCGTCATACTTCCATTTTGGTAAGTAACCGAATTCACATTCAATCAAATTGTCGCATTTATCCTTTATTCATGAATTTATTCAAAAGATTTGCACAGTTTTCTATTTGAGTAATTTTAGTTAGAACTACAGGTTTATATAAAATGACATAAAATGACATTCCAAGTCGTCCATTCTGATGTACGTCGAATATGATGTTAAAGATAGTGAATAAGTTGATGTTGACAAGTAATTTGCGTTTATTTGTCACTTTCTATGTTAGAGAGCACCGTAGCTATATCTTGCCTGTTTTAAATTTCTTTCAAAGTCCTTATTCTTCTTTTCTGTCAATAGGATCATTAGATCTGCTTATTTTGAAGCCGCTACAATCTTTAAAGAAACGTGGCCAATGTACTATTGTTTTAATGCTTTATTACTTGCCCTGCAGGTTTGTTGAAATTCCATTTTGTTTTTAACTTTTTTTCTAACTTGGAACTTTTTAGGCATTGAATCATTAAGTAGAATGTAGCTAATGAATGTAGATGATTCGATTCCTAATTACGTAGTTTTTGTTTCATTCTTCTTTCAGTATTTTGGCATTTTTTGTAAAGTGGAAAAAATTAACTTTACATCGAATTTTTCAATTGTTTTTGCAGACAATGCATCTTTACTGGGGTTATCTTGTTGCCCGAATGGCTTATGTATTTTTTGTTGAAGGACAGGTATAAGTTTATTGATTAGATAAATTTAAAGGATACTTCGAGTTCTCATCAAAATTAATGCAGTTTTAATTATTTGAGTATATTGATGTAGGTGTCGAAATGAGTTATGTATTATTAAAGTACAAAGAAGTAGATTAATTTACGTATATGTTAATTAAATCCACATTTTGTTTCTTGAAATCGACAGCAATGTAGCTATAAAAGATATGTTCAATTAGATTAGGATTGTAATTAAGCATGTTCACGCTATAGTGAACTTTAAAATTGAGCACGTTAATTAAAGAAAATTTTTGATAAATATTTTTTCCTTCTTTTCGTTCACTTAGGTTGAAAATGATGCTCGCAGTGATAGTGAAGAATCTTCGACCAACGAAGAAAATAATAGCGTATTGGAAAATAGTTTTACTGAAAAGAGGGAAATATTGAATGGAAAGAAAAAGGTACATTAACTACGCATCATGATTTTGATCTGCAAGGCATTTTACAAACCAAAATGACAAAAAATGGGCATTCTTGAAGCGCAGAGTTGAAAACGCTGTGGAGAAAAGTCGTATTTGCAGATAATGGAACTATTGTATTCTTGTATGTCAATTTTAAAAAAGTCGAAAGATTTTTACTTCTTTTGCAATTATTTTACTGGGGTCGGTAGCACGAAGCTTGGATAGGGTTACCATTCGATAGCGAAAATTTTCAAACTTCTAAAAAAGGTGTTTATGTAATACTTACGACAAAGAAATTTTTTAATCTTCGAAACAGTATTTTATTTCAGTGATTGCTCCGTTGAAATCTTATATTTTTTGCTTTTTAAAAGGTTTTATAAAAATTTAAAACATTGCTATTCAATGGATAACGCTAACCAGGCTTCGCGTAACCGCCCTCTGTAATTTAAATGCCACGTAATTATAATATGTATAATGATCAACCACGCAACTTTATTGACGTTCATTAAGATCTATTTATTCATTTGACTGGCTCACATTTAACACGACGAATAACGTAAATGTTGAAGAGTATGAAGTATGCATTGGAAGTAACATAGAAAAGATCGTGGATTATAAATTGATTATACCTTACAGTACTTTTTACGTCTATGTCACTGATCTATGTACCAACTGTAATCTCAGAGAGAAACACAACTGCAGCTTTATTGAGCTTGTATGAACTTCTTAGCTCATATATAACTATAGTTTAGGCGGTGCACGCAGAGGTATAGCGTCACATTTGTGATTGGGAATTTGGTAAGGGCTTGTAGCTATCATCTCTACTCGTGTCGACCGTAATTGTAGTGTTGATGAAGTATACTATACTTAAAAACAATCATAATGCATGATTTTAATGCCTCCATTGGTTAAAGACCAGGCTCGAAAAAACAAATAATGTGCTACTACGAATTCATTTTTCTGATGACCCTAGAGCTGTTGGTTGACAAGTCTTATAACACTGTATGAAATTTGTTTTTTCATTGGCTGCTGCAGCCTAGTTCTAGCTGTAGTAGTTTTGCCAGTTCAGTTTTTCAAAAAGAACAAAATTGTGTTTTTTGATGTGTCAAGGATCGTTTAAGTCTGGTCAGTCTAGTCTTACGCACCTGCTGTGTCTGTGATAAACTTTTGTGGCGTGGCGACAAAAACTGCTAAATTAACTCATTAAAACTCAAAGTGATCAATAATTGTCTTGCTTAATTGCGAAGACAGAAAATGAAAAATTGGCTTTTTTCATATCCACTGTGTGATAATTGACTTTCGTCATGTTGGTCGTGTGCCAAAGTTATTTTTACCTGACATGATGATCTTATCAAATGCTAATTGACCCAATGTTTCTGCAATATGGACGTGAATCTGTCAGATGCAGTTCGCGGACAGATGTGGTAACCAAAAATGGTGACAAAGATTACCTTGCGTATAATTCGACAAATGAACTTTCGTTATGGATGTCGAAGTATTTAAATCAGTTTTAATTATTGGTTGTAATCGTGGTCTTGGTTTAGAGTTAGTACGTTATCTACTTAATGTAGAAAAACCTCCACAATTTATATTTGCAACATGCCGTGATCTGGACGCATGTTCAGCCCTCAAAGCTTATAATGTTTTCTGGAATAAACGGAAAACCAAAGTAAAAGTATTACAACTTGATGTTAACAATGACAGTGAAATTGCAGCTGTTGTAAGCAACATCGAACAAGATTTGGCTGGTGTTGGTTTGAGCGTTCTCATAAACAATGCAGAGCGTCACACAATAAAAGATTTGGACACATTATGTCGTGAAGATATGCGAAAAACCTATGAAACTAACGCAGTTTCGCCAATCATGATTGCAAAGGCATTCCGTTCAATACTTTGGTCATTTGTTTTGCAGAGCTCAAAAGACGTTCAGCGCGAACGTAACGCAGTCATTGTCAATATAAGCTCAGTAATGGGTAGGTAAAAACTTAAGAAGACATAACTGAATCATTTTTTATAGTATATTTATCCATTAGGGCGACAGTGTGTGTTAATGTTTCTTTGAGAATAAAATGAGGTGTTATTCTATGTAATTCCAAAGATAATATATATACTTGCATGTTCCAGAGACAGCTAGGATATTATGAATGATTTGCCATACTTGTGACTGGAAATGTTTTGCAGGATCAATTTCATGCAATAAAAGAGGAGGTCAGTATCCTTATCGAACCAGTAAAGCAGCTCTTAACATGGCAACAAGATGTCTGAGTGCTGACTTCAAAGAAAATAAGATTATTGTTTTTTCTTTACATCCAAGAAACGTACCAAACAAGATGGAAAAGCCACTCTCTTATAACATAACTGCTCCAGGTATAATTAAATTCATATCAACAGCAGACATTTCTAAAAGTGGTGGATTTTATGCATATGATGGCATGCCTCTTCCTTTTTAAATTTTCTTGTTTGTATAAATTCATTTAATCTGTGAGAACTTTGAAAGGAATTTTGATTAAAGTGTGGAATCATAATTTTATTGTAGTATTGCTACGTATTTCTAATTTATTGTAAGAATATTTTGCTTAAAATAATTTGAACCGTGGACTATGGTACATGTTTGTAGATGTTGATTGTTCAGGTAAGTACAATCCTGAGAAGACCTTCTGTGAAAGTCTTGGCTATGCCTCATGTTTACTTGTCACTTAACTCTGTAAATAACTACCTCTAAGGTTGTCAAAATACTGGTCAACATCTTCAACAACAACATTTGTTATGCCTGCACAGTGCAATATTAAAGCTTGATAATCTTCATCAAGAAATATTTTGCTCTGTTATAAATCACATGTTAAACGTTTTATATATGTCATTTGATTGCATATTTCATCATTGTAACTTGAAATACAGCACATTAAATTTAGTAGCAGCTGTCATTGTTTGCTTTGATGTATGGGAGAATTGTTTGCTTGAGTGACAAGTTTTTATCCTGACCACAGAGAATGTAGTAGATGAGACTCCACAGATTTCTTGCCAGGCTCTTGTAAGTGTTTGGTAACATACTTTTTTAGCTCTTAGTATAAATATTCATTCTCATTGTATCAGTAAAATGAGTTAAGATTTTGTCCTTTATTTTTCTGTGTGTTAGTAAAAGTGTTTGAATCAACGGTTTGAATACACGGAGGGTTTCTGGGTTTGAGATCTTTTATACGTTACTATGACAACTCACGTGTGTTACCATGACAACTTCAACGAAGATAACAAAATGGCGACTATGAAACTTGATCAAAATTGTCAATTGTCTTTTGGAGAATATGTTATAGATCAAAGAAACCAGAAGAAATCAGTTCCAAATCATTTACTTGATACAAGTATGCATTTCTTAAAGATTATTTTGTAGTTAATTTCTCACTTGAGGAATGTTGTCTTTTTTTAGAAATTTTTAACAAAATAGCTGAAAATGGCATATTTCAAGCTTCTCCTTCTAGTGTCCATTTTTGTGGTTTCCAACTGAAAAAAACGTCAAAAAAAATTTTGGTTAGTGTCCTAATTTGTCATAAGCATGTTTTTCTGTAGTTTTGTTTGTGATTTAAGTTTAATGCAAGCAATTACTAAAATACTGTTTGGCTGTCGTAATTTTTGATTTTGAATTATTTCACAACTTTTAGAAACTAACAAATATTTCATCTCAATGGCAAAAAATGCACGTGATTCCTCCTTCGACATCTTATTTCACTGTCAAATATGTGAAAAAGGTAGAGTTCTTGGTGGAGAATTGGTGGAGTTCTTTTGAATAAATTTATAATTGTACAGCACAGTTTGCGAATATAACTCTCCTCCTTCTTGAGAACCATAATTTTTCCAATTCCGTGATTGTTAAAAGTTTCAATGGCACTCCTCTAAAACTAAAAAGTACGCTTATGCCTGTATGCCATATATGTATCTTGTCCCAATATGTAGAGTTGAACATGTATTAAATGGCACCATATTATCAAAAAATTCCCAATATAAATACCATTGAAGTGATCTTCATTGAATGGTAACCTCTATTAAGCAACCCAGCCACTTTTCCAATACTGAAAATGCAATTTTTCATTGTTTTGAAATTGTATTAAACACTTTGGTACGTGAAATTACAACCATGCAGCACATGTTACATTATATGTGTATGTTTATATAGTTCTACTTATGAACTTTTACCCTAGAAAATATGATGTATTATATTACAAATCTATTCTGTTGTTATATTTTAGGAAAGACTTGTTCCTGGTTTTTTTATGGAAATTGAAATTAGATTTACACCAAAAGAATGGCAGTATTATTTTGATTGTATCAGAATACATTGTGAGGTAAGTTCATGTCTTTATACACTGGTGGTAAGACTTCTTTGATACATGTATTTTGTTTTTCAAATTAAAGACAACAAAATAATTGCTACATTACTTAAAAGAAGGCTTTACAATACAATGTTACAATGTGACAATTTAATCGAGGCTGACAATTGAGAGGTTTATGGTGTTGCGTCTTCTAGCTTTAATGCTGTTCTAGGTAAAGGAAAATATTACTTAGACATTAATTTTCTAGGAGGTTTAGCTGTTCTCATGTTAATACCTCCATAAGATTTTAACTCAAATCAGATTATTTGTTTGCTTTCAACATATACATATGTCAGAAGAACAATAATTTAGGGGAAGGGCTGACATTTATACATGCATATGTTCTTCTTTATTAGTTTTTATTGAAATAAATTGTGATTAAGAATTATAATATATGAATATGAGCCAGCCAGCCCCCCCAATTATCAATCTTCTGGTGTCCCTGTTCTATCAGGTTGGTACCATTGCTATGGTCAAAACAATGAACTAAATAGGTTTTATGTATTTTTGCCTGAACACTGCAAGACAACACTAAAAATACATGTAATGTATTTAGAGCATTTTTCTTTGCAATATATTGTGTAAATATTATGCTTTAGTTTTTAATGTTTTTAAATATATGTTTTTAAACTTAGTTTTTAATTTTAGTCTAATGAACATCTGATCATACCAATCCATGGCTATCCTTCATTAAATCTGTCTGAATTTCCAAAAAAAATAAATTTTGGAAGTGTTCCTGTTGGAGAAAGGTATTAAAGGCAGTTATAATGCAAGACATAATATTGAAGTCAAGGACTTACAATTTTTTTGAATCGTATGAACTTCTGTAATTTGCCTTTTATCATAAAAGAAACTATAAAAGACTCTGGCTCTGTTGTGACATAGGTGTAGATTATAGCCCAATGATGGTGGTGTTGAGCTCTTCTTGGCAAATATTTCCATATATAGTGATTCAGAAACTTTTTTTCAGTTTTAGCAAAAGAATCTCTTTAAAGTCTGATGTTCCTGTTGACTTTGAAATGAAATTGAATCTACTTCAGTCAACTGATGCCATACAAGTGAAGCCATTACAAGGTCAAGGATACCTCTCAAAGGAAGAAGTTTGTTCTTTGAATTGTAAAATTTGTGCCGAAGGAACGCAGTTTCTTTATTGTTAAATCTCGTTTTCTTGCCCCATCTTATACAGTAGTATTCATGTTTTGCTTCAGTTCATAAAGAGAAAGTGTTAGAACTAACAGCAGCGGAAAATTTCTTAATTTATGATAAAAAATATTTCGTTGTCCATTGAAAACTTGCGTTAAGAAAAAGTGAAAAACTTACTTAGGAAAAACAATGCTGTCTCAATATTGAGAAATCTGACAGAATGTATAGACTTTATTTGTAATTTTAGGTATTGTGCCTGGAAATGGTTCACTGGATATTGAAGTCTTTTTTAACCCAACTGAGTTTTGTACTGTACATGCCAAATTACAGGTAAACTGAATAGCTAGTTTGTTCTGTTTTCATTCTTTGTACAATTTTTTTCGCACCTTGGCACCCGTAACGTGGAAAAAACGGAACGCTTCCTTGTGTCCCCTTTTCAAGTATAATATTCTGTTGACTGTAGTCTTTCAGTTGTACCACTCAGAATAATGTCAGCTGTATTACATACAGTGATACAACACAATGTTAAGCATGTTGCAAAAGTTGATAAAAATGTTTTAATTGGGCGATTTTTTCTTTATTTTTAATAAGTTTTAATGTTTCAGCTATTGGTGTCACAATTCATTGTATCGCCGCTAATTTGCCATATCACAGGATCGTCTTCACCTGGCATGAAGTTAACGTATGTTTAAATTGAATATTATCACATTAACATTAACGTTAAGGAACAAATAACAATAACTGGCGTTCACAGCAGACAAGTTGCAAAGCATAACTGTCTTTACAACACTCTCCTGTATCAAAGCCACAATTACACTACTTTGTATTATGTTCCCTTACTAAATGTGTTGTATGTAGTTGCAGCAACGTAATTTTATTGCCTTGTAAGTTTTTTGGGGAAGATAATCACTTTTTTAAAAAGTTGAACCAGCTCCATTTTTTGAAAGAAGCTGTCCATTGCTGTTTTGCAATAGAATTGTTCAAAGAAAAAGTTTACGAGAAATTTCTTTTTTACAACATGAGCTCATAGACCAATGCATATCTTCACATCAGGAACTCAGAGACCATGCATATCTTTACATCATGAACTCAAATTTATGTTTGTGTGTGTTTGTTTGTGTATCCACAAATTGAGAAAGTGTGCTTACGAAAGTCTTGCTTTGGCGTTTTCCATTCACAATTATTTGAGCACAACATGTTCAATGGAAAGAACTTCCCTGATGCTTTGTAAAGGCATTCAATTGCTGCATGTAATGCTGAAGACAGTAAATCCATTGATGGTGGAAAGGAAGTTATACATCGAATGCATACTTGCGTGGAAAACATGATCGTTTACATGAAAAACGATTGAAAAAGGGATAGATCTGGACAGTTCCATTCACATCGACATATCTCATAAATTGCTGCTTTATCATTGATTCTGTAAAGTATTTCAAGCTTTATTCCTGGAAATGATGATAAGCATCATAATAGATGTGTCATGTGAACTGTAAAGAAGAAGCTAAAGAAGCTGTTTGGTGGTCTGGAAATGGAAAGGAAACACTTTGTCCGTTCGGATGTGTTTATGTAGTTCTTCTCCCTCTCAAAAGAAGAGTCTTCATTAATTGTCAATGTGGATTGCTACTCCAAGTACGCTGAGGTCATATGTTTGTCCAAAACCTCGCATCTAGTGATAAAATAAACTGAAAAAATGCTTAAAAGATGGGGAGTCTCCGAAAGAAGTCGTAAGTGGCAACGGTCAAAAACTTTAGTCAGATATGTTTTCAGATGTCTTTTAAAGTTGTTGCAATAAATACAGCACACATGGTATGTAAATCTACTGAATGTACGCACTCTGTGTAACATCATGTTAATTATTTGTACATTAGTAATGTAATTATAATTGTAAAGTCTTTGCTTGACTACAAAATGGCTATGAAATTAATGTTTAAATTAAGAAAAGTTATAAAGCTGTTGCAGTGGAAAAAAAGATAGAAAATCTGGGTCATACAACAGTAAATCAAGATGCAGGATTGCATGTGAAGAAGAGCAGAATATACGCAATGATATTTTCAACAGAAAAAAGTTGCGATGAAAACGAAAAGATGGAAAGAGTTGTTGCCTGATTAATAAAAGAAGAGTTCAATATGATAGACTTATTCTGCGATATGGAACAATTTCGTGTTTCAATTTGAACAAAACAAAGAAATGAAAGAACTAAGAACTAGAGAATTTCATTGTTGTGAAAAAGATATTTGTCTGGCTCAAACTAAAAAGGAAATATCACATTCGTAGATGTGCGTATGTAGAGAAAGTTGGTTGGTCGTAAAGACAACCTTTAAAAGATGAAAAAAACTGCTTTCACTCATTAGTTTTGTTCTGGACTAAATAAAATTTAGGACCTTTAAATATTTCACGTGTAGATCACATACATTGAATCTTTATTGAAACAAATTTGTTCACTGCCCCAACAATTGTATATATGAAAGATTTAAACGACTTTTGAGATTTTATACTATACCTTTGATTTTATTTAGACTACTTGAGGAAAAACAACAAGAAATGGATTCACAAGAAGTATCAACAAAAACATTAGATCCTCTGTCCCTAGATCCATTGTTTAGATCTCGATTGAAGAAACAAGAAGTAACCCAAAAAAATTATGTTGATAAAAAAGAGGTAACAGAATTTTAATAAATATATTTTAATTTTCGTATTAGTTGTATTTAAAATTACAAAAATTGTTTACCAATTGTTGGACGTTTATACCTTTTGGAAACTTCCAACTCTTTACACTTTTTTTTAATTGTGGTAATGTACGTCGACAAAATACCGTAGAGTTCAATGAACCCAGACTCAAAGCATTTGAAAATGTGCTTTTGAAGTAGCATGTCTCAAATATAGTAAATTGTTGTCTGTAGAAATAACGTTTGGTTGTTTTTACTCAGAATAACCTATACTAGCTACACAGTAGAAAATTCAAAACTTGAATACCAAATTAGCACATCGTATACAAATAAGAAGCCATTTAGTTCACAATTAAGCACTTGGTACAAAATTTAATGCTTAGTCTACAATTTTGTCCCCAATAAAGTACTTAGTCCAGTATCTTTAGTCCAGAGTAAAGTACCTAAGTAGTTCATAATGAATTATTCCGTCTATTGTGAACTACTTATCTCGAATAAAGTGCATAGTCCTGGATCAAGTATTTCCTAATTATTCGTAGAGTATGTCTGGGAACGTGAAGAGATACTGTAGAGATAGAGATAGTGTTTTCCTCGCTTCCATTATTTTATTATTAATTGTGTTGGTCTTTAGGAAATCATTCGCAACGGAATAAGGTTTCCTAAGAATCTAGCTACAACAAGTGCTGTATCTTATGTTTTACAACAAAAGCCTGGTAAACTGAAAGCCAAAGATGTTCGACAAGGTATAGTAACATATTGTATGCATAAAATTTACTTTTAGTGACCATTTCTATGTTTGTGGATGAAGATATTTCACGGTACGACTTGAGATTAGTTCTTTTCTCAGACGTCAGAAAAACGTTAAGTCAGCAGCATATAATCTGAAACTTTTTAATGTCATTGCTTTTGTTAATACTTGTTCTAAGAATTAAAGTTTTTATACTGTGATAACGTTCATCTGTTTGTTAATATGCAACGCCTGGTATTCATGTGGCAATTATTTATAATCAAAGCTGTTGAATATTATATTATTCACAGCTGTAAGAGACAAGAAAGACATTCTACTGAGCGGAAAGCAGTTAAAGGTATGATACCCAGAGTACATTGCACTCGCTAAGTCGCTATCATATGATAAGAAAGACTATTTGTTGCTCATGATCACTCATGATGGACAAATACGCATTGTACACTGTATACGAAATGCTGGCATACATCAATAGAATTATATAATGTATATTTAAAGATAAATTTTTATGTTATAGATATATGCTCACTTTTGATACTTATTAAACGCACTGAATAATCTAAATAACAATGGTTACAGTTGCACATCAAACAATCAAATACTAGGAATCTTTGTGGATTGATTTTCTTTTCTTATTTTCTTGGACAGGAAACAGCATTTGAATATAAAGTTCAACAGACTATGACAGAAGAAAGACAAAATCAATTGCGCTGGTGTGTTGTTCGAAGTTTGAATTCTTTTAATTTAATTTGGAAGAAGCTTTGTATTTTTATGATAAATAGCGAAAGTTCATAGAGACATAAAATCAGATGTCATAGAGTAAACTTTCTGAAAGTGCGATAATTTTCACAAGCTTTAGATCGGTGGGAGTTTGTCTGAATAATTTGTGACTAAGTGAGCCAGTTCCACTGAGTATGAAGAGCAAGTACTAAAGTACTTTCAATCAGTCGTTGTCATGACTACTATAAATTCAAACAGTCGGTCAAGGAGATTGCGAACAATCAGATGATTTCCTTAAAAATAAGAGACAAAGCGAGCTAGTTAATCAGAGAGCGATGAAAGTGCCCTCAGTTGTTTTTTTACTATGAGCAATAAATGATAATTTTTAATTTTGTATGGAGGCAAATTTTAAGGATTTTGGGGGGACCTGTGATTTAATATACAATAAAACTGCGATTAATGAGACACTTACACCAATATTTGTTAACAATGACGTTAGCAATGACGTTAGCAATGGCGTTAGCAATGACGTTTCGAGTGTTTTCGAAAACCTTCAACTATTTAATCTTCATATTATTTTCATATTTGCACGACGTGATCTAAATGTTTTTTTATTCATTTTAAAAGGTGTGTCAAGTTAGGAGATGAGAAAATATCAGATGTTGAAAAAAGTCGTATTTTAGATGAACGAGTTCAGGCCAATAAAGAATACAAGGTGAGTTAAAAACATTTTTCTTTGCCGTGAAGTCAATGATGTTCGATCATATAATATATGAATACATAAAATAAAATAAAATTAGAGCTTATGAAGAAATAAAATAAATGTATGAAATATTTTATAGTGGACTCAAATTACAAATCAAAATGCAGTTTATTTTTATGAAACTCAACACCGTCCTTAGATTCCTAGTTATTACTTGAAATGCATTCCTAATTTTTAGTTATCATTGCTGATTGAGAAAATTTTTTTAAAACAAAATGTGGTATTTCAGATGCAAAAAGGTGATTTAGTGTCCGAGGTGGAATTTGACCGCTCTGCTACTGAGTGTAATCAATGTCGAATACAACGTCAAGCTAGAACGGTAAAGTCATTGCTAATGAATCTATTTTAATTGAAAATTTTTATTCATAGACCCATTCAAATGATATTGATAACTCTCTTTACTCGAGCTAAATAAGTATTAAGTCAACAATTAAAATGCAAAAATAATAATTTGTGATGTTTTTTATTTAGTTACTGTAGGTTTTTAACCTTTAAAGTATGTTAAATATAAAACTAAATGTATGAAATTTTATGTGATATATATTATATTTTAAAATAATTATTCATGGTATTCTGTAGCACACACATTGTTTATTTTTAGTATCCCGCGTGCACTGCTCGCTTTGATTTTTTTGTAAATGATGATTGGACGAGAAGACATCGTGTGCTAAGTAGATTTATACAAATTGGAAGAAAGGTATTGTGCAATAATTAAATATAAATACTTTAAGATATTTGATTTTCTTTGACGAGTTTTGCCGCAATGTTTGTCTTGCATTGGACTCGTTTGGACAAAGTTGACAGTCTGTAGAGGCTATATACAAGTGTATAATCGAGGTAGTCTAAGTAGTTCAGTTTGCAATCAGTTTATCTCTTCAAGTAAAGTTATATTGTCTTTTATTTATGAAGTTTGTCTTTTTTCGTAGATAATCGTGCGTCGTCGAGCTGATCGATATATTGAATCGTTAAACAAAAATTTAGTTGAAAGTTTAAGAGAAGGATCTTTTTCAAGGCAGTGCACGTATGTCTGATGTATGTTCTATTAACATGTATATGAATATTGTTCGTAGATATGTGTGTTTGTGTGTTGAATAATTTAGGTGCAAATCGTGCTAAGTCAGAAAACTGTACAACATCAACGGTGTTTCATTTGAGACCCCACATGGTTTCACCTTTTTTATTTCCAAAGTCATCATTGGATGATAAAAATAATGATCAGGTTAGTGATTCTCCTTAATCTCTGAATTATTTCCAAAGTCATAATTGGATGATTAAAGTAATGATCAGGTTAGCGATTCTCCTTAATCTCTGAATTAGTGAAGTCATTCTATAAACAATGAGTTTCTGACTTTTGAAGGGATATTTTGCTCTAGTTAACGTGGGAGATAATACTTTATTAAGTATTTTTAGCAATGTTTGTTTAAGAAAGTCAATGTATAAATATGATGGGGGGAAAATGTACTCATACCCACTACCACTTTCTGCGTTCATATTAAGAACTTGCTGACTTTTAAATAACGTATGTTTATTTTGTAGTGATTATAAGAGATGGAATTAATTCGTAAGCTCATGATTTTTTTAATCACAAACATAACATTTTGTATTGCAGATTGAAAAAAATATTGATGAATTACCTGTCGAATCAACTGTTGTTCATCTTGAACATTATACTCCATATTATAAACTTAAAGTAAGTGATCTTTGCAGCACTTTTGATTTAAATAGTCTTAGGCTATGTGCAGCCGGTCTCAACATGTTCTCTTTTAGTCTCTCTACATTTTAGACTCAACATGTTTAGAGAATTTACAAACTCTGGGGTGGAGTGTTTAATGGTATTGAGCAGTGTTGAGCGCTGTTGAGAAAAGTTTGAAGTTACTCTTACCTTCCATTTAACAGTGCTCAACATTTGTTTGCTCCGTTGTCACCAAGGCGTACCTAAACATTGTTTAGTGCATGAACAGCACATTCAACAATGTTAAGCGAAGGCATGCGCACTGTTCAGCGTATATGTAACTGTATATTGTAACTGGTCACTGAACCGTATAAGTAGCTGTATATTGTAACTGGTCACTGAACCGTACATGTAACTGTATATTGTAACTGGTCACTGAACCGTATATGTAACTGTATATTGTAACTGGTCACTGAACCGTATATGTAGCTGTATATTGTAACTGGTCACTGAACCGTATATGTAGCTGTATATATAAGCACAGAGCGTTTGCACACATCGCTTAACATCACTCAACAAACGCAAAACAATATTGAGCGCGTATTGAGTCAACATGTTGAGAGAGCTTCCTTCTCAATGTGTCGTGTATAGTCGTATTTTTTCGTATTTTATCGTATCTTATCATTTTTGCAAATAAATAATAATAGTCACATGACCCAAATAGATATCACAAAGTCTTACCTTGCAATAAAACTATGGTATTGATCAAATCATCTCTATGGTACCACAAAATCTAACCATGAAACAATAAAACGAAGACTTGGTTCTGGTGATTAAATCTAAATATTCCCTTGAAAAGCGCTATTACTGTGATGAATGGAAAAAAAATTGTACATTTCCCAAAAGTTCTGAAAACCAAGAAAAATCAAGAAAAGAAAAATCAAGAGAGAACCAAGAAAAATCAAGAAAAGAAAAATCAAGAGAGAACCGAGAAAAATCAAGAAAAGAAAAATCAAGAAAAGAAAAATCAAGAGAGAACCGAGAAAAATCAAGAAAAGAAAAACCAAGAGTTAAAACAGTTCTTTTCAGAACTTTTGTTTTAGTGTTTTAATTCTAAACCAATTCCTTTCTGATCTCTTGTGTTTTTCTTGTCTTGTTTTTACTTAATTTTCTCTTGGGCTTCTTGGAATTCCTGGGTTTCAGAACTATATTGGGGTTTCTATATGTTTGCAAAACTCGTGGAAACTCTAAAACTTTTGGCTGTTCACCATGACAATTGCGCTCTTCATGGTATTATAATGAACCATTGGTATGAAATGTGTATTTCGTCATCTTTATAGGTACCACAACAGTATGCCTTGCTTGGTTATAAATCTCATACCACCCAACAATTGATTAGTTCTGATATGATCGGTGATATCCCAAGACCTTTGAGGACTGGAGCTGAGGTGGGAAAAAATTATTATAAAGATTTATGTTTGACGTCTCAACACAAGTATTTTGCAATTTTTAATCTCTAAGGATGAAATTATCAAGATGGATTCATCTCTTCCTCATACTATCAACATTAACAGTTTACCAATGGAAAATGATGTAGAGGCAAACAATAACGTTGTCGATGTGCTGAGACAGAGCACTGTTACTGCTGGTGATCGACTTGTGATACCTTACTCTGTCTTTAAGAAACAAAAATATGATCCTTTGGAAATGTTTGTAAGTTGTTTATCATCATCGTTGTTTAATAAATGAGGTAATGTTGTAAAAATCTTACTTTTTAATTACATGGACGATTAAGCCATGATCTTCTTTTGAAAACAAGTAAAAGCTTATTTTTACTATATATTCTTACGGTATATCCCTGGTCACAATTCTAAAAGCTTATTGTCATAAGATTTTTATGAGATTGTACTTACTTATTGCATTAATACTGTTAGTGAATAAGTATTTAACTCAATCTTCTGTTTATTATTGATTTTTAACATTTCTAATCAACAATGAATTATCTTTTATTTTCAGATTCCTTTACCTGATCTTCACGTTTTACAACCCCAAGTTTTATATTCTGAAGTTGATGATGAATACCATCTTTGTCCATTACCTCGTTATAAGTTGACTAGTAAAAATATTGCTGCAACTAAACATGAAAAATCATTAATTGAAAGACCTGTGAGTCATTTTCACTCGTCATTTTGTCAAACTTATCCTTTTATTCCTCAAATATATCTTAACATCCTTGCAAACCTGTGAAGTTCTCTTACAGTGTTTGTAATATGCGAATTCTTATCCTTATAGTTCTACTCACAAGACTGACTTTCTATTCTCTTTGTTTTATTTGGGAGAATGAAAATTTGCAAGTTTGATTATTTCCATTTGGCTAAAGGTCTATCTTTTCAGGATGTAATCTCGAGTTTAATGAGTTGGAAGAGATTTTCATGTCAAAGTTTAGTGACCGCTAGCAATGTTCCTCACATAACTGATGTTTGGGTCCCACGTTTGTGAGTATGTTTAATATCAACAATCGTCAATGTTTAGTTAATGTTTTATACATTACTGTATTTTCCTTGAAGTTGGCGATAACATTAATCTGCAAGAGCGAAGCAAGTATATATTGAAGCAATTTGTTTTTGCTTGTGTAATGCATGCGTGACATTTGATAATTGATGATTTTGTTTCTATTCTGAGAGTTTCCTACTGCACAATGAATATCCTTACTTATTTATATGTTAATATTATTGAAAAATAGAAAATATTTAAACACATGCTATTTTTCCATTCGCCGCGGCAATTAAGGCTTCATCTTAAGGACCATAAACTTTGTTTTCCATCCGCAGGAGCAATATAGAATCCATATTTGGTGTGAACGTGAAATTTAGCACAGGAAAACATCATAATTTCTTTTACACAGCTATGCAATTTTTCTTTCTCTTTATGCTGTAAAATATATATATATGAACTTAATTATTATGGCCGAACTACAGTACATGCGTTGTATATGCAGTTAAGTCACACCCACCTTGTTCATTTCTATTTTTAGAACAAGTCCATTTCTTGACGACCTCCTTCCGCCAGAACCACCGGCACTTCTTCAAGAACTGCCAGCTGATGACGTCATGAGGGATTTGTATGTACAATATTGTCAAATATTGTAGTTTTTTTTTTATCTTTTTACCTAGTTTTCACCCATCATTTTATCTTTCTTTACCAATTAATGGATATTATCCTTTTGTTTTACGAAGCGTCTTTACTTAAAATGGCTCCCAAAAATTTTAAAAAATCACTTTGTCGTCGGTTTCATAATCGATACACGTAACTTGAATATTTTGTAAACACATATATTTTACTTCGACTTTAAATTATATTTATAGATGCTGTCTAAAATTTAAACATTTAATTTATTTCCTGAGTTTTAATAGATATTTATTGCATTTACACTTGTTTACAATAAAATGTCCTTATAAATAGCTTCTATTGGATAAATGGCCGTGACATAGCCAGCTCAATAAATGGGGGTAGTGGTCTGTATTCTGTGATTACAGAATTTTTGATGGAGTGATCTTATTTAAGGACGGAGATGATATAAATCTTTTTTGTCACATGACTTTCTTCCATGAGAATATTGTATTCCCTACAATGATGACGTAAAATGTTTTTCTTTAGCCATGATGATGTAAAATGTTTTCTTTAGCCATGATGACGTAAAATGTTTTTCTTTAGCCATGATGATGTAAAATGTTTTCTTTAGCCATGATGACGTAAAATGTTTTTCTTTAGCCATGATGATGTAAAATGTTTTTCTTTAGCCATGATGACGTAAAATGTTTTTCTTTAGCCATGATGACGTAAAATGTTTCTTTAGCCATGATGATGTAAAATGTTTTCTTTAGCCATGATGACGTAAAATGTTTTTTTAGCCATGATGATGTAAAATGTTTTCCCATGATGATGTAAAATGTTTTCTTTAGCCATGATGATGTAAAATGTTTTAGCCATGATGACGTAAAATGTTTTCTTTAGCCATGATAATGTTTTCTTTAGCCATGATGACGTAAAATGTTTTCTTTAGCCATGATGATGTAAAATGTTTTTCTTTAGCCATGATGACGTAAAATGTTTTTCTTTAGCCATGATGACGTAAAATGTTTTTCTTTAGCCATGATGACGTAAAATGTTTTCTTTAGCCATGATGACGTAAAATGTTTTTCTTTAGCCATGATGACGTAAAATGTTTTTTTAGCCATGATGACGTAAAATGTTTTCTTTAGCCATGATGATGTAAAATGTTTTCTTTAGCCATGATGACGTAAAATGTTTTCTTTAGCCATGATGATGTAAAATGTTTTCTTTAGCCATGATGATGTAAAATGTTTTCTTTAGCCATGATGATGTAAAATGTTTTTCTTTAGCCATGATGACGTAAAATGTTTTCTTTAGCCATGATAACGTAAAATGTTTTCTTTAGCCATGATGACGTAAAATGTTTTTCTTTAGCCATGATGATGTAAAATGTTTTCTTTAGCCATGATGACGTAAAATGTTTTCTTTAGCCATGATGACGTAAAATGTTTTCTTTAGCCATGATGACGTAAAATGTTTTTCTTTATGATGACGTAAAATGTTTTCTTTAGCCATGATAACGTAAAATGTTTTCTTTAGCCATGATGACGTAAAATGTTTTCTTTAGCCATGATGACGTAAAATGTTTTCTTTAGCCATGATGACGTAAAATGTTTTCTTTAGCCATGATGATGTAAAATGTTTTCTTTAGCCATGATGATGTAAAATGTTTTCTTTAGCCATGATGATGTAAAATGTTTTCTTTAGCCATGATGATGTAAAATGTTTTCTTTAGCCATGATGACGTAAAATGTTTTTCTTTAGCCATGATGATGACACTGCAGAGACTTCAACCAATCCCACTATGCTTGTGCCTGCTATGGTAAATGCAATGTTTCCACTTGTGAGCAACACTCTTTCACAGGAGAATGAAGATACTAGGTTAGTTAGACCCACAACGTATAAACTGTAAGGCTTTACAGGTTAAAAAATAATTTTGTAATTTTCTATGGTTAATGCAACTGTGTTTATTTCATATTATTATATGGCAAGCGTCACTTCCGGCTAAATGGCGCGCTTTGATTGGCTCAGAAATATTTTTGCCGGTCCATTATTTTCCCGTAATCGACCACGATCCAAAACGCGTAATTTTGCAGTCAAATGTAAACAAACTTCGTAAAGCAAACAACAAAACGCAAAAAAACGAAACAAAAGTAATTTACGAATGTGAGTCGAAGGAAAAACACTCGTAAAACAATTTAACTATCCAGACGATACAATTTGAAACGATTTATTTTTTACTGACAAAAACTAGAATAGCGAAAGTCGACCCTTACAAAACATCAAGGACGAGAAAGAAAACAAGCTTCGTTTCAGTTCAAATAATGCCATATAATAATCCTTTTAATAACCTCGCTTTCTCGGTCTTTACTGAGAAATATTGGACCTCTGTCTTTTTGTACAAACCTCGCCCTACGAGCTCGGTCTGTACAAAAACATCTCCGTCCGTTATTTCTCCGTAAAGACCTCATGCTCGGTTATTAAGGGCTTAATATTGATTTACCTGTTTTCCTCAACTGTGCATGAAACCATTTTTCATTGTGGTCTTTAAAACTGTCAATTCACTAAAGACAATGTTGACTTTAATTGCTTGTTACGATATCAATATTTTTTTGATTGTTAATGAAAAATTTGTTTATTGTATTTAAGTAATGAAATATTTCCACAAAGTGGACGACTACCTCCAAATAACAACCCAGTGTCTTCACAAGGATTATTATCCAGGTATGAAGAAATTTTTTATTTCTTTAATATCTCAACGACACCAAACCACGATTTTGCTGTTTAAATAGAAAATTTGTTGTTAAGGGATTTTAAAATCTTTTTTTACATTTGCCACAAATTTTGAACCATACATTATTTGTTTTGTCTAAACTAAAGTTTTCCACTGCTATTATAAAGATAAGTTTCTTATTCATGCATGCAATCTTCCTTTCGATTAGCTAAAAGTCCCCATCCAACCACACGTCTTGCTGGCTACAATTATTTGCAGCTTTCGAGTTTAGTTTAATTTTTAATTTTTGTTTGATTTTTACATAATGTAAAAATTTTCAACTTTCAAACATAAAATGTGGTAGAAACATTCTCTGCATTGTTGACTATCTGTATTTTTTAGAGATGAACGAGCTGCTTCCCTAAATACTCATATTAATGTTTGTTGTGATCGCTTGGGTAAAGCTGTACGTCTGAGATTACAGGAAATAAATGGCATTTTGAAAGATGATAAATTAAAAACAACTTTATAAACAAATTTACGATGAAATTGTTTTATCGTGTTTTTTTTTTAAATATGTGTTTAATGTCAAATGTGTGCAGCTCTTGTACCACAAATTTTACCACATTTTTTACATACAATCTCCAATTAATTATTCTACATTTGTAAATTAAAACAGTTTATTATTTTTTGATAAGGTTAGCAGAATTATATTGACCGTTACTTTCCTTTTAGGAAGCTACAAAATTCTTTGGTGGGTCTCTGCGTTGAAAAAGTTTGTTGATTCTAAAAGCTAAAAAAGTCTACAAAATTAAGTTTCTGTTTAGCCATAAAATTGTATGAATCTGGTTATTTATAAAAATATAAGTTTAAGTTATTTTGGTTCCAAAACCCTCATTCGTGAAATTTTGTGGTCTGGTGCTTTGCCTTGTAGTTAAAATGAAATTTTCTTATGGAATTAATAAGGTTTAACTATTATTTGCCTAGTTTTTTACTTTGACCAGTTTGTATCATAAAATATCTCACAATAATACTAAATATTATCATGGCATTGTAATATTTGGTATTATTAGCAAAAACTTTGTTTGTGGTTTTAATATCTAAGCGTTTTAGGCATTAATGAAAGTTCTATGAAATTCTTCAATTTTAATTCAGAGACCTACTACCATATTCTAACAAATAAAAATTGTTCAACGCATGTCTATATCTATGAAATTCTTCAATTTTAATTCAGAGATCTACTACCATATTCTAACAAATAAAAATTGTTCAACGCATGTCTATATCTATGAAATTCTTCAATTTTAATTCAGAGATCAACTACCATATTCTAACAAATAAAAATTGTTCAACGCATGTCTATAACTGCTTTTTTGAATTACCTGCAATTGTATGCAGAAAATTTTGACTAAAACGTTTAAAATGTAAAGAGAAACATCTGCCAACACTTCAATACTATGTTAAGGTGATCTGATGAGAGAAAAAGTGAGACACTGTTCGCTGAAAACTAATTCAAAATTTCTTTTGCTCTTTGGTCCTTTTCTTTACTTTTCTAGAAGTCTTTTTGACAATTAAAGTAATTGTTGAGAAATTGCTGTTTGTGAACTTCACTTTAGCTGATTAGGCCACTGTAAAGGCTATGACATAGAGACAGATGGAACAGACATCTGTTATGTTTTGAAATATATACTGTGATAAAACAATATAAATTGGTATGAAATACTTAAAGATATTTTTATTTGCAATATTAATCGTAATTGTAACATTATGACAGAGATGCTAACAAATAAAATTGTTCAACGCATGTCTATAACTGCTTTTTTGAATTACCTGCAATTGTATGCAGAAAATTTTGACTAAAATGTTTAAAATGTAAAGAGAAACATCTGCCAACACTTCAATACTATGTTAAGATGATCTGATGAGAGAAAAAGTGAGACACTGTTCGCTGAAAACTAATTAAAAAATTCTTTTGCTCTTTGGTCCTTTTCTTTACTTTTCTAGAAGTCTTTTGACAATTAAAGTAATTGTTGAGAAATTGCTGTTTGTGAATTTCTCTTTAGCTGTTTAAGCCACTGTAAAGGCTATGACATACGCATGACGAGACAGATGGAACACTTGAATAGACCTCTGTTTAAGTTAGCTGTTTTGAAAACGCAACGCATAAAGACCTATACGCACTGTGATAAAACAAGCAAAACGAAGATATAAAATGGTATGAAATACTTAAAGATATTTTTATTTGCAATGATTAATCGTAATGATAACAATTATGATATATTTATGTGTAAATTCTGAGATAAATAGATGAGCCAAAGTTGTCAATTCATTCCTTTCTTTGTAGAGTACAAAGTGACTCTAAACACAGAGAGACTGAATATCGCCTTTGATGTTTGGAGAATTAATAGTTTTTGGCTAAAGCAGGAATAGTTTTGCTCTGATAAATCCCCATTATAATAATTTTTGTTTGAGAACGAAACAAAACAAAACACATAAAATAGAAACAAAAGAATAAAAGCCATGCTTTTATGTATACACTGAAACTAGCTATCGTTTATGCAAAGTAATTTTCTTTTGTCTGAATTTTTCTGTGTTAAACATTAAATAATAAAATTTAGAAAGCAAACTTCAATAGTTTTGCGTCTTCAAGATGAAAATGACTCACAAACAAAGTGCTCTTTCATTCACTCTCCCTCCCCTTCCCTTCCACGTCTCCATTTATAACTTAGAGATTGCAACTTGTTAGTGCCTTTCAGTTTATTAGCTATATCGCATTTAAATAATTTGGTGTATTATGAAAGTTTTGAAATCGATAACTTCGTAATCTATATCATTATAAATTATTAGTTGATTATAAAAACATACATAATTTATGGCTGTGACAATATGTACATTTTCTCCATTTGAAGAAATGAACGTCTAGTTTTTACAACTCGTGGATTGAAGCTGGACAAAATACTATTGAAAAAAAATAATCATGGATGTATCTTCATTTTTCATACTCACTTTTTTCTTATATTTGTCTTGCACAACACAATATTGTCCATATTTCAACTTACATACTAGCTTATTTAATTCAATTTCTTGTGAATACAACTCATTCATTTTACAAAATCTGTCATTAGAGATATTTGTGCTGTGTTTTGCTCAAGATTTGGATTGAAAAAAATTTTGTCGACTTATAAATGATATCTTGTTTTTACCAAAACGTTAGTTTTCCAATTATACTTGTTTCTTTCTATGTCATGCATTCAGACCAGTAAACCACTTAAATATTTATGTTACTATGAACATTTCCATTTATAAAATTCCTGTTTTTATTTAGAAATCTCAATTAGAAATAGTTTCTAATATTTAGTGAAAGTTTCGCTAATTTTTCGTGCATTTTATTGACATCATCTCATTTACAAAAAAATTGCTATTCCATTGTAGGTACGATGATATCTTACGTAAGAGATTTTTTCATTTTCCTTCTCCTTTCTGCCAGCTCTAAGCAAAAATGTCAGAATAATAATACAGGTTAGTATAACTTATATTTTCGAAGCCTTTTAAGGCATTTATATTTTATTCATAAGCATTTCGCTGTTCATAAGTGATTATTTATAATTCTGATTATTGCCTACTTTACATACAGCAAAATGACAATGTAACATATTGATATAGTAAAAAAAATTAGTTTCAGTAACACGATGTGCCCTTTAAGACGAGGTCAAGAAAATGAAAAATAGTGTAAACCTCATTCATACATGATGGATGATTGACACAGTGGAGAAGTCAGTCTACAGGTTTTGGTCCTGCTATGTAAATTTCAGATGAATATTATTGTTAAATTTCTTAATTGGCCGATTATATGGTCAATTTCAACCCGGGCTGAGTTTCAGCCTTGGCTGAAGTTGCTCCATGTACTCTGCCCCTTAGAAACGCTTTGTTTTGGTGAGTGAAGAAACACAGAAATTTGCACTATCGAATTTTATTAATGGAACTTTTTCACTTTAATCAAAAACGATTTCTTAATATGTTGTTTACGTGTAATCATAACATGTGCGTGCCTGTGGCTGGTTTTTCTTTAAAACATAGATAGCATTAGCAACTATGTTAAGATACATCCTGGTATTTTTTTGCATTTTGAAGTTCTCGTTGTCTATTGTTTTTATTTTAGATGAAAACTGTACATTGGATATTCTACGTTGCACAGAAAATATTACAATACCACAGACAGATTATTCCTGTGTTCTGTCTAATAAAGGTTATTTTTTAAATCAATGGGAAAAATGAATAACACTGCACCTCAAGTGAATGTTTACAACCTTCATTTGTTTCATTGTATCATCAGAAAAACTATTGAATAGGATTGAGTAAAATATGAATTATTTTGCCACCAGGTCAGTGTTTTCACCTTAGTTAAAGGTTGAGGTGATTAACACGGACGATATGCTACGAAGGAAAATTATACATGATTGCTTAATTTATTGTATACGTTCGACATGTTCAAAAGATAAATGTATGAACAAGCAAATCTTAATCATTTTACGTGATTAAATTAACTCAAATTAGGCATACCAGTGACAACAACATATTATTTGTCTTTATCCTTATTATTGTCAAACTCCTCGCTGAATTCAATTTTTTGAATTCCTAGATTTTACTGGATGCAAAGACTTGAAAATGAAACACACATATACATCTCAAGTACAAATATGTGATAATGGCGAAATGTAAATAACTTTAAAATAATCGATCAAATAGAAGTTTGCTTCAGAAGAAAGAAAATACACTTTTATTAAGAAAAGACATATTAATTAAGGAAAAGATTTTTATATTATAATAACAACTTCTAATAAACCAAGACAAAAAATGTGCCGGAAAAGTCGTTTTGAAAAAGACTGCATGAGACTTTATAGGAACGTTAATAAAGAAAGAGTGTCAATGAAGGTTATCTTTCATGTGTCTTAACAAAAAAACAAATAATTCACTCATGCATGGAACATATAAAAAAATCATTTTTAAAGCTTTGTATAAGTGTACAAACTAACAATGCTGCTTACTGTAAGTAAAAAACGTAAATTTTGCTCTCTTTTCAGTGATGAAGAGAAAGTCCAACGTATCTGTGGAGATGTATTTCGACAAAAAGAAAAATGTCTTGTTACTGTGAAGGCTTTGTAAGTATTTCTAAGGCTATGTTTGAATATAACAGTTTTATATTCTTTTTTAATGTTTAATACCATTCTAAAAGACAAATATTACATTCTTAAATGCCAGCGATGCACAATATTACCATTACATTTAGTGTGACTTATTTACTATTGCAAACTATGATCAAATATTTCCTGAGATATTCGAAGATAACGGGAAAAATTGGAACAAGAAATGCATTCTTTGATTACATAAAAACTTATCATATAATTAATCATAAAATTCAAAGGAAAAAAACAATGTTGTTAAATGTTGGCAAATTTGTGTTGAATAAAGCTTGTATTGTTCATATTTAAACTAGAAGGCTATATTTTTTATTCATTATTTTAGAGATTTGTCAAACAATAAACTTTCATTACAAAACTGTGAGATGTTTAATGGGCTAATCGAACTGGAAAATCTGTAAGTGCATTTGAAGTACATAATCCGATAGTGCACTTATCCATGGTAATGTAATTTCTTTTTTTACATTGAAATTTATTCTTTGCTTTCCATATAATTTTTCTAGCAACTTAGCTGGAAACGTTTAAAAAAATTCCAACAGACTGTTTTAAAAGTTTGACCAATTTGAAACACCTGTAAGCATTTACTATTTTGTATTCTTATAGCTTTGTTTTTGTATCTTAATTGTTCAATTTTGGCAATCTATTGTTAAACTTGTCGATCCCATTGTGGTATTGGTCCAGTGGCGCACCTAGGGACGTCGACTTGAAATATAGATTGTTTTCATTGGAATCTGCTTCTTTTATCAGTTGTTAAATGTTGGAAATTTGTGTTGAATAAAGCTTGTATTGTTCATATTTAAACTAGAAGGCTATATTTTTTATTCATTATTTTAGAGATTTGTCAAACAATGAACTTTCATTACAAAACTGTGAGATGTTTAATGGGCTAACCGAACTGGAAAATCTGTAAGTGCATTTGAAGTACATAATCCGATAGTGCACTTATACATGGTAATGTAATTTCTTTTTTCACATTGAAATTTATTCATTGCTTTCCATATAATTTTTCTAGCAACCTTGCTGGAAACAGTTTAAAAAAAATTCCAACAGACTGTTTTAAAAGTTTGACCAATTTGAAACACCTGTAAGCATTTACTATTTTGTATTCTTATAGCTTTGTTTTTGTATCTTAATTGTTCAATTTTGGCAATCTATTGTTAAACTTGTCGATCCCATTGTGGTATTGGTCCAGTGGCGCACCTAGGGACGTCGACTTGAAATATAGATTGTTTTCATAGGAATCTGCTTCTTTTTATCAGCTGTTAAATGTTGTCAAATTTGTGTTGAATAAAGCTTGTATTGTTCATATTTAAACTAGAAGGCTATATTTTTTATTCATTATTTTAGAGATTTGTCAAACAATAAACTTTCATTACAAAACTGTGAGATGTTTAATGGGCTAATCGAACTGGAAAATCTGTAGATGTTTTAGAAGTACATTACATAAAGCCCCTTATAGTTATGGACTTATTTTGATTTTCGTTCAAGGAAAACTATATTTTGTTATTTTTCTTGACATGTAGTTCCTATTTCATTTTCTAGTGACTTGTCACACAACAACATTGCGGAAATTCCCAAGGGATGTTTTAAAACTCTTAACAAATTAAGAAATCTGTAAGCATTTTTTTATTTATTGTTTGTTGATTATGTTTTCTGTTTTTATGTTCTGTCAAATTTTCTCATCCCAATTCTTTTTCTTGGTTTACATTTTTTAATGAAATTTCAAACACAGGCAGGCTGGTCAATAGTTTTTTGAATTAAATTTTTTTCTTCGAATATGAATTTACTTTTTTCACCCAGCCTCTTCTATTTCTTCCTTTTTTTGTTATTTGATATTGTCCTGCGTAAAAATTTCTTTTATGCATGATCAAAAACAAAATTCAGACAAAAAATGGATCTGTAATCATTTAAAACAATCTCCTAAGCATTTTGTAATTTCACTTTCAAATATTTTATAGCAATATTTCTCACAATAAAATAAAGAAAATTGATCGTCACACATTTGATGGACTATGTAGTTTAGAAATGTTGTAAGTGCACCATTTTTGTATATTTTATAACTCCAAATTTGAATCAGTAACTCGTATTGCAAATGATGAATGTATATATCGACATCATGTGCAGATATTACTGCCATGTTTTGTGATTCATGAACAAGCTGAGATTGCTAACCTGGGGTGAAGATCAAGTCTATACCCACTACTAATTAAAGAGAATTTCATCATGATGACGTTTGCATTAGCCATGGTTTTTTATTTTACTATGTAATATGGTCATAACTGAATATTTTTTATTAATATTGAGTGTAATAATTAAGATCGTATTTTAATATTTAGATCATTCGAAGGCAATGAAACATATGTCAAACTTCGTGATATTTTTACTTTAAGAGATTTAAAGATTGTGTAAGTATACATTGATCAATGATTCATTTATCCAATTTTTATTTGATTTTCAGGTATGTAAAATAAAGTTTCGCGTTTATTGCGAGATACATGTATAAGTATCCAATAGTGAGCAAACGTTTTCTTTTGTAGTGAAATGTCCTGTAAAAATTGCTGCCCCTTTCTTTGTTTGAATAATAGTATAACATGTAACTGCAGTGGAGACCCGAGAAAGGAATGCCCACGGAGGCTGTTGCATAAAGAAAGTTATCGTGTGTTTGTGTGGATTACCGTTGTTCTCATTTTGTTGGCAATATTTTTGCTCTGATAATGAGGCTTCTTTTTGCCGAGTTACATACAGTACAAAATCTTTTTATTTGCAATTTATGCTTGAGTGATATGTTGATGGGAGTGTATTTGGTTGGAATAATGTACAAAGATCTGGCAACATACGGTGAATACCTTCATCATAAATGTCTATGGCCAAAGGAAACGACATGTAAAGTTCTTGGAGCTATCTCGATTATTTCAAGCGAGGTTTCGGTGTTTACACTAATCTTTATTGCATACGACAGATTTTTGTATGTTGTTCATGGTTTACATCATAAAAAGATCCGATACCGTACAGCATTGGTACTTTTACTGTTTACATGGCTAATATCTGCTGCTGTTGGTGTTTTGTCTATTTGTCTTCCTAATTACATACCCCAGTGTCAAGGAAGGAAACTTGATTACCAGTATTTCGGAAGATGTGTATACCAGTGGAGTTCAAAGAGAAAACACTGTTTTTGGTATTACAGTATTGCAATATTTGGCTTTATCAACCCTGCAGCAGCTGTGTGTCTGATCATTCTTTACATGAGAATATTCTTTTCGTTTTACATGACATCAAGAGATGCAGAAAATCGAACGTATGACCATCGCGTTATGGCAAAAAGATTTGCTGCAATTGTTTTCACAGGTAAATGAAAAAATTAAAAATTCAATTTGATAAATTCGATTTTGTCTATGGAAACATAATTGACCCCATTACCGAAAAACATATTTGGAAATGGGATCTCAAGCTCAAGATAGATTTATTTTGATTGAGCCAAATTGCAAATTTTTGTGTGAACATGCCACATGCAAGTCACGATACTGACCATTTTGTTGAATGAGAGTCTCCTGTAAACAATCAGCTACATTATATCTCATGTCATGTATGTTACTGTAGAAAGTACATAAACATGAAAATATAATAAAAATGGAATTTGAGATCTTCCCTCAAATCGGAGCTACTGTGTTGATTGGGTTGACGGGGCAAGATCAAATCACCTCTCCTCTTAGGCAGTCCAGCATGCAACGTTCAACTTTGTATGTGGGTGTGTGATATTTTGATTTAAAACAAAAGTATTTGGCAACAGCCAGCTATTCTATCTATTTTGACGTTTTGAAGAAATAATGCATATTAATAAAGGACCGATTCAACCTTGGTTTGGATACAATCAAAAATATTTCATGATAATTGAATCTTGTGAGCGTAAGGGATATAATTTAATGTTGTTTTCATGGTAACTTTTGATTGCGTCTGTAATTGTATTTTTATATTAACATATAGCTTTATTGTTATAGATGTCTGCTGCTGGATTCCCGTTTCAACACTTTTTTATATAGATATCAATAAAAATCATCTTGTTAACAAATTATTTATGATTTTTGCTGTGCCCATTAACTCGGCCATCAATCCGTTCCTCTATACATTAAGTGCTCCCACGTTTTGGAATGTAGTGAAGAAATTCTTTCTCAGAATTTTCAATAAATGGAAGCAATAATGGTTGTGACAAAAGGCTGTGGATTTATGAATATACTTAATTATTAAGTTGTTTTCGTCAATGGAAATTCTTATCATGAATTAAGCACATTTCACTCCTCTATTTTAAAGTAGATCAGCTCGATTTGACTGATCTAACACTACATAATAATCACAGTTAGTAAACTGCTAAAGTTTCATATAATGTTGCACTTGTAGCTAAATTAACAATTAAAATTGTAGATGGAATTTTGAACAACTGTAACTGTATTGATATTGCTATAGCCATGGATAAATAAACTCATGTGTGTATTTCACAATATGATCACAAGAGATCATGCAAGTGCTTACTAAAACTGGAAGTATTTCCAAAAAGTAGCTTTTACAGCCCTGTATATAATTTTGATATGAGAGAAGACAACGGCAAAAGATATTCAGTCAGTCTAAAAGCTCCATTTATGAAATCTAATAAACTGCTATGCGTTTCAAACGAACGAACGAGCATCACCATTAGCTATAGGGCTGCCTCAGGTCAGCCATGATATGGATTGGAGCACAGTGAAATGAAAAACAGTATTGCCTTTTTACAGAAATCTTTCATCGCATATCTTTTTCACGCGGTATTGCCACAATGAAGCCAGTAAATTGCTTCTTCCGATCAAGGAAACACTAACAGCAAAGTGGTCCTACAGTTTCCAATTTTTCAATACTGTGTGTTGTTCCATGAGAAATACCAATAAACCTATCATCAGCCGCTCCAATATCAATTGCTTGATCTTTGGGTTTAGTCTGTTCTACCATTCTTCACCGCGATGGTTGTTGAAACAACACACTCCTCAAATGTAGAGCAAGTGGTAATCTTGTTCAAACGTGTTAGTGAAAGCTTTGAAGTTGCTAAAGAGCTGGTTGGCTTGGACCAAGTCGCATCAAGTGATGCTGAAAGTATTTACGGTGTTAACACAGATGTTTTTAAGCGATTGAATCTTGCTATGTCAAAAATACGCGGACAGAATTCCGTTGTGGCAACAAGATTGCAAAGAAAATAGCAAAAAGCCGTTTTCACTCTTTGTTACGTCATTCGCTTAACTTGGCCTGTGGTGTTACCAAAAAAGGAAGCAAACTTATGCGAGACGCTCTGGACAGAACACACGAGTTAACAAAATTGATTAAGAAATTTTTCTTACAAGATAGACTGTCCGTGCTGAGACTTTGAATAGCATCATTGACAACCACCAGTTGAAACTATGGAACAATACAATATTTTGATATTATTGCCTTTTGTGTTATATCGTGCAGTTTATCAGATTGTAGTTTTATCTCATCTTTAAAAATTCGTCGACTAATTCATGTAATTTGCCCTACGAGACCAAAGATTGAGGAGGAGGGGTATCATGTATCACGACAATGCTGTCTAGTTATTCATGAGAATAGTAAAATTTTACTTTCTAAAACTTTTTAGGGTGCGTTACAATGATGCGTTATAACCATTTTGTTATAAATTATTCGGGATCTATAATATTATAATCCGGGATTCTAATATTATATATTATCATATTATTATTATCCGGGATCTAAAATATTATATTCCGGGATTCTAATATTCAGTTAAATAGTTGGAATGTTATTTGATTATAACCAACAAGACCTTGTCCAACAACATTTGAGAAATTATTCCGTAAACCAGACAAGTCTGCTCAAAAGCAGCGAGTCTTATACGCTTATGTTTAACATCGATATTAGATTCTTTTCCAGTGGATGCTTTCACTGAAGGGCAATGATGTATTGTCTAACATTAACACCGGATTATGTTACTGATATTTAATATGGAATTCGAGCTTTGTCCATATGAACTGTTCAACATGCTTCCAAACAAAAAATGAGCAGGAATATTCAGTTGATTAATCTATGATAAACCTTGTATAAGACTCGCTGCTTTTGAGCAGACTTGTCTGGTTTACAAGGATTAATTTCTCAAATGTTGTTGGTTTGTAGTTGTTGGTTAGGGATTCTAATATTATAATTTTATGGCAGATGTAAACACAAGTGTAAGCAAGCTGTAAAATATGTGTGATCACAATTGATAACTTCTTTCTTGTGTGGTTTCCTTTTTTATAGAGAACAGATTAAACTTAAGTATAAATTTGCTTGGTAAATTACCGATAGAATATCATAGCATTGATTGTCATTTAACTGCGAGTCTATTCTATGTAAATGACGCAATCAAAAAATGGATCGATTTCATGGAAAGACAATGTAAAGGTGTATTTAGATGATTATAACAGTGACCTAAATTTTGTCATAGAAGAAGATGGATTAACTGGTTCCTGTTTGCATAAAGATGGCTTTGAGTTCATTTGGGCCGGAGCTAGAGCTACACATGGCGTATCAAGGGGAAAGGTAAAATTTTCAACTTTTATCTTTTTTTTTTACTGACAATGTACGATTTCAAATACCATACTATAACATAATGTTGTCTTTGTAAGAAATTTGATTAAATATCTCGAACATAAAGTGTCTTATACAAGATATTGGCAAGATGGTCTTCTATATGCAAAATATGAAAATAATTATTCGGCTGTCATGTTAAATTAATTGTAATGCATTTGTCATTGGAGGGGGGGGAGGGATTGTGGTTAGGGTTACCTTGGTAAGTTTGGTATCAGCTCTCTGGTAGATAATGAATATATTCTAAGTTAGACCCTGTTTACACTAGCCCAGGCTGATATTCAATGTGGTTCAATTTAACAATGTAGTAATCTTTGTCAAATGACTTTAGTTTCGACTTATTTTGAACTCACAAAATTTTGCATGAAATAATTTGGTATCTTACTTTTTATTTCACTTACAGACCTAGACATGCCCAAATACAATCTCTGATGATTAATAAATGTATGCACTATACTAGCTAAAATAATTACAATCAAACCTGTATTAAGGGCCCTTCATCAAGCAGACACCCTGTATTAAATAGGACACTTAGTAAAGTCCCGAATTAAATCTCATATAATTTGTAGTAATGAAACCCTATCAAGTGGACACTGACACAAAACTTGTCCGATAATAACACAAAAATCTGTGTTTAACAGACTATTCTTCAAAATATTTCATGTTATCTACTGACTTAATGTTGTTCACACAGCTATGCAATTTTTCTTTCTCTATGCTGTAAAATATATATATATGAACTTAATTATTATGGCCAAACTACAGTACATGCATTGTATATGCAGTTAGGTCACACTCACCTTGTTCATTTCTATTTTAGAACAAGTCCATTTCTTGATGACCTCCTTCCACCAGAACCACCTGCACTTCTTCAAGAACTGCCAGCTGATGACGTCATGAGGGATTTGTATGTACAATATTTGACAATATTGTAGTTTTTTTTTATCTTTTTACCTAGTTTTCACCCATCATTTTATCTTTTTTTACCGATTAATGGATATTATCCTTTTGTTTTACGAAGCGTCTTTACTTAAAATGGCTCCCAAAATTTTAAAAATCACTTTGTCGTCGGTTTCATAATCGATACACGTAACTTGAATATTTTGTAAACACATATATTTTACTTCGACTTTAAATTATATTTATAGTTGCTGTCTAAAATTTAAACATTTAATTTATTTCCTGAGTTTTAATAGATATTTATTGCATTCGCACTTGTTTACAATAAAATGTCCTTATAAATAGCTTCTATTGGATAAATGGCCGTGACATAGCCAGCTCAATAAATGGGGGTAGTGGTCTGTATTCTGTGATTACAGAATTTTTGATGGAGTGATCTTATTTAAGGACGGAGATGATATAAATCTTTTTTGTCGCATAACTTTCTTCCATGAGAATATTGCATTCCGTACAATGATGACGTAAAATGTTTTTCTTTAGCCATGATGACGTAAAATGTTTTTCTTTAGCCATGATGACGTAAAATGTTTTCTTTAGCCATGATGACGTAAAATGTTTTCTTTAGCCATGATGACGTAAAATGTTTTTCTTTAGCCATGATGACGTAAAATGTTTTCTTTAGCCATGATGACGTAAAATGTTTTTCTTTAGCCATGATGACGTAAAATGTGTTCTTTAGCCATGATGATGTAAAATGTTTTCTTTAGCCATGATGACGTAAAATGTTTTCTTTAGCCATGATGATGTAAAATGTTTTCTTTAGCCATGATGATGTAAAATGTTTTCTTTAGCCATGATGATGTAAAATGTTTTTCTTTAGCCATGATGACGTAAAATGTTTTCTTTAGCCATGATGACGTAAAATGTTTTCTTTAGCCATGATGACGTAAAATGTTTTCTTTAGCCATGATGATGTAAAATGTTTTTCTTTAGCCATGATGATGTAAAATGTTTTTTTAGCCATGATGACGTAAAATGTTTTCTTTAGCCATGATAACGTAAAATGTTTTCTTTAGCCATGATGATGTAAAATGTTTTTCTTTAGCCATGATGATGTAAAATGTTTTCTTTAGCCATGATGACGTAAAATGTTTTCTTTAGCCATGATAATGTAAAATGTTTTCTTTAGCCATGATGATGTAAAATGTTTTCTTTAGCCATGATGATGTAAAATGTTTTCTTTAGCCATGATGATGTAAAATGTTTTCTTTAGCCATGATGATGTAAAATGTTTTTCTTTAGCCATGATGATGACACTGCAGAGACCTCAACCAATCCCACTATGCTTGTGCCTGCTATGGTAAATGCAATGTTTCCACTTGTGAGCAACACTCTTTCACAGGAGAATGAAGATACTAGGTTAGTTAGACCCACAACGTATAAACTGTAAGGCTTTACAGGTTAAAAATAATTTTGTAATTTTCTATGGTTAATGCAACTGTGTTTATTTCATATTATTATATGGCAAGCGTCACTTCCGGCTAAATGGCGCGCTTTGATTGGCTCAGAAATATTTTTGCCGGTCCATTATTTTCCCGTAATCGACCACGATCCAAAACGCGTAATTTTGCAGTCAAATGTAAACAAACTTCGTAAAGCAAACAACAAAACGCAAAAAAACGAAACAAAAATAATTTTCGAATGTGAGTCAAAGGAAAACACTCGTAAAACAATTTAACTATCCAGACGATACAATTTGAAACGATTTCTTTTTACTGACAAAAACTGTGCAAAAAACCGTTTTTTTTGTTTTTAAAGCTTGATTCACTAACGACAATGTTGACTTTAATTGTAATCGCAATAATTTTTTGATTTCTTAATTTAATTTTGTTTATTGTATTTTTTGATTGTAATGAAATTTGTTTCCAATGAAATATTTCCACAAAGTTTATTACCTCCAAATAACAACCCAGTGTCTTCACAAGGATTATTATCCAGGTATGAAGAAATTTTTATTTCTTTAATATCTCAATGACACCAAACCACGATTTTGCTGTTTAAATAGAAAATTCGTTGTTAAGTGATTTTAAAATCTTTTTTACATTTGCCACAAATTTTGAACCATACATTATTTGTTTTGTCTAAACTAAAGTTTTCCACTCCTATTATAATGATAAGTTTCTTATTCATGCATGCAATCTTCATTTCGATTAGCTAAAAGTCCCCATCTAACCACACGTCTTGCTAACAACAATTATTTTCAGCTTTCGAGTTTAGTTTAATTTTTAATTTCTGTTTGATTTTTGCATAATATAAAAATTTTCAACTTTCAAACGTAAAATGTGGTAGAAACATTCTCTGCATTAATTGTTGACGATCTGTATTTTTTAGAGATGAACGAGCTGCTGCCCTAAATACTCATATTAATGTTTGCTGTGATCGCTTGGGTAAAGCTGTACGTCTGAGATTACAGGAAATAAATGGCATTTTGAAAGATGATAAATTAAAAGCAACTTTATAAACAAATTTACGATGAAATTGTTTTATCGTGTTTTTTTTTTTAATTATGTGTTTAATGTCAAATGTGTGCAGCTCTTGTACCACAAATTTTACCACATTTTTTACCTACAATCTCCAATTAATTATTCTACATTTGTAAATTAAAACAGTTTATCATTTTTTGATAAGGTTAGCAGAATTATATTGACCGTTACTTTCCTTTCAGGAAGCTACAAAATTCTTTGGTGGGACTCTGCGTTGATAAAGTTTGTTGATTCTAAAAGCTAAAATAGTCTACAAAATTAAGTTTCTGTTTAGCCACAAAATCGTATGAATCTGGTTATTTATAAAAATATAAGTTTAAGTTATTTTGGTTCCAAAACCCTCATTCGTGAAATTTTGTGGTCTGGTGTTTGCCTTGTAGTTAAAACAAAATTTTCTTATGGAATTGATAAGGTTTAACTATGATTTGCCTAGTTTTTAACTTTGACCAGTTTGTATCATAAAATATCTCACAATAATACTAAATATTATCATGGCATTGTAATATTTAGTATTATTAGCAAAAACTCTATTTGTTGTTTTAATATCTAAGCGTTTTAGGCATTAATGAAAGTTCTATGAAATTCTTCAATTTTAATTCAGAGAACTACTACCATATTCTAACAAATAAAAATTGTTCAACGCATGTCTATAACTGCTTTTTTGAATTACCTGCAATTGTATGCAGAAAATTTTGACTAAAATGTTTAAAATGTAAAGAGAAACATCTGCCAACACTTCAACACTATGTTAAGATGATCTGATGAGAGAAAAAGTGAGACACTGTTCGCTGAAAACTAATTAAAAAATTCTTTTGCTCTTTGGTCCTTTTCTTTACTTTTCTAGAAGTCTTTTTGACAATTAAAGTAATTGTTGAGAAATTGCTGTTTGTGAATTTCTCTTTAGCTGTTTAAGCCACTGCAAAGGCTATGACATACGCATGACGAGACAGATGGAACACTTGAATAGACATCTGTTTAAGTTAGCTGTTTTGAAAACGCAACGCATAAAGACCTATACGCACTGTGATAAAACAAGCAAAACGAAGATATAAAATGGTATGAAATACTTAAAGATATTTTTATTTGCAATGATTAATCGTAATGATAAGAATTATGATATATTTATGTGTAAATTCTAGGATAAATAGATGAGCCAAAGTTGTCAATTCATTCCTTTCTTTGTAGAGTACAAAGTGACTCTAAACACAGATAGACTGAATATCGCCTTGGATGTTTGGAGCAGTACTAGTTTTTGGCTAAAGCATGAATAGTTTTGATCTGATAAATCCCCATTATAATAATTTTTGTTTGAGAACGAAACAAAACAAAACACATAAAATAGAAACAAAAAAATAAAAGCGATGCTTTTATGTATACACTGAAACTAGCTATCGTTTATGCAAAGTAATTTTCTTTTGTTTGAATTTTTCTGTGTTAAACATTAAATAAACTTCAATAGTTTTGCGTCTTCAAGATGAAAGTGTCTCACAAACAAAGTGTTCTTTCATTCACTCCCCCTCCCCTTCCACGTCTCCATTTATAACTTAAAGATTGCAACTTGTTAGTGCCTTTCAGTTTATTTGCTACATCGCATTTAAATAATTTGGTGTATTATGAAAGTTTTGAAATCGATAACTTCGTAATCTATATCATTATAAACTATTAGTTGATTATAAAAACACATAATTTATGGCTGTTGCAATATGTGCATTTTCTCCATTTGAAGAAATGAACGTGTAGTTTTTACAACTTGTGGATGGAAGTTGGACAAAATACTATTGAAAAAAAATGATCATGGATGTATCTTCATTTTTCATACTCACTTTTTTCTTATATTTGTCTTGCACAACACAATATCGTCCATATTTCAACTTACATACTAGCTTATTTAATTCAATTTCTTGTGAATACAACTCATTCATTTTACAAAATCTGTCATTAGAGATATTTGTGCTGTGTTTTGCTCAAGATTTGGATTGAAAAAAATTTTGTCGACTTATAAATGACATCTTGTTTTTACCAAAACGTTAGTTTTCCAATTATACTTGTTTCTTTCTATGTCATGCATTCAGACCAGTAAACCACTTGAATATTTATGTTACTATGAACATTTCCTTTTATAAAATTCCTGTTTTTATTTAGAAATCTCAATTAGAAATAGTTTCTAATATTTAGTGAAAGTTTCGCTAATTTTTCGTGCATTTTATTGACATCATCTCATTTACAAAAAATTTGCTATTCCATTGTAGGTACGATGATATCTTACGTAAGAGATTTTTTCATTTTCCTTCTCCTTTCTGCCAGCTCTAAGCAAAAATGTCAGAATAATAATACAGGTTAGTATAACTTATATTTTTGAAGCCTTTTAAGGCGTTTATGTTTTATTCATAAGTAGTTCGCTGTTCATAAGTGATTATTTATAATTTTGATTATTGCCTACTTTACATACAGTAAAATGATATAGTAAAAAAAATTAGTTTCAGTAACACGATGTGCCCTTTAAGACGAGGTCAAGAAAATGAAAAATAGTGTAAACCCCATTCATACATGATGGATGATTGGCACAGTGGAGAAGTCAGTCTACAGGTTTTGGTCCTGCTATGTAAATTTCAGATCAATATTATTGTTAAACTTCTTAATTGGCCGATTATATGGTCAATTTCAACCCGGGCTGAGTTTCAGCCTTGGCTGAAGTTGCTCCATGTACTCGGCCCCTTAGAAACGCTTTGTTTTGGTGAGTGAAGAAACACAGAAATTTGCACTATCGAATTTTATTAATGGAACTTTTTCACTTTAATCAAAAACGATTTCTTAATATGTTGTTTACGTGTAATCATAACATGCGCGTGCCTGTGGCTGGTTTTTTTTAAAACATAGATAACTTTAGCAACTATGTTAAGATACATCCTGGTATTTTTTTGCATTTTGAAGTTCTCGTTGTCTATTGTTTTATTTTAGATGAAAACTGTACATTGGATATTCTTCGTTGCACAGGAAATATTACAATACCACAAACAAATTATTCCTGTGTTCTGTCTAATAAAGGTTATTTTTTAAATCAATGGAAAAAAATGAATAACGCTGCACCTCAAGTGAATGTTTACAACCTTCATTTGTTTCATTGTATCATCAGAAAAACTATTGAATAGGATTGAGTAAAATATGAATTATTTTGCCACCAGGTCAGTGTTTTCACCTTAGTTAAAGGTTGAGGTGATCAACACGGACGATATGCTACGAAGGAAAATTATACATGATTGCTTAATTTATTGTATACGTTCGACATGTTCAAAAGATAAATGTATGAACAAGCAAATCTGAATCATTTTACCTGATTGAATTAACTCAAATTAGGCATACCAGTGACAACAACAGCATGATTTCATTGATTTGCACAATCTTATTTGTCTTTATCCTAATTATTGTCAAACTCCTCGCTGAATTCAATTTTTTGAATTCCTAGATTTTACTGGATGCAAAGACTTGAAAATGAAACACACATATACATCTCAAGTACAAATATGTGATAATGGCGAAATGTAAATAACTTTAAAATAATCGATCAAATAGAAGTTTGCTTCAGAAGAAAGAAAATACACTTTTATTAAGAAAAGACATATTAATTAAGGAAAAGATTTTTATATTATAATAACAACTTCTAATAAACCAAGACAAAAAATGTGCCGGAAAAGTCGTTTTGAAAAAGACTACATGAGACTTTATAAGAACGTTAATAAAGAAAGAGTGTCAATGAAGGTTATCTTTCATGTGTCTTAACAAAAACAAATAATTCACTCATGCATGGAACAATAAAAAATCATTTTAAAGCTTTGTATAAGTGTACAAACTAACAATGCTGCTTACTATAAGTAAAAAACGTAAATTTTGCTCTCTTTTCAGTGATGAAGAGAAAGTCCAACGTATCTGTGGAGATGTATTTCGACAAAAAGAAAAATGTCTTGTTACTGTGAAGGCTTTGTAAGTATTTCTAAGGCTATGTTTGAATATAACAGTTTTATATTCTTTTTAATGTTTAATACCATTCTAAAAGACAAATATTACATTCTTAAATGCCAGCGATGCACAATATTACCATTACATTTAGTGTGACTTATTTACTATTGCAAACTATGATCAAATATTTCCTGAGATATTCGAAGATAACGGGAAAAATTGGAACAAGAAATGCATTCTTTGATTACATAAAAACTTATCATATAATTAATCATAAAATTCAAAGGAAAAAAACAATGTTGTTAAATGTTGGCAAATTTGTGTTGAATAAAGCTTGTATTGTTCATATTTAAACTAGAAGGCTATATTTTTTATTCATTATTTTAGAGATTTGTCAAACAATAAACTTTCATTACAAAACTGTGAGATGTTTCATGGGCTAATCGAACTGGAAAATCTGTAAGTGCATTTGAAGTACATAATCCGATAGTGCACTTATCCATGGTAATGTAACTTCTTTTTTTACATTGAAATTTATTCTTTGCTTTCCATATAATTTTTCTAGCAACTTAGCTGGAAACGGTTTAAAAGAATTCCAACAGACTGTTTTAAAAGTTTGACCAATTTGACACACCTGTAAGTATTTACTATTTTGTATTCTTATAGATTTGTTTTTCTATCTTAATTGTTCAATTTTGGCAATCTATTGTTAAACTTGTCGATCCCATTGTGGTATTGGTCCAGTGGCGCACCTAGGGACGTCGACTTGAAATATAGATTGTTTTCATAGGAATCTGCTTCTTTTTATCAGTTGTTAAATGTTGGAAAATTTGTGTTGAATAAAGCTTTTATTGTTCATATTTAAACTAGAAGGCTATATTTTTTATTCATTATTTTAGAGATTTGTCAAACAATGAACTTTCATTACAAAACTGTGAGATGTTTAATGGGCTAATCGAACTGGAAAATCTGTAGATGTTTTAGAAGTACATTACATAAAGCCCCTTATAGTTATGGACTTATTTTGATTTTCGTTCAAGGAAAACTATATTTTGTCATTTTTCTTGACATGTAGTTCCTATTTCATTTTCTAGTAACTTGTCACGCAACAACATCACGGAAATTCCCAAGGGATGTTTTAAAACTTTTAACAAATTAAGAAATCTGTAAGCATTTTTTTATTTATTGTTTGTTGATTATGTTTTCTGTTTTTATGTTCTGTCAAATTTTCTCATCCCAATTCTTTTTCTTGGTTTACATTTTTAATGAAATTTCAAACACAGGCAGGCTGGTCAATAGTTTTTGAATTAAATTTTTTCTTCGAATATGAATTTACTTTTTCACCCAGCATCTTCTATTTCTTCCTTTTTGTTATTTGATATTGTCCTGCGTAAAAATTTCTTTTATGCATGATCAAAAACAAAATTCAGACAAAAAATGGATCTGTAATCATTTAAAACAGTCTTCCTAAGCATTTTGTAATTTCACTTTCAAATATTTTATAGCAATATTTCTGACAATGAAATAAAGAAAATTGATCGTCACACATTTGATGGACTATGTAGTTTAGAAATGTTGTAAGTGCACCATTTTTGTATATTTTATAACTCCAAATTTGAATCAGTAACTCGTATTGCAAATGATGAATGTATATATCGTCATCATGTGCAGATATTACTGCCATGTTTTGTGATTCATGAACAAACTGAGATTGCTAACCTGGGGTGAAGATCAAGTCTATACCCACTACTAATTAAAGCGAATTTCATCATGATGTCGTTTTCATTAGCCATGGTTTTTTATTTTACTATGTAATATGGTCATAACTGAATATTTTTTTTTTATCAATATTGAGAGTAATAATTAAGATCGTATTTTAATATTTAGATCATTCAATAGCAATGAAACAAAAGTCCAACTTCGTGATATTTTTACTTTAAGAAATTTAAAGTTTGTGTAAGTATACATTGATCAATGATTCATTTATCCAATTTTTGTTAGATTTTCAGGTATATAAAATATAGTTTTGCGTTTATTGCGAGATATAAGTATCCAATAGTGAGCAAACGTTTTCTTTTGTAGTGAAGTGTCCTGTGAAAATTGCTGCCCCTTTCTTTGTTTGAATAATAGTATGATATGTAACTGCAATGGAGACCCGAGAAAGAAATGCCCACGGAGGCTGTTGCATAAAGAAAGTTATCGTGTGTTTGTGTGGATTACCGTTGTTCTCATTTTTGTTGGCAATATTTTTGCTCTGATAATGAGGCTTCTTTTTGCCGAGTTACATACAGTACAAAATCTTTTTATTTGCAATTTATGCTTGAGTGATATGTTGATGGGAGTGCATTTGGTTGGAATAATTTACAAAGATCTTGCAACAGACGGTGAATACCTTCTTCATCAATGTCTATGGCCAAAGGAAACGACATGTAAAGTTCTTGGAGCTATCTCGATTATTTCAAGCGAGGTTTCGGTGTTTACACTAATCTTTATTGCATACGACAGATTTTTGTATGTTGTTCATGGTTTACATCATAAAAAGATCCGATACCGTACAGCATTGGTACTTTTATTGTTTACATGGCTAATAGCTGCTGCTGTTGGTGTTTTGTCTATTTGTCTTCCTAATTACATACCCCAGTGTCAAGGAAGGAAACTTGATTACCAGTATTTCCGGAAGAAATGTGTACCAGTGGAGTTCGAAGAAAAAAACACTGTTTTTTGGTATTACAGTATTGCAATATTTGGCGTTATTAACCCTGCAGCAGCTGTGTGTCTGATCATCCTTTACATGAGAATATTCTTTTCGTTTTACATGACATCAAGAGATGCAGAAAATCGAACTTACGACCATCGCGTTATGGCAAAAAGATTGTCTATAATTGTTTTCACAGGTAAATGAAAAAATATAAAATTCAATTTGATAAATTCAATTTTGTCTATGGAAACATAATTGACCCCAACACCGAAGAACACATTTGGAAATGGGATCTCAAGCTCAAGATAGATTTATTTTGATTGAGCCAAATGGCAACAGCCAGCTATTCTATCTATTTTGACGTTTTTGAAGAAATAATGCATGTTAATAAATGACCGATTCAACCTTCGTTTGGATACAATCAAAAAATATTTCATGATAATTGAATCTTGTGAGCGTAAGGGATATAATTTAATGTTGTTTTCATGGTAACTTTTGATTGCGTCTGTAATTTATATTTTTATATTAACATATAGCTTTATTGTTATAGATGTCTGCTGCTGGATTCCCGTTTCAACACTTTTTTTTATAGATCACGAAAACAGTCATCTTGTTTACAAATTATTTATTTTTGTTGTGACCATTAACTCGGCCATCAATCCGTTCCTCTATACATTAAGTGCTCCCACGTTTTGGAATGTAGTGAAGAAATTCTTTCTCAGAATTTTCAATAAATGGAAGTAATAATGGTTGTGACAAAATGCTATGGATTTATGAATATACTTAATTATTAAGTTGTTTTCGTCAATGGAAATTCTTATCATGAATTAAGCACATTTCACTCCTCTATTTTCAAGTAGATCAGCTCGATTTGACTGATCTAACACTACATAATAATCACAGTTAGTAAACTGCTAAAGTTTCATATAATGTTGCACTTGTAGCTAAATTAACAATTAAAATTTTAGGTGGAATTTTGAACAACTGTGTAACTGTATTGATATTCCTATAGCCATGGATAAATAAACTCATGCGTGTATTTCACAATATGATCACAAGAGATCATGAAAGTGTTTACTAAAACTTTAAGTAGTTCCAAAAAGTAGCTTTTACAGCCCTGTATATAATTTTGATATGAGAGAAGACAACGGCAAAAGATATTCAGTCAGTCTAAAAGCTCCATTTGTGAAATCTAATAAACTGCTATGCGTTTCAAACGAACGAACGAGCATCACCATTAGCTATAGGGCTGCCTCAGGTCAGCCTTGATATGGATTGGAACACAGTAAAATGAAAAACAGTATTGCCTTTTTACAGAAATTTTTCATCTCATATCTTTTCACGCGGTATTGCCACAATGAAGCCAGTAAATTGCTTCTTCCGATCAAGGAAACACTAACAGCAAAGTGGTCCTACAGTTTCCAATTTTTCAATACTGTGTGTTGTTCCATGAGAAATACCAATAAACCTATCATCAGCCGCTCCAATATCAATTGCTCGATCTTTGTGTCTAGTCTGTTCTACCATTCTTCACCGCGATGGTTGTTGAAACAACACTCTCCTCAAATGTAGAGCAAGTGGTAATCTTGTTCAAACGTGTTAGTGAAAGCTTTGAAGTTGCTAAAGAGCTGGTTGGCTTGGACCAAGTCGCATCAAGTGATGCTGAAACTATTTACGGTGTTAACACAGATGTTTTTAAGCGATAGAATCTTGCTATGTCAAAAATACGCGGACAGAATTCCGTTGTGGCAACAAGATTGCAAAGAAAATAGCAAAAAGCCGTTTTAACTTTTTGTTAGGTCATTAGTTTAACTTGGCCTGTGGTGTTACCAAAAAAGGAAGCAAACTTATGCGAGACGCTCTGGACAGAACACACGAGTTAACAAAATTGATTAAGAAATTTTTCTTACAAGATGGACTGTCCGTGCGGAGGCTTTGAATAGCATCATTGACAACCACCAGTTGAAACTATGGAACAATATAATATTTTGATATTATTGTCTTTTGTGTTATATCGTGCAGTTTATCAGATTGTAGTTTTATCTCATCTTTAAAAATTCGTCGACTAATTTATGTAATTTGCCCTACGAGACCAAAGATTGAGGAAGGTGTATCATGTATCACGACAATGCTGTCTAGTTATTCGTGAGAACAGTAAAATTTTACTTTCTAAAACTTTTTTTTACGGTGCGTTACAATGATGCGTTATAACCATATGGTTATAAATTATTCGGGATCTATAATATTATAATCCGGGATTCTAATATTATATATTATATTATATTATATTATTATTATCCGGGATCTAGAATATTATAATTTTATGGCAGATGTAAACACAAGTGTAAGTAAGCTGTAAAATGTGTGTGATCAGAATTGATAACTTCTTTCTTGTATGGTTTCCTTTTTTATAGAGAACAGATTAAACTTAAGTATAAATTTGCTTGGTAAATTACCGATAGAATATCATAGCATTGATTGTCATTTAACTGCGAGTCTATTCTATGTAAATGACGCAATCAAAAAATGGATCGATTTCATGGAAAGACAATGTAAAGGTGTATTTAGATGATTATAACAGTGACCTAAATTTTGTCATAGAAGAAGATGGATTAACTGGTTCCTGTTTGCATAAAGATGGCTTTGAGTTCATTTGGGCCGGAGCTAGAGCTACACATGGCGTATCAAGGGGAAAGGTAAAATTTTCAACTTTTATCTTTTTTTTTACTGACAATGTACGATTTCAAATACCATACTATAACATAATGTTGTCTTTGTAAGAAATTTGATTAAATATCTCGAACATAAAGTGTCTTATACAAGATATTGGCAAGATGGTCTTCTATATCCAAAATATGAAAATAATTATTCAGCTGTCATGTTAAATTAATTGTAATGCATTTGTCATTGGAGGGGGGAGGGATTGAGGTTAGGGTTACCTTGGTAAGTTTGGTATCAGCTCTCTAGTAGATAATGAATATATTCTAAGTTAGACCCTGTTTACACTAGCCCAGGCTGATATTCAATGTGGTTCAATTTAACAATGTAGTAATCTTTGTCAAATGACTTTAGTTTCGACTTATTTTGAACTCACAAAATTTTGCATGAAATAATTTGGTATCTTACTTTTTATTTCACTTACAGACCTAGACATGCCCAAATACAATCTCTGATGATTAATAAATGTATGCACTATACTAGCTAAAATAATTACAATCAAACCTGTATTAAGGGCCCTTCATCAAGCAGACACCCTGTATTAAATAGGACACTTAGTAAAGTCCCGAATTAAATCTCATATAATTTGTAGTAATGAAACCCTATCAAGTGGACACTGACACAAAACTTGTCCAATAATAACACAAAATCTGTGTTTAACAGACTATTCTTCAAAATATTTCATGTTATCTACTGACTTAATGTTGTTCACACAGCTATGCAATTTTTCTTTCTCTCTATGCTGTAAAATATATATATATGAACTTAATTATTATGGCCGAACTACAGTACATGCGTTGTATATGCAGTTAGGTCACACTCACCTTGTTCATTTCTATTTTTAGAACAAGTCCATTTCTTGAGGACCTCCGCCAGAACCACCTGCACTTCTTCAAGAACTGCCAGCTGATGACGTCATGAGGGATTTGTATGTACAATATTTGACAATATTGTAGTTTTTTTTTATCTTTTTACCTAGTTTTCACCCATCATTTTATCTTTTTTTACCAATTAATGGATATTATCCTTTTGTTTTACGAAGCGTCTTTACTTAAAATGGCTCCCAAAAATTTAAAAAAATCACTTTGTCGTCGGTTTCATAATCGATACATGTAACTTGAATATTTTGTAAACACATATATTTTACCTCGACTTTAAATTATATTTATAGATGCTGTCTAAAATTTAAACATTTAATTTATTTCCTGAGTTTTAATAGATATTTATTGCATTTGCACTTGTTTACAATAAAATGTCCTTATAAATAGCTTCTATTGGATAAATGGCGTGACATAGCCAGCTCAATAAATGGGGTAGTGGTCTGTATTCTGTGATTACAGAATTTTTGATGGAGTGATCTTATTTAAGGACGGAGATGATATAAATCTTTTTGTCATAACTTTCTTCCATGAGAATATTGTATTCCTACAATGATGATGTAAAATGTTTTCTTTAGCCATGATGATGTAAAATGTTTTCTTTAGCCATGATGATGTAAAATGTTTTCTTTAGCCATGATGATGTAAAATGTTTTCCTTAGCCATGATGATGTAAAATGTTTTTCCTTAGCCATGATGATGTAAAATGTTTTCCTTAGCCATGATGACGTAAAATGTTTTAGCCATGATGACGTAAAATGTTTTCTTTAGCCATGATGATGTAATGTTTTCTTTAGCCATGATGACGTAAAATGTTTTTCTTTAGCCATGATGACGTAAAATGTTTTCTTTAGCCATGATGACGTAAAATGTTTTCTTTAGCCATGATGATGTAAAATGTTTTCTTAGCCATGATGATGTAAAATGTTTTTTTAGCCATGATGATGTAAAATGTTTTCTTTAGCCATGATGACGTAAAATGTTTTTCCTTAGCCATGATGAAAATGTTTTTCTTAGCCATGATGATGTAAAATGTTTTCCTTAGCCATGATGATGTAAAATGTTTTCTTTAGCCATGATGATGTAAAATGTTTTCTTTAGCCATGATGATGTAAAATGTTTTCCTTAGCCATGATGATGTAAAATGTTTTTCCTTAGCCATGATGATGTAAAATGTTTTTCTTTAGCCATGATGATGTAAAATGTTTTTCTTTAGCCATGATGATGTAAAATGTTTTTCCTTAGCCATGATGATGTAAAATGTTTTCCTTAGCCATGATGATGTAAAATGTTTTTCTTTAGCCATGATGATGTAAAATGTTTTTCCTTAGCCATGATGATGTAAAATGTTTTTCCTTAGCCATGATGATGACACTGCAGAGACCTTATTGCATTTGCACTTGTTTACAATAAAATGTCCTTATAAGTAGCTTCTATTGGATAAATGGCCGTGCCATAGCCAGCTCAATAAATGGGGGTAGTGGTCTGTATTCTGTGATTACAGAATTTTTGATGGAGTGATCTTATTTAGTAGATGATATAAATCTTTTTGTCACATGACTTTCTTCCATGAGAATATTGTATTCCCTACAATGATGACGTAAAATGTTTTTCTTTAGCCATGATGATGTAAAATGTTTTTCTTTAGCCATGATGACGTAAAATGTTTTCTTTAGCCATGATGATGTAAAATGTTTTCTTTAGCCATGATGATGTAAAATGTTTTTTTTTAGCCATGATGATGACACTGCAGAGACTTCAACCAATCCCACTATGCTTGTGCCTGCTATGGTAAATGCAATGTTTCCACTTGTAAGCAACACTCTTTCACAGGAGAATGAAGATACTAGGTTAGTTAGACCCACAACGTATAAACTGTAAGGCTTTACAGGTTAAAAAATAATTTTGTAATTTTCTATGGTTTATGCATTTGTGTTTATTTCATATTATTATATGGCAAGCGTCACTTCCGGTTAAATGGCGCGCTTTGATTGGCTCAGAAATATTTTTGCCGGTCCATTATTTTCCCGTAATCGACCACGATCCAAAACGCGTAATTTTGCAGTCAAATGTAAACAAACTTCGTAAAGCAAACAACAAAACGCAAAAAAACGAAACAAAAATAATTTGCGAATGTGAGTCAAAGGAAAAACACTCGTAAAACAATTTAACTATCCAGACGATACAATTTGAAACGATTTCTTTTTTACTGACAAAAACTAGAAAAGTGAGAGTCAACCCGTACAAAACAGCAAAGACGAGAAAGAAAACAAGCTTCGTTTCAGTTCAAATAATGCCATGTAATAATCCTTTTAATAACCTCGCTTTCTCGGTCTTTACTGAGAAATATCGGACCTCTGTCTTTTTGTACAAACCTCGCCCTACGAGCTCGTTCTGTACAAAAACATCTCCGTCCGTTATTTCTCTGTAAAGACCTCATGCTCGGTTATTAAGGGCTTAATATTGATTTACCTGTTTTACTCAACTGTCCATGAAACCATTTTTCATTGTGGTCTTTAAAGCTGTCAATTCACTAACGACAATGTTGACTTTAATTGTTTGTTACGATATCAATACTTTTTTTGATTGTTAATGAAAAATTTGTTTATTGTATTTAAGTAATGAAATATTTCCACAAAGTGGACGACTACCACCAAATAACAACCCAGTGTCTTCACAAGGATTATTATCCAGGTATGAAGAAAGTTTTTATTTCTTTAATATCTCAAAGACACCAAACCACGATTTTACTGTTTAAATAGAAAATTCGTTGTTAAGGGATTTTAAAACCTTTTGTTTACATTTGCCACAAATTTTGAACCATACATTATTTGTTTTGTCTAAACTAAAGTTTTCCACTCCTATTATAATGATAAGTTTCTTATTCATGCATGCAATCTTCATTTCGATTAGCTAAAAGTCCCCATCCAACCACACGTCTTGCTGGCTACAATAATTTTCAGCTTTCGAGTTTAGCTTAATTTTTAATTTCTGTTTGATTTTTGCATAATATAAAAATTTTCAACTTTCAAACGTAAAATGTGGTAGAAACATTCTCTGCATTGTTGACGATCTGTATTTTTTAGAGATGAACGAGCTGCTTCCCTAAATACTCATATTAATGTTTGTTGTGATCGCTTGGGTAAAGCTGTACGTCTGAGATTACAGGAAATAAATAGCATTTTGAAAGATGATAAATTAAAAACAACTTTATAAACAAATTTACGATGAAATTGTTTTATCGTGTTTTTTTTTAAATATGTGTTTAATGTCAAATGTGTGCAGCTCTTGTACCACAAATTTTACCACATTTTTTACATAAAATCTCCAATTAACTATTCTACATTTGTAAATTAAAACAGTTTATTATTTTTTGATAAGGTTAGCAGAATTATATTGACCGTTACTTTCCTTTTAGGAAGCTACAAAATTCTTTGGTGGGACTCTGCGTTGATAAAGTTTGTTGATTCTAAAAGCTAAAAAAGTCTACAAAATTAAGTTTCTGTTTAGCCACAAAATTGTATGAATCTGGTTATTTATAAAAATATAAGTTTAAGTTATTTTGGTTCCAAAACCGTCATTCGTGAAATTTTGTGGTCTGGTGCTTTGCCTTGTAGTTAAAACAAAATTTTCTTATGGAATTGATAAGGTTTAACTATGATTTGCCTAGTTTTTTACTTTGACCAGTTTGTATCATAAAATATCTCACAATAATACTAAATATTATCATGGCATTGTAATATTTAGTATTATTAGCAAAAACTTTATTTGTCGTGTTAATATCTAAGCGTTTTAGGCATTAATTCAGAGACCTACTACCATATTCTAACAAATAAAAATTGTTCAACGCATGTCTATAACTGCTTTTTTGAATTACCTGCAATTGTATGCAGAAAATTTTGACTAAAATGTTTAAAATGTAAAGAGAAACATCTGCCAACACTTCAATACTATGTTAAGATGATCTGATGAGAGAAAAAGTGAGAGAATGTTCGCTGAAAACTAATTAAAAAATTCTTTTGCTCTTTGGTCCTTTTCTTTACTTTTCTAGAAGTCTTTTTGACCATTAAAGTAATTGTTGAGAAATTGCTGTTTGTGAATTTCTCTTTAGCTGTTTAAGCCACTGCAAAGGCTATGACATACGCATGACGAGACAGATGGAACACTTGAATAGACATCTGTTTAAGTTAGCTGTTTTGAAAACGCAACGCATAAAGACCTATACGCACTGTGATAAAACAAGCAAAACGAAGATATAAAATGGTATGAAATACTTAAAGATATTTTTATTTGCAATGATTAATCGTAATGATAAGAATTATGATATATTTATGTGTAAATTCTAGGATAAATAGACGAGCCAAAGTTGTCAATTCATTCCTTTCTTTGTAGAGTACAAAGTGACTCTAAACACAGATAGACTGAATATCGCCTTTGATGTTTAGAGCAGTACTAGTTTTTGGCTAAAGCATGAATAGTTTTGATCTGATAAATCCCCATTATAATAATTTTTGTTTGAGAACGAAACAAAACAAAACACATAAAATAGTAACAAAAAAATAAAAGCGATGCTTTTATGTATACACTGAAACTAGCTATCGTTTATGCAAAGTAATTTTCTTTTGCTTGAATTTTTCTGTGTTAAACATTAAATAAACTTCAATAGTTTTGCGTCTTCAAGATGAAAGTGTCTCACAAACAAAGTGTTCTTTCATTCACTCCCCCTCCCCTTCCACGTCTCCATTTATAACTTAAAGATTGCAACTTGTTAGTGCCTTTCAGTTTATTAGCTATATCGCATTTAAATAATTTGGTGTATTATGAAAGTTTTGAAATGGATAACTTCGTAATCTATATCATTATAAACTATTAGTTGATTATAAAAACATACATAATTTATGGCTGTTGCAATATGTGCATTTTCTCCATTTGAAGAAATGAACGTGTAGTTTTTACAACTTGTGGATGGAAGTTGGACAAAATACTATTGAAAAAAAATGATCATGGATGTATCTTCATTTTTCATACTCACTTTTTCTTTGCTATTTTAAAGAAATATTTGTCTTGCACAACACAATATCGCCCATATTTCAACTTACATACTAGCTTATTTAATTCAATTTCTTGTGAATACAACTCATTCATTTTACAAAATCTGTCATTAGAGATATTTGTGCTGTGTTTTGCTCAAGATTTGGATTGAAAAAAATTTTGTCGACTTATAAATGACATCTTGTTTTTACCAAAGCGTTAGTTTTCCAATTATACTTGTTTCTTTCTATGTCATGCATTCAGACCAGTAAACCACTTAAATATTTATGTTACTATGAACATTTCCATTTATAAAATTCCTGTTTTTATTTAGAAATCTCAATTAGAAATAGTTTCTAATATTTAGTGAAAGTTTCGCTAATTTTTCGTGCATTTTATTGACATCATCTCATTTACAAAAAATTTGCTATTCCATTGTAGGTACGATGATATCTTACGTAAGAGATTTTTTCATTTTCTTTCTCCTTTCTGCCAGCTCTAAGCAAAAATGTCAGAATAATAATACAGGTTAGTATAACATTTTTTTTAAGCCTTTTAAGGCATTTATGTTTTATTCATAAGCAGTTTGCTGTTCATAAGTGATTATTTATAATTTTGATTATTGCCTACTTTACATACAGCAAAATGACAATGTAACATATTGATATAGTAAAAAAAATTAGTTTCAGTAACACGATGTGCCCTTTAAGACGAGGTCAAGAAAATGAAAAATAGTGTAAACCCCATTCATACATGATGGATTATTGACACAGTGGAGAAGTCAGTCTACAGGTTTTGGTCCTGCTATGTAAATTTCAGATGAATATTATTGTTAAATTTCTTAATGGGCCGATTATATGGTCAATTTCAACCGGGGCTGAGTTTCAGCCTTGGCTGAAATTGCTCCATGTACTCGGCTCCTTAGAAACGCTTTGTTTTGGTGAGTGAAGAAACACAGAAATTTGCACTATCGAATTTTATTAATGGAACTTTTTCACTTTAATCAAAAATGATTTCTTAATATGTTGTTTACGTGTAATCATAACATGCGCGTGCCTGTGGCTGGTTTTTCTTTAAAACATAGATAGCATTAGCAACTATGTTAAGATACATCCTGGTATTTTTTTGCATTTTGAAGTTCTCGTTGTCTATTGTTTTTATTTTAGATGAAAACTGTACATTGGATATTCTTCGTTGCACAGGAAATATTACAATACCACAGACAAATTATTCCTGTGTTCTGTCTAATAAAGGTTATTTTTTAAATCAATGGAAAAAAATGAATAACGCTGCACCTCAAGTGAATGTTTACAACCTTCATTTGTTTCATTGTATCATCAGAAAAACTATTGAATAGGATTGAGTAAAATATGAATTATTTTGCCACCAGGTCAGTGTTTTCACCTTAGTGAAAGGTTGAGGTGATCAACACGGACGATATGCTACGAAGGAAAATTATACATGATTGCTTAATTTATTGTATACGTTTGACATGTTCAAAAGATAAATGTATGAACAAGCAAATCTGAATCATTTTACCTGATTGAATTAACTCAAATTAGGCATACCAGTGACAACAACAGCATGATTTCATTGATTTGCACAATCTTATTTGTCTTTATCCTTTTATTGTCAAACTCCTCGCTGAATTCAATTTTTTGAATTCCTAGATTTTACTGGATGCAAAGACTTGGAAATGAAACACACATATACATCTCAAGTACAAATATGTGATAGTGGCGAAATGTAAATAACTTTAAAATAATCGATCAAATAGAAGTTTGCTTCAGAAGAAAGAAAAGACACTTTTATTAAGAAAAGACAAATTAATTAAGGAAAAGATTTTTATATTATAATAACAACTTCTAATAAACCAAGACAAAAAATGTGCCAGAAAAGTCGTTTTGAAAAAGACTACATGAGACTTTATAAGAACGTTAATAAAGAAAGAGTGTCAATGAAGGTTATCTTTCATGTGTCTTAACAAAAAAACAAATAATTCACTCAAGCATGGAACATATAAAAAAATCATTTTTAAAGCTTTGTATAAGTGTACAAACTAACAATGCTGCTTACTATAAGTAAAAAACGTATATTTTGCTCTCTTTTCAGTGATGAATCCGAAAAGAAAATCCAACGTATCTGTGGAGATGTATTTCGACAAAAAGAAAAATGTCTTGTTACTGTGAAGGCTTTGAAGTATTTCTAAGGCTATGTTTGAATATAACAGTTTATATTCTTTTTTAATGTTTAATACCATTCTAAAAGACAAATATTACATTCTTAAATGCCAGCGATGCACAATATTACCATTACATTTAGTGTGACTTATTTACTATTGCAAACTATGATCAAATATTTCCTGAGATATTCGAAGATAACGGGAAAAAATTGGAACAAGAAATGCATTCTTTGATTACATAAAAACTTATCATATAATTAATCATAAAATTCAAAGGAGAAAAACAATGTTGTTAAATGTTGGCAAATTTGTGTTGAATAAAGCTTGTATTGTTCATATTTAAACTAGAAGGCTATATTTTTTATTCATTATTTTAGAGATTTGTCAAACAATGAACTTTCATTACAAAACTGTGAGATGTTTAATGGGCTAATCGAACTGGAAAATCTGTAAGTGCATTTGAAGTACATAATCCGATAGTGCACTTATACATGGTAATGTAATTTCTTTTTTTACATTGAAATTTATTCTTTGCTTTCCGTATAATTTTTTAGCAACTTAGCTGGAAACGATTTAAAAGAAATTCCAACAGACTGTTTTAAAAGTTTGACCAATTTGAAACACCTGTAAGCATTTACTATTTTGTATTCTTATAGCTTTGTTTTTGTATCTTAATTGTTCAATTTTGGCAATCTATTGTTAAACTTGTCGATCCCATTGTGGTATTGGTCCAGTGGCGCACCTAGGGACGTCGACTTGAAATATAGATTGTTTTCATTGGAATCTGCTTCTTTTTATCAGTTGTTAAATGTTGTCAAATTTGTGTTGAATAAAGCTTGTATTGTTTATATTTAAACTAGAAGGCTATATTTTTTATTCATTATTTTAGAGATTTGTCAAACAATGAACTTTCATTACAAAACTGTGAGATGTTTAATGGGCTAATCGAACTGGAAAATCTGTAAGTGCATTTGAAGTACATAATCCGATAGTGCACTTATACATGGTAATGTAATTTCTTTTTTTACATTGAAATTTATTCTTTGCTTTCCATATAATTTTTCTAGCAACTTAGCTGGAAACGGTTTAAAAGAAATTCCAACAGACTGTTTTAAAAGTTTGACCGATTTGAAACACCTGTAAGCATTTACTATTTTGTATTCTTATAGCTTTGTTTTTGTATCTTAATTGTTCAATTTTGGCAATCTATTGTTAAACTTGTCGATCCCATTGAGGTATTGGTCCAGTGGCGCACCTAGGGACGTCGACTTGAAATATAGATTGTTTTCATAGGAATCTGCTTCTTTTTATCAGCTGTTAAATGTTAGCAAATTTGTGTTGAATAAAGCTTTTATTGTTCATATTTAAACTAGAATGCTATATTTTTTATTCATTATTTTAGAGATTTGTCAAACAATAAACTTTCATTACAAAACTGTAAGATGTTTAATGGGCTAATCGAACTGGAAAATCTGTAGATGTTTTAGAAGTACATTACATAAAGCCCCTTATAGTTATGGACTTATTTTGATTTTCGTTCAAGGAAAACTATATTTTGTTATTTTTCTTGACATGTAGTTCGCATTTTATTTTCTAGTGACTTGTCACGCAACAACATTGCGGAAATTCCCAAGGGATGTTTTAAAACTCTTAACAAATTAAGAAATCTGTAAGCATTTTTTTATTTATTGTTTGTTGATTATGTTTTCTGTTTTTATGTTCTGTCAAATTTTCTCACCCCAATTCTTTTTCTTGGTTTACATTTTTTAATGAAATTTCAAACACAGGCAGGCTGGTCAATAGTTTTTTGAATTAAATTTTTTTCTTCGAATATGAATTTACTTTTTTCACCCAGCCTCTTCTATTTCTTCCTTTTTTGTTATGTGATATTGTCCTACGTAACAATTTCTTTTATGCATGATCAAAAACAAAATTCAGACAAAAAATGGATCTGTAATCATTTAAAACAATCTCCTAAGCATTTTGTAATTTCACTTTCAAATATTTTATAGCAATATTTCTAACAATAAAATAAAGAAAATTGATCGTCACACATTTGATGGACTATGTAGTTTAGAAATGTTGTAAGTGCACCATTTTTGTATATTTTATAACTCCAAATTTGAATCAGTAACTCGTATTGCAAATGATGAATGTATATATCGACATCATGTGCAGATATTACTGCCATGTTTTGTGATTCATGAACAAGCTGAGATTGCTAACCTGGTGTGAAGATCAAGTCTATACACACTACTAATTAAAGAGAATTTCATCATGATGTCGTTTGCATTAGCCATGGTTTTTTATTCTACTATGTAATATGGTCATAACTGAATATTTTTTTTATCAATATTGAGAGTAATAATTAAGATCGTATTTTAATATTTAGATCATTCAATAGCAAGGAAACAGAAGTCCAACTTCGTGATATTTTTACTTTAAGAAATTTAAAGATTGTGTAAGTATACATTGATCAATGATTCATTTATCCAATTTTTATTAGATTTTCAGGTATATAAAATATAGTTTCGCGTTTATTGCGAGATATAAGTATCCAATAGTGAGCAAACGTTTTCTTTTGTAGTGAAATGTCCTGTGAAAATTGCTGCCACTTTCTTTGTTTGAATAATAGTATGATATGTAACTGCAGTCGAGACCCGAGAAAGACATGCCGACGGAGGCTGTTGCATAAAGAAAGTTATCGTGTGTTTGTGTGGATTACCGTTGTTCTCATTTTTGTTGGCAATATTTTTGCTCTGATAATGAGGCTTCTTTTTGCCGAGTTACATACAGTACAAAATCTTTTTATTTGCAATTTATGCTTGAGTGATATGTTGATGGGAGTGTCTTTGGTTGGAATAATGTACAAAGATCTGGCAACATACGGTGAATACCTTCTTCATAAATGTCTATGGCCAAAGGAAACGACATGTAAAGTTCTTGGAGCTATCTCGATTATTTCAAGCGAGGTTTCGGTGTTTACACTAATCTTTATTGCATACGACAGATTTTTGTATGTTGTTCATGGTTTGCATCATAAAAAGATCCGATACCGTACAGCATTGGCACTTTTATTGTTTACATGGCTAATATCTGCTGCTGTTGGTGTTTTGTCTATTTTTCTTCCTAATTACATACCCCAGTGTCAAGGAAGGAAACTTGATTACCAGTTATTCCGGAAGATGTGTATACCAGTGGAGTTCAAAGAGAAAAACACTGTTTTTTGGTATTACAGTATTGCAATACTTGGCGTTATCAACCCTGCAGCAGCTGTGTGTCTGATCATCCTCTACATGAGAATATTCTTTTCGTTTTACATGACATCAAGAGATGCAGAAAATCGAACGTATGACCATCGCGTTATGGCAAAAAGATTTGCTGCAGTTGTTTTCACAGGTAAACGAAAAAATAAAAAATTCAATTTGATAAATTCGATTTTGTCTATGGAAACATAATTGACCACAACACCGAAAAACATATTTGGAAATGGGATCTTAAGCTCAAGATAGATTTATTTTGATTGAGCCAAATTGCAAATTTTTGTGTGAACATACCACATGCAAGTCACGATACTGACCATTTTGTTGAATGAGAGTCTCCTGTTAACAATCAGCTACATTACATCTCATGTCATGTATGTTACTGTAGAAAGTACATAAACCTAAAAATATAATAAAAATGGAATTTGAGATCTTCCCTCAAATCGGAGCTACTGTGTTGATTGGGTTGACGGGGCAAGATCAAATCACCTCTCCTCTTAGGCAGTCCAGCATGCAACGTTCAACTTTGTATGTGGGTTGTGTGATATTTTGATTTAAAACAAAAAGTATTTGGCAACAGCCAGCTATTCTATCTATTTTGACGTTTTTGAAGAAATAATGCATATTAATAAAGGACCGATTCAACCTTGGTTTGGATACAATCAAAAAATATTTCATGATAATTGAATCTTGTGAGCGTGAGGGATATAATTTAATGTTGTTTTCATGGTAACTTTTGATTGCGTCTGTAATTTATATTTTTATATTAACATATAGCTTTATTGTTATAGATGTCTGCTGCTGGATTCCCGTTTCAACACTTTTTTATATAGATCACGATGAAAATCATTTTTTTAAAGAATTATTTATGATTTTTGTGCCCATTAATTCGGCCATCAATCCGTTCCTCTATACATTAAGTGCTCCCACGTTTTGGAATGTAGTGAAGAAATTCTTTCTCAGAATTTTCAATAAATGGAAGCAATAATGGTTGTGACAAAATGCTATGGATTTATGAATATACTTTATTATTGTTGTTTTGGTCAATGGAAATACTTATCATAAATTAAGCACATGTCACTCCTCTATTTTCAAGTAGATCAGCTCGATTTGACTGATCTAACACTACATAATAATCACAGTTAGTAAACTGCTAAAGTTTCATATAATGTTGCACTTGTAGCTAAATTAACAATTAAAATTGTAGGTGGAATTTTGAACAACTGTGTAACTGTATTGATATTCCTATAGCCATGGATAAATAAACTCATGCGTGTATTTCACAATATGATCACAAAAGATCATGCAAGTGCTTACTAAAACTGGAAGTAGTTCCAAAAATAGCTTTTACAGCCCTGTATATAATTTTAATATGAGAGAAGACAACGGCAAAAGATATTCAGTCAGTCTAAAAGCTCCATTTATGAAATGTAAGAAACTGCTATGGGTTTCAAACGAACCAACGAGCATCACCATTAGCTATAGGGCTGTCTCAGGTCGGCCTTGATATGGATTGGAACACAGTGAAATGAAAAACAGCATTGCCTTTTTACAGAAATTTTTCATCGCATATCTTTTTCACACGGTACTGCCACAATGAAGCCAGTAAATTGCTTCTTCCGATCATGGGAACACTGACAGCAAAGTGGTCCTACAGTTTCCAATTTTTTCAATACTGCTTGTTGTTCCATGATAAATACGAATAAACCTATCATTAGCCGCTCCAATACCAATTGCTCGATAATTTGGGTCTAGTCTGTTCTACCATTCTTCACAGCGATGGTTGATGAAACAACACAAGTCTCAAATGTAGAGCAAGTGGTAATCTTGTTCAAACGTGTTAGTGAAAGCTTTGAAGTTGCTAAAGAGCTGGTTGGCTTGGACCAAATCGCATCAAGTGATGCTGAAACTATTTACGGTGTTATCACAAATTTTTTTAAGCGATTGAATCTTGCTATATCAAAAATACGCGGACAGAATTCCGGTGTGGCAACAAGATTGCAAAGAGAGTAGCAAAAAGCCGTTTTCTTTTTTTGTTAGGTCATTAGCTTAACTTGGCCTGTGGTGTTGCCATAAAACGAAGCAAACTTATGCGAGACGCTCTGGAGAGAACACACGAGTTAACAAAATTGATTAAGAAATTTTTTTTACAAGATGGACTGTCCGTGCTGAGGCTTTGAATCGCATCATTGACAACCACCAGTTGAAACTATGGAACAATATAACATTTTGATATTATTGTCTTTTGTGTTATATTAGTTACCAAAGATTGAGGAAGGGAGGGGTGGGGTGTATCATGTATCACGACAATGCTGTCTAGTTATTCGTGGGAATAGTAAACTTTTTTTAGGGTGCGTTGCAATGATGCGTATAATTTATAGCCATATGGTTATAAATTATTCGGGATCTATAATATTACAATCCGGGATTCTAATATTATATATTATATCATATTATTATTATCCGGGATCTAAAATATTATAATCCGGGATTCTAATATTATATATTATATTATATTATTATCCGGGATCTAGAATATTATAATTTTATGGCAGATGTAAACACAAGTGTAAGCAAGCTGTAAAATGTGTGTGATCAGAATTGATAACTTCTTTCTTGTATGGTTTCCTTTTTTATAGAGAACAGATTAAACTTAAGTATAAATTTGCTTGGTAAATTACCGATAGAATATCATAGCATTGATTGTCATTTAACTGCGAGTCTATTCTATGTAAATGACGCAATCAAAAAATGGATCGATTTCATGGAAAGACAATGTAAAGGTGTATTTAGATGATTATAACAGTGACCTAAATTTTGTCATAGAAGAAGATGGATTAACTGGTTCCTGTTTGCATAAAGATGGCTTTGAGTTCATTTGGGCCGGAGCTAGAGCTACACATGGCGTATCAAGGGGAAAGGTAAAATTTTCAACTTTTATCTTGTATTTTAACTGACAATGTACGATTTCAAATACCACACTATAACATAATATTGTCTTTGTAAGACATTTGATTAAATATCTCGAACATAAAGTGTCTTATACAAGATATTGGCAAGATGGTCTTCTATATGCAAAATATGAAAATAATTATTCGGCTGTCATGTTAAATTAATTGTAATGCATTTGTCATTGGAGGGGGGAGGGATTGTGGTTAGGGTTACCTTGGTAAGTTTGGTATCAGCTCTCTGGTAGATAATGAATATATTCTAAGTTAGACCCTGTTTACACTAGCCCAGGCAGATATTCAATGTGGTTCAATTTAACAATGGTGTTCTACAGTAATCTTTGTCAAATGACTTTATTTTCGACTTCTTTTGACTAGCAAAATTTTTCATGAAATAATTTGGTATCTTACTTTTTATTTCACTTACAGACCTAGACATGCCCAAATACAATCTCTGATTATTAATAAATGTATGCACTATACTAGCTAAAATAATTACAATCAAACCTGTATTAAGGGGCCCTTCATCAAGCAGACACCCTGTATTAAATAGGACACTTAGTAAAGTCCCGAATTAAATCTCATATAATTTGTAGTATTGAAACCTCTATCAAGTGGACACTGACACAAAACTTGTCCAATAATAACACAAAAACCTGTGTTTAACAGACTATTCTTCAAAATATTTCATGTTATTTACAGACTTAATGTTAGTCACAAACATATTGTCACAACAATTATGAAGCTATTTTTCATAATACAAGTGCATTGAAGATTAAATACTTACATCAAACATGAAATTGATGACAAATTATTAATTAACCTAACTTGTCAATGTCAAATGTAGCTTGTTGTTTGTCTAAAAGACTCACACGAGATCACGTTTCAGTAACATCTTCATTCAGCCACTTATTACTTACTATATGTTACTAAATATTACTAAAAGTATTTCTCAGTTTTGTTATTATTAAATGAAGTCATTTCTAAATATATCTTCGCTGTTTAGTATTTGATTTTACCATTTATGTTATTTTCAACCGGGAGAGGTCTGGTGACGAGAACCTTTGTTAAACAGTCACCTCCATTAAGTGAACACCAGTCCATTCTCCAAGGGTCTGCTTAATACAGGTTTGACTGTATATCTATAGGAAGAAAGAATTATATAGGTGGATTAACAAATTTAGTTCATCAATAATTTATTTATCTTATTTATTATATAATTTTGTGTATATAATTGATTTACTTTAGGCATGCTTTGAAATTTTCGTGAAGGATAAATTATCTGTTAAGATGCCAGAAAGTGAAACAAAACCGCATGTGTTGAGAGTTGGTTGGTCTGTTGATGCATCATCTCTTGCTCTTGGTGAAGTACCATATTCTTATGGTTATGGTGGTACTGGAAAGGCCTCATGTAACAATAAGTTTGACAATTATGGAGAACCATATACTACCAATGATGTTATTACATCATATATTGATCTAGACTCATCTCCTAAAGTAATATTTTTTGCTAAAAATGGAAAGTATCTTGACATTGCGTTTCAATTGGATTCTGATGTTCATGGAAAAACATTTTATCCACATATTTCAGTAAAAAATATGAAGTTTGTGGCAAATTTTGGAGCATTCAATCCCTACTTTTTACCTTTACAAAGTTTTAGTTTTATTCAGCATCTTCCCCGTGAAATGTTAGACACGACTTCTCCTCCTCCCAGAACTGCAGGAGAATGTGAAGTTCTCATGATGGTGGGGTTACCCTCGTCAGGCAAAACAACGTGGATAAATAAGTACGTCAAAGATAATCCTGAGAAAAAATATAACATTCTGGGAACTAATGATGTTCTTTTAAAGATGAAAGTAATGGGTCTGAGTAGAAAACGAAATTATCATGGACGATGGGATGCTTTAATAAAACAAGCTTCTGAAATTTTGAATGAAATGTTGAAAATTGCCAAGAATAAGTATCGTAACTACATTTTGGACCAAACAAATGTTTATTCCGGCGCACGACATCGAAAGATTAGTAGTTTCATCAATTATCGTCGTGTCGCTGTTGTTCTTGTAAATGATAATTCTGTTCTTATGTCTAGAAATGCGGAAGTAGTTCGCAAAGATGGTAAGGTGGTTCCACAGTCGGCTTTTATGGAAATGAAAAAAAACTTTACACTTCCTGTACAAGGTGACTTGTTTCATGAAGTATGGTACATTGAAGAAAATGAAGAGAGAGCTCGTTATCTTGTGAATGAGTTTAACAAAGAAGGTCGAAAGTGGAATGAAGATGAGAATAAAAGACTAAATGATGTGGAAATAAAAACTGAAGATGGCGGGGCTTTGAAAAGGTGCAAATATGATCATAACGATCATTGCATTGGTAGTACGAATGAGAGAAGATTTTGTGATAGACAATCTTCATACAGTTATGAAAAAAAACCTCGTATACAAGAGAGCCACGATGAACATAAAAACAGAGAAGCTCAACCTTTCTTTAACTCAGCACAATATAAAAATTTTGATCAACAGTCGTATGATAATTCAACAACTCAGTCTGTTCGTGCATTTCATCATTCCTTACCGTTTTCATATCCTTCGAAACTTAACTGCAATCAACCACAATCTGGAATAATCCAACGGAGCCAAAGATATCACGAGGCCAGCGAGATGTACAATGTAAACTGGGGAAGTAACGAAAGAGGAAATAATGAAAAGATAAATAGAGGTGAAGCTGAGATGCAAGAACGTCGCTCATATTTGAATCAATGCAATACGTCAAATGATTGTGGTAACCAACCTCCATATGGTTATTTTATGGAAAAGAAAAGTTTAGGATCTGTTGATGAGCATCATGAACGATGGAAAAATATGACTTCTCATTTTCACAAAAATCATCCTCATCAACATGAACAGAAAGATACCCAAATACATAAGGATGGTTACGTTCAGGAAAATACAGGTACTTTTCATGTACAGAATGAATGGCGTCATCAATTACCTTGGCAACGACATGAAAGGTATTTCCACCAAATCTCTACAAATAGAGGAAATACACGTCCTAATTTAAATAATTCTCATGGTTTTCCCCGCAAATTTCTGGATGCAGAAAGACCATCCATTTATTCATTTCATTCACAGAAGAACTTTAGTGGCGGACCTTTTTATCAATAAAGGATTCGATCTTGCTTATTATTTTAACTATTTACCAACTAAAACCTCCTTTTTTGGGTTTATACCTTTACAGATGAACTAAATTTCTTATTTATAGGGTTAAGAAAATCAAACATTAATCTAATCCTGTTTCTGTGTCTTAATCCTTGTTTCGGTTCCGACTTTCGGTTGGTTGTTCAGACGGTTCGATAATTTTGTTGATATATACATATATATATATATATTTGTTTGGATATTTATAGTCGTGTAAACAGCCATTTGTTTTATCCATTACATTTATCGATATATTTTTCGTATTTTTGTTCTTGTTTCCACGCGTTATTCAAATCTATGTAATTTGACTAGTTGGCTTTCTCTGATCTTGTATGATGAAAATAGAGCAAGTTCTATTTCCATCCGATTTCTCATACTGACGGATCCGACTGTCGAAGGCTCACTTTATATGTGTTCACACGATCCGTTTTTTAGGATCTGACTAAATCGGATCGTGTGAACGGCTCAGATTTCCTATTACGGGTTGATTTGTAACTATTAATATTTATGAATTGTAATTTATTAAATTTTCTTTCTTATTTTTTGCAGTTAGCTGTGAAACGGTAAAAATTTGTAATTAAGCCGATAATTTATCTTCCACTTTGCTAAAGTAATTGTAGTTTTCTAGCTTTAGAGGATGCTAAGCTCCTTACTGTGATATTTTTTGGTGTGAGGATGTGGGACAAAATCATTCTTCGTTGGCCTTTATAGATACTTAACATGCTGTGTGTTTTGTGCTTAATTAAAATTCCATTAATGTTTTTTGACCAATCATTTTTCATAAGTCTCATCGGTATTTTATCTTATCATCGGTGCTACATTTGTGTTTGGTATTACTTTGTATCTTCATTGTTTGTGGGTTTTAATGGTGTCCTAAAATAACTTTCAAAATCTAGCTTATTTATCTCGCAAATGTACAATTATACATTTCAAACACATCTTATCGTCTCTCATCTCTGGTCTTCTTCCCTTAAAAATAAAATTACGACTTATGGCATTATATTGCAATGAAATATTGACAAAAATTGTTAAGCCAATTGTCCATATACTGAATAAGGGAGACGCGAGTGAATTTTTAGCAAAAGATTTATTTAGCAGCACGCGAAAGGGCGGGAGTCTGGGCACAAGCATGGTGACTGCTGTTCACAAAGCTGTTCCTAAATTTTAAATATACTTTGTTTTATCGCTTATAAACAAGGAGGAATTTTAAAATGGATGATTTGGGGATATTTTATGAAGAAGCAAGCAAAGTACTTATCTTTCTGTTCAATAAAGTTGTGAATATCTGTGAACATTTTATACATGTGTTAGGCTTACATGAACACTTCCATTCAGCAGCAAAATCACTTCATCATTACCCAACGACAACATTGCTTATTGTTTCTCATTTTTTAATTTCTATCTTGAAGATCAGATCTTCTCAAGGTAAGGGCTAGAATAAATAATTTTTTCTACGTACGAGCTTGGAAAAATTGTATGATTTGCATGGCATTGCTAACTTTAACGACGGGGCTTGCAGACACATTAGATATGGAAGTTTTATATACTTAGTTTTAATGTATAAATATATGTACAAACATATAATCTTAATTTATAATTAAACTGCACATAATTGCCCTGTTTAAGCTCACACTATTTCAAAGCGGGTATTTTTATTTTTGTGCAAGCTACTTCATAGTCGCCATTTTGGAAGATTTTAACAAAGGATTTTCTTTATTTACAATGCAAATGTCATCCAACATTTGGACGTTGGCATAAAAGTGTGTCAGGCTTTGTGAGAGACTTTTTTTTCAGGTTGTAATTTTGCACGTTCGAATCCATTTGCTAGCGTTTTATCATCAGTGTTGCTTTGTTTTGCTGGATCAACTTTACAAAGTCTTCTCTTGGGAATGCCATTGGTAAAACCATATGAAAATACACATTTAATTGTGGTCCTAATTTTAATTTGGTAAGCCTATTATATATGATCAAATAAGGCATGGCCATTAGAAATTCCTCAATGTGGGCATTTTGGCATTCTGTTTTTGAAAACAAGAGTAACAATGATAAAATATGTGGTATGTTAAACTATGGCTAAATTATGATGAATTGCAAAGTGCAAAACAAATCAAATCACCCCTAGTAAATAAGTATTCAACTTTAGTAACTAGTCAATATCTAAATCAATAAGTAAATGTTATATAGGAACATTGATAAGTAGAATCTTTGACTGTCTGTACCATTTGGTACTATAGGCATATTGCTATTGTTAAGGCTGAATATTTTAATGCTATAATTGGCAGATATATTGTGTGCCAATTGTCAGTAGTGATTATTCTTAAGTTCTAAAATGACTTTTGAAGACAATAGGACTTATGGACATGATGTAGACTTTTACTTTGTCAATTCATAACTTACTTTTTCAGTTTTCAAAATGCAAATTTATACGTATCGTAAAACCAAAATTGAATTATTGAATTTTACTTTATTTTAGGTATTTAATGTATTTTTGTCCAATGGATCTTTTTGCAAGACTAATAGCATTTCTACCTGTGCGGGTAACAGATATATATTTATATATTTATATATTTATATTTATATTTTAGTTTTATTTATATAAGTTTATATATTTATATATATAAAATGAACTAAAATAAAATGGACAATTGTTTGCTGTCGCTACTTGGAGTTTCACGCCATATGGCAATCTTCAGGCAACTGACAGATTATATATTATTTGCTGACTATATACATCGAGTAAAAGGTGTTAAGTTACATGAGGGCATACATTTACGGCATATGCATGTCTATATACATTTAGGGTAACAGTTATATATGTATGTATTTTATATTACTTTTCATTTGTCTAGAACTATATCATTGGTACAGAAGGGTTGGTGTTATAATCAAATATACTTGTATGAAAAATAATGGGAATGTTTTGCAATTAACTTTTTAAGGTTGGATTGACAGCTTTGAAAGAAGTATATAGAACAAAATGTATCCTTGCTGGACTACAACTTGCTTATTCTCAATACCCCAATGCTTGGTTTATTATTGTTGTATCTGGCTCCATTCGAGGTAAGAAATTGATGTTCTCTCCTTTGTAAGTGAAATTGATAGATTTTTAAAAATATAGAAACAGTATTTTTTGTGTTTTGGTTGTTTCAACTCTTCCTATGAAGTTTTAATGTAACATAAGTCTCTCATGATTCATCATTATTGTTTGTAATGGTTTCAAATTGTTTCTGCATTCCATACATCATCAAAATAGAAATTATTATTATTTATTTATCCTTGTAAATTATCAATCCAAGAAAACAGTTGACCGGTAACATGCAATCTTCAATTTTTAAACTGCTATTTTCTGCATTTGCTATTACCAAATAACTTCTGCACTTTGAATTTTTTTTAAAAAAGATTTTTTGCAAAGTTAGGTGGAAAATGTTTGTTGTCAGTGCTAATTTAACATCGTGTTAAAATCCGACAACACTTACCACTGGCAACGTAAAGAAATTTTTTGATTTCATGAAAATAAAAATTAGAACTGTGATATAAGGAAATTGGGATGGAGCGTCTTTCTGACTTCATGCCATCATATCACTGTTTTTTTCTCTAACTGTCGCGAATATTGTAAAACATAGTGTTATAGTCATTTTGTTGCGTATTTGGCATGATTCAATTTTACGACGCATTTAAGTGACGTTAGTTAAAGGTGCTAAAGAAAGAAGTTACACATTGGACTGTTATATTCATCTCAACCAGTTTCAGTAATTATTGTGTTAATCAGATTTTAAATATAATGTGACAGGCAGTGACGTTAGGTCTTGTAAATATAAATTTTTTTACATTTCGTTTAAGAATTATTCAAACGACGGCTACATTGATTTCCAATGGAGTCGATTTGAGTTTTCCATGAGTTGACTTTTTATAATTTATTTCAATGCATCAGTAACTAAATTATCACGAGTCGCTGATTACCAAAGACACCATTATCTCACTGTAAAATGTTATCGACATTTTTGCTTAGCATTATTGATCATTTGTAAGATGGTTTAATTTGTATAAAACTTTTAGTCAAATGGATTGTTTGAAATGCAAAAGTATGAAAAATAGCCACTACCTTTTTCATTGACTATGTACTAAAACGTAACGGCGCTTTATTTCGTATTTCGTATGAAACAATCAAATTAGGCGAAAATTCTTTTACACATGTCACTCGGATTATTATTTGAAAATGAAAATATGGCTCAGCCTCTGACGTTCATATCTACTTTTTTTTATTTGATAGTAGTTTTTTTTAAATTTTTTATCAGTAACCTCTTTAAAAGTAGCCGTAGTTGTTAGTAATAATGTTAATTTGACTTTGCATTATGGGAGTCGCCTTCAGATTCACGCATGTAATTTACAATTTTTTAACAACTGTCCCCTTTATACTGTTTAGTTTACAAGGGCATTCTCCCGAATCTAGTGCATTTTAAGCTTGGAAATTCCCCTCCCTTATCTCTTTTGACTGTCTCTCCTTTATGCGATATCCTGGCTACACCATTGGCAACAGAACGTCGCTAATTCATTTTAACTCTTGTGTTTTTGACATTAATTATGAGACTGTATCGTTGTGATAAATATGTGCCAAGATTATCAGAATTTCCAGAATTTCTTAAAAGCACTATATATATCAAGCATTTCAAAAGTACGACAATTCTCTTTAAAGTAAACATGTTTCGGCGTACTTATGCCATCTTCAGTAATTCGATACCTCTCACATAAATAATATAAGTATAGCTGTAAATAGATATCATAATACCTTGTGCTGAAGATAGCATTAGCATGCGGAAACATTTTTACTCTAAAGAAAATTGTCGTACTTTTGAAATGCTCAATATCAGAATTGTCATAATACAGAAAGAGTACATAAATATACACGAATGCAATATATTACACAAAATATTAACGACTAAAAGATCTGATTGGTGTTTTTTTACTGTTTTGTAATAATTGCTCAATGTGCTTTGTTCACCAACCGTGCACATCGTGTGATCAGATTTAGTTATTTTTTTATGAAATTTCATTGTACTATAAGAATTTTGGCGTAAGATTACTTTCGTGAGAAAAATTTTGTAGAAAATAACGTGAAATACCCAATTTTTAGGTTGTGCTGGTTTGGTTTTGAAACCTTTTATTCATCAGATTGTTGGACTCGGCACTTCTCATGTTGAATTTCACAGGCCAACTTTGTAAGTAAAATAGTTATGGCTTATCATTTCATAGAAATTATGTTAAGAAAAATTGTAATAAATCAGATCAACGTTTCACATTCTCCAGTTAATAATGAAAACAAATCACATCTGTTTACTGTACAACGAAATTGAGAATTTTGTAAGATGTTTTCATGCTTAAGAGCAAATTAATATTGCAGTAACTTTTCGTCTATGTTGGGCCATTAATCATTAAAATCACTTCTCTTTCAGCACAACAAAAATGTCAATACTGATAAGTTGGATATTTGCAATGCAAGTAAAAGGAGTTCTCGACACGAATCTTTCTTCTTTGTCTTTAGTATTTACTGTTTTTATGATTTTGTTCCAACTTTTGCTCATGTTCACTGATATAACTAACCCTTTCCGCAAAATGGAAGATTTTCTTGCTGCAATATTTCTACCGAACCGTCGTCATCAAGCTGAAACATTAACCCCATCCAACAAAGAGAAAAAGACCAAATCCGATTAATGGCATGAAACAATTAGTTGTAGAATTCGTACATATGCATAACTTAGTTTGGTTTGACAGCGATTCAATGGTCGATATCATCAATTGAATAATTATGTCTTGTTTTTCATCTAACACATATCGTTATCTTGCAAGATGACTATGTTTACCGGAGTGTTTCATCCCTCTTGAATCGTCAGAATATGGAATTTTGAATGATGAAACTTAACTATTGATTTAACATGTTATGTGTATTCCACTTTTGTTGCAGTTTGTGATGTTTACTGCTACATTCAGGAAACGAGGAGAATATTTTTCATTGGGGACTGTTGACTACCAAAGTATGATGCATGTAGAGATGTAAAGTACAGCACAAATTACAAAAATTCAAAATGGTGGGAAATTATGTGGGCTATAGTACCTGTCTATATAGTACCCTGCTCAAGGCCGGCATTACAACGTTAATTGAGAATGGGGGGTGTAGTATTAATGTATTTAGTTGTGCCTGACTAATTTTTTTGAAATTCAATGTAAGGACAGGGCTATGACAGCTGGTGTGGCGCATAATTTCAATCGAAAGCTTAAATCGTATTACACATAACCATTTGCAAGGTACCGTTAAGCCGTGCATTCCGATCAACGTTTTAAAAAGTTATAATTAATATGTTTATCGTACAGACGACGGTCATTTCTTTGAGCTGCCAAACATCTCACTTTTACTGTAGTTTTGTGTCCGTACCTGAACGCTACGCTACGCAGATATTACATTTGAAATTAACTAATTTCTGAGATTATGTGAAAATCCGCCCCCCGATGGATACATTTAGCAACGCTTGCTAACTTTGTAATCAATACTTGCGCATCTTCCATTCGTTTAAATGAATACCTAGCAAGTTTTAATGTTTGGAATGCCCGTTAGTGAAGATTTAAAAGGATTTATATCAGTGTGATAAACGACCTCACTATTGCAATAAACAACAACAGACTCTTGGGAAATGATATATTAAATATGGCACACTTTATATCATTGGTAGTTAACGCAAACAATACTTTTCTATTTACACTCAATATAACATTGTGTTTTAGGCACTGTTAAATTTGTCACGACAAAAGTTGACTTATCGTTACACTGAACACAACTTTACATTCATTAATATATGATGTCTTACAGCAACATTAACTTTGTAGTTGGGAATATTTTTATATTATGTTATTTCTTTCGTGTTCTTACAAATGGAACAAGCGCGAAAGTAAGCATCGCAAACGATTTTAAATCATTGAAATAAATTAGAATATTATATTCGTTTTGACATATTATTTTGCCTTAAGGGGTCTCTATTTCATTGAAATAATGGATAATCAAGAAAAGGATACATCAACATCACAGACTATCCATTTCTTTGATAAACTCATCAAGTCGTTATTAAGATACACGTGAGAATGGATAGTCGTTTGTATTATGTTGAGATCCTCTATAGCCATTACATATAATCAGGTTATAACAGAAATATATTGATTAATATACAGCAATAGCTTTGCGTACCAATGAACACCTTCTTGACTCTTTTCATTGTTCAATAAACTTGGAAAATATCTGTAAATGAACTTGGCTGGCCAGAAAACAGTGTTTGCAAACTCATGATCGTTTAATAATGCATAACAGGAAGCCAAAACACCATCTACAATGATGTTTCCTTCTTCAGTTAGTGGTGCAATGACACCTCGCTCTTCTGATATTGATACATTGCTTACTTCGGCTTCAACCAATTTACCGTCCTTCCAGACTTTCACTTTGTCACCTCGCTGCGTCATTTTCGCTAAGTCAACGCTCCAAAACGACGAATAACGGCGTTTTACATAGATGAGATGTGACTTTGTTAGATATAATTTACTCTTGGGATTACTTGTTTCAATAACAAAATACAAGACGCTTCGTTTCTTCGGTTGATTGTCCAAAAACATCACAACTTCGCTGTAAGTAATTTTTCCATGTCTGTCCATAGCTTGAACCATATCACCAACCTTGAGTTCATTCATTGATGATCTACGACCATTCTTCAATCTAACCGTCGAGTTGCTCCTGAAACATCCCATTTCTTTAAATTGACTTTCACCTTTACTGTCTACAAAAAACGGGGTCGCTTAACCTGATGTTTAGCTACTAAACATTGACAAAAAAACGGTTCAGTCGCTATGTCTACGGCCTATATTAAAAAGGTAAAGTATTTCTTTGACTTTCATGCAAAAATGGGTAGGAGACTTATTGGGTTGGAAACAACTTTAATTAAGTGCTTTTAAATAATAAAGACGAACGAATTAAAAAGATTTATGTCAACATTTGCGCTAAAAAAACAAAATAATATCGACCAATTTTGGTAGCATCTGAAAGAGTCAAAGATGCATATCTCTCCAGGTGGTAACATTACTTTCTGCGTGGTAAATTTCAAGGTTTGTTTCCGCAAATTAAAAGGTTTTCTTTAAAATTGAAAAAAGATGAAAGGTGCTTAGGAAATCATAGAGACCAAGAATGGTCATACAAATGTTTTCGAGTAAAAATGATACGAAACGTAGCTTAAGTCTTTCACACAATTTTGGTAGCTTAAGTCTTTCACAAAAAGTAAATGGTAGTTGAACACTCCAAAACATAATCTCACACTTTCCTGTTCTATTTGAAAGTTTGTTTTTATTATTCAAACACAACATGCAATTACTCTTAATTTTTCTTGAATAATTTTGAGTGTATTCGTGTCTAAATTAGGGCAATGCCAAGCTTTGATAACATGGAAACAATACGTAATTTATGCAAAGTAAACTCTGCAAAGGCTCTTCTTTGAGCACTTTGTCTCCTCTGAAAAATGAGACACATTTTTGTTTTGTGATTTTATGAAACTGTTTGCTAGCGGAAAACAGAATTATCCATCAAACCGCGGCTTTTACCAATAAGTTAAAAAATGTCATATGTTATCGCCCGATCGATTATCTGTCGTTTACAAATAAGGCACAAAAAGCACCTCCTGTTTTTGTCAAGTAAAATCGTGTATGCTATGAAAAGCCTTTTCATCAAAATACATTCGAGAGTTGACTAATCTTAACTGTGTCGGAGAACCACGTGACAGCTTTATTCGATGGTGTAGTAATCACTGATCTCGAAAAGACTGGATCAAGAAACTATATTTTTTAGTAAACAAATTTTGAAGCCACCGCCGCCATTACTAAGGGACTTACACATCGAAAGATTTTTTAACAAAACTATGGAAAACATAGCAACACATGGCCAAATTATGCTTTAAGATAACGCAGAAGATGAAAAACAACCTTTATGGCGATAGTAAAGCGAGTCAGAAAGAATAATCGGCCGTATAAAACAAAACCCATACAGGTTTCACTCGGAGTCACTCGTAAAAAGGCTTGTAATTTTAAAGGATTGATCAGTTTATGATCGTAAATGAGATCATTTAATGAGTTTGTACTTCTGAACTACGATTCCAAAAGTTCTAGGTATTTCCATGCAGTTGTGGGCTATTTTCCATACTTTTTCATACTACAATAGAGTTACCGATGACAAAAATCGCTGCATTTTGATCATATTTCATCATATTTCGTCGTATTTTTAGCTCTTCTATAAACTGATTTATCTCTTAGTCATGTTTATGAAGTTACATGTTGAAAATTCTTGATTATTTTCGTATAAATCCACAATATATTTGCTCCTTATTTTCGAAAGTTGGTCCCTTAGTAATGGCGGCCCTCCTTATTTTTTGTCTTTAATTTTTGTGCTAGATGCTTGATCCAGTCTTATTTTGAAATCAGTGGTAGTAATCAGTTTATTTTTCTGGCCACAAGTGAACTTTTAGTCGCTTTAATGAAACTGCAGCTTGAATTGAAGGTTTTTATTATTTTTGCCGTCACATTTGTTATGCAAAAAACATCATGTTACGACGCACATGTTTTCACACAAATCCTCAAAATATATATTTGTAAATAATACTGGATAGCGTGTTTGTATCATAAAATAATTCTTTTTCAAAACTCTTCACTAATTGAGCATTTTTTATTAAGAACGTGATGAACAATCACAAATTGAAAACAATAAAAACCATTTACACACCTACACGAACTGAAGCATGAACTCGATATTTCTCAACGTAGTGCACCCAGTCAAAGCCAGCCTCAACAGCTAAACGTGCCAACAGACCCAACTTTGATCTGTCTCTGTCAGATGTCGTTATATCAACAGCTCTTCCTTCATAATGTAACGAACTAACATCATGCAGCTTTGCTTTTTCATCGTCCCAAGCGGCGATTACACGAAGCCTAATTCCTGACCATTTTTCCTTTACTTTTTTCTCCAGGGAATTTAATGCTTTTAAACATCTCTAAGAAGAAAATCAAATCGATATTGTATAATCTCTTAGCATCCGAAGCTTCTTAAAAGGATTAATTTTGCGAATATGGCGGGAATTCAAAAGTTTCCCTTCAGAGACATCTACATAAAATATGAAATTGTAAATTCAAACCTTGCTCATTTTTCGCGTGTTGCCAAGTCTTTCGTTTGTGTGTTCAAATATTATACCAGGATTATAGTTTATACTCAGTCGTTTATACGCGTCACTATCATAACGAATTGGTTCTGTTGGCTTTCCACTGGCGCCCTGAGTGAATTCATCAATATCTGGAACTTTTTGATGCAAATAAAATGCAGTTCGAGGTGATCTCCTGCCAGAGCCTCCTGGTTTTGCAATACAACTAATGACTGGTGAGATGAAACACAGCATTAAATAAATTTTCAAACAGATATTCTTTATTTTGCACGCCATATATCACAAATTTTCTGAAACGTCCTCGCTTTTGATCGTGACAGTCTTGTCAAAGATGATGTCAAGTCGTGTGTTGTTTGTACTTTTAACGGCGTTTTAAGAATCTCTTTCTGATTGGACAATTTTTGCGTGCGTGAAAACACTTCTATATGGCAACCTGTGAAGGCAAGAATTCAAAAATGAAGTTAGTTAAATCGACAGTAGGATTTACGCCCACAATGTGTTGATCAGTCTAAACTGCAAATGTTTGCGTTTCATTTGATTTGCATGAAAGCAGGAAATTAGAGAGAACGTGCCTCTTTTATTTATGCCGCAAACAAATGAAATTCAACTTGTGGTATTAAGCTCTTTTCAAAGAAGTATTAGCGGTCTTTAGTTATTTGAAAAAATGTAGCTGCACCACTTCCTCGGAGTTATCTTTAACATCTTTTAGGCGGCCTTGACACATACCAGGAAAGATGTTTAAGATAAATGTTTGCATATCTTGGTGAAAGAAATCTCACTTAGAACATTAGCGCGGCACGGAGAGGCTCCTCCTATGTTTTATCGCGACATTAATCGTGTTGTTTGCTGTAAAATAAATTACACTACTTTATCTTAATCCCATCATTAAAATTCAACGTATGCTATTTGACAAGAGCGCCTAGCCGCTCGCTTTAATATCATTTTACTTGCATCTTTAATTGAAATGATTTTAAGCTGTCAATTTCATGTCTTTAATAATATTTAGCTTAATCCCATTTAAACAAAATGAAAAGCCCCAAAATCTCCGAGGACAATATATGATGTCCTCGAATTGAAATATTAATTGCTTTAGCATTATGGGCGTGGTTTGTATAAAAATATCGTGATTTCAATCATTCAAATTAAATGTTTGACATTTTCTGTTTGACGAATGAAAACATCTTATCACCGAACATTTTGTAATGTTGACACAACAAAAATTTGCCCTTGCGTTGTAATTGCTAAGGTATTTTGATTGATATAAGCGATAGAGCGGTTTTCAATGGCGCATGTCAATTTAACTACTACATATTTGAATAGTTTCTCGTATTTTCTCTTGTTAGAAGAGCCTGCATGGGGGATTTTCTCAAAATTAGCAATACTAAAACAGTTTGTGGATGTCATACTTTAGTTATGAGAATAGAAATTGTGGCTAGTTGGTTAGTCTATTCATATTTTAAAATTTTATCACCATCATCTCAAGTCTAGACAAAAAAATACCGATTTTAGAATACTTTTTAAGTCCAATAAAATATGAATAGCAGAATGGCGGCAAAAGTCTGATATGTATGCTATGTGTCCCGTTCTATCTATATTGAATTCTTTCATATACTCAGTTGGTAGTACGTACCACTTAATACAAAATACTGTATCTTATTGAAATCATTTGTTTACTAGTTGATAATTTACATCTTAGTTTGATTTCAAACCACCAATGAGGTTACTCTCATTTGACTTCGCAAGTTGACAAAAATGTCAATTTTGCCATTATTAAGCTAACAGTGTCTACGCATTTTGACTAATTAGTGATATACTATCATGTAATGGGACATTTAATTTTTGAAAGTTGCTCATATCATTGGAAAATTTAAAGTTTATTGTGTAATTCAAAGTTCTAATAAATGACTAAGATACAAATATTTAGCCATTTTTTTAATGCATAAGAGTTTTAGTTTCAATTTATACCAAAGGCAAAAACGTCTTGACGTTTTTTGCTTGATATAAGCTGCTTCAAAATCAGGTTACACAAGACATATGTTTATTTTGAAAACTACTCTGTATTTTGCCATTTGCTCTAATCATTAAGCGTAATATGTTTTGTGTCTTTAACGTTCCCATTTTTTCGGTTTCCAAAGAAAGTCAGAACCACCATGTTCGTATTTCAATTAAAGATTGAGGTCCATATAGATTGACATTAACTTCTTGTCATGCATACATCGTTTTGCATTGTCAGGTTTGAACTAAAGGAAAGTTTTACAAACCAGCAATTTCTAGTCATTCGGGTTAACATTGTTAATTGAGTCAATATGTTTAAATATCTCATGATATGATTTTATGTTTCCCTGGATTTTACAATTGCTATTCATAGTCGGATTCAGCGTCCAAGTTTTTAGTGCCATTTCAAACTAATAGTTTTTAATTCTAATAAAACAAATAGTTTTTAATTCTAACAAAAACAATCTACAATATTTAGCCAGCATTATTATATAAGTGTCTTGTAATTGAAGAGATACGAAGTAGGGTCTTAATTATTGTCTTCTTATTACTGCTTTCGCAAAGTATTTAAAGAATTTTCACTGTTTGCTCTTTGCACCAAAGAACTTGAAGACGTCTTTTCTGTGCTACTGAGGCGTCAAAGATAGTTTTCAATTTCGTCTTCCTGTCCTTGTCTTGTTCTTATGCCTATAAATGGTGTGTATGTTTGTATGTTGCTTTTTCAGTGCATGCGCACTCGCTGTATAACTAGGAATGTCACATCGATCGTTTTTCTGTTGTTTCATAGTTTGATGAATACGTATCAATGTTTTAGAGACAAAAGTACACGTATTTCGTGGTACCAATAGCACTAAAGTAATATAACTCAAGCTTATGTTGAACAATATCATTTCAAATTGATATTTTAATTGATATCCTGTTGAAAGGCTTGTGCCATTGTTTTGAATTACATATTGTTGTAAAAAATTGTAGATTCGATCTTTACTCAAGCACATAGAGTTGGCATTTGCTGATAATATTAGGGTGTTTATCAGTGAAGGACATTCTTTGAAAAATTGATGGTTACGAAAATTTTAGTAAGAACTATGAAATTATGATGATCCTACAGAAAAAATTGCTATCTAAAAGAGCTCACACCTATTTTAAATAGTTTGTCTCCTGTAAATGATCCTCACTTTCTACATTCATAGTTACAAATTCGTTTGTTTGATATTTTGTGGTTTTAAGTCATTTGTTTCTTTATCTTAAACCTACGTAATATCATTGAACACACTTTGTCAAATGGCTGATTTTCAATATAAAATACTTTCTTGTGTTGAAAAACGCGTTTGAACAAACATATGGACAAGAGGTTAAGTCCAATGCGCTGAATCTTGTCATATTATTTGTCAATGTGTAACATATAATAACAAAAGAAATTGGGACAACGCATGAAAGAATTTTTACTCGGGTAAAATTTAATAAATTTTGAAGCTTGTTGTGCAAAAAAGTATTTTTTTAAACTTCACATTGATTACAGCACATTTAGATTCAAGTGTTACTTTAGATAAACTCATTTAAATACATATGACCTTTCTTAAAATACTTCTGCTCTTTGCACGTAAGGACTGAGCTGTGAGAAATTAGCAGTGTCATACCGAAATGTGTGGAGGTAGCTATGCTATGCTTTTTGTCGGATATTGCACGAGTATCTCCTATATCGTGATGCTCTAAAATATGTTTATAGTTCATTTTAGAAAATATGTAAAAAAAAGTGTCAAATTATAAAAACACAAACGCTGGAAATTTATTGCTCTAAAAATTAATTATTGCAGAATTCTGCCCAGATTTCCTATTCCTGAGCACTTTTATAAAGACGTAATCCCAACAGCCAATTTCCTACTGGAAATCATTTCAAAATATTGCTGTCGATCGTGGAAAACTTATTCTTTGAATAAAACCATGGAAACTAAAATGATCACCTACAGTGCTAACGTCTCTCTTTGAAATAAAAGCTACAGTCCAGTATGTTAAGCATAGTTTAGCATTTTTCAAATTGCTAATCATTGCGATAAATATATTGATCAAATTAGCTCGTGCTCAAATTTCTATAAATGCTGTTCCATATTAGATTGACGAATAATTCAATAAAATCAATAACAATTTTCAAAACCTTATATGACATGCAATTGTATTCCTTATAATATACAATGTTTATAAGTTATTTGTGTTGCCTGAGCTGAAAGAAGATTTTTCATGATGTAAAGTCAGTAAGTTGCTATCCTCGCTTATTGCTGCTTCATAAATCATAAATTATTCAAATCTTCTAATATAGTTTTTTTCTAAACCTCGATTATACTTTTACAGTTACCCTTGAGATACGATCTCCATATGGGAGTTTTTCGGTTTTGAGTTATTATAAAGGATCTTTCATTTTCTTCCAGCGTAAAGTAGCTTAATTGCCCACACTTAAACTCCAACATAATTATAGCTTTCGTAAACGCAATTTTGATTTTGAATATTCTACGATTATGAGGTTCATTCTCGATTTTACATTATTACCTAGTCTCATTTATCAGTAATAACTTCCAAGAACTTAGTGTTTGTTAAACGTGAAAAAATAGGTTTCATACCTCAGCAGCGCATATCAGATTTCTTCATCACCATTGGAGAGGTAGAGAAAGATATTTGAAGACAAATGAAACATGCGACAGTCATGAACTTATGACGCTACATCATAATATACACTTAATTAAGGCATGAAATACAGCGGATAAAGGCAAATATAATGATAAACAGATATGAGCATTTCTTTCTTCTTGCATCATTCAATGTTATTTAAATTAGAGACGGAACTCATTTAAAGTAGAAATTTAAGGATGAGTCGCGTTGTTAAGTTGATAAATTATCGCCCTTGTATGGCTTTATTTCTTCAATTGTCACATTTTTATCACCATAAAACTGTTGATATTTTGCGTTTATTCTTGTGAAAACAATAAAATATGTATGTGCAAATGGCCTAATCAGTACATTATTGTTGCCGTATAAATTGATGAACATTGAAAGATGATTATATATGAGAATACCAGCGTAGTTTCTATGGCTTTTGTTTGCTTTGCATAATGTCTTCCATATATGAATGAAACCCACAAAAACATCCCCTCTAATGTTCAAGACATTATATCTTTCCATTATACAATTCATATCTAGCAACGTTAATACTTTATGTTTAATTTACGAATTTTACGTTTGTTTAACGGCATCCAAATTATAATGAAATTACACGTTTGTCTCCGCTATTTCATATGCATTTAAGCGTTACACTTAGTGATATTTTAAAGGTGAGAAAAATTCTTTACTACAGATATAAAAATTTTGCATCATTTCTAGAACTGAAGTGATGAGCAAAATGCATAAGCGCAAAAGACAAAAGTTTACGATTTGATTATGTTTAGTTTTACAAACTCTTCGCCTTTACTAAAGCTGTGTTTTCTCAAATATTGATGTAGCTGGTTCACGTAGTTTAAATACGTCAATCGAAGACTTGAAAATGTATCGTATGCAAGTTATTTATAGTTATTCAGAACAGAAGTGTTTCATGAAGGACTTTGGTGCTTGATCTGGACTTTGTTTTTCATCATTCATTTGTGATAAAGACGCACTTTTCTTGTCATGGTTATACACTTTTGGATGGCTGACAATGCATATAAAAGTATTCCAATCAAACAAATGTGATGTAATATATGATTGTTTTCATACATTATTGTATCGATAGTAATGTACATTTTTGCTGCCTCTTTCATTCATTTAGGAAGAAAACAACCTTTATTCTGATATACATACGTCCAGTTTAAAAATCTTGCTAGTTAAGGTTAATTGTTATGGATCATTTCCGTTGCTTCAATGCAACTTACATTGAAAATAAAAACAGTCTTTATAACTAATGGTGAGAAAGTTTTTGGGTAACCTGAAAATATGGGAGGAATTGGATTCTCAAAATTTTTGGAGCGTTTCACATTGACCAGAAAACTAAAACTCCAAAGAAGTTACATCACTTACTTGCTTCATCGTTTTGTAAAAGTTGACATACCACATTACTTGTCTTCAATCCTTGCACTGGTTAATATAGTCTAACTTTTCTATCTGTTTTTATGAAAAACATTGATAATATAGCATTGTTACGTCATGTAATTCTTGCAAAACTGTACGCACAAGATTAAATTTAGCCATGTGTTAAAGTTTGTGTAAGATTGGTCCAGTAAAGCTTTATCAAGATTGATCAAGAAAAACAAGTTTATAAAATTTGAGCATTTCTATGAATGCTTTTTTCAGATTTCTTTGTTTAAGAACAAGAAAGTCAGTTCAGTTTTTGTGCAGTAGATTCTTCACAAACTGACATGCTCAACATTGAGAAAATTTGCTTGAAAGAAGACAAAAATGCCACCAAAAGCTCCTATTCCAACGTATTTCTGTGATCTGAAGACTCGGGCTGCATGCGTTTACACTACATACCAGATTCGCTCATCACGACATCTTCATTTGCTTTAAAGGTTAACTGTTTGGAGTAAAAGCTTATTGAGCTTATTAATTCATTTGGTCTATTTGATTGTGTTTCTGACTTTGAACAATTTCACTACCTTTTCATACAAAGAAAATTTAACCTGCTACAATAGTAATCCGGTATAGTGTAAACGGGGCGTTAGTCTCCGGCTTCTGGGCGAAATTCATTGATAGTTGCATATCAATGTTAGTAACATCATACAGAAGTGTTTTATTTCTTTGTTTTCTCTTTAATACTGCACAAAACCATGAACAAGAATTCATGATGCTAAAAGTACGAATTTATGTGACAAACAAACGATATGTAACAGTGTTGACATTACGAATAAATTACCTTTGTGGTTTAGTAATTTTCTTACTGAAGTTTGAGGGCAATTGATTTTGAAAACTAGCTAACTTATAGTCTTGCACTCAAGCTAGACTATCAATCTTGGACTATTTAAATTTAATATTTAATATTTAATTACGAAGACATTTATTTTCCGGCGATGACCGTCAAGGCGTTGCTGCATTAAAATTACAGCCATATGTAATATCCTGCCTTTAGTTCTCGCCTTTATCGTGTTTATCAACGATAAATCTTTACACTTTATTAGCTGCAATTTAAATTTTAGTTCTTAAAAAATACTATGACATGTTCTTTTCCACTCTTTTACCTTTGTACGTAGCCACATAATTTTCTTGTTAAACAACTTTTTTATAGAAATAATAATTTTTGTCTATCACTGGAACTGCTAAAACATTTAATTAAAGAGTTTTTATTTCAATATTTTGATCCATGATCTTTGAAATTATTTTAACAATGATTCAACCGACTCGGTCGGAAGTTGACTTGGGTAAGTTAATTAGTTATCGATTTGCAAGCTATATGTTCCTTATAAAAGGCATTGAAATCTAACGTTTTGGCGGATGTGCGAAAAATGAGTAAAAAGAAATGATTCACTTGTTGCAATAAGGTTTGTTTTTTTATCGGTTGGCCAGACATTTAGTTTTAATGGTAAATTATGAACTAAGCAATTCAAATTTCACCGCAAAGTTAAGCCAAAGTTTATCAGTCAGACTTACTAAGCTTTTAACGAATCTTTCTCACAATTTTAAGAATTGCATTCAATGAAACGCCAGTAAATTTTTAGTTTTGCCCACACTATGACTGCAATAAAAGGAAGACCATAAAACCACGTTTCATTACGTACCTACCGTAACTTTTTCGACAACTGCATTAGCTAATTTGTTACAAAAACTAATCATCCTAAAAAATGTTAGTAATTTTTCAACCTAAAAATTTCGAGAAAAATGTCTTTATCTCACATGACTGTGACTTGGCTTGTAAGTATTACAGTTTTATAAAGAAAAATTTGAAGATAAATTGCGCTGCATTGACGCACCGCTCACGGTTGCCGCTTATAAGATTCATCAAAGATATTCATGTTCATTTGTGAATAAAGATAATTCACACTATTAAAATCTTAAAATATTAACATTGCTTAAATTTATAGTCGCATGTTAACTAATGAAGTGATTCATAAAGGCTGACAATCGTTTTATATTTAGACTAACGCATTTTCACAACAAGCTGTGATTTGTGAAAGCATGCATTATTATTATAGAGAAAAGTCCAAAAACATTAAAAGACATTCATCTCAAAGTTTTGTATACTAAAGATTTTTAACGATGATTTGTTAAAACTCATTTGCCAAAATATTCATTCGACTTCTTTGGTGCTTTATCCCTAATCTCAGTAAGTCAAAATTCCATAAGTCAATCAAGTTATACGCAATATTTATACGCATAAAGCATGCAATTTGTGAATATGTGACAAGGTTTCAAGTACTGTTTATATAGATTTTATTTTACCTTGATTTCTGAGCACTACAGCTTTTGTCCTTATGCCACTCCTCAACAGGACTATGAAGATAATTCTCTCTTATCAAGTACAGCTATCTATATTTTACAAGCAAACTTCCCATGCACGAAGCCCAGATATTGATTCTTCACTTATTATCGTTACTGTAATGAACTCAAAATAACCCGCTTTATACTCTGGCTATGTACACTTGAAATTAAGTGCACTTGGGTCTTCGTCAACACTTAAACGTAACGCAGTGATAATTTCTTAGATGCATTACCAAACTGACATTATGATGGATGGTTTTCTTCACGTGATCGTTTGATAAACAATAAAGCGGGCCCTCATGTGGTTTATTGTTAAAAACACAGCAAATTTCGCTAATCCATTATATACTTCATATTATTAAGATACGTGGCTTATCTATTGAGATATAGCTAGCTTTATTTGATGAAACTTTCTTTTTGCAATTGCTATATTGTAGCCATTGCAAAACATTTTTACTTTTACTTTTGGAATGAATACTATGAAATAAAAAAACTCCTTTCGGGCTTGCTTTTTTGAATTTATCAACGTCAAAACTTACAAATTGCTACTTATAGCAAATAACCTTATTTCTTATCCGAACGTAACCACTACACAAAAGACGACGATTCTTTATTCACCTCTTTCTCTTCTATATTTTGTAAAATAAGTTTACTGACGACAATTTACGAACAGAGCATCTTGCAATTATTAACGACTGAAACTTTCGAAGGCAGTAAAATATCTAGTGATTTTACGTTAGCTCATGCAGTAAAATATGAAATGAATGTATGAAAAATAGGAACACTATGATATATTGTTGTAGTACATCGTTTAAAGCAATATCTAACAATGCATTCTTCATTTGTATTAACTGGTTTCATAGTACTTTTCGGAAGTTAATACACTTCAAAACCGTTCTTTAGATGCCATGTTTCGGATTAAGTAACCATGAAATATATGACTGAAGTGATGGAAAATTGGTTACATACAGGCTTTATGTTGTAATTTGTAAGTGCTTGTAGTAGTTAGTGATAGTGTCAATTTTATCTCAATTTCCGTCTAAGATCTGAAGACATAATCCTAGTTGAATTGTTATTATCAATTTCCAACATTTTTATTTTGCGAAAATTTTAGGATTAGTCTACAATGAGCAAGATATTAACAATTTAAGTGAATCGAGCTTTTTATAAATCCCACACACTGTGATTCATGATTTTATTTATTTTTATCAGGTCGGGTCATTTTATTGGGTGTCCTTGTTGCGCAAATTCTATGCAAAGGAAATTGTGTCGGCATGTGTAGAAAAATCCATAATCGTTTAACAGATACGGCATATATTTCACGGCATTTCTTAAAGATATTTGGGCGCTATTATCTAACTTCATTTCGTTTGCTGTTTCATTAGCACAAAAACAATGTTTCAGCGACTGAATTTGAAAAGCAGGGCCTCGAATAAATGAAAAGTAAACAGATTAATTTTCCACATCATCTAACAGATTCCAACACATGCTGGCGTCTCTTAAGACTTAGCATTTCACACTGTGTTTTCAACAAAAATTTATAAATGTTCATTGTGCCTCCTTTCACAGTTGGTTGTCAGTAACGACAGTCTTTCTGCTGAGCTTAATAAGGCAAAGTTTGTTTGCTAAAAATCGCAAAATTCAATTTCCAGATTGTATAATTACTTTTGGATTAAAAATCTATAGATGCCATGAAGTAATAGTAATCGTCAGTAACAGCTGAAAATAAAGAATGCAATACATGTCAAACTTTTATCTATTGACAAAGAATCCCCTTGGCTGCTGACAACTTTTTAAACGGCATAAGGACATTAACCGTCATACACGCAATAAAAGATCACATATAAATCTCAACATTTATAAATCGCTGACAGCATGAATGAACAAAATATATGGACTCAATTTTATTGTTAGCTTTTCTTTTTGTCGTTTATGATTTGTTTCTATGTTGCGAAATTATAGTGAGGACAAATGAAGACAAATGCTTGGTAGGATAATTGCAGGGCAATAATGAGCTACACAGTTAAAATCAAGTAAGAAAACAAGCACATTGAAATAACTTCTTAATTGATCCTCAGTTGGAAATCATCGGAAGTGTGAAGTATGAAATGCCAAATTGTAGGGAAATGAATTGAACGTATGAAATGGCCCACCCACTCTCTCAGGCATGGGTATAAACTCAATGTTGAAAAACGTCGTTATTGTTATGAAGTATTGTAAGAAACAGACACATTACAGAACTTTCCTTGTGTTTTTAATAACGATCAAGATGACAGGGCTATAAGATACATTTCTATTCTGTTATATTTATAGCTTTTTCAAATTGTTAAGAAGAATAGTATTTTGCTAAAAGAATGATGGATATGACTGCGGCTTAAGCATGGAAATACATTTGAAAAAAATCAAATTTTAAAAACGCTATATTTTGCCGAGGAGCAAATTGTTTAATTCCATGTATGAATCTGAAAAAATCCTCTGTGCTAAATTTCATACATCAGTAATCTTGTTATTCTTGCATAAATGTTGAAAAGAAATTTCTACCGAGCAAATAGTCGCTCTGTAGGTTTTGATGCTTCAATATTCATGATACTCCAGTGGTTGGAGAGAGTATCTCTGTTCCTTTGACTTTAGGCCAGGGTCAATGATTTTGAATCACAACTGAGCTGATATAACGAGTATGGGACTTCACGATGGCCAACATCTTTTCTCATCAAAATGAACAACAAATATCGCGAATAATTTTCTTTTTAGCTCAACTTGAAAATGATAGATGATGAAAAAAAATGAAATGTAAACTAAGTCATATTTTATTTTTTACGAGTTATGTTGGTTGGTCATATTCAAAGCCGTTCAATCTAAATCTGTTTATTATAAATGTCGGGCGTGTGTTCACGCACGTACGATGCAACTACATTATGATATTTTCGTTGTCAAGGGGAAAAAAGATTACATGTATTAAGCAACAAGAAAATCAAAGTAAGAATTCCTTTATTAGAAATAAAATGGATTATTTTTGTCCAGTCACTGCTGCATGAGCAAGATATTGAAAGATTACATTTAACATCTAAAATTGAGGAGTAAATTTTCATTCTTAGTAATCATGACAAAAATTATAATCATAATTTGAAAGTAGCTTTTTTAATAATTGAAGACTTTCTGCTATTCCCGTGCCAGATAATAATTTTGACCTATGCCATTAGCTTTTTTCATTAGCAGTATTGATAGGGTATCTATTCAACTGGAGAATACACGGAAGCCTCCCATACAATTTCAAAAGGTGAAAACATTGTGTTCTTACGTTTACTAGAAATGGTGAAAAATTACCAGATTTTTAAATTAATGTAATTAGAGATTATCCAATGAAGTAATATATAGTTTGAAGATTGCAGTATTTTAATGATTCAGTCTCTTTTTGCAAACCGTATTCTTGATAACTGCATCGCAATATTGTCAATGAAAAATATTCATGAAAGTTGTTGATCATGATGAAGTTGGATAGCTTATTAATGATAACTTTTCTAATACAGGTAAAAGCACAACAACGACAGTTGTTCAGGCAACTCTTGAATAATCGTCTTGTCGTCTTGGAAAATTTTCAACTCATGTTCTAAAATGAGTTTAAACGATTCTTTCCCTTTCACAAATGAGCTCTTTCGACAAGATCTCTCAGCTTATTAAAGATAGTTAACTTTGTATTGAATGCAATTGAAACTCTTCTGTCTTGTTAATTTTCGGCTTTCACATTCACAATGTATACTTTTGGTGGATGGAATTTAGTGTCAATTCAAACTCTTCAAACCCAAAACATGGAGAAAACCACGAAAATACCAGTTTGTATTTAATTGTGTGTTATTGTGTTTTTTCATTCGAAATGGCAGACTCGGATAACGAAGTTGAAAGATTTGAAGTAACGGAATATGACTTACAAAATGAATTTTTCCCTGGAATGAAACGTCGCAAAATGACGAAAGAACAAACAATGTTGGGTATCTGGGCTGGAAGAGATTCAGATGAAGATGACTACAGTGAGAGAAAGAGAAATGATAGCATTCCTTTGCAGTTTGTGAGCGGTGGAGTTGTAAAATCCAAAGATAAAGATGAATTAGGTTATCATTGTCTTTCGTGTACTTGTTTTTATCGTGCAATGGCCCCAAGGCAAGCAAGTCCCTGCAATTGCAAGTGTAAAATATATAAAAAACAACGATAGATTGATAGATAGAACAATGATGAATAAGACTAGGCTTTCCTTCTCTATGAACATTTTTTATCATACTACTAAAAAATACTTATGTAAGGAATTTATGTTGCAGTATCTATTTCTATTTCGTCTTTCCCAATCAAGGCAGAATCATACTAATAAAAGCTATTTATATCTACCTAGAGCAAGTATTAAAACGTCAAGGAACTAATCAAGAAAAATCTAAAAAGTTGTTTAACGATTCTTCAATGTTGAGTGCTGCAACATTTAATCAATCTGATCAAGGTAATTTTATTTACATGTTTGTAAATGTAGATTGTCCAGGTTGGTATAGTCCAGAGAAGGACTGTTTTTGTTGTTGTTGACTGATGTTTCGACAAGATGACTATCACTAAGGTTTTCGAAACGTCAGTCAACAACAACAAAAACAGTCCTTCTCAGGACTATACCAACCTGGACGATCTACATTTACAAACATGTAACGATACTCCCGGCTTCAAACCATTTACTTTGTAATTTTATTTCTTGAAATTGGAACTAAGGAATTGATAACGGATATTCATCATTAAAAGAACCTAATGACTTTCTGCCAGCAAAATTTACATTTAAGAAATATAAGATGTTTACTGTGCTTGTACGAGCTTATGCAAACCGAGGAGACCTTTGGGAAAACTCGAGAGCAGATCAGTGCAAGCCCAAGAAAGGTCGATGGTTGCATATGCTTGAGAGTTCTCACAACAGTCTCCGAGGTTTGCATAAGCCAGTGCAAACATTAAAAACATCTTTTATTTCTTTTATAAAATAATAATAATGCGAAAAAGACAGACATTTTAATTTTCCTCTAAAATGTATTCATGATCGATTTGCAAATTCTCTTTGACAGATTGATTGTTTTGATTGATTTGATTGGTTGAGCTCAGATGTGTTTTGCACAGGTTAATGAAAACACAGCTCTAGACCAATCAGTGCAGCATTTCATTGTGTTCATTTTATGAATGCTTTTGAAAAAATGATTTATAAATGATTAAGTGTGGTTTGTTGTTTACTCATAAATATAAGTTTGAAAATTGGCAATCCAGGCATTTGATAGATAAAAGATAAAAGTTTCTCAGGATTTTAAATGTTTTTATTGAGCTTTCACTCGTTGCTTCGAGCCTTCATCAGAATGAGGATATTTATTTACACGTGCTTTTAGCTTGGAGACGCTTAGAGCGTCTAATTGGATTAGTGGGTGGAATAATGTGATTGGATGGGGTGAAATGCGTTGCCATGGGTTTTGGCGTATTGTGAATATGATTGGTGTTAATAATATTAGAGTGTAGTGTTTTAGTTTTGGTGTTGTTTGCAGTTTTTTTGTCCTTTTTCTTTAGTTGTGAGTATATGATGGGTATGTCGATATGTCTGTTTATTGTGTCGTTGTCTTCACTGTACCAAGCTTCTTTAAATTCGCGTGCGTGTTTAGTCTGTGCGCGTCCGAGTACTTTAGTTTCTGTCCAGTCGAATGTTTGGTTGTTTCCGTGGGTATGTTCTGCCGGTAGTGAGTTCGGATCTCGTCGTTTTATGGCGTTTTTGTGTTCTGTGTGTCTTGTTTCAATTTTCTTAGATGTTTGTCCTATGTATTGCTTTGAACAGTCTTTACATGGTATCATGTAGATCGCGTCAGTTGTATCATGAATTGTTGTCTTGTCTTTATGTTTGGTGAAACATGATTTGAGTTTTTGTGTAGGTTTCATTTCTGATAGACTGCCAGAATGACTGCCAGACTTCTTCGACCATTTAATATTAACGTCGCCCACAAACCTACACAAAAACTCAAATCATGTTTCACCAAACATAAAGACAAAACAACAATTCATGATACAACTGACGCGATCTACATGATACCATGTAAAGACTGTTCAAAGCAATACATAGGACAAGCATCTAAGAAAATTGAAACAAGACACACAGAACACAAAAACGCCATAAAACGACGAGATCCGAACTCACTACCGGCAGAACATACCCACGGAAACAACCACACGTTCGACTGGACGGAAACTAAAGTACTCGGGCGCGCACAGACTAAACACGCACGCGAATTTAAAGAAGCTTGGTACAGTAAAGACAACGACACAATAAACTGACATATCGACATACCCATCATATACACAACTAAAGAAAAAGGACAAAAAAACTACAAGCAACTACAACACTACACTCTAATATTATTAATTCCAAAGCCATCATCGGAGAATACATATAATATATAAATCCTTATTAACACCAATCATATTCACAATTGATGAGAAGAAAAAGACTGCAGTGGTTCGGACATGTGTGCCGGCGTGAAGAAGATGTAGACATTCGGAGAGTTTATGAGATGCAAGTGGAGGGGAGACGGTAACGAGGACGCCCAAAGCATCGGTGGAAAGATACCATCAGGAGAGACATGCAGCTATGTGGTGTCAAAGAAGAGGATACCCAGGACAGAGCAGCCTGGAGAAGCCTGATAGAACTGGGTCTCCGGCAAAGACCCGCTACCCGAGCAGGACACAGCGGAGAAAGGTGACCAAGGTGACCATATTCACAATACACCAAAACCCATGGCAACGCATTTCACCGCATCCAATCACATTAATCCACCCGACTAATCCAATTAGACGCTCTAAGCGTCTCCAAGTTAAAAGCACGTGTAAATAAATAATATCCTCATTCTGATGAAGGCTCGAGCAACGAGTCGAAAGCTCAATAAAAATCACTTAAAATCCGGAGAAACTTTTATCTTTTATGTACTCATAAATATATACGAATGGTCTTCAGTCAAGGTTGCTTGAACAGAAAGGATAGTTTTTTAACAATGTAATTTTAAATTGAATGAAGATATGATCTTCGCACTTTGCGGGACAATTTAAGCTATTGTCTCATGAACCTGAAAAATTCAGGTGACTCAACGGGATTCGAACCCATGAGCTCAATCTTATAGAGCTCAATCTTAATGGTCAATCTTAATGACCATTAAGTTCATTAATGATCATTTATGATCATTAATGATCATTATGTTCGTTTATGATCATTAATGACCATTGAGTTCTATAATAACTCAATGAGCTCAATCTTATAGAGCTCAATCTTAATTGTCTTATAGAGCTCAATGGCTCTAACCAACTGAGCTATGAAGTCACACAGTGGAGAGCAGGTCAATTTGTTGGGGTAATGTTCAAACACCGCACTGCATATAACATTCTTTCAAATGTAATTTTAGATAGCAAGGTCTACACAAGGAAAATGCAAAGAGGTGCAGGAAAGTACGTCAAACCTTTTATATTTATCATTTTGGAGGCAAATATACTCTTGTATGAATATGATGCTTATAATTATACTTTTTTTAGAGATTTTGCATCATGGGAGCAACACACCAAAGGATTTGGTTCCAAAATGCTAAAAAAGGTCATAAAATGTCTTTAAAATATTGAACAGATTATTATTCCCACGTGACAAATCAATTGCTTGCAATATTACAGAGTGTGTTTGTATATCAGTTTATTATATAAAGTGGTAAAAGCATTAACTTTTTACTTTTAATATTTGTTATCCTGTATGCATCAATAGTGCTACATACATGATGCCTATATTTACATTATGTCATTTACTATTTCATGAGTTCTAATATGAAATCCTTTTCTAGTCTCTATGTATTTCTATGCAATTTTTGGATTTCACTCCCTAAAATGAACAATTTTCATTTATTGAAATTTTAAAGTGTCATTTTCATGGTTTTCAAGGTTCACTTTCCTCAAAACAATTGAAATGAATCAATTCATAAATTCCTTGTTCAAATCGTTATGTTATTTCATCACTTCATTTATCTTCATGTGAAATCAACAACAGTATCAACAGAAAAACATGTTGAGATTGCTATGATACTGAAGAACATGTGGACACGTAAATTATTTAAGATTGCACACTATATATTCTCATCTTCACACGAGAACTTTCTATGTTATAAAGTTGATAGGACTTTAATGGTGATAGGGTACCTACATACATACACCAAACAACTCCATCCTCCAATCACAACTATCAACATTTGATAGGATGTTAATGGTGCAAAGGTAATGGTACAAACTGTCCTTACAGCACAACTATTATTTATCAACACAACAAATTCAAAATTACTATGGGAGATATACTTTTTTCTCTTATTAAACTCCATCGTTGATTTTTTTATGTTATGATTAACATATTTTTGTTGTTTTATAGATGGGATATGAACCAGGAAAAGGTTTAGGGAAAGAAGGCCAGGTAACATTAACTCTTGTGATTTTATCCATATACCAGCACTGTCACAGCTTTGAGACAGAAATTCCATAAAGTTAAATCTAAATCACCAAATCATACAGTTTTTCTTGCACATATGTAGTTCTTTGCGCTTTTGTCATGTGTAATCGCTATGGAGATAGCTACCTGTCCAACTGCATCAATTTTTTTAGACTCAGGTGTCCGACATTTTCGATGTATCTGAAAATTTGTGTTTCCGTGCCTTGACATGTACAAAGTGTCAGTTTTCTTCATTATTGATGTATTTACTTAAGAATTTGTAACGATACTGCCAGGTTCAAACTATTTACTTTAATAAGAATTTTAATTTATTGGGAGTTTTTTTACTTAAGATCACTAACACTGGATTGGTTTGTATATAATGTTAAAATAACTCATTAAGTTAAAGCCTCACTCAAGAATACTTGGGAATTTAAATAATATCCTCTCAAAAAAAAATGAAAGAATCACAGCGACACAATCGCTTTTTGCTTAACTTTGGTAACTGTAATGTAAGAAAATTAACTTATTATTTTCTTATATTCTTTCATGATAAATATGACGCTTTTCTTTATCATAAATTGCCATGAGAAGGATTAAGTGTGCAGTTGATCAGCTAGTAATTTAACATATTTATTTAAGTCAGTTTTGTTGTCCAAAATGAATTAAAATTTTATGACGTAAGTAATGAAAGTACGTAGAGTTCAATTTAGACTATACAAACGGCTAGACTGATTAATTGTTACTTTGACGTCTTTAATTCAATTATTTATATGAACATTAACGAGATAAGGAAAGCACAAAATCTTTGTTTGCCATGAAGCCCGTGGATTCTTTGTTTATTATGCCTTTATTTTATTAACGGTAAACGAGTTGCAAATAAAACGAAAAATTTATAAACACGTGTACGGTCGGCTTAAATTATTAGTCAAAATGCCGAGAACTCTTGTAGATTACATAAAACTTTGAAACTGAAAACGAACTTTTTACTCTAAAATTGTTGCTAGTAGATGCATTTGGTTTTTGCCTTGATCTTGAATTTAGAAAGTTGGTTAAGTTGACTGAGCATGCTGAGATGATATCTTTAATAATATGTAAGTAAGCAAGCTATTTACACCTAAATTATACCTAGGTGATCCATAAATAGGAGATCCATTTATTTGTCGTCATAGCAATAAACTTGGACAGTTCGTTTAGACGACTGCTTACGTCAGAAAGTTATACTTACTCCAATATCAACAGATCTGATTGGTTGTTGCCACAACGCATGAATTTGAACAGTTGGTCAAGTGGATTGTAAATGCTCGGATGATTTTTCTGATAAATTGTGATTGAGCGAGCAAGTTACTCTCACAGCTGTGAAAAGAGATCCAGTTGATTCGTATGAGCTTGAATACCTGCGCAAGTTTTTTATTTTATTTCAACTTGTTTTAACAAAGGCATTTTCAGTTTCTTCAATGACTCCTGTCAGCCTCGCGTTCCTTCACTATGTTTAAAAGCAAAGTAGCCCACACCATATATGTTACATCGTGGACAAATTGGAAATTGCTTTCATATAAACTGTGGTGATTTAGACTACAGCTTGTTATAGATTTTATAAAACAATTTTTATTTAGAATGAAGTCAATAAATGTTTATCTCATGATACATGAAATTAAATTAAACGGTAGTTAGGGAGAAATGACATAAAATTACGATTCAAATTGCAAGTCAAAAGGCAGTATTTTTTGAAACTTTGCACTATTCTTGGCTTCCTAGTTGTTTCAGCTCCTTGAATTATGGTCTTTATACTTGCAGACTTATTTTCTCACGGTTTTATTGACTGTTTGGCTTTTAGGGAATATCAACACCAGTTGAAGCATTTAAACGTGGTGGTCGAGGGGCTCTTAGTTATTATGGACCTGAAAAACACACGAAGAAACAAGAGGTTTATAACTTTTTCTTTTGGTTCGGGAATTATAGTTTTTGTCAGCGTTGGTTCATTTTAATTCACTTTATTTGTTTAGCCTCAACTGGCTGAAGATGAGAAAGAAGAATTAGAGTTTCGTGAACAGCTTAATCAATGGAAAAAATCCAGCAATGTGAGTCATTGGGACAACGCATACACCGTAATGTTTTTTTCATAAAGCAGTCTTCACATTATATTTGTTTTATCTGTTTCATGAATGGACCACGATCATTTCTATTTTTATCTGAAAATAAATTAGGAGGATCAGAAGAAATGATTTGACTTGAAAATTTCACGTTCAATTACTGTTTTTGTTTAGTTGAAAGGAAAACCGAAATATATTTACAAAACTATTGATGAAGTCAAGGTAATGTATAGAAGACAATGGTGTTGTAGTTACCGTACATACGCAGGAGTTAAAATCTTGAAACATAAAATGGCTTTATATTTTCACTAGAATTCAGTAAAGTTCTCAGGATTCTTAGATGTGATTATCTCTGTTTTTAACAATACAATTTTTTCTAACTTTATAACATTACAATGATCGATTTAGAGAAATTTTAACATCAGTCCCATTAGTTCCATTCATAATACATATATTATATTCTTTTTACATTTGTCATAACCTCATGTGCATGCAAAAACATTGCGATAGACTCTCCTCAATTGTTTTTCTTCTTTAATTTTACGATAGTCACCATTTTTTGAATTGCAATCTTTATATTTTGTACTCTCTTGATGTTAGCGACTTCTGGTATTGCTCTGTACTTTTGGTATAAGTTTTGGTTGTAACACAATTTGGTCTCTTTTTTATGTATGGGTATTGGGTGGCAATTAATGTTTGTTTTGCCATTTATTCAATCAGAATGTCCGTTGTATAGGCTTCTGGAAAATCTAAAAGACCCGGTATATCTTTATCGACCAGTAATGTGAAGGTATAAATACCAATACTAACGTACCATCAATAGCATGTGCTTGATATGAGATTGGTGAATGAGCTTTTTATCCAGGTTGTTGATATGACCGGTCGTGAAGCTAAAGTTTTGACTGGATATGGATCATTTGCTACTCAACATGCAAATCCTGAAGAGATAACATCAGGTATTTCAATGTATATAATATAAATATTTATTTGTAAAGCCCATTATTATATTGGTATAAAGATGTGAAAACTGTTTTACACTCCCTATCCAACCCCCATAATTTATAAATATTGTAAAATAAATGTCTGGCACCATTCTGCTCTTTTTAAACGGGCCAATACCAATGAACGTGCAATGCACGCTGTTTTCAACGCTAACAAAAAGTGCTCAAGTTGTAAGTAAGCTGAGCTTATTAATTTGTTGGTGAACACAATAATGAGGAATTAGCGTTTGCATTAATAATTGTCTTCTGATCACGGTCATGGAATTTCTACGGATTTTGATTCATGAATGAATTTTAGAGTTTTATCTAGTGTACATCATGAACTTTACCTTGAATTACTCTCTTTGTGCGATATTTAAAGCCTCGTTCTCATTCATCGCAAAACGTCGGCGATCGAGCTTTTACGACGTCGGCGACCGAGTTTTTACGATTGCTACTTATCTGACTACGCCGACCATTGCCGACCATTGCCGACTATTGCCGAGTGCTACTTACATAAAAAGTTTAAAACGAGAATCAGTTGATTCGGGCAATTTCGGCGACAACTTACATTATAAAGAATTGATGCTCTGCACAAAAAATATTAACTCGCCTATTCTATAGCGACGCTTTGCGATGAATGAGATAGGCTTAACTGACTTTTTCATTAAAAACTTATTTTTTAACAATTTATTCTTAAAGTTAGCAAAAGTGAACGTGATCGGGCATTTTCACTTCCGGAATTGGAATACAACTTAAATCTTTTGTTGGATTTGAGTGAAACAGAAATTATTCAAGCTGATAAACAGTATGTTATCTCATTTCTAATTTTTTATATCGCTTCAATTTAACATTTAGTATCAATGCAACATGTCGTTACAAAATTCTACAAACGATGTTTAATGTCTGTGTTTTTTATCTTTCGTATTTTTTTGAAGTTTGGAGACATTTTTCATTCTTTTCAGGCTTCGTCACGAACGAGATCTGATAGTAAATTTGAAACACGAAGAACGTCTTTCTCATGAAATTGAACAAGAAGAAAATGACATGAAACAACTCGTTGATGTTTTGAAAATCATTGAGAGGTATGACGTCTATTTTGTTTGCCTTCTTGGAACTCAAAGTTGGAACGTTTGTTAATAATGCGCCTTCGTCTTTATAACAATGTTTTATTTTTAATTCTCTTTAATATTCAATGTCTTTTATAGATGAGTGGTTTAAATTTTATGTGTTTATGATTGTGAACTACTTTTCTCAAATCAAACTTTAGATGTCGACAGCAGAGTACAGGTGCCTCTGATAATCTTTCCCTCCAAGATTGTGAAGCTCTGTTCGTTAAATTACAAAGTGAATTTCTCGATTTGTATAAGGTTGGCATTCGTCGAAATGTCTTTTGCAGCTTTGCTAGAATTGACCATTGTTCTTTATTTCTATTTACATTTCAGATGTACGAGCTGGTAAAAATAGCAATTCCTTTAGTCTTTCCAAAGGTTAGCGTATGTTATTGCTGTTAGTGTTTTAGTTCAAAGTAATTTAAACTATCTTACACGAGTAAGTTAAGTTAATAATAACATTTCACCTAGATTAAAGAACACTTTGAAATGTGGAATCCATTGAAAAGCCCTGGTTATGGCTTAGAAGTTGTAAAACGATGGAAAAAGTTACTCGAAGGTGATAAACCGAAATCTTTCTGTTTATCATCTGGGCCTTCGTTAGATCCAAACAGGTGAAAATTTATATATTTTAAGCTATCATTCGTACCATTCATCATAGCCACAACTATGGTTCTTGTCGACTTCTGCACCTTATTGTGTTGTTGCGATCTGTATTTGTCGTTGTCGTTCTGACATAAATACATATTTTTATTGCATTTTGTCTTCATTAATGTTGAATTTCTTATGGACAGATCGCGTGCTAATACTTAAATAACTAAATAATAGAAAAACTAATGTAGTAAATGGTTTGAACCCGGGAGTATCGTTACATGTTTGTAGATGTAGGTCGTCCAGGTTGGTAGAGTCTTGAGAAGGACTGTTTTTGTTGATTTTGACTGACGTTTCGACAACCTTAGCGGTAGTCATCTTCAGCTAAGGTTGTCGAAACGTCAGTCTACATCAATACCAACAGTCCTTCTCAGGACTCTACTAACCTGTACGATCTACATCAACAAACATGTTATTAGGATAACTATAGTTTATTATATTTTATGTAGCATGGACACCTATGAAAGATTAATATGGGAGATTTGGATGCCAATCATACGTACGAATATCAGGTGCAGTAATGCCAAATTGTTATATGTTAAATTGACTTGTCGTTCTAGTTGTTTGTATGCGTTCTAAATGAAGTATTGTGTATAGGTACGAAACTACTTCAGGGTCTACTTAAGATTCATAGATAAACTTGGCCTACTTTTCATTTTTTCATTCTGTTGTACATAGCTAAGGCATCTCTCTTTGCTTGTTAATCATTAAAAAAACTCACTTTTTGCTTAAAGTGTTTGGAACCCTCGGAACTGCAATGGTCTTGTTGTTTTACTTGAAAATTGGCTTCCTTTATTACCATCCTGGGTATATGATAACATACTTAATCAAATACTCTTACCTCGACTACAGGTAAGAAAACTGATGCCTCTAAGTGTTGTATATTTTGAGTGTTTTACTGGTGAAACTTGCAGCTCTTATAGATTTATATTCTTCACACTTATGTGGAGTTAGTTGCGGATGTATTGGATTTAAAAGCGAGTCTTCGTTATAGTATAGTTGATGAATTAAATCTACCTAATGTTTCCTGGTAAAGATTGTATTTAACTTGAGAACAGGTTGCATTTAACAAACTTAACCAATTTTGAGCTGAAAATTTTTAACGATTTCGTTGACAGCGCAAACTATTCTTGTATACTTAAGCTTGAGTAAATCTACACTGTAGGCTGACAAAAAAAGAAAGTTTCTGTAGTTTTGTTTTGTCTTTGAATAAAATGTTCACTTTTGTAGTTTGATGTGATGAATTTTATGTGTTTGTGGTTTATAGGCTGCTGTGGAAGCTTGGAATCCTTTGATTGATCCTCTTCCTATTCATTCATGGATCCATCCATGGCTACCGTTAATGGGTAAAAATAATTTATTCAACATAATTATCTTTGATTGATCCTCTTCCTATTCATTCATGGATCCATCCATGGCTGCCATTAATGGGTAAAAATAATTTATTCAACATAATTATCTTTGATTGATCCTCTTCCTATTCATTCATGGATCCATCCATGGCTACCATTAATGGGTAAAAATAATTTATTCAACATAATTATCTTTGATTGATCCTCTTCCTATTCATTCATGGATCCATCCATGGCTACCGTTAATGGGTAAAAATAATTTATTCAACATAATTATCTTTGATTGATCCTCTTCCTATTCATTCATGGATCCATCCATGGCTGCCATTAATGGGTAAAAATAATTTATTCAACATAATTATCTTTGATTGATCCTCTTCCTATTCATTCATGGATCCATCCATGGCTACCGTTAATGGGTAAAAATAATTTATTCAACATAATTATCTTTGATTGATCCTCTTCCTATTCATTCATGGATCCATCCATGGCTGCCATTAATGGGTAAAAATAATTTATTCAACATAATTATCTTTGATTGATCCTCTTCCTATTCATTCATGGATCCATCCATGGCTGCCATTAATGGGTAAAATAATTTATTCAACATAATTATCTTTGATTGATCCTCTTCCTATTCATTCATGGATCCATCCATGGCTACCATTAATGGGTAAAAATAATTTATACAACATAATTATCTTTGATTGATCCTCTTCCTATTCATTCATGGATCCATCCATGGCTACCATTAATGGGTAAAAATAATTTATTCAACATAATTATCTTTGATTGATCCTCTTCCTATTCATTCATGGATCCATCCATGGCTACCATTAATGGGTAAAAATAATTTATACAACATAATTATCTTTGATTGATCCTCTTCCTATTCATTCATGGATCCATCCATGGCTGCCATTAATGGGTAAAAATAATTTATTCAACATAATTATCTTTGATTGATCCTCTTCCTATTCATTCATGGATCCATCCATGGCTACCATTCATGGGTAGAAATAATTTATACAACATAATTATCTTCTACGCAAAATCCTATGAAGTTAAGACTCAAATGTTACTTGCATAGAAATGAACTTGTACACTTGGATATCTAATCATTAGGAATATCAATATTTTGGGATGAGATAAGCAATGTGTCGTCTTTCGTTATTAGGCGATCGACTTGAAATATTGTATGTTCCGATTCGACATAAACTGTCTGTGGCTTTAACAAACTGGCATCCTTCTGATCCGTCAGCAAAACTTATTATTGAACCCTGGATTCAGGTATTTCAGTCACTGATTTTGCAAGTTTGCCACAACAATGTAGTATGAGCTCTGCGTAAAAAATAGAACCAAATTTATTGCTTTTTAAATTTTTTTGCTGTCTGCCAATTTTAACGAAAGTTTTCTTTCATATCGTGCAATATTTCCTTGTGTGATATAATGATTCTTTAACATTTTATTCCTGTTGTTCTCAAGCTCCATTGAATAGAAAATGTTAACATCATCTCTTGTGGTGTTGATTTTTATGTTTTTTCCATTCCACTTTCTTTTGCCAATTTGCTGGACAGCTCACCTTTCAACGGTGGATCTTGTCTTCTCGCTGCACAATATTTTTATCCTGTTCCAAGTATCATAGTATCTTCCTATCGTTGATTTAATGGTAGAAAAATCTTATGCTAATTATAAACAGGAGAACTATCATAATGTCTATTTCTGTTTGCACTTCATCAATATTTTTTGTAGTTGTAAAATATATATGTTTCATCAAATAGCTGATTCCAAATTCCCATTAAAGGAGACGTTTCCTACTTTTAATAATGTATCGAAAATTTACTTAACAAACTTAGGCATTATTGCATTGATTTTGCTCTTATCAATGCATGGTGATGTTTAGCAAATATTAATACCTAAAATGACTTTTTTATGCTTTTGTCTGTTGTAGGTTTTTTCAAAAGGTACTTTAGATGCGTTTGTTCTTCGCTCAATTTACCCTAAATTATCCCTGTGTTTGTCAGAGTTTGTCATTAATCCTCATCAACAGCACCTTGGTAAGTTGTTTTGATTTACAACTGCCAGTACTTTGGAAATCGTTTGCCAATAATTATTAAACATTTTGGCATTATACCCACAACCTTTGTCATATATTTTCAATATTTGTTGTCTAACTGTATACTTTTACACTACATTTTATTATAATTCTATGTAGCTATATGAAGGTTCAATGAAGTTCAATTGTTTTCAGAACCATTTACATGGGTGATGTCCTGGAAAAATATTGTTCCTTTTCAACATTTTGTGAGTTTATTAGAAAAGCATTTCTTTCCCAAATGGCTGCAGGTAATTTTTCATTTTATTCGTGTCGGATTAGCACATGTTTGTCGTTTCAAATAGTTTACGACAGAATAAGCAAAATATCGACTACCTTACAAAACATGCCTTGCATTTCTTTTTGTTTAATATTTTGTAGACCTTGCTTATTCTCATTTTGATGTATTTTATTGTTAGGTTCTACGAAATTGGTTGTACAACAAACCCAATTATGATGAAATCACAAAATGGTGAGCAAATTTTTCGTTGAAGTTAACATGTTTGCTAAAAATATTAATTATATATGCATACGTTTGTTCAATAATCCTTCATAACATATGTAGGTATATGGGATGGAAGTCGATGTTTGACGAAGAGTTACTTAGTAATGTTACAATAAAAGGTTTGATGCATTATTTGAAAAAAATTTTTCGTTTATTGCGATAGTATTTGTGTGTATTAGTCATCATTCAAAAAAGTATTATCGGATAAGTTCTACAAGAAGATAACGAGTATTTTGTAACATAACGACGAAAGTAGAATTAGTTATATATCCCTTTTTGTCCACAGAAATTAACTCAAGGAAATATATACCCCGCCTTAAATCATTTTTTTAAGTATTCTTTCATTGAAATAAAACTATAAAAAAGGAAATTTTGTCTGAAAAATATAAAACACTTATTAGAAAATCTGGATTTCTTTTTCGTTTTGTTTGTATAATGGAAATTGAACATAATTTTGTTCAGCTCAATTTAATCGTGGCTTGGATTTGATGAATCAAGCTGTCTCAACACCTGAAAGTCTTCAACAACCTGGTGCCAAAGAAAATGTTGCCTATTTAACTAACAATGAAAGAAGGTAAATTTTCTAACTCTAACCTGACTTCTGGCTAACCACAGGTAGTCTTCTAGCTAATTAATTATAAAGAACAGAGTTGTGCGGGCAAAGTGGAATTACTTTTTTATCGTTCTTACCACACAAATGGTTCGAGTCTACAAACTACAAAATTTCGACAACTCGTTTTTTTTAAACAGACGTGAAGCAGAAGCGAAATTAAGTGCTGGAAAAATGAAATATCAGGTATGCTGTGTGACTTTCACAGTATAGTTTTTATCCTAAATCTTTAAGCTTTTACCATTAATTACATAATATTTATTCTTCATTACAGGCAGAACCTAAGATAAACGTTACCGAGCAAAGCATTCCCACAAATTTCAGAGATTTGTTAGAAAAAATGGTACTTAAATACATTTATAGATATCTTATAAATCGTGAGATCCAACTACACTTTACTGTTTCCGTACTTTTGCAAAAATTGATCGAAAATTTAAACATGGCTCATTCTCTGACCAAGTACATTTAAGTATTAAGTTTACTTTTATCCATTTTAATTTATACTATTTTTCCTTTTTGTTTAGTCAAATGAATACGACATCTCATTTCTTCCAATCACTGGACGAAGACATGAAGGAAAAGCTTTGTACACGTTTGGAAAACTCACAATATTTATCGAACGCGGTGTCGTTTTTTATCAAGCTCCAAATGGTAGTTTTAATCCTGTATCAATAACAACTCTTGTTAGTTTAGCGAAATAATTCTTTTAAATGATACATTCATTTATAAATAACTGAGGTGGGTTATTGAAAGTTTATAAACCGGAAATACGCTTTTATTACGATTCGTTTCGTTGCTCATGCATTGAAATGCATTAAGTCAACCAAATTACATTACACTTAAGTCGTCATCATAATTTAAGTTGTTAATTTGTGGTTTGATATCGTCGTATTTCGTTCTGAAATTATCATTTAAGAACAGGCATCATCGTTCACGGTTCTTCATTCGACCATTTCAGGTAAATGTGGAGATTTTTTTTCTATTTTTAAGATTTTGCAAATGACTTTGATTTCTTATGAGTTTCACAGTAAGTTGGTTCGATATTGTATTATTATTGATTCATCAAATACGAGAAGTTAAAATGATTGATATTGGCTTGATAACCCTTAGAAGTAAATAAATGCTGTATAAATACCGATGATATTGTTATAAAATACGTATAAAAATCGAGCTTGGCTTCACGAGAGACACAAAATTTAACAAAAACAATCAACGAAGTATACTGCTTTTCGTGTATGATAAAATTTGTCATAATCACTTATTGTGATTTGTTGTAGTTAATTTGGTTTTCATAAAAATCCGACAGATTAAAACAGAAATTATAATTTTCTGATTTTTGGTTTGTCGTGCCAATAACTGCCTTCGAGGGTCAAATTTTAACTAGAAGCGGAAATTTCATGACTCCAACAAAATAGCATTTCGTGTCCACAACCAATGAAGCATTTAATGACAAGAATCTTGTATAAGAATTTCAAATGAGTTACAACAGTTATCAATCCAAAATGACGGTGAAATATTATGAATCAACCAAGGCAAACTAAATGTTGCGAGAATGTATGCTTTGTAGAAAAAGAAAATTACGAAAGTTGTTAAGAAAATATGACAAATGCCTTCAATCCAAAAAATTCCCAAAATTTCATTTACGTCTCGCTCGGGACAGTTCGTACTAATTGTAGCCTGAACAAGATTTTTTTGCGTTGACTAAACGAGGAGCAGATATTTTATAAGATTTTAAAATATTGTTCTTCTCAGAGTAACTAAAATTGTTTGGTTGGATCATTTTCAGTCTTTTCATTAAACACTTCAACAAAAGCGAAAAAGGAGTTAGCATTGCATAAAGACTGCAACGCAACACAACGCAACTAAATTCTTTGTAGTTATAAAACTCCGAACTGCATGCTATATCTCGCACATTCATTTCGCAACACCTTAGCTATCCATAAGGCCCTTGAACAATTTCAATAGTTTCATTTCGGAAAAAGCCTTCAGCAAAAAGTAGCAAAGTTTTCTCCTATACCCACTCTAGATGTTGATTACTTTTATTAGTGTAATGTGGCTATGAGGGGGGGGGAGGAGGCAAAAACTAATAAAAAACAAAAAATTCAGTAAGGGTAAAATCTGGTCCTTTCCTTAAAACCCCCTGTCCCAATGAAATTTTTGGAATTTGCGTCCCTTCTTAAACTAATGCACATTTAAAGCAACACATAACTTGATAATATTGCTCATAGATAATTCGCTTACGCGAAAATTATATGATTATGGCTGATACTTGAAATAACCATTGATATGGTATCCCAGATAGATTGAAAATCTTCGACTGTGGCATGAACTACTAGCTAGCTCCACCTACCTATTTGTTTCTTCATGGAAGGCCAAACCAGCTGAATTAAACATTTTAATATCTCTGAGTGATTAAGAGTCTCTGACTCATTTTCAACTATCTTTGAACCGAAAAATGGTCGAAATCAAATCTGAAATTCAACTTTGTATGTCTTTGTACACCTCCAAGCTGTTCCTCATCCTAATTTTTTATTTTTGTTGTGTAAGCCAAGAAATGCGCCAACTCCAGATTCCTAGGTAAACAACATGATGATGTTGTTATGTTAGCTCAGATTCACGAGGTATTGATAACTTAAAAAGATTCACATTTGATCTTATGACAAATTTACTTGAATCTTTTGTACTATTTACATATTAAAGAAATAAAAGATGTTTTTCGTTTTACTGATTTGCTCTCGAGTTCTCTCAAGTTCCAACATCTCGTCGGTTTGCATATAAGCCTGTGCAAACACTTTCTGTTCTTAGCTGTGTAAGATATAACTAAGAAATCCAAGTTTTTCAAATGCGAGCGTCGAATAATCTTATCATGCATGCGTGTGAAGCTGAGGTAGCCATTTATTCGCTAAATATGATTGTGTTGTTTAGATCTACTTGATGGTGAAGTTTTGATATGGTCTTACGAACAAAACAATATATCAGGCAGAAAAAAAATGGAAACAAATCTTTATCAAAGCTACTTGATTTTCATTTGTGCGTTTTCTTTTACAGCGGGTTTTGACAATTCGGTTATCTTACCAACGGTATGGTACTATATAAAGGCTTTAGATCAGACTGAAAACTTTTATGCTGCTGTTTTAGCTGCTCAATGTCTGGGATTCGTCATTGCATTGCCAATTTTTGGTAAAATTACGGATCGACTAAGAATGATGTCCAAACTTGTGCTTTTGCTTGCCATCACCGTAAAAATAATTTCAAATATTGTTTATGCATTACCTTTATCTGGCTTTTGTCCTCTTGTCGGATTATTTTTCTCGGGAGCAGCAAATGGAGTATTCGGAATGTTGTATGGACAAATTGTGCGATTCACAAAGAGCAAATATCGATCAAAACTGTTTATTCTTGTTGACTCATTGTTTACGCTTGGCACTTCTATTGGGTCAGGACTAGGAGGCGTTTTTACTTTCCATACAAACATTTTAGGACTGAAAATCAATGATGGAAATTCACCAGCAATTATCTTGCTTTTTATTTGGTTTGTAGCTTTAATTGTGTTAAGTTTCCTCCCATCTAAATTTGGAGACAAAGAAATATCAAGAAAAGATTGTTTTCCTGGGGAAAATGATGAAAAGCGCTCATTAATAGAAAGTCTTGACTTTACTGTGTTATGTTTATTGTATCTTATTTTTACAAATTCCATTGTCGTGGCAACGTGCACTGGTATTTTAGAGTTAATATCCATGGAACTATTTCATCTTAAGCTCCTTCATGTCAAACTTCTGTTTGCAGTTGGAATGGCGTTTGTGTTGGTGGTAAACATCATTTTTTACAATGCATCAACATATTATAATGAGAAAACTCTATCAATTTTCACTATCATTTTACAGATTCCTGCAATACTACTTCTTTGTACTTATGCAGCTTTTTGGCGTGATGCACCATTCTCTCTAAGCTATACTTTAATAATTTTTGCCTGCTTTGGTTTTCCTCAAGTTTGTTTTGCTGTTGTTAGCTCATTGTTATCAAAGATCACGCCAACGCATCATGCCAACACAATTCAAAGTATTGCAATGTTAGATACATTTCTGGCAGCACTTGTCGGTCGTGGACTGTCTGGTATTCTATTTAAGAAAACCTCTCTCATTATTTGCAGTTGCAGTTATTTTCTCTTTTGGTTTCTGGGATTTATTTGGTTTGGACTAAAATATCCTCATTTAGCTGTCTCATAATGTCGTCGAAGAAACAGAAAACCTTTAAACCTTTACCAAAAACCACGAGCAAGATCAAGATAGAATTCTTTTTTACTTTGCAAATGTGATAAAAATTTGCAAATAACTTACTAAATCAGCTGCACAAATTCTTTTAATGTTGCATAGCAATGTAGCTTAGTTTTTGATTAACATGAACAATATTGTGAATGACTATAAGCACTTTTTTAAATATTGAAGTCAGGTCTTTCAATAGACCTTGCAGAGCTTGTAATTTTGAAAACTATGCATGATTAGACCATTGAACTAAAATACATGGAACGCTATCTAAAGCGAATTGAAGTCAAATCCTACACCCAGACACGCGTGTGTAGTGTTTCAACTTCTGAAAATTGATTGACTACACAAGCGTGTCTGGGTGTAATCTCGCGTGTCTGGGTGTAATCTCGCGTGTCTGGGTGTAATCTCGCGTGTCTGGGTGTAAAATTTGGCTTCAAGAATTTATTAGACTTTTCTATTACAGGTAGCATTCCATGTATTTTAGTTCAATGGATTAAACAGACCAGCAAATTTTACTTTTTAAATATTTAAATTTATTTTGATTTTTGACCATGATGATTGCGTTAAACGCAACTTTTGGCAAGCCCCTTGCGAAGAAAAAACATTCACAAAAGCTTTGTTTTTGTTCCATATTACGATTCTTACCACAGATATTCTTTTTAAGTTTTGGCACAATAAAACCTCGTTAAAATCATCCCTGCGATGGCTTACTTGTGATATGAACATAATCGCGCAAGTTATCAATGCTAAAATCCTCTTATCAATTATCCAAAGCGTCGTTTACACGAGCAATTTTTATGTGACAATTTTTATATGACAACTTTAGGCTGGTTTTTTTAAATATAAGGTTTGGGAATGTGTTTAAAGCTTCTGAAAAGTCCTCAAATAAAAAATTGAGGACTCTTGAAAAAGTGTATAAAAAAATCTAAATCTAAATAAGTGCTTGAAAAGGGCGTGAATGAAAATAACTCCGTAATGTATTCCTACAAATGTTTCAACAGGATATATTATTTATTGAGTTGCAAACTATCTCTGGTTAAATGTTAAAATTGGACGCCCAAAAAGCCCGAGCAGAAACCGCAGAAAGCATCGTCAGAAAATCATCATAAAATTAGGATTCATTTTATGAAGAAACCCTTAAGATTGTCAAAATATAGTAACTACCCTTAAAACGTGACTCGTGTAAATTTTGACAAGCCACAACGTCAACATGTGCTCGATTAAACTACTTAAAAAATCCTTAGATATTTTAACATAAGTACTGCACGTCAAACCTCTAAAATAATGTAAAGACAGTTAGCCGGTTTTCACAAATTTAAATTTTTCGACGCTTGTATAGCACGATGATTGATAAGGTCAATAATTATGCTAACGTATCAGTTATCAGGAGCTTACATCCATCCAGTTAACAATTTGCCGGTATAAGTCAATGGTATATACTTCAATAATGGTGGCGTTTAGCAAACTTCAAAATCGTATCACTTCAACAATTTCAGCAAATAACTATGGTATTGCTGCTGCTGGCGCTGTTGCAGTTGCCTTCTTTATTTGGAATAAAGGACGGCTTGAAAGAAAAGAAAAAATGTAAGTTTGTGTCATCCCTTCATATTTTAATGTGTTTAATGATATGCAAAATTTGGTTTATTTACTCTGCAACTGGGGTCAAAGTATGTGGATTTTTAACCAGAAATTTGAGGTTCAAAATTAAATTATTGTTTGTGATGGCATTGAAATAAGTTTTTGTGGTTCTTGTTTTATAAATAATGATTTTTCAAATAATGCAAAACAAAACATATAAATCCAGCTTTGTACAACATTATTACGTATGTACGTAAATAGATATCTGACTACAGACACGTGACGTTTAACTGCTGCCGTGTAAAATAGTTTTATCAAAAAAAAAATTTCAAAGTCCATAATGCATACTTTCCAGGCTGTCAAGTTAATAGAATGCTTTTCACATATATATTTCTATGCATTTAGTCAATTTTTACGTAATGAAGCATTAATTTGCCTGCGAAATACAGCATGAAACATGACTGTATACTTCATAATCCATTAAAAAGATTCAATATAATCACAAACAAGGAAACATGTACAATAGCAACTGAGATTCAATGATGACCTTCAAAATACGTTGCATGATTAGAATAAAACTGCAAAGTTTTATTTTCATTTTTAAAATTTCATTAATAAGTTACGTATAGTGAAATTTGTTTCAGAATTGAATGGTCAATAGGTAATTTTGTATGTGTTTTTTGTTAAACATTCATGTTGGAAATTATGCAAATGTAATTAACTATTTCTTGATTGCACTATTGAATCTTGTACGTATGACTTCATTCCTGAAAGAAGAAATTGTTGGGTTTTTACCAATTAAAAAAATACCAGTGTTAATTACCTAATCTTATTTTGTTACTTTGTCCATGAAAAACTTAATGACTCATTAGTAAATTCCTATGAAAAAGAACTAGAATACATTTTTGTAATTTACGTTAGGCTTGATGATAAAGATGAAAAAGAGCATTCTGCAGTCTCTCTAGAAATAAAGCATAAGGTAAGTGAAATTTTGCTGTGTGTATTAATCCAATGTATACTGTGTGTATATTATTTACTTGGCGTATCCCTCTCTTTACTTTTATACTTTGTTCAAAATTTGATATTAATAACAATAACAAACCGGAGTAACTTAAAGTTTGTTTCATAGAGATAAAAATTTGCATGAGAACTTTTCTTAATTCTTCTTTTATTCTTTGCCACATCTGCAAAACAAAGTTCCAACTTTCAAACATTACCTCTTATACACACTCAAGGTGTTTATGATGTAAATTTTGTAGAAATTAAATGTGCCTTGCAATAAAATGAGACTTGTCGAATAATGTGGCATTTATTTTGCGTCAGGAAGCATAGTAAAAATGAAGAAATAATACAACAACCAAATGAATAACAATAACTCTGCATAAAGAACTAAAGATACCTGTAGGAAAGAACAACTGCCACACTTTGACTGGTGTAGTTGTGTGAACATTTGAAAGAGTGGGAACATCTGAAAGACACCACATTTTAATGCAAAATTTAAATGTGATTCCATGAAATGATTTACCAGTATCTACTACAAGTGTTTTGACACAAGACTGCTTAAAGTTTATTCTTGTCTAATTTCTCTGAAATTAAATTATTCCAAGAAAAAGTTACTTTTTAAACAAGGAGGGCATGTACAGGTGGGAGGGCACGTACAGGTGAGAGGGCATGTATAGGTGGGAGGGCATGTACAGGTGGGAGGGCATGTACAGGTGGGAGGGCAGGTACATGGGGGAGGTGGCACAGGTGGGAGGGCATGTACAGGTGGGAGGGCATTACAGGTGGGAGGGCATGTACACAGGTGGAAGGGTGGGAGGGCATACAGGTGGGAGGGCATGTACAGAGGGGCATGTACAGGTGGGAGGGCATGTACAGGTGGGAGGGCATGTACAGGTGGGAGGGCATGTGGCAGCAACAGGTGGGAGGGCACGCACAGGTGGGAGGGCATGTACATGGGAGGATGTGGGGATGGCAGGAACATGGTGGGATGCATGGGTACAGGGCATCATGGGTGGGCATGTACAAGTGGGAGGGCATGTACAGGTGGGAGGATACAAGTATGGAGGGCATGTACAGGTGGGAGAACATGTACAAGTGGGAGGGCATGTACAGGTGGGGATGTACATGATGGCATGCATGGGAGGGCATGTACAGGTGGGAGGGCATGTACAGGTGGGAGGGCATGCAGGTGGGAGGACGCAGGTGGGAGGGCATGTACAGGTGGGAGGGCATGTACAAGTGGGAGGCACATGCAAGTGGGAGGGCATGTACAGGTGGGAGGGCATGTACAGGTGGGAGGGCATGTACAGGTGGGAGGGCATGTACAGGTGGGAGGGCACGTACAGGTGGGAGGGCATGTACAGGTGGGAGGGCATGTACAGGTGGGAAGACATTTACAAGAGAGAGTCATTTAGATATATTCATTGCTATATAAATTGTGTAATGTGTATTGGAGGATGGTGTCATTGCTATTGAAGCCAGTCGTGTATTTGTGGAAATATACTACTCAATTATGATAACTTTAAAAGTTATCAATAACATACAACGCTATCAATAACATGCATACAATCGGTTTGCTAATGTGCACTAATTATTTGTCAACAGTGCAATTTGCACAGTTTTTGTCTAAAATATAAAACTTTGCACAAACAATATGCGAAAAAAGGGAATGTTATGCATTAATTATTAGCATGTAAATTGGCAGTACTTGTAATATATTGTCAATATGATGTTTTATGATAGGATTCAAACATTAATAGAAACATGAGGAAATTGAGCCATTGGAGTTGTAGTGCCCTACATTGTACACAATGATTAAATGCCACAAAACCAGTTTACACTGTCATCTGCAATCAAAGTGTAATATCAAGGTTGCAGGCAGTGTAAACACTATTCTTTGACTGTTATGACTTTATTATAAAAACTCACTGAGTTACATTTAATGAGTGAGACTACTAAATCATCACATGATTATTCAAATGCCATAGATGCATGAGAAAAATGACTTTATCGTGGATTAGAAGGAGCACAGAATTTTTATTGCCCTCTGTGAGTGTGAGTTAGCTTTTAGAATACGAACATTGCGGCCTCTGCAAAGCTTAATTAAGAAGTTGGGGCAACAATAAAATGGATTTTATTGTGTATGATCAATTAATAGACAACGTATCTACACAACACAACCAAGTATAATTCACATACAATTTTGCTCACATAAACAGTAACTATGTTTATTGTTATTATCATGCATTACACATTACATATCATCTTAGTGTACGGAATTTAGGACGTGTTCGGAACACAAATGAAGTGCGAACGCTTCTAATCAGTACTGTACAAAAAAATGCACGTATTACCCTTTAACGTACATCGATTTAGTTATGACTTTCAACGTACATACATTTTTCTCGAAAATTTGCACATCGTTTTTTCTTAACTAATTCGCGCACTGCAATACAGTGGAACCCGCCGGGTGCCTCGATAATACGGCCACTTTTTATTATCCTTGCAACACACTAATGTATATTACAATAAAGTTACCCAATTAAGTGCGGCTACCTCTTTAATACGGCATAGAAATCCCCCGTTTATACGGCCAATCCAAATCGTAAATGTATTGTTGGAATTGAGAAGTGTTATGCCAGTTATAGAAGACAAAATCTTAGCTGCATCATATTACAGATTAATTTCAATTTTAACATTCTTTCATGACTGAAAACTTTATGAAGTCTTGATATTGTAAAGTTCAAAATAAAATTTCTCGGATGACATCATGCTTGAAATTTGTATCTAAGATTACCAACATAAAACATAAAAAGTTTCAATTAAATTTTTCTCTAATATTCTCTCTATTAACAAATAAAACACTGTTTATTTACATAGAAAAGCAAGAAAAGCAAAAGTCGAGTTGCCGTAGATAACAAGTTTTTCAGGTATTCTTCTGCTTCTAATAAAGTTATAATTTGCAACATTTCTATTCAAGAATAGCGTTGTAAGAATATTGTATTATTGTTGGATGTAAACTTGCTGCAACTTTATTGCAATTATACTTCATTTTAAGTCCATATAATTTCCAATTGTATATTGATTCCATATTGAAACAGAGATTAAGACTGCACTTTTGTGCGTTATCGTTGTGTTTGTTCCCATGATATTTTGCAACTACATTTCAGGGACCTTTTTCAATTGATTAAAATTGTTATTCCTGGATGGTTAACCCCAGAGGTTTGTAACCGTTTCTGTATAAAATGCAAATTTCTACAGTATACATCATTCTTTCTGTTTCATTTAACAATTAAATTTAATAATTAATTAGTGCAGATTACCAAGACATATGCAAAATTCTAGTTTAATGTGGGTGCCAATGATTGGCTGTTAAGGTGGTTTTTATTACCTTAGACCGGTTTATTGGCTCTTGTCGCCGCTTCTCTTGTAACAAGAACATATTGTGATTTATGGATGATACAGAATACCACAAGCATTGAGAGGTTTGATATTTTCTGTTTGCTAACATATACATATACGTACCTATAATGTGTGTAGAGTAATGATGGTTGAAATTATTTACCACTCTTTTGTGATCATTGTTTTTTTCAAAATGTGAATACTTAAAAAAAGTTAATATGTAGTTTTTTTACACGTAAATGCATTGTTGGTCAAAAACTACACGTTGTACCCTTTTTTTGTCATCGCTTTAAATGTTGAAAGAAAATTCATTCATTGGCTAAAAGTTTGTGAACATTTTAAAGTTTTGTGTCTACTTTCAATGTCTAAATTCATTATTGTTTTTTTTAACAAAGGTCCGTCATTGGTCGTGATATAGATGGCTTTAGAAAGAATATTTTGGCATTTGTTTATCGTATGCCTCTTGTGAGTTCATATATTTTAAAGTCATGAGGACTTGTAAAACTCTTTTCTTTCATATGTTAAACAAGTCTTTAACTGTCAAAAATGTTTTTGCGTTTTTAGCTTTCTATCGTGAACAACATTCTTAAGGTAGATTTCTTGTTGTGTTTATTATGCAAGGCCACGCAATTTTTTGTTATTTTAAACGTATTGTGCACGTCTCGTTCTGTCTTTAATGCTTTAGTTTTATCTATCACTTTTATATTTATCAATTCTATATTATTTACTTTCTTCCGATAAAAACTAAAAAAAAGCTCGACTTTGACTATTGACATGATGACGTGTATTGCTTTGTAGCATATTTAATGTAGCTCAAGACTAGTGAGTTCTGCATTTATTAAGAATGTAGCTAAACCATAATTTATAATCGACTTTTGATGTAGGTACACAAGTTAAGTATGCAAACTTTATTTTTAGTATGGTTTAAATGAATTAGAGCTTTGCTTACGAACAAGAATGACAAAACATCTTCTCTCAAAATATTTGAGGTATGAAACTTGATGTGTTTTTGTAGTGTATAAATGAATGCTATCGATAATTGTACCAAGAAATGAAATGGAATGAAACAAGCACATTGTATTTTGCATGATGAATTGCAAGAATATGTTATTTAAAAATACGTGAACGGTACCGTAACATGAGGCGAAATTAGTCATTTAAAATCATAACATGGTTCATTTAGACATGTGTCTTGGATTGTTTTTCTTCATTTATAAATGAACCAGTGCATTGGTTTCTGTTGATCTTTTTTTTCAATCATGATCGCAATTTTTTTATCACTTATTCATTTATTTATTTGAAATTTATCTATTTTTAGTAACTTCGTCTATTATAAAATCAGTAATTTGGATACGAGAATTTCCAATCCTGACCAATTACTCACCCAGGTAGAAATTTCAAATCTTTACACGTCAATTTTAAGTAAGTAGCCATATGGCGGGAGTTACGTTGTTTTCGTATTTCAGGATGTTGAAAAGTTCTGTAGTGGTTTGGTTGAGTTATATTCTAATCTTAGTAAGGTTTGTGTTTAAGGTTTTTAATGTACCATATGGTAGTAAATTTTATATTTAAGTATTTGGAGTTAATTCTTTTGAAAATTTTTCTATCACAGTATCATTTATTCTTCACAGCCCATTCTCGATATCATTTTATACGTGTACAGACTCTCTGGAGCGATTGGTGTTCAGGTAAACGACTGAAGGTTTTATGTATGTGCATATGTCAATTTTATTTGTACGTAGGATTTATATGTATTCCAAAGGATATATGCGTACATCAATTTTATATGTACGTAGGATTTATATGTATTACAAAGGATATAAACTTGTTCTTCAATTTCAAAGAATTTATACGTTCTTAAAATGTAAAGGAACTTCAATAGTACCGAATGTTTTCAGGAAAATTTAGAATATTGTTTCTTAGTCATTATTAATGTAATGGCATCATCAATTTTTTAGGGTCCTTTAGCAATGTTGGGTTATCTCATACTGTCTGGTGTTGTTTTGACAAGGTTCACCTTTGATATCTTTATAAAGGAGTTATTTTTTATCATCGATTAATTTTAGTTGATATTATTTTAAAGATTAAGGCGACCAGCAGGAAAAATGACTGTTGAAGAACAACATCTAGAGGGAGAGTACAGATATGTCAACTCCAGACTGCTGACCAATAGGTACCGAAGCCTTTACATAGCTACAAAAGCAAATGTTCTTTTAGATACGTACTTCTGATGTATTTTTAACCTTGAGAACGTTTGTCTTAAACCCATTCATATTAATGAAATAATTTATCATCAAACTGGTGTCATTTATAGTGAAGAGATTGCTTTCTATCAAGGCGATTCTCGAGAAAAGTTGGTTATAAATCACGCTTTTCAACGATTGGTAAGCTGTCTAAGGCTGTAAGATTTGTCAAAAATTATATTTATCACTTTGTTTGTGTGTATGTATGCTTTTCTTAACATTATAAAAAATGCCAGGAGTTTCGTTAATTATTTGTCCAGGACAATTTTTAGTCAAAAGTATGTACGTATGTATACATTGATTTTAATTTTCTTCATCTTCAGATGAACCACTTGAGAACGTTCTTGCAATTTCGAGTTACGATGGGTTTCTTTGACAGTATTATTGCGAAATGTAAGGGAAATACATATTTTTTTTCATATTTTCTCATCGCTTGATTTTATGCATGTACAGCAAAATCTTTTATTGTATTTTATAATCGTGCATATACGTTACAATAGTTTTTGTGAAGATTTCAAAAAAAGTTTCATTTATACTAAAATAAGTTTGGATCACAATATCTTCCCCCGTATACAGTTCTTTTTTTGCATACTGTATCACTAAAAGTCTTGTATTTTATGCTCCATCATAAGTTTACAAGCTGTCAATGATTTGTCGTTACTGTGCAACGAACTAAACTTTATAGACGCAACAATAATCAAAGCGTAACTACGTGAATTTACGTACACTAAACGTGAAGTTAATCGAACACAGAAACAACAGTCTTTTGATCACAATGTTTTTATGTGTTTCTGTTCGTAGATATTTCTTTGGTTGTTGGCTTCTCCGTTGTTAGTATTCCCTTCTTAAGTTTGAGCAATCCTAAATATATTAACAGCACTTACAGCGAAAGACTACAGGTGATTAGGTGCTAAATTGTAAAGTTTGAATGGTTTTGATTTTCTGCTGCTGTACTGAACAACCTGCAAATTTTATTCAGTGCTATCACTATTATTTATTTTGTTTGAGATTCAGTGACCATAATCTCGATAAATCCATCATGTCTTTCGATAATCTGTATCGTCTTTCACAATATTCAGTAATTCCATTTCTTATAGTCAACCCAAGCTTTGTGCTTAACAAATGATGACGAAACTAGCAAAGCTTGTTTTGTTTCACCACCTACACTAATACACTTCTCTTGTTATTTTTGTTTTTCGCTTTTCAGTTACTATTTTAATCTTCATTCATTTCAAGCAAGTGACATTTACTTTAACAGTGTTGATCAACATAGATCAACTCACCTGTTTCAACTTTTAAAAACATGAGAACACTCTATTTCTCAAACTTTTCTCCGTCATGACTGCTTTAAGTAATGAAATCTGGATTACAATTTTTTATTCATTGCCGAGCGTCAAGTAGATTTCAATTTTCCAACTCGTGAAAATCTTGAAAATTGAAGTTGAAAGTCAATGAAGTTTAAAAAGTTGAAAATTTTTTAAAATCATTGAATTCATACGATTGCTAGGATTCACGTTAACTGATTATAATTGTCATTGTTTGTCTGCAGGACTATTATGTCAGCGGTCGTATGATTGTTAAAATGATGGAAGCTGTTGGTAGAGTGGCACTTGCTGGTCGAGAATTGACCAGATTGGCCGGGTACGTATACCCGGCTTTGACGTTTTAACATAAGATTCTTGCCATATGTGGACATTTATTGAATTTAGTTTGAAGTTACTTAGTTATGTTAAGTAGCTGCCTGAAATAATCGATTGAAACGAGTTTATTTGTCGTAGTTTCGTGGAATTATGTATATGTTAACTGCTTCCTTTCTATTTTGTTTTTCTCTGTAGTTTTACTGAGAGAGTGAAGGAAATTATTGACGTTTTAAAAGACTTAAATGAAGGAATTTACAAACGAACCATGGTCTCATCTGGAATGCAGGATGCTGCAAGCAATGGTTCGTTGAAAATTGTGATGTGTGTTTGTAATGGAAATATGGCTTAGTTTACGGAACATCCCAAAGTTTAGATATTTTTGTATCTTGTTGATTTATGGAACTTGAGGATGATTGATATGTTTTAAATTGATTAACATTTAAGTTAAAAACGAATTCGAGCGGTTAGTTTCCTCGACGATTTGTCAAGAAAACAATAAACATTTCTCCATCTCTATTGTCTCGGCTACAAGTGTCCCCGATGTTTCTTCTCAATCTCTATTGTTCCGGCTACAAGTGTCCCCTGCGTTTCTTCTCTATCTCTATTGTCCCGGCTACAAGTGTCCCCTGTGTTTCTTCTCAATCTCTATTGTCCGGCTACAAGTGTCCCCGATGTTTCTTCTCAATCTCTATTGTCCCGGCTACAAGTGTCCCCGATGTTTCTTCTCAATCTCTATTGTCTCGTCTACAAGTGTCCCCTGTGTTTTTCTCAACCTCTATTGTCCCTACTACAAGTGTACCCGATGTTTTTCTCAATCTCTATTGTTTTGGCTACCATGTAACGTACTCAAGTTTCCCTCGATGTCTTTTCTTTATTTCCGTAGATTCTGCTTTTTGTTAGTCATAATATTCTGATCATTTTTTACATCAAAATTTAACAGGCAGCAGTTGTGTTCGTATAAACACAGAATGTCCGTCTGGAACAGTCATAGAATGTGATCATATTATAAGGTAATTATGATTATCCTAATTATATGTTTATCCTTATGATTATGTTTTATTATTTCCTTATGATCAGATAACTACGATAATAAGATAATTTTATTCCTTCAAGATTCGAAAATGTGCCTCTAGTTACTCCTAATGGAGATGTGTTAATCCGCGAGTTAAATTTTCAGGTATAGGAGTTAAACACGAATTTATGCAAGATTTGTTTGAACATTATCTAAGTTTAATTCAATTTTTGGTACGCACTTTGTTAAGCAAACGCTGCTTTTACTAGTTACACTTAATATCAATAACTACGTATAATATCTTTTGACTCACTATCATTGTCTACTAACTACAGTTATTTCTTTACAACTATCTAATGGGTTTTAGTTTAACTTTAGGTTGAATCTGGTATGAACGTGCTTGTATGTGGTCCTAATGGTTGTGGAAAAAGTTCTTTATTTAGAATTTTAGGAGAGGTAAAGAGAGATAAAAGCTGTTCTATTTGTTACTATGATTAATTACAAAAATACGCTCAGTTTAACTTCTGTTTGTGTGAAGAGAAAGAATAAGAAAAGTTTATATTCGCTATTAATGTCAACATTATTTATTATATATTCTATTTGCGTGACAAATAGACACGGTGCAATAATTTCCACTAAATAACTTCTATAGTTATGGCCGTTGTTTGGTGGAAAGCTGGTAAAACCTCATCGCAGCAAGCTTTTTTACGTTCCACAGGTAAGTGTAAATTATTTTAACATGACAGGAAATCATTATCGACAATGATTATACAACATTTAAAGTTTTTTAATGAACAGAGCACTCTTGTTTACAAGATTTGATGGTATTTTTATTAAGACAAATGCTATCAAGTATTAGTCATTTAATTATAATTTTATTAGTAACACAACAAAATAAGTTTTTTATACAGATGATGTAAAATTGAAGATATTTTTAGAGATAACGTGATATTATGAATTGTTGAGCAACTTGACTCTGCAGACATGAAATGAATAAGATGCTAACAAATGAATGTCATAATATAAAACATACTCCGAATGAAAAGATCTTGTTTCTCTCAATATTTCAGAAAAATTGAAACTATTTCGAATTTATTGTTTATCTGACTCGAGTCTGATGATGAATTTGTAATAAATTCGAAATATTACTGTTAAAATAAAAAATTGTCTTGTTTTTTTCTCAATGAACTTTTATTCGGAGAATGTTTCATATTGTACTACATACGATTATCGGCTGGTTGTGAAAATGAATGTCATGCATCGAGTGTAGCATTTTGTTTGGCACTAAATGCGCTGAAAGCAAGCAATTAAAGTCCCGTGTATAGTCCATCATTTCTATACTTTGCAGCGTCCATATCTTGCAATAGGATCTTTGCGAGATCAAGTTATTTATCCTGATTCAGTTGAACAACAAAGAGAGAAAAAAATAACTGACGAAGAACTGGAGGAATTTTTGAAACAGGTTTTTTATTCTGCTCACTATATATGCTCTATTTATGTTGAGTTAAAATCGTCATTAGGTATGCTTAGTAAGACAAATGAAATTTAAACAAGATTTCTAAAAAATCAAGTCTTACATATGAATGATTATACGTAGGTTCAACTGGAATACATATTAGAAAGAGAAGGTGGATGGGATGCTGTGCAGGTATTTTATGTACCAAAGTTATTGAGTACGAATAAAGAAGTTTATGATAAATATGTTAACCCTTTGATGCATGACTTTTTGCTCCGACTGAGCTCCGTCGTGTTCTGTGATTGTTGCCCTGAAGCAACGCCGTTTAGCAAAGGGATATTGTCCTACACAAAAATTTTATTTTCAACTCAATATCATATTGAATTGTAATTTTATCATCGTTGAAAGTGTCGTAAAACAGTTTGCATTTTTTGAAATGCAATAAAATTTTTTATTATCGGTAGAAGGGTAACCTCGACACTCTCTCTCAAGTTTACTTTGGAGCACCTAAAAATAAGTAAACTCTTCTGTAATTTAAACTATAGTTTCTGTCTCTTATGAATGGCGAAAGTGTATACGTACCTACTTTGGTTAGAATCATAAAGAAATACAAACATTATTTTACTTTTTGTTGTGTAGGATTGGATGGATGTCCTAAGTGGTGGAGAAAAACAACGTATTGCTGTAAGTACAGTAAAACACTCGGTTAGTTTTGAAAAATGAGAAAATGGCGAATCATCCAACAAATCAAAAATATGCGTACCATCTGTACTGTTGTTTATCAAAATATTATTCGTATTTCGTGGTGTATCGTTGGTACATTACTGGCTTCTTGATATTTACCTCTCCTCCAACTGTCCTGGAGCTGTCCTTCAGCTATCCTGTTGCTGTCTTTCAGCTATCCTGTTGCTGTCTTTCAGCTATCCTTTGCTGTCCTTCAGCTATCCTGTAGCTGTCCTCCAGCTATCCTGTAGCTGTTCTTCAGCTATCCTGTAGCTGTCTTTCAGCTATCCTTTGCTGTCCTCTAGCTGTTCTTCAGCTATCCTGTTGCTGTCCTCTAGCTATCCTGTAGCTGTTCTTCAGCTATCCTGTTGCTGTCTTTCAGCTATCCTTTAGCTGTCCTCTAGCTGTCCTGTAGCTGTCCTACAGCTATCCTGTAGCAGTCCAACAGCTATCCTGTTGCTGCCCTTCAGCTATCCTGTAGCTGTCCTACACCTATCCTGTAGCTGTCCTTCAGCTATCCTGTAGCTGTCCTACAGCTATCCTGTAGCTGTCCTACAGTTGTCCTGTAGCTCATAAAAAATAATTACCATAAACATTTTTAGATGGCTCGACTGTTTTATCATCGTCCGCAATTTGCGATATTAGATGAGTGCACTAGTGCTGTTAGTGTTGATGTCGAAGGCTTTATTTACAGTCATTGTCGTGAGGTATGTATGTTTATACTTGTTTTGCAAATGACATTTCACGTACGACTAGCTAGGCACTGTAATCCGTGCCATTAAAATATTCTAAAATATTTTGTGCCAGCTTAAGGTTAACCAAAAAAACAAATGGTATCGATCATCTGTACCTTAAAAAATTCTTTTATTCTAAGTTTGGCCTTTAATCTTTAGACAATGTACATTTTCTGGGAGATTATGAAAAAAAAAACGAATTTTAAACCTAATAACTTGCGATGAATTTTAAGCCTTTTACAAGGAATATGTATTTTCCATTTAAAACACAATACGTTGTACATGCAGGTCACTATTTCAGAATAGAGAAAATTTTGATGGAATTTATTTGTTTGATAATAAATGTAGTTATTGAATTTTTTAAATCTGTTTATTCACAGCAAAAAATCTTGTAGTTTTTGTTAGTGATGGTGAAATTAAGAAAATAAAAATCAATTTTGCGCTATTTAAATACAATGTTTAAACCCCCTGCATTGTGTTAGAATTATAGTGTGAGGGAAAAACATTTTTGTTAACTTTTGAATATTTTTACCGTAGATCGGTATAACATTGTTTACAGTTTCACACCGGAAGTCACTGTGGAAACATCATGAGGTAATCTTTGATCCAGACTTCATCTCTTATTGTTTCTGTTAAATTTCATTGAAAATATGAGACAATATGAGTAAGGAAGGATATTTAAAAAAATTAAATCCGATCTCTCTGGTTTATTCAAAAGGAATGTAAATAAGTGGCGATTTTAACTGTTCCATTATGTAACTTATCTATAACATTCTCATTTTCAATTATTCTTTCTAAAAACTATCTTTGTATTGTTGCCTACATGGCTGATTGCTTGGATTTTTACGAAACAATCAACTTCATAGAAACGTGACCGACAAAGAAACGTCAATTGAAGGGGGGGGGGCTATTCATTAACAGACGCAACTCAATGAACACCACTCCACCCCGTTAATTCACAATTAACGTTCTAGTGACCACCCTAAATACAAACTAGTCGATGATTTCTATGAATATGTTTTAAAAAAACCTAATTGAAGCTATATTTCTATCAAAATACGAGTTATATTTACGTTATAAAAGAGTTCTCGAATATTCAACACATTTTACTATCGTTCTACACGACTTGAGCACGTCTATAACAACCAAATGAATATTTTTTTATAAGATTATACGACTCTGGTGGTTTATTTACGTTAGGACATGTTGCCTTTCTCGGCGTATTCGCAAAGTTTAAAAGGAAAACACAACTGGTTGTTAAAAGCTGATTATTTTAATCTCTATAAGAGTGAGATTAAGAAATTTCCAGATTTAGACAATGACGTCAACACAATGAAAATCGTTTTATTGATTTTACTCTCCATTTTTTTACATCAGAAACAAGGTTATCCCTTACAACTGTTCTTTTATATATTTTATCAATTTTTATTCGAAGGAATTTTATTAAAACACATAACTCCTCTCGTAATGTTGAACTCTCATTTGCGTATATATTTTATTTGTTACGAGTCTTTGAAAAACTTACTCTTGTATGTTTTTTCCAAAATTTCATCTCATGTTTTATTATGAAATGTTCGCCAATGAAATGTGTAAAATGTTCACCCACAGAGTGTGTGAACTGTGTTGTGTTCACCAATGAAGTATGTGAATTGTTCACCTATTAAGTGTGTGAATTTTTCATCGTGTAAGTTCAACAATATCGTGTTATTGCATATTTTTCATTCATCGATTGGAAAAGCAAGCACCCTTTTAAAATATAACCTCTCTAGATTATTTTTAACAATGCACTAAAAACTATACTATATAAATGTGCTGTGCTCACATTGTTCCTATTTGTGTCAACTGACACGTTTGAATTACACACCCACCGTGTGTAATTTACGTAGCATTTTCATACATAGCACGACCAAATTTGCGTGTTGGTAACGCCACTGATGTAGCTAATTACGTTATTATTCACAAAAACGTTTCTGCATAAGACTAAAATCTTAATCGTATTGAAAAAAATGAAGGCGACATTTTTGAGTTAGCGTACATATAGTTGTTAACATAACAGCGTTTCATGTGCAGGCAAACAGGTCAATTCCTGTTCTTCGACGGCCCCATTAATGATTACTTAACTCCATATACTTTTATTGGACATGAAAAATTTTATTGAAGTCAGTTTGAATTTTTAAACATTTCAGTTTGTGCTTTACATGGATGGCCGTGGTTCTTACGACTTTAAGAAGATTGATCCTAATGTTGAAGAATTTGGATCGTAAAAGTATGAAATACATATTTTATTAACACGTGGGAATTATTTATGTCAATTGATTTTACTTTATAAAATTATGCTTTGTCTTACTCTCTGAATAATTAAGAAAGGTCGATTCTAATTTGAAAACATTCGAATCGTTAAACTAAGGAATATATATGTTATTAACGTATGAAGGGATAATTTATACCTATTATGGTTTTACATCAATGAGAAAATGTCGTCAATGGCTACATAATTTACTCGTAGTAATCTTTTGAATCAACAAAGACTTTGGTAAAATACCTATTTGTTAAAGATCGCATGAAAAATTCCTATGGTTGTTATTATCAATGTTAGACAATTGGTTAGGAATTCATTTTATTTTGAGAGCGTGGGATTTTGTTTGAAAAGTCATCATTGATATGTGTTTTTACATCTACCATTTTGACACAATTCATTAGGAAATATGAAAGGATTCATTCATATTCTGCTCTCTCCTGTCTATCTTCATGTATATAGCAATTTGTTCTCTTCATGTGTGAAGACGTGTCTATTTTTTAGTTAGAAATTCTAGTCTTTCAAGATAATTTCAATGAACAAGCTTTCCTTATCTTTAATCTTTTCGATGAAAGTAAGTTATGTCTGGTACTCGAAGAAAATGTCCATATGTGAACATGAAGGAATGTATACATAAGACGCCTGTGTCAGTTTCATAAATTAAATACTTTGTCGTGTTACAATGAGTATATTTAACATATTTTGCTACATATACTTTCTAGTTGCATGAAACGCCTATGTCAGCGTCATGTTGTCGTGCTGAGTATATTTCGTCTTTTTAGATTTTTACTTTACCATTAATTCATTAACATAAATTCGTTTAAATGATTAATTTCCATTAAACAAAATTCTTTGCTCATTTAAATCCGTAGAGTAATTGCATATTGCAATGGTTACATTATTGTACAAGTGTGTGGATATACGTATATGATGTAGCTCCTACGAGAACCTTTATCTTATTTTAATTATAAATATAAAGGCTCCATGTCTGTTTTACGGTAAATATATACACAGAGGTTTTTTTGTTTAAATATTTGTTCTTCTGCTCTACTTATTTAGTAGTAGATTTGTATGGTCTATATCAAGATGATAATCTTTCCAAATTTTAAGTATATTTTTATACATATTCTTCTTCTAGATCTAACACTTTAAGGTCAGTTGCGTGATGAGGAATAATCGCCTGATTATCGTGAAATTTCTCTGTTTTCTCTTGCTTTAATTCAACAGGAAGTTTTACTGTAACTGTCGCCGTTGCTGTAACTTCTGCAATGTTACGTGATGGTTTAACTTTTTTACTTTCCGTCAAAGAAGGAAGAGTTTTACCGTAGAATTGTTTAGGACTGGTGTCTTTTCTATTCAGATCTTTTTTACCATCAAGCTGTTCTGCTGTCTTTTTAGATGTACAGTTTTCCATATTCTGTAATGTCGCGTAATCTGTATCTAAGGAATTTTTGGAGGTTTCCGTTTTGCCTAACGTCGTTAAATTTGAAGTTGAACTGCACGCGTTACGATCAAAGGATGTCAGACCTATCCAGGATGTTGTAGTCGAGCCAAAGTTTGACGTAGGAATAGGCACGACCTTTATAAACAATCAAAGTAAAACCTTATTAATCTCGACTGAATTCAGCGTTTTTTATGTTTAACATATTATATTCAAGAATTAGAAATTGTGGATTTGGTTCATTGCATGTTGAGGAGTTTTACTTTTAAAATTTACTGAAGAAAATATTAATTTCAAACAAATGAAATGATTTGTTCACAAAATATAGTTACATGACTTATATAGTTACCTCAGGGTTAGGACCAATGAGCGACAAAATGACCGGAAGAAGGACGACTCCGTTGAAGAAACCAATCAGAATCAAGAGTGCCAACACGTGAAAGAAATATCTAAAATAAGCGATGTTATAATGTTATTCAGTTCAGCAATCTAAACATATTTATTTTACTTCTTACTTTACGACAAAATCGAACTCTGAGCCGGCCAACATGACCACACTAAGGATAGTTGACACCGCTCCATTAACAACTGGCGTTATAACACTGTCCAAAGCTTGTTGTGTTCTTTCAACTCTTGTTCCAACTGAAGAGACAAACACCTACGACAATAGAAATCATATTTTCATTTTAAAGTTCTCAGAAATTCTCAGCAATCAATTTATGGTGTGATATTACTTTAACTATTGTATTGTATGCAGTATTTAGAAAATGTACTTTGCGTATTTTTTCTGCGCAAAGATCTGCTCATGTCCATTTTCCGATTTAGATAATGTAAATGATGAAACAGTTCATAGTTTTGTACGTCATGCTGACACAAAATACTTTTTATGTTTAGGATGTCTTAGTTTCATTTGTATTTATGTTAAAAAGATTTGATCGAACTGTTCCCACTGTTTTGTTGTTCGATGCTCGCGATACAGAAAGCTTTGACATCGACATGGAACTTTATTACCATATTAGCCAATGTATGAGCACTAAAATGATGTGCAGTCAGTATCGTTTGCCCATGGTATGGTGGTTGTTCTTGTTTTAAGAGAATAAATTTACTATAGAAACTTGCAATACTATATATGACTTTTAGTCATACCTGTTTAATGATATATGCATTTCATGCGCAGATTATGCAAATTATTTCCTTTTTTCAAGTACACTCTCTTTGGACAAGATGCACATTTCTCACAGTGGGGTTTCATTACTCTATTTGAATGACCACTGACTTGTTCGTAATAACTCATAATATTTCCATAATTTCGTAATAGCACTATTGAAATGATGCATTTAACGCAAACGACAACTTTTTTAAAATTTTTTATGGCGAACATGTTTCGGCAAACTTATGCCATCTTCAGAGCGGTATAATGAATGAATATTTGAATGGAGTTAATATGTGCATAGTTAACATGTGTATAGACAAAAGGGAAGGAAGCGGGTGGGATTGAACTCATAATATTTCTTGTTAAAGCTCTACGAAACTCATAAAAACACACACGCAAAGTGTGAAGTAATTTGCAATCTATTTCACATTTCATCAGTTAGCTCATATTACTGTTGAACAGCAGGTTCTTATGGATTACACGAACATTAATGATATTAGTGCAATGTGAGAGCAAGGGCTAAGAATAGGCTCGTGTTTTTTGCCAATCTTAGTCATAGCTTTCATCGCATTTCTAAAGCATTCTCAACAAGAACCATTTCCTGCTGCAGGAAAAATTTTGATTGTTGGATTAGAATAAATATTTAAAACAAAAAAGTAGAATACAGGGATATGATAGATTTAAGCATTTTATCAATCGAGGTATAGTTTATGAAGATTGCAATGCAGAAGCTTTATGAAGAAATAGATATCCTCCTTACAAATGAAATAGTATCGATCTCTTGCTTCATTAAAATTGTGTTACCTTGTAGTGTCCTACATCTGTGAAAAAGCAAATTTTGATGTGCGTCAGGCTGACGTAAAAACTCTTGTTGAAATATTGTCGACTTACTGACTTTATTTTCTACCGACATGGACATGTGACAAAATATTAGTCAGTCCTCTAATAATATTTAAATTTAATGCTATCTTATAAATCGTAATAAGCTTAAATACTGTCGGTGTAATTGAATCAGCAAACACACAATTCTAAAGGCAAAATTCTATGCATATTTGTTTCGTGTGTGATAAAATGGCTTACTTTTAAGCTAATATTACTAAATAACTTTATACATGATGACATAAAACAAAATAATTAAAACAGATATTTTCCCTATACCATCATTGTGCAATGTTTTGCAAAACTTCTTTTTGTGTATTCTTTGATATATATTGCTTTTTAGCTATGTCGTGATTTTTTTCTTTTGACGATATTAGTTTTACAAAACGTAGGCAATTAATGCTTGCATGCGCTCAAAGCTTTTTATCATTTTGCGATATTGAATTACTATTCTTTATTTGCTTGATTAATATAATTTGAATGGCTTTGAGAGTGACTCTTAAGCTACATCACTTTCAGCAGGAAATAGGTGATTAAAAATTGTTTTCGCAATTTGGTTTCTTGCAAGCGCTTCCCACGACGTAATTCAACGTATATGGCATGAAAAAAACGCCGAAGAAGCTGTTTCAAATTTCTTTGCATATAAGCAAATTGTAAAACCTACCATACAAAGATGAACTGTGAACTCCACACCAACTCCTACAGAGAAAACCAGAGTGACTGCTGGGATTGCACTTAGTTTAATACCAGCCAATCCTAGGAATCCAAACAGCTCAATAGCAGTCAAAGCCAGTATTACAACCTAGAAAAAATGTTCACCAAATTCATTATGTCAATTCATTACAAGTCGATATAATCTACTTACTTCAATCATCGCTGTTGTCAAGAAAAAAGTTTTTATTTGATTTGGCAACTAAGCTCATAAAAAATAAATGAGTTGAGGAAACTTTCATTTTCTTTTACATATTGACTCTAATCATTTTAACTCTAATCATTTTAACTAAACTATTAGCTTTCTATCGTAGCTATGGTGAATAAAAATTTCAATGCTGTTTTTCTAAGGAATATTTCTAACTGTGCTTTAAGGGCTTATCTCCCTATGACTTGGTGTAAACAAACGAAGCGATGATTCAAGTTGATTTGTATTACGACAAATTCCCATATATAGTGTTAAAAAAATCTACACACTTTAGACCTTCAACTGAGTATATTTTCAGCTTTTGCGGATGAAATTGTTTAAAAGAACTTTGGATGAAAATAGTAAAAATACTAGCTTAGCTAATAAAGTGTACCAACTCCTGGTAAAGTTATATACGAACATAAAACAAGTTTTTCGTGCTGGTCGATGGCCGTACAATAAAGAAAACCGGATGTGGAGAATTGCTAGTACTAACGTCAAATCACAGCATCGTGTTGGAATGAAGACAAAAAATGCCGGCGCTTATTATTGGGCATTTCAACAAATGAATATATTAGTCTGTGGAATAAGATTATTGAAGTATCTTGCAGTGGTAACAGCATGTGGGAATATAATACTATAAATTAATATGTTTACAGCAGCTCTGTAAAAAATTCTGTTTGCAAACTATACAAAGCTTTTTTATTGTCTTTGCACATGCAATGCATGCAGAAATTGATTAAATGTACTGAGATACATTGCTTTATAGTTAGGCTCCATTTGAAAAACTCCATCCTCTTAATAGTTAGAACGAAGTTAGGCTATCCATGTTGTCAGTTCAGTTATTTTAAATCTGAGTGCTCGAAAGCCTTTTTGCTTTTAAAATCTGAAATATTCGTTACTTTTGTGTAAATATACTCACCACTATTGTTCCAGCCCAGATATTTACAAGAATGGTTGAGATAATTAGAAAACTCGCCGCCAAAACAACTGAGACTGTAATTAATAATTGCCAGCGTAACCAAATATATTGCTCCCAAAATGTGAAAGGCGCACCCCTGGGGTAGTTGGGAAGACCCTCTGCCGTAAATCTGTCGCATACTGCTCGTACTTGCTGTGAATAGGAAAAAAATCCGTTTAGTTTGGCGTCAGCAGAAAACAAGAAAGTGATCACCGTGTGAAAACAGGCTATCACAATATCGATGAAGAACTCGAGATAAAATAAACAAATGATTTTCAATGAAAATGCGGTGATTTGTGATCAAAACTTATACCTTAATCAATTTGACATAATCTGACGTTTCTTTCAGTCCGTTGACGTAGAATGGCATTCGAGCATATTTGATTTTTTCAGCCGGACGAACTACAGGCAAATTGAAAGATACCATTAATTGACAAAAAACTCGATTTTTTGCAAACCGTCTACTAGCATATTCTAAAGTGTGACAGTATTGAAAGAAGTTTGTGTTCTTTATAAGCGTAGTTATGTATATAACAATAAGAACCTCGTCTTTTGTCATCGTCTTCATTCCAATCATCAAGACTAGGTTTAATTTTTACCTGGACGAAACATAAAATATGTCTTTTAATAACTTTGCGTGAACTAAGAAGTTTACGTATTTCGACTTAAACAATTCATTTTATTTATCACAAATAAGAAACAATTAAAAGTTGAAGCAACATTAAAATCATTACCAAAGAACTCTCATATCCCATGGGATCCATGCGATACCAGGCTCTCAAGAAACTGTAGAATCCTCGTTCATTAATTATACCATTCTCTCGTACCAGTTTTTGTGTTTGAAGCTATAAAAACGAAAATGTTGTAGCTAGTGAAAGTGTAAAATGAAAATATATTTATGAATTTAACTATTGTACCTGAGAAGTTTCCTGGGGTTCTCCTGTCCCTAACAGTAATCTCCGAGCTAATTTCCCATCACTTGTTGCGTTAGGATAACATTCCGTATAAGTAATAGCTCCGTTTTCCCAGTCTTTATCGAACGCTTTTTGTAAACCTAAGTACAATAAGATTAATATCTTCAGGTAAGAAGTATCGAAAAAAAGTTGGCAAAAACATATGTCACTTACTAATAAGCCAATCTCTAAAATAAATCAGCCAGAATTTTGGTAGTTTTTTATCTCTTTCTTTCACAATGAAATCAACCTAAAAAATGTCATAATTATGAAACTTGGTAAAGCATAAGTAAAACAACCTTTTATGAAACATGACTGTCAGAGTTTGATCAATTTGATATTAAAAAATCATTTTATCATGTTTTCAGTTTACCCTGGAGCTCAATAGTTTGTCTGTTAATCTGATGCACATTTTGAAACTTTCAAATTATATTTCTATGTCATCATTTCTTTTACCTTTTTGAAAGCTTCGTGAAGTCTTGTTAACATTTCTTGGTTATTTGGATAATCAAAGTCAGCTTTTGTAATGATGAAAATATCATAAAACGAGAAATGCTCATTTCTAGCTTTCAAGAACTCTGCTAGTTTACTTTCTTTTGGGACAACGTCAGTTAGATCAACACCATCTTGTACTTGAATAAACCCGTAGATTGAAATGGACAAGATAGTCGCAAACAGAATGAGAAGGAATATCTGAAAATGGAAAATTTGAATAAGATATTTATATTAATTGACTTATATTTTGTGTCTCTAAACTGCATGCAAATTAGTATGAGCAGAATTTTTTAGTAAGAGCCTACCTTGACAGAATTTTTCTTTAACAGTGGTGTATAGTACATTTTCGTTAAATCTCCAACACTTAATCTGGTTATAGTCTTCACAAGTTTTGAATTCATCGTTCGCTCCCAGGCTACACTGCGTTGTCGAGATCTTTGTATGTTATTAGGTCTTAGTATAACTTCAGCATTCGTTGAATTTGAACAAGAACCTTCGTTATGGGCCGAAGCATCAGCAGTAACATGAATTTCACTTTGCTGCGGGTTTTTTTCAAAAATTGGTGATACTTTATGTGGAGGCATTGCTACATTGACTTTACTTTGAGCGTTGAAGTTTGGTGTGTTATCCAAGTTCTCTCTGGAGCATCCATGGTTGATCTTTGATGGTATGTTTTTAGATTTTCTGTTGTGATTATGTCGACTGCATATGGCACTACTTGATGCGTTGATGTCGAGTCCTTTGCCTCGTTTGTAATTCGCATTAATTTTAGCGTTGGCGTTTTGGGAGGAATCACCTTCGACGATTTGACCACTTGATGATACGGAAACAACAAAATTTCCCATCTCGGGCAAAGACATCACATTTCCTCCAAGCATACTTTTGCATATTGTGTTGTTTATGTTACAATTTGCTGAAGCTCTCAAGGCAACGCCAGGTAAAATATAACCTTGAGATTGTCCTAAAGTGACGTTGGCAGATGAAGCTATTTGATAATCGTCATCTGTTGTTTCGTTGTAGGTAGCCAGTGAAGAAGTTGTTTCTGGTCGAGATGTGTAACTTCTGTTGTAGTATCTCTGCAAAAAGCAAAAACATTTATGCATTTATTTGATTATGTGTAAGAATGATCTGAAACTTTATATGTAGATGTTTAAAATTATTTCACATTTCCTCAGAAAATCACCCACCTTTTTACACAACAAAATATATCGTAACGGTCGTCTTCTCTTCTCTTCACATCAATGGCGATCATTGCAGGATAGATAATGACAATGGAGAAAAAGTTGAAAATAACAACAACACCAGCCTAAAACAAGCATAGTGAGTTAAAGATAGTATTTCAAATTGACAAAGCACAAAAAGTGTAACGAACCTTGATACATAGTGCTCTCAATGCTGGGATGGGTATTATGGCGGCAAAAAAGAAAGCAGCAGCATTTGTGATACTGGTCAACATGATACTAACTCCTGTAGTGCTCAGACAATATCCAGCGTACTCCTACGTAAAGATTTCATGTTTTTACAAAATTTTCTGAAGTTATACGATTGCAGCCATTACATGAAATGCATACATTTCAAAAAGTCTACACATTGGGACACACACAAACGCAAACCTGGAAACATTTTTCTACCTTAGTTCTGAGATTTTTGCTGTTGAGATCTCTGTATGCATGTGACAGAAGAAACATGTCGTCAACACCAAGACCCAGAGCAAGAAATGGAAGAACCTGAGTTGAAGCAACATTGAAATCAATCCCAGCCAGTGAACACAAACCAAGACCGGCTGCCACAGATAATGAGACAAGTAGAACTCCGAGAATTCCCATGCAACCTTGTGATTGGACAACGCTGTTGCAACGAACCATTGTGAAACATGCATATAAAATCTATTGTGAAAATAAAACATTTTTTATGTTAGGTAGTAGCCCATACCATTCACGAAGCTTTTTAAAGCAAACAGCAAGTATTAGCCATTATTTACCATTAAGGTATATCCACCAATAATGAGGGCAAGGTTAGGTTTCGAAAAACTATTTAGAAGATCATTAAATGATGTCGTTGAAAATGCCATGACTTTTTGCGTTGTATATTTTTCTTCAGAAAAATCATTTACAACCTTAAAGATGAAATATATTTACATAGCTACTTTTAGCGCTTGCAAGTAAAATCATTAATCGAATGTCAAATGCTGTTTCATAACTTACTTTAACAAATTTCCTTTGCCAGGTATTAAGGACGAGCTTAGCTGCCTCAACAGTCCATCCCTCAGCTAAATGCTGAACTTTGTCTTTTGTGAATCCATTGGCATCTCTCCACCATTGATGGATTTCTTCTTCGCTCATCAGATTTATCACACTTTGTAACGCATGCGCTCTAAGAACAATACGCAACGTTTCTTATTAAGATTTTCCTCTTCTTGATAAAATAATTGAATTTGTCCGCAAATCTTTTTCTTCCTGCCTTTGCTACTTTAGATTCACTTATTTAACAAATAAACCAAACTATCACTGAAAATAGACATTTAAAGACTGCAACTTGTAAAAATATAAGAAATAAATACATTCACAGTGATGTAAAAGAAAAACTGGATCAGTAGTTGGTGTTCTTTGGAGTGTTTTGTCATGAAAATAAACACACCTTTTGATATAACCACTTTTGTTTTTTCTAGTTCCACCAATTATCATTTCTTCTGGCCAAATCATCATTTTCTCAGCAAATCCCGTACAGCCACCAGTTACAGTTTCTCCGATATCTAAAGCCTTTAAAATGATAAAATTTGTAATTTTCGGAGTATAAACCTCCACAAAAGTCACTTGTGGACGTACGTACATTAAACACTTGTAAAGAAAAGCTAATCCTAAATTTGTTCATGATCAACTGTAGCTACATATGGACATCTTTCTATACCTTTCGACTTTTTTTGTTGGGTGCCATGTTTGGACAACGGGGGTCATTAGGATTTAGACACGGTTTGTTTAGATAACCATGGGAGATTCCTGCCTTTAAACAAGAAAAATTTCACATTCATTTGTATAATTGATAAGAAATAGACCTTTACGCAAGGTGTTATAAAGTTTTTACAAAAGCGTTGTTTGCAAAAAATAGTTTTTAATGATTGTTAAAAAAAAGACAGTTACCTCTGTCAACATTGACTTCATTTTGGTAATGTCTAAATTTTCTTTTACATAACTTGAAACATGATTTACAAAGTATGTCGGATCAAACGTCGTCCATTGAATTGGTTGTTTAAGTCTAAAAATGAGAAAAAATAGCTACAAGACATGCTAGCTATATCACTAATAACAATTCACAATAATAATGACTCCAACTTTCGAATGACTGTGTCATTTTTTGCTGTGTGTTTGAGTGAAAATGAACGGACACTTTTGAGTTTTCAAAAATAATTTATATACTTACATTATATTCGTTATATTTTGTGGGTGAATTTTTGCACCATCCCAAAAACAATCCAAAGGAGTTATAACTGTACATGGAATTAGCTTTTCCATCATCTATGAAAAGTTCATGTATTCAAAATTGCACCATTAGATGACATAAATTTAAATTTTTAGAATGGAAATTACGGAACTTTATCTGTCATATCGCCATGCGGTACAGCAAAATAATATTCTTTGTCCGATCATACCTTATCTATCCATGGATGAAATTGTGGTACAGAAGGTTTTGCACAAATGTCCTGTATTGACCATGTCCTACAAAAAGAGATTGGTAAAAAGAGTTCGTTGATAAAGCTTAAAGGATGAATTCAATTCAGTAAATTAAATCGTCAATTGACCAACTTACTGTTCAAAAACTTCCACCTCAACTTTCATCGCTTTTTTCAGCACCTCAGCATGTGTTAACATCGAATTTTTCGTGAGTACGTTTCTTCCTTTTACTCTCGGTGTTTGAATAACAACTTCATACGATTTATAATCATAACCGTACGCTTTAGAGTAAGCTAGCTCTTCTTCCAGACGTCCGCCAACTAAAATAGCAAATATTACTTTAGCTTTTCTAGCTTTTTGCGAATTAAAAAGAAAACGTTTTTGAATTATTTATATAGCAGGAAATTCACCGGACAGGTCATCTGGTGAATATGATATATTGAATGTATAAATATAATATGTGATAAAGTTGTCATAATGACGAATTTTTAATCGAATCGCTAACGCACTTCGTGGACTAGCTCCTTGCAATGATTTTTAAAATTTTAAAGAGTTTATTTTCTTCTCTAATAAAATGCAAGTTGACTTTTGCCATCAACCATTTATCTTCTTTTAAAACATATTTAGTCTCGATGGTATATCACTGAATTGAAAATTGTAATTGATTCTCTGCATGTAATAGCTACTATGTTTGAAATATTATTTAATCAATAAAAATGATCAATCGCTTGCATAAAACCAAATAACGAAACATAAAACAGTATTTACATTATTACGCGATATGTTATTGGTTGAAAAAGACATAAAGCTATTTTTATTCTTATATTCAGAGTGTGCATCGAGCATTTATAAGTAAGAACTCTCAAGTATATTCATTGCAACAACGTTTCAATTGTGAAGGTTTAAAATTTCTCTGTAAAATGTATGTTACCACTTGTATTGTTGATTGAAATACTCAAGAGTATTAAACATAGCTGAAATACAATAAACACTAGCGTGAGATAATCGCTAATACTACTGTTGCAATCCTGTCACCGCGACCTTATTGTTTTACCGTTTTAGAGAGTTGTCTTGCTCATCAAATTCCGATTCAGCTATATCTTTGAATTTCAGTAATAAGTTAATGTCGTCAGTTTGATACACAACTTGAAAAATATGCGTAGTAATGTTATAAGACTGTTTTATGACCGCATTGTTCAAACTTAGATATATCAAATGCACCTTATTGTAATAAATCAACCACAACTACAGCATGCATATTTGCTCGGAAAAAAGTAAACAACTACAGAAGTACTTCAGTGTACATGTATATATTTTATAAATCAAATACACAACCTCTTTAAAAACTACAAAAGTTGATGCGTGTTAAAGAGTATTTGTTTCTTAAAACCTTCTCTATAACCTTATTACCCATAGCTGATAAAATATTTATTTACCCCGAAGATGAAAGCTAAGTTAAACATGCTACACTTAAAATTTAATTAGCGTTTCTACTTTGAGAGTCATTTTCTTACGAAGTCATTTACTGTTTTGTTTATGATCAACGAGTGGGAGCCGGTAGTTACAAACAATTTACAGGAATCACAGTGATGGCATTTCCCTTTCCCATGCACTCTTATGGTGCCTTTTAATTTTTATTATGCGTGGTAAAAAATCAAGCTAACCTTTCATCCAAAGCTTTTCTACGTTGGTCTCAACTTTTGCTTTATACAGACATAACGCGAATGCAACAAGAAACAGCAAACCAATCATGATAACCTGTACACTGTGAGTCTGTGCGTAACATCCACCTTTAAAAAGAAACATCTGCATTCTTGCACGAAGCCACAAGGAGCGTCGGTTTCCCCTTGCGCGACCCTACAAATTGATATCATGAAACCAAATATCAATTTCAAGTACTCCGAGCACCTTACTTTCTACAAATTCTGGATGCCTTTTTTCTAGTAATTGAATTTAAGAAATATACAATGGTAAATTCAAAACGGAATAAATTGTGATACACTCAAGTATTTTTATATTATACTTTGTTACATATATACAATCATAAATCTACTCAATGCAATGCACAGCTTTTTGAAAGAGTACAAGTGTTACAATGAGAGATGTCATACCAATGACGTCTTTAAAATATGCATCTCAATACTTCTGGGTGTTGTACATTTAGCGCAGACGCGTGCCACAGTAATGGTCGTCATTTATAAAGCCTTCCTTATATAAAACACGATTGTCCATATCGTGGACAATTGATTGCAAAAATATTTCGTCAAAAGACATTTTTATGGTGTAGTTTTACGAAATCAAAACAATAAAGTATGTTTAATGTGAAAACCTGTCGTTGTCTAAATGATTCATGTGCGCTAAATTGAATATTTTTGTGCTTTAAATTTTTCCTTTCTTAGCTAATCATTATGAAAATTTCTTGCGTAGATTTGCGTGTTTTTGTTCATTTGCTTTTGCCTTCAACATTTTGTTGGTATGTGTGCTTGTGTTTGTATTGTTATAAATATATAATATGAAACAATATGGAAAGTCGATCTTTGTCTGTGTAAACATTACTTTGTTAGGACCTACATCAAAGATTGTTCATTTTTCACGACGGAGCTTTGTGTGTCTATTAAAGTTTATGAATTCAGGAAAACAAAAGGTGAGAACAGCAAAATGCATTCCTGTGAACCTAAAATGTGTTCGCTAATTGAACTAGTGAATGTTTTTCATTTACATGAATAAACGGCACAAACGCATTTTTGATTAGAATATTTGACATATGACAAGTGTCAAAATCGTGCAAATACCTATGAGACAAAATGGCTGTTCCATCAGCCAAAATTCTGTTGTGAAACATTAAAAAACTGCGAGTGTTATATGTTGTAAACTGGCTATCCGTGCAAAATTTTAAGCTAATATGATAGTTTTTAATATGTCATCTGTTCAATCATACGCTAGTTTATTAAAATACTAAAACAATCTAAAATGAGCCACTTTGATGAAATACACGTTTAAAATTACTCAGTTTTAATTGCAGTCTTCTTTTTATGAAAGGCTATTGGCTTTTAAAGAAACTCCGAAACAAAGCGCAAAGATAGTTACCATGAAAGCTTTTGTTACGCTACAATCAGCGGCTGCCACTTGGAATTTCTCATTTATAAATCAAAAGAAAATGTTATTGATCTGAAGAAAATGTGTTTAATATAGGTAAGACTAAAATGAAACATCTGACCTCCCACACAGTAAATGATTATTCCGTGGCTTTGCTGTAAATAAGTTGCCATGTGCCGCGCGTTGCTTATTTATTTGTAAAATATGTTCGTTTCATTTATGCTTGTCATAGATCTTTAAAATGTGCTGTTTTTGCTTTATGCGGTTCTGTTTTTTCTCTTTACTGATATTTTATAGATTTCATTGCAGGCATTTGTAACTAGAAACGCATTCAAAATAATTTGTTGAGGGACATGACACACTGGACAAACCGACGCCATAATATCTTATTTGATACGCATATTATGTAAATTACCTCAACTACTTCGCGCAGAGAAAAGTCTGCCCAGCATAAATATCTTTCTCTGGGTTGTTCTTGCTCCATAACACACAGTAAAATCACCGATCACTCAAGAATGATGCGTAGAAGCCACAATCCGTGCCACAACTTGCCTTAGAAATTTATTATTCCAAATATATCAATTGGTATATTCACGACAAACTCCTCTTGGTCTCTTTGCATTAACCAGACGTAATTTGTTCATCATTTAAGATGGTGTTTTCTACGGAAATAAATGACCTTACTGTGGCCTAACTTACTCACCAAGTGTTGAATATTGCCTAGTGGAGATTCGAGTGGAATTTTTAATGCAAGGAAATTCAAAACAGATCTTCTTTCGACAACAGCAGCCTTTGATTGGATATCATCTGTAATTAAGCCAGATGAACTTTACCTCGGTTCGAGTGGCATGATGGGATTGAAGACCACACACATGATCAAGCTTATCAAGGATAAGTTCAACACCTGACAAAACGCAGGTATTATGTCGGCATATATTTGTTATGTTAGAAGTAAATATTCAAAGATCACTTCTCTTGATACAAACTAAACACTTCAAAACAACAAATTAGACAGTATCCATTAACAAATGGATTGAATTGTAAAGGAATGTGTTGAGCGTAGAAAATATTTAAATGGCTGACCATTGGTCGTTATTTTTCCGTCGAGTTGTCTTCTAACATTCCTAACATCAATATGAAAATCATTTAACCGATAAAAATTGCCTTGAATAATGTTCACTGAATACCTAACATCGTTGAGAGTTAAAAACACGGAGAGATGGCAGAATAATAATTGTTTTTTATTTCCGCATCACAAGCTTTTGAAAAATACTTAGAAGCAAAAAGCGTAAACGAGTGGATGCGTTTCAAATTTAAATATTGGGGGGTATTTTTGCTTGTTTTAGTCCATTTGAGTAAATGTTTTGCAAAGTTAAGCTAACAATCTAACACAACCCAAAACAAAAAGTACGGAACAGAAACTATGAAAAGTTTACGAATTTATATAACAATGTAACTATGTCATTCTAATCCCAATATCATATTAATCGAAGAGACGGCAAGGTGAAGGAAGCGTTACAAATTTAGGAGTAAATTCTTTTTAGGTCGTAAAACTGATCAAAATTTAGGTAGGTTTCGCAAAAAAGACCGAGTTTGAGCGATTGAGCGTTGTTCATTTAAGCGTAGCGGTTCCTCACCAGTGTTGCAGTAAATTAGCCAGTAGTTGTTCATTGATATTCATTCAGCAATTTTAACTGAAAATAAATTACATTGAAAATCGAGTTGCATTCTATATATGTATCTTACTTAAATAGCCGCCTTGCCATGATTTGATGAAAAGTGAAGTCAAATTTCAACATTCCGTAGGCAGTGTTTATTTAATGGCGCCTTACTGTTTACACATCCGAAACTTCATTGTCTTCGTCATTAATGTTGCTATTGTATAATATAAGAAGCCTAAATGTGGCGATACATCAATAATAGACATCATGACGAAAGATATACTTACAGGCGAATTTCTATCACCATTTTAAGACGTTTAAACACTGCAAGTGATTTTTCTCGTCTATTCAAAAGTGACGGTCCATCTATAGTTGTATATGAAACTCACTTACTTTCTTAATGTTTAAAATAAAATTTTTTTCTTTGTAAAGAAACTACATAAACACTTAACGCAACAAAAAGTCATGAATAAATCCTCAAATATCAACAATCACTGATAAATGATGATTGAAAATTAGATTTGCTCATTATTTAAATGAAAATTTGTTCAAAAACCTTTTCCTCTTTCATTGCTGTATTTGTTTTTTTCAGAAAAAAAAATTCCAAAGATAACTAGAAAGATTTGTTAGTAAATATTAAAAATCGGTGGGTTTCGAGGAAATTTTGATGCTTATAACTTGAAAAATTTTTAGAGGAATTTATCGATGATAGATTTTCGGAGAGACTTGAAAGGAAACAGTAAAGCTACACTAAACCTATAAATCACTTCTTATCTTCTGTTCATAGCTGTCTTCAGCCAGTTTTTAACTATTGAATTAATATACTTAATTGTTTGATGAATGAAGAAAGAAGCATGAGTTATAAACTAGTGTGTATTGTATTTTATCGTGTCATTACGTTTTTTAACATTGAAAGGGAACTAAACTGTTTACTGATTAAAATGAAACTACACATAAAGAGAATATACTTATGATATTTGATGATATTTTGTTCCTTTTATCGTGCCGAAATTTGACATCTTTTACTACCTAATAAGCTTGTTTCCACTTTGCCGAAAACGAAAAGAAGGATAACACTTTCATTTAAATTCAAGCAAAGCAACATAAACTTTATTGCTTACTGAAACTTTTTCACTTTCTTTCTTACAATAAATAAATAATTTGTGGTTTCCTGTGTTAAAAGTACGGTAAAAACTGTGGTTGTTTAAGAACGGGCTTTGATCATCTCGGATGTGGTCTGTTATTCACGACACGGCAAATACAATAAAATTGTTTACAAGTAAAAACAGGAGTCGTTTGTATTTTATGTAGTGGCAAGTGAGCTCGCACTATACAATTTTTTACTGTGTTCATGCACTCGCTATGAGAAATGTATGATAAAGTAATGAATAATATAATAATTATATGAAATTCGAGCATAAGTACACTACAAATAATTGTGTAATTTTTGTATTGGTGGCTTGATATAGAAAAGGTTGTATAAAGTATTAGACAAACTAAACTCAATGTTATAATATTCTGCCCTATTCATCTATGAAACTGGGGGCCGGCAGCAAGTCAATGAAATATGACCGTTGACAAGACCTACATGCTTAGAATTGAGACCACCCGTGAATCGGAATGTGGGAAATTATTCATACAATACAGAGAAAGTTTGTATCTAGTTTTTCTATAACTAAACAACCTGAAATAGCAATCTTCACAAAAATAATCTTGATATATTTATTTCGTCGGTTTCAGCATGATTACTTTAATTTGCGTTCATGTATGTTTCACATAATTTATAATTGAAGGATTTTTGGAATTGGTTGTATAATCTGAGTTATTGCAGGAATCAAAGGATTTCATCCATTTACTTATCTTGCGATAGAGTGAAAATTTCTTTTATAAACCAGTTACATTTCACAATTTTCTTATCAATTATTGACAAGAAAGAAGAAGCCGATTCAGAGTCAGAGCTTTGAGTTGTGAAGAATTGACTTGATTTTTGCGTGGGCAAGACATTGGTCTTGAACAATTCATCATGGAAATATACAAAATTTTAATCAATAAATTCTTGGCAGAACACAGAATAACGATAAAGTGGCTTTCCTTGCAATGAAAATAAACGTATTTCCGTTTCAAGCATTTTTGTGATTACCCCATTGAGATCAAAAAGCAAAAACATCTTAATAATTTTGAACAATTAAAGATATATATTTTTCACAAGCATTTTATATGTATTGCCATTAAGAATAGAATTTCAAATTGCTGTTAGCTTCGTACACATTAAAATAATACTTGTACACATAACGCGATTTTTGCAGAGAACATGATCAAACAGCTATTTTTTGTTTTCTTATTCAAGTCATCAGCAGACTTTTTCCCAATCATTTTTTAATATAAATATTTCCATGAATAGCTTTGAAATCATAAAAAATTTCAACTATTGATCATTTGTTGACAAACACCCATCATTGACATTGCGAGCAAGACTTTCTTTCCCACAAAACATCGTTAAATAATAAATGTGTGATTCATACATTCATAGGAGAAAATTTTTCATCGTAAATGTATTCCCCCCGTTTTCAATTACCGAAAGACGCTTCGAAGGAGAAAAGAATTCAAAAGTTAAATATCTTTGATTCATGAACGTGCACGGCTAAGTTTTGAGGATTCTTTAAATCGCTGAATTATGAAGCTGGCGGATTCACTTTTTGTTGTTTTACCCCCAATAACGTGCGTGCTTTTTAATGCGGGACGGGGGGGAGAGAAAATGAGAGCTTCACATGACAATTGACATTCATGTGCACATATTAGTGCTAAACTTATGTCAGCTACATTTTTGTGCTCAATGTAGAAAAATGATTTTCTCACTTCTTTCGGAAGAGTAAAATTGTCATATCAATTATGAAAATTAAAATTCCAATGGAATGACCACAAAGAGATCTAACAAAGAAAGAGACCTATAACAGAGATAGCTTGCCTGCATATGAAAGGGTGCAATACTTGACCCAAAGGAGTGAACTATTTTTGTAGCTGAGTAATTTGATAAGCCAATTTCAATAATTTTTCTATGGCTTAAATGCACTATTTACTGTTTTGCTTCCCAATTTATTTGAGAACTAAAATGAAAAAATCCCAAATTTTAACAAAAATTTTATGTGCGTGTTGTGAAAATGCTGGAGAATTTAATAAATTTAAAAAAAAAAGAAAACCAAGTTTTATCATGCCTAGTTTCACTATGCATGGTTATAACAAGTCTTAATTACGAAATCTTTTAAAGATTACGAACACTATTTACTATCTTGTTTGTAAATTAATCCAAAAAATCATCTTCTTGTCATAGATTGTTTGCATTGCCCTCCACTTCCTCAAATGATCAATTATAATCTCATAAAACAATCGGATTTTTGGATTACACGCGAAACACCTGATTGCAAAACTAAAGTTTCTCTTTGTAACTTTGATTCATAAACGATATTATTAATTAAACTATATTATGATGTTAACTTGACCTCCGTAGTAAGAAAAAAACAGTAAAATTTAAACATTGCATGTCGTCACACAATTCATTTTCCGGGTATAGCTCATTTAATAACTTTTCGTAAAAGGTGGAGAATTTATTCACAACTCGTTTTTTACTTATTTCTTGAAACATTGTTGAAAAACATTGTTTCTGGTGTATCTTAAACTCCAATATCTGAAACAGACAGTGAGTTGGAAAATCAGCATTTTCTCAACATAGACGAAAATGATATGTGCAAACATATCAACAATAAGGCCACATAGCATAGTAGCCTTCTTTCAGTACTGTGAGTTTTAAAAGAGTTAGCAAAGATGACGATCATATATATTAATATGAGCATCGTGTTGATAGGAAATGAGAAAAATGGAGTTTAGCTACGACAGCCATAGTACTCTATCTTTGTGAATTAAGAAGGAAGAGCCTTCGAAAACATGCAATTAATACTTTCACAATGATGCTGGTGAATGGAGCCATTATAGCTAGTACATTTTCAATAGAGTCTTTTACCGCTGCAAATTAAAACACCAACAATACAAAAAAGTGTTGATTCAAGGAAAAACAAGCTGCATGAGGTTATGAAACAGAATAAACTTTCAGATTTGTTCAAATTTAATACGTGCGAAGAAACATGCCAAAATTTTTGAAAAATTTCATTTGCGTGACTTTTAGCACCATGCAGTGACAAACGTTTTATTTCAGTTACGGCCACTTAATTTTAAACTTATCTGGCAAAATTTTCGGAAAATCCACCTAATTAAATCAACATTTTTGTGAAGAATGTTGTTAGTTATGTAGCTAGTTAACATTTTGAAGAATTTGATCTTGTGTAATCTGTTCAAAGCTAAGTGCAATTTATAGTTATATTATCATTATACTTTCTTACTTGTGAAAATTATCTTTCTTCGTTCAGATTCTTCCGAATTTTAATGTTATTTACACTTATTTTTCTATGATCTGTGTTTTCAAAGTACAAGAACAGAAAACAAGTTTTAGACTTTAGCTACTCAGTCCAATTTCTTTTTAAGTTTTTCCATTCAAAATAATTTCCTACACTTCCACTGTGCCATGAAATAATAGTTTATCAAAAAAATAAATTTTACTTATTAACTTTTTTGTACTTGTGTAAAAATGCTTATCTTTGACAATTTAAAATTTGGGTTTGTTTTATGACATTCATTTGATTTGTATCATACGTCAATCTAAGAAAAAGTATTTTAATGTTATACAACCGAGACTTGAGTTCCCGTGAAAATTACTTCTAACCCCAGGTCAAAATTAGCTTAAGGAAAAAATAGCTAAAGGAAAGTATGATCAACAAAAACACCGTTTGTTTTATTAAAATAATGAAATTGACTGAGTCGTAAATGCAAAATGCCTTTTACATAAATTAACCTATATTATAGAAAAGTTCTTTATGAGTTTGCCGGGGTAACTGACACATATATTTAATTAAATCGTAGCTTTTTATAATGGAGCACTGCTGACATTATTGACTAAAAGTAGTGAAATGATTATCATAAATTACGTATATAAACAACAACATTTGAAAACATTATGGATTTTCGATGGACGATAGCATTAAACGATAAACATACACGCCAAGGCAGTTCAACCTTTAAAATATTTACGTTGTGTTCTGTTCATGTGCTTGGCTGCTCGCTGTTGTCATAGGATATTCGTCATCAATTCCAATTAAATTTTATAACACCAATGCATGGCATTTAAATGACTTAATAAATTCTATTGCAATAGAAACGAAACGTTTGTAAAGAGAGGCACTTTTATCTCCTTAGTGAGAGAAAATAAAAACAAAATTAAGACTGAATAGAATCGATATGATACAATAGCACACAAAAGTTAATGTACTATCACAATGGGGGGCGTCCATTGGAGATAGGGTGAATTTAGGAAAAGATGTTTCATTAAGGTTTTATTAATGTCTTTATTAGACACTAGGCCTTTATTTGATGGAGGGGGAGATCATTTTAATTTATTATTTTAACAGACGTCTTTTAATTTACATTTTGTAATGCCTTTATTAAAGTATTAAGTTAGAGTCTTCTGTTACAATGGATTTTTAAACATAATGTCGCATTTAAAACGTTTTGTCAAAACCAAAAAAATTGTCGAAAATTTGCAACAGTTTGAATCTCCAACACTGATCTCCGTGAAATGTATGTCATATGACCAATATCACTCCATTAACAGATCGTGTAAGCTCAGTGGAGGAATCAGGAAGTCAGGAAGTGACATTTCTTCTTAAATTTCCCTCGTTGTGCAGTGGTGTGCGAAAGAAGCTTGTTTTCTTTGAAATGATATTGTCACTGGAATTTTTGCTGAATTGAACTGATAATAATTCATAAAACGTATTCAAAAAAAAAAGGAACTCAGTAAGTTAATAAAATATGAGACATGTTGTACTGTGGCTGGAACTTCACAATTCATAGCGGATTTGAAGATAAACAGGGACATCAGCTAAATATTAAATATGGTTGAGTTTCATTTTCCATATTTGATTTTTAATCGTACTTATTCATCGAGAGTCTTGCTTCTTAGATACCCAAAGAAAGAATAATTTATTTTTGCTTACAATAAATATGTGTTAATGAATAATATTTATGTCATATTATAATATTCTTTACTGAAGATATTCAGCTCAGGTTGATATTTTTTTAATCATGTTGTCATAAAAATTAAATCACAATGATATTTTATAATTCACATTCTTTATGTCAAGTAGCTACAAATGAGCAAATATCTGTAATAATTTGTACAAAGTTGAAAGAATGATTTTAATTTACCTATTTTTAAGATAAACAAGAAGCCTGTTAAGCATTCATTCAGTCTACTTAAAAACAATGTTTGGTTCTATTTTCACATTATATAAAACAACATGTTATGTTTGCAAAAACAAAATTTGCAACAATTTAATTTCACATGTAGCAATATATATTATGTCAGTCATGTTCTATTTTATGTACCATTCAAGACATTGGTGCATGTAATGATCCAAGAAAGATTTTATTGGTTCAAGAACTTTGTGTAACTCAAACATGATTTGTGCAATTTTGTGACATGACAGGAAAAAACACATTTTTAAATTCAGGCCTATCTTCAACATCCTGCTGATAATAAGGTTGCTGTTCCTACTTAATAACCGAATACATGTTATATTATTGAAGGAAGTTAAATATAGAAATCATATTTTGAGGATAAATTTATTTACATCTTTAGAAAAATCATTCAAATTCATTATTGAAGAATGGTACAAAAATATTTCCATCACATATTAAATCAAAATCTAGTCACTGATAATTTATAATGTTGATGATTGTTTTATATGTGAAGAAGCTCCCTAAAATTTTCTTGTTTTTTAGGAGAGTTGACAATAACCTTACCTTCAAAATTTCATGAAAATATTGGAATCAGTCATGTTCTATTTTGTTTTGTTGGTTTCTTTAATATTTGTCATCACTGCAGCAATTGAACCATATAATAATTGTGGATGTAAATATTCTGATAATGGAAAACACTATGTAATATCCATGAAAGATGTGAAACCAAAAAACAAATAGTAAGTGTTGTATGTCATCTTTTTGTATGTTAGCACAACCGTGATGATTGTTTAGATGTAAAACATATTTTTGTACTAGCAATGTGAACTATGAACATAGTAATGTCTATATTTTATTGTTTTACATTATTTTAAATTAAAAATACGATCATAATTTTCATTATAAAAAACACATATTACTAGCATGTGTTGAAATATATGAAACAATATATTTATGACCATATGATTATGAATGTAAATTATGTGAAAGTGACAAATCAGATTTTACAAACAGTTAGTGATGATAATATTAGAAATTGGGAAGTGGTTGAAGATGTCATATATGCATGAATAAAATGTTCATCTAACTTTTTTGATGATGAAAGAAAGAATATTTGATAATAAAGTTGCTTTGTTTATGAGGATTTAAAATTTGTAAATAGTTACATCAGCTGTACTTTTCTAAAATTACACAAAGCATGCTTGACTGACACAAAGTTCATCATGCAATTTGACAGCTTTTATTATAATACAAATACAACCGAACGTTGTTCTCTAATATGCATCTTGAACATGGTGTATTATTTTGAATTTAAATGTCTGCTCTGGTTGCCCATACCCCCTTGATTTGGGTTTTCTGCAGGGGTAGATCATTTATCACATACCTGCAATACATAATTCTGTTCTAGAGTTTTGTTTGAGGGAAGGGTTGTGCGCCCCTCCTGCATTACTCCTAGAAAATCCACTCCTGGCTTTCCTAAGTGTTTTCCGTGCTTATGATAAGATGCGTACAGATAACGACAACATTGCTATAAACTGTACTTGTGTAGAAATTGCTATCATTGTCTTTGAAAAAAGGAAAGTTTTATTATAGAAGCAAAGCTGTTTATAAGTTTTTTACCTTAGGAATGTTGTTGCTTTTAAAGAATGCATTGAACTACCCCTCGTTATACGTGAAATATTATATATAACTTAACCTATAGCTGAAATAGTACAGCTAGTGAATAGCTTATTTATTGGCTAGCCTGACTGTTCTAGCTCATCTAGCTACACCAAGGTATGGAGGGAGGATTTAAGCAGTAATATCCAAGTCACCAATTTTTAGTTACACATAATTTTGTCATCATCCAAACATATAAACACTGATTTGCATTGATGGATGATGCTTAAGAACATGAAAACATTTTGATTGGTAAGATTTTATTCTTTGGACAAACATTATCCATAGCAATATTGTGAAAGTATATGAAATTTCTAATTAAACTGCAATAATTTGTTTTGACTAACTACCATCGTTACACATTATATGTACCATAAAAGTCAATTTTACAGAAATCGTATCTTAAAATATGTTGATATATCTGATATATCTTCCTGATTTCTTGAAAAAATTATGAATTTTTCTCTAATGTACATCAAAGAAAACAGTTTTTAACAATGCTTTGTAATATCTTCGTGTTTAGCTTTACACTTGATGGTACCTCTATAGTTTGGACTTACTACTTCAATCCTTGTGACGTGTTTTCAAAAGATAAATGCACTGATGTTATCGTAAGTTTAGAAAAATCTGATTCTTTGTTTGCTTTTCGTCGAAATTTATTATCGTCTTCCTGGTTTCTTTTGTAGATGTGTCAAGAAGGTGGAAAAGAAAGTTTTCCAATAGCAAAAAAGGAAATAAAGAATTGTGATGAATACAAGAACAACAAAACAACGTTGTATTATCAAAAAGTCAAAGGACCAATAGAAACGTATGTAATTCAATTTTAAGAAAATTTGTTTTTGATGAAGTAGTATCTAAAAACTCTTTAAAATTTTTTAAAGATCGCAAATACCATGATGAATGGTAAAAGTAACCTTTCCTCAAAGTTTCACCAATTTTTTCACGTCACGAACCTCATCACCACTACAGTGCTTTCTTAAATAATAAAATAGAGACTTTATCGTGGTGATAAATCTGAAAATCGTTCTAAAGATCGCAATTCAACCAATCACTATGGTATTTGCGATCTTTAGAACGATTTTCAGATTTGTCACCACGACAAAGTCTCTATTTTATTATTTAAAATTTCTTGTACGAACTCTTTTATGAATGTGTATAATTCTTATTTTAAGTACAGCTTATTGTATGTAAACAGGAGTTTAAAATGTGTAAGAGCAGTCACAGAAGAATTTTTTAACAGAATGTAGAAATCTATATCAACAGAGTAAATCTGGCAGTAACATTGCAAAAATCATTTATTTTTCTACATGAAGGATAAAATTGTTCAAGAATAGTTGATGGATTTTCTGCAAACTGTTAGTGTCATTTTAAAAATCACGTTAGTTTGATAAAGTATTTATCGACTGTTGCCTATTTCGTGGATTAAATGATAGAAATACTGGAAATGATTTTTAGCTACGAAAAAGTAACTTGTCAGATGGCAAAACTTGTTTTTAGTATTCAAAAATTGTCAATCCATCATTAATTTATTAGTATTAGGTTGGTAATATTAATTGTACAGCTGTGAATATGTTTGAATTTGGGCCAGGGTCGTTTTTTTATTGCAAAGTTATCGTTTTGTCTCAGTTTTGTCGTTTTTAGCAACCAAGTCCAAGTTACACATAATTCTTATGTTAAACAATTTCTGACAAAATTTAACTTGCTTCAGTGATGCATTGTTTTAAAGCCATTGAGATTTTATCACTTTAATAACGATTCATACCAATGTTGGAAGTATAAAAGCTGATTTTTCCGAATAATAAAACTTGCATTTTTACCTAGGAGGCAGATGAAATTAACATTGGATTGCAACAAGGAGGTTACGAAACCTAAATTTAGCCCAGTTACTGAAAGTCAAAGTTTGGATACCAGTATCTTCGTAAGTATATTTTTACATCATATTATCAGTGGCCAAGCTAAGTCGAACTTTTACTCATACAATTAAAACTTTTCAGCAAAATTATTCTGCATTCTTTCTATGTTATGAAAATTCTGTTTCATGTTTGTGGCTGTAGATCGCCCAGGTTAGAATAGTCCTGAGAAGGACTGTTTTTGTTGTTGTTGACTGACGTTTCGACAACCTTAGCGGTAGTCACCTTCAGAGTCAAATGAGGAGTAAACGTCAGGTTAGCCGTATTTGTTATCTGGTTCTTACGTCATGGTGATGTGTGTACAGGAAATGTGTAGGTGTCAATTGTGTATTGTGAAGTGTGATGTTCTTAATTGATCGTTTGGTTACTAACCTGGACGATCTACATCTACAAACATGTAACGATACTCCCGGGTTCAAACCATTTACTTTAAAATTTTGTTTATTGCGTTATCAATAAACGAAGAAAAAGTTTTTTGTTGTACAGTATACACTGGTAGTAAATAGAACTTCTTCGAGATTTTTTACTACGACTAATTTTATGAATGCGTGAAATGACTTTTTGCGATCAAGAAATTAAATTTCATATTTTAAATTTTTGTAACATTTAGTTGACCCTCCTCTACTCTTTATGATAGGTTTGCACCTGTGAAATATGTTCATCAAGTATTTTCTACAGGGAATTCTTTTCAATTTGTTTGGACCCCGTCTCACAGTTCACTATTTTTTATATTTTTACTCGAAACATTAGTTTTAAATCGTTTTAATATGATCCCTTAGATTCTATAGTGAGTTGAGATCTGGCGACTAATGTAGCCACTGTAATTTATTTTTCCTACAACTAAATCCTTGTTATTCCTGGATCTATGGAAGTAGAGTTAACGTTATTGTAATATCCAGCCGTTACAAATGGTCATGATGTGAGTAGCGGGAATAAGTACATTCTTTAAGATAGAAATGTATCATGGCCTATTAAGTCAACAGTTCACCTTTCCTCAGATTTCTTGCAAAGATTTCATCATTGTCTACACAGAATGATTGAGGATATCCTTAGATTCATTGTACTGTTCTGTCTGCATTTCTTACTTTAAACACACATTTGCATCCAAGCTCCAATTATGTTTTTGTCTGCAGATGGAGGAACAAAATTCCAAGTGTGATTGTTTTCTAATCATGCATGCAACTTCCATTCGTTATTCTTACCATTCCAATCTTCAGCAATGATATCAGTCGTAGGATCTTCACTAAAGTTTTATAAATATTTCATCATCATAACTTTGAGGAGCTCATCTTTGCCGTTGTGGGTCAAGGTTTTCAACTTTTCTCATGAAATTGTCGTCGTGTGTTGTTTTCACAGCATGATTATTCACTACAAAACAATTTCTTGATCATCCCCTATTGCACCTTCGTCTATATTATCTTTTGGATTGAACATTTTGTTTGAGTTGAACAGTTCAAACTCTCTTTGTTTTGAAATATGTGATCTTTACTGCGAGCAAACAACTTGTTTTGGACATTGTGGAGCATTTATCTCTTGCTAATTTTCGGATTTTCAATAAACACGCATTTAAAAACGTCTTGTCGTTTTAGTTATTTTGGCATCAGAAATATGGTGTACTTTGAAAATAAAAGGAACTTTGTGTCTTTCCGGTGGTCTTTTATGTCATCGAGTAAAGTAAATATTTTGATGTTGAATGTATAAAGAGCGGTATTTACTGCCTCAGCCTAAAATTTATTACCCATACCTACAAAACATAACGTGGATCGAATGATATATTGGCGCTCATTGGACTGAAAATATCACAATGAATTATTTCAAACATGATCGAAACTTTACTTTATAACACAAGCTTCGCATTAATCAGTCAAATCACCATTCTTTTCCCAGTATTTACAAACTTCTACAATCACCATTGTTTGAAGACAACAATTAGTGTACAGCCAATATATAACTTCTCCATAAGAAAAAAATTACTCATCATCTACCAAAATCAATCTACATTGTTGTTTGACCTCTATATAAAATGATAGACTATTTTTTCAAATTTCATTATTGCCTGGGTTGCTCCCAAATTTATTATCCATCCACATCTCGTCTGACTTCCACTTGTACGTATAAAGGTCCTTTTTGTGACATGTTCTACTTAAATTTTTACTTGAATTTCTGGGGTTATTATTCTTACGTTGTGTACAATCTTTCGCAAAATGTCCTCACTTCCTACACGCATGTCGGATTCCTCATGTTATATTGTTCATTTGATTTCTTTTTTCTCCCTTTAAACGATCAATGTATTGCATTAGTATCTTCAACTTTATTTGAATCAGCAACATAATATATTATCATTCCTTTCACCTTCTGAAAGGTCAGCAAATTCGTACTTTGCCAATACATACCTGTGTTAAACGCCAGATTTTTATAATTTAATCATGAAAGCTTACAAACACCAAAATAGATCTTCGAGGTATATCTTCCACTGTTTGCCTACCTGTGTTCTTCGTACAAATATCTTGAATATTGTGGTGCACTTACTAAAATTCCATGCCAGTTAATGTCAGAAGTAAATCAGTTACACAAATTGAAAGAAAAATTGCTGTTCAACATAAAAATGTAAATTAATTTCTGATCTAGTTTAGTTAGTGGTGTTTATCATATTTTATGACTGTAAACTTTTTTACATGTTCACACTTATTAAACTGTAAACAGTTAACATTATTATGCCGTTTAGCTTTGTTGCTTGAATGCCAAAAAGTATAAAATATACATGTTTTAATCTATTTTTATATTTTTTATGTATAGGAACTGACAATTACTGCCAAAGCAGTTTGTCCAAAAGAGATTTCGTCCAAAAGTACTACTAGTCATAACTTGAGTGCTGGAAGTGTACTTGTTATTATGTGAGTACGTAGGTATTTTTACACTAATAAATTGAAAATGTTGTTCTTCTTTGTAATATAATTAGTCAGAATGCAAAGTCTAAAAAACTGTTGTTGTTTGAAAGCTTGCACTTTCTTTTCGAACTCGTTTTCCCTCAATGACCGCTGTCTTGGTGTGCCCCTAGCACGCGTAAAAGCGATGTAGGCAATACACGTAGATGTTACACCATAAACAACAAGAAAACAACTGTTTTTTTAGACTGTAGCTTGTGATGAGTTTTATTGAAATGTTTTTATTTGCCATTAAATCAATGGATGTTTCCCTCATACATAAATCAAAATCAAATGTAAGTTAATGAAGAAATGAAATAAATGTATGAAACATTTTATGGTTGATTAAAATTACAAATCTAAATGTCGTTTTGTTTTTGAAACATTGCAAGGTAATATGCTGTTCTTGATAAGCATTTTTTCCTTATAGTTTTATCACGTTGATTGTGGTTTATTTTGTGGCTGGTATATTATTTATGAAGTATAAAAGAGGAGCCACTGGAAAAGAAGTTATACGAAACATTGAATTCTAATCTTCCCTTCCTGGATTAATAAAGGTAGTGATACTACCAGTTTTTGATACAGATATTTTTGATACGCTCTTGACATCGCAGCTGTTCATATACCAAGCTTGAGTTTTCTTTTGAGTTGTGGTTATCTAGCATGTTGCATGATGGGTAAACGAAATTGATTTTTGCGAGGAACATGAAAATGAGACCGAGATTCAATTATTGTTACTAGTGATGGGCGATACCGCTAGTATCGATTCGATACGATACCGATTACTTTTTCTTAAAAGTATCGAGGTATCGATTACTAAAGCGATTACTTTCTCCAATTTCGAAAATAAACGTCTGAGTCACTTGATAAATATCTGATAATGGAATTGGCAAAGTTTGGCCTTATATACTTCAACAATACGACGAAATTTTTATTTTTCTTGTCTTAAATTACAAACTGTCGTAACATTATTAGGAGTAACGATAAATTTTCAGAAGCTGTATAAATTCGAATTGAAAAAATTTGTTACATGTTATTATTCTGAAGGCGAGATCTCGAAGTGTATTGATTAGTAAAAGTGAATAAAATATTAAAATAATAAAACAGAAAAAAAACAACTTGTTTGTCAAAACCAATAAGGAAAAGAAAGACAAACTTACATAATAATGAAATTTTAAAAGTAATCGAAGTCTTTTTTCGATACCACGCTGTATCGACTACTTCCGGATTAGGCTCGGTATCAGGCGGTATCGATACCAAGTAATCGGTAATCGCCCATCACTAATTGTTACTTACGGTTATCAATAATGTATCTAGTCAGCGATGCACGACCTTGTTGAGACAAAATTACTTTACAAAATTATATTACAAAAAGAGCATGTGAAATTCTTACAAAGCAAGTCTAACTTTAAAAGCAATAAAATTCTTATGAAACATGTTATGTTAAGTGGATTGTGTGTATTTTGCACAGCTTTCAAAGACACAGACTACCTGTTATCAGTTTTATCTTAGATTTTTGGTCTTTCGACGACAAATGAGAAATTCATATTTCGAAGCAAGTTCTCCCTTTTATGTTTTATATAATACAGCGTTACGTATACAAAACATGTCTTGGAACGTCCACAATGCATTTTAACACATTAATAACCAAATTTTGCCAACGGTTTTGAAAAAAATTAAACATTTAGGCTAGCATTCTATTTCCAAGTTAGTAGTTTTTTGCAAAACAATCCGTCACGCAAATAAAAAGTCCACGCGAGATACACGCGAAGCGGCAAATCAGCTTATAAGTGGCTTCAGACAAGTCTAGGCAGTGTATATTGTGAGTTAGCCTTCCAGTTGTTGTAGAGTTCATTGGTTTCAGACAATGAACTCTAATATCTTTATCTTTGAATGCTGTGCAAAATACACACAATCCACTTAATATAACATTTTTCATAACAATTTTATTGCTTTTAAAGTCAGACTTGCTTTGTAAGAATTTCACATGCTCTTTTTGTAATGTGTGAAAGTGATGATTTGAAATTTTGAAGTGTGGGTGATTGTTGGTTCTTGTCATTTACTTTTCCCACTTCTTAAAAACTGGTGGAATATTTGACATGCATCAATATTTGTGTATTGAGCATTTTATTAGCAAATGTACATATAATTGTACATACAATAAGTGTACATACAATATTAGCAAGTGTACAATAATAGCCAAGTGTACAACATGACAAGTATTGCTGATATAACCAGCTCTACATAAATGCAAAAAAGCAACCCTCATCCTCAGTGGTTTGAACCAGGGTTTTGAAATGATTATAAAGCAAGCAAAGCTATATCATGTATCAAAATTTTATAGTACATCATATTGATTTTAAAATTAGTTTTTTCTTGTAATACAGATGATGATAAATGTATATGTAATGTATTATATGTTAGAATGTGTGTTTAAAATGTTTGGTCATATTTGTGAAAATATATGATGGTTCTATAATATTAGACTAATAATCTTTTTCATACTTGTATTACATTACAATTTTTACTTTAGTGTTTCAAAAGTTATGAATATGGAGTGTCATTTGTGTTTTTGTCTTTTTTTAAGTGGGTATTGACCCTTTTTTAATATTGTCTCTTTAATGGTGCAACTAATAATAACACAATATGGCATAACAGTTTTTTAAAACAAACTCAAAATATTTTTTTGCTAACTTTTTGAAATATTGTGCAAAGTGTTTTTCTTTTTGTTTACGCTCTGAACTTTCAAAAAGGACTGGGGCGAGCTAATTTTGCTCGGAAACACAAAAATTACCAAAAAACAGCGTTTTTTCCTCTCACAGCTTCATTTTCAAAGATTCAAACAATATTATAAGGATAGACAAGTATGTTTTACATCCTTTTAATGAAAAAAAACGAGGGGTGTCAGTTTTGTACTCAAGTTATAAGGCATGTTTTCACGTGCCAAAACAAAGTTCGCTTTTCATCCTTCAAAAAAGAAGCTTAAACATGTACAAATGTCGTTCAAACATTGTTTAAGGTTTTTAGACATTAAGCTGGCTCGAAGAGCACTGTTTTGTCCATTGGCCGCCATTTTTTGGCGTCAGGTCCCAGTCCACTTAGCTGCTCCAGTTATTATAGAAATCAATGGTCTGGACACGGCATTGAATTAAAATATACTGGAATGATAACTCGGGGGAAACTTGAAGCCAATTTTTTCTTAGTCTTTTGGTTTTTTATGTTAAAAAGACAGCTCGCACCTGTGAAGTATTGATACACCAAATAGCAACAACTTGCTCCAAGTTTGCGTAAAATCTTCATGATTGTGTTCATTGGGATCATTTCGGTCATGTCATATGACCAATATCACTCCATTAACAGATCGTGTAAGCTCAGTGGAGGAAACAGGAAGTCAGGAAGTGACATTTCTTCTAAAATTTCCCTCGTTGTGCAGTGGTGTGCGAAAGAAGCTTGTTTTCTTTGAAATGATATTGTCACTGGAATTTTTGCTGAATTGAACTGATAATAATTCATAAAACGTATTCAAAAAAAAAAGGGAATTCAGTAAGTTAAAAAAATATGAGACATGTTGTACTGTGGCTGGAACTTCACAATTCATACCGTATTTGAAGATCATCAGGGACATCAGCTAAATATTAAATATAGTTGAGTTTCATTTTCCATAATTGATTTTTAATCGTACTTATTCATCGAGAGTCTTGCTTGTTAGATACCCAAAGAAAGAATAATTTATTTTTGCTGACGTTAAATATGTGTGAATGAATAATATGTAATATTGTAATATTCTTTAATGAAGGTATTCAGCTCAGGTGGATATTTTTTTAATCATGTTGTCATAAAAATTAAATCACAATGATATTTTATAATTCACATTCTTTATGTCAAGTAGCTACAAATGAGCAAATATCTGTAATAATTTGTACAAAGTTGAAAGAATGATTTTAATTTACCTATTTTTAAGATAAACAAGAAGCCTGTTAGGCATTCATTCAGTCTACTTAAAAACAATGTTTGGTTCTATTTTCACATTATATAAAACAACATGTTATGTTTGCAAAAACAAAATTTGCAACAATGTAATTTCACATGTAGCAATATATATTATGTCAGTCATGTTCTATTTTATGTACCATTCATGACATTGGTGCATGAAATGATCCAAGAAAGATTTTATTGGTTCAAGAACTTTGTGTAACTCAAACATGATTTGTGCAATTTTGTGACATGACAGGAAAAAAACACATTTTTGAACTCAGGCTTATCTTCAACATCCTGCTGAAGTTAAGACTGCTGTTCCTACTTAATAACCGAATAACATGTTATATTATTGAAGGAAGTTAAATGTAGAAATCATATCTTGAGGATAAATTTATTTAAATCTTTAGAAAATTCATTTAAATTCATTATTTAAGAATGGTACAAAAATATTTCCATCACACATTAAATCAAAATCTTGTCACTGATAATTTATAATGTTGATGATTGTTTTATATGTGAAGAAGCTCCCTAAAATTTTCTTGTTTTTTAGGAGAGTTGACAATAACCTTATCTTCAAAATTTCATGAAAATATTGGAATCAGTCATGTTCTATTTTGTTTTGTTGGTTTCTTTAATATTTGTCATCACTGCAGCAATTGAACCATATAATAATTGTGGATGTAAATATTCTGATAATGGAAAACACTATGTAATATCCATGAAAGATGTGAAACCAAAACAAATAGTAAGTGTTGTATGTCATTTTTTGTATGTTAGCACAACCGTGATGATGATTTAGATGTAAAAGGTATTTTTGTACTAGCAATGTGAACTATGAACATAGTAATAGCTATATTTTGTTGTTTTACATTATTTTAAATTAAAAATACTATCATAATTTTCATTATAAAAAACACATAGTACTAGCATGTGTTGAAATATATGAAACAATATATTTATGACCATATGATTATGAATGTAAATTATGTGAAAGTGACAAATCAGATTTTACAAACAGTTAGTGATGATAATATTAGAAATTGGGAAGTGGTTGAAGATGTCATATATGCATGAATAAAATGTTCATCTAACTTTTTTGATGATGAAAGAAAGGATCTTTGAGAATAAGGTTGCTTTATTTTGAGGATTTAAAATTTGTAAATAGTTACATCAACTGTACTTTTCTAAAATTACACAAAGCATGCATGACTGACACAAAGTTCATTGTGCAATTTGACAGCTTTTATAATAATGCAAATACAACCGAGCGCTGTTCTTTAATATGCATCTTGAACATGGTGTATACTGGTGAGTACTTAAGAATATGAAAACAACATGGTGTATTATTTTGAATTTAAATGTCTGCTCTGGTTGCCCATACCCCCTTAGTTTGGGTTTTCTGCAGGTGTAGATCACTGCTCATTTATCACATATCTGCAATACATAATACTGTTCTAAATTTTTTTTGAGGAAGGGTTGTGCACCCCCCTGCATTACCCCTGGAAATCCATCCCTGGTTTTCCTAGGGATTCTCCTTGCTTATGCTAAGATGCATACAGATAATGACAATATCGCTATCTATAAACTGTACTTGTGTAGTGTAGAAATTGCTATCATCGTCTTTGAAAAAAGGAAAGTTTTTTTATAGAAGCAAAGCTGTTTTATACGTTTTTTACCTTAGGAATGTTGTTGCTTTTAAAGAATGCATTGAACTACCCCTTGTTATACATGAAATATTATATATAACTTAACCTATATCTGAGCTAGTACAGCTAGTGAATAGTTTATTTATTGTCTACCCTGACTGTTCCAGCTCATCTAGCTACACCAAGGTATGGAGGGAGGATTTAAGCAGTAATATCCAAGTCACCAATTTTTAGTTACACATAATTTTGTCATCATCCAAACATATAAACACTGATTAGCACTGATGGATGATGCTTAAAAACATGAAAACAATTTGGTTGGTAAGATTTTATTCTTTGGACAAACCTTATCCATAGCAATATTGTGAAAGTATATGAAATTTCTAATTAAACTGCAATAATTTGTTTTGACTAACTACTGTCGCTACACATTATATGTCCCATAAAAGTCAAATTTACAGAAATCGTATCTTAAAATATGTTGATATAACTGATATATTGTCCAGATTTCTTGAAAAAATTGTGAATTTTTTCTAATGTACATCAAAGAAAACAGTTTTTAACAATGTTTTGTAATATCTTCGTGTTTAGCTTTACACTTGCTCATTCCTCTATAATTTGGACTTACTACTTCAATCCTTGTGATGTGTTTTCAAAAGATACCTGCACTGATGTTATCGTAAGTTTAGAAAAATCCGATTCTTTGATTGCTTTTCGTCGCAATTTATTATCGTCTTCCTGGTTTCTTTTGTAGATGTGTCAAGAAGGTGGAAAACAAAGTTTTCCAATAGCAAAAAAGGAAATAAAGAATTGTAGTGAATACAAGAACAGCAAAACAACGTTGTATTATAAAAAAGTCAAAGGAAAAACAACATCGTATGTAATTCAATTTTAAGAAAATTTGTTTTTGATGAAGTAGTATCTAAAAACTCTTTAAAATTTTTTAAAGATCGCAAATACCATGATAAATGGTAAAAGTAACCTTTCCTTTAAGTTTCACTAATTTTTTCACGTCACGAACCTCATCACCACTACAGCGCTTTCTTAAATAATAAAATAGGGACTTTATCGTGGTGATAAATCTGAAAATTGTTCTAAAGATCGCAATTCAACCAATCACTATGGTATTTGCGATCTTTAGAACGATTTTCAGATTTGTCACCACGACAAAGTCTCTATTTTATTATTTAAAGTTTTTTGTATGAACTCTTTTATGAATGTGTATAATTCTTATTTTAAGTACAGCTTATTGTATGTAAACAGGAGTTTAAAATGTGTAAGAGCAGTCACAGAAGAATTTTTTAACAGAATGTAGAAATCTATATCAACAGAGTAAATCTGGCAGTAACATTGCAAAAATCATTTATTTTTCTACATGAAGGATAAAATTGTTCAAGAATAGTTGATGGATTTTCTGCAAACTGTTAGTGTCATTTTAAAAATCACATTAGTTTGATAAAGTATTTATCGACTGTTGCCTATTTCGTGGATTAAATGATAGAAATACTGGAAATGATTTTTAGCTACGAAAAAGTAACTTGTCAGATGGCAAAACTTGTTTTTAGTATTCAAAAATTGTCAATCCATCATTAATTTATTAGTATTAGGTTGGTAATATTAATTGTACAGCTGTGAATATGTTTGAATTTGGGCCAGGGTCGTTTTTTTATTGCAAAGTTATCGTTTTGTCTCAGTTTTGTCGTTTTTAGCAACCAAGTCCAAGTTACACATAATTCTTATGTTAAACAATTTCTGACAAAATTTAACTTGCTTCAGTGATGCATTGTTTTAAAGCCATTGAGATTTTATCACTTTAATAACGATTCATACCAATGTTGGAAGTATAAAAGCTGATTTTTCCGAATAATAAAACTTGCATTTTTACCTAGGAGGCAGATGAAATTAACATTGGATTGCAACAAGGAGGTTACGAAACCTAAATTTAGCCCAGTTACTGAAAGTCAAAGTTCGGGTACCAGTATCTTCGTAAGTATATTTTTACATCATATTATCAGTGGCCAAGCTAAGTCGAACTTTTACTCATACAATTAAAACTTTTCAGCAAAATTATTCTGCATTCTTTCTATGTTATGAAAATTCTGTTTCATGTTTGTGGCTGTAGATCGCCCAGGTTAGTATAGTCCTGAGAAGGACTGTTTTTGTTGTTGTTGACTGACGTTTCGACAACCTTAGCGGTAGTCATCTTCAGAGTCAAATGAGAAGTAAACGTCAGGTTAGCCGTATTTGTTATCTGGTTCTTACGTCATGGTGATGTGTGTACAGGAAATGTGTAGGTGTCAATTGTGTATTGTGAAGTGTGATGTTCTTAATTGATCGTTTGGTTACTAACCTGGACGATCTACATCTACAAACATGTAACGATACTCCCGGGTTCAAACCATTTACTTTAAAATTTTGTTTATTGCGTTATCAATAAACGAAGAAAAAGTTTTTTGTTGTACAGTATACACTGGTAGTAAATAGAACTTCTTCGAGATTTTTTACTACGACTAATTTTATGAATGCGTGAAGTGTATTTTTGCAAACAAGAAATTAAATTTCATATTTTAAATTTTTGTAACATTTGGTTGACCCTCCTCTACTCTTTATGATAGGTTTGCACCTGTGAAATATGTTCATCAAGTATTTTCTAGGGAATTCTTTTCAATTTGTTTGGACCCCGTCTCACAGTTCACTATTTTTTATATTTTTACTCGAAACATTAGTTTTAAATCGTTTTAATATGATCCCATAGATTCTATAGTGAGTTGAGATCTGGCGACTAATGTAGCCACTGTAATTTATTTTTCCTACAACTAAGTGTTTGTTATTCCTGGATCTATGGAAGTAGAGTTAACGTTATTGTAATATCCAGCCGTTACAAATGGTCATGATGAGAGTAGTGGGAATAAGTACATTCTTTAAGATAGAAATGTATCATGGCCTATTAAGTCAACAGTTCACCTTTCCTCGGATTTCTTGCAAAGATTTCACCATTGTCTACACGGAATGATTGAGGATATCCTTAGAATCATTGTACTGTTCTGTCTGCATTTCTTACTTTAAACACACATTTGCATCCAAGCTCCAATTATGTTTTTGTCTGCAGATGGAGGAACAAAATTCCAAGTGTGATTGTTTTCTAATCATGCATGCAACTTCCATTCTTCGTTATTCTTACCATTCCAATCTTCAGCAATGATATCAGTTGTAGGATCTTCACTACAGTTTTATAAATATTTCATCATCATAACTTTGAGGAGCTCATCTTTGCCGTTGTGGGTCAAGGTTTTCAACTTTTCTCATGAAATTGTCGTCGTGTGTTGTTTTCACAGCATGATTATTCACTACAAAACAATTTCTTGATCATCCCCTATTGCACCTTCGTCTATATTATCTTTTGGATTGAACATTTTGTTTGAGTTGAACAGTTCAAACTCTCTTTGTTTTGAAATATGTGATCTTTACTGCGAGCAAACAACTTGTTTTGGACATTGTGGAGCATTTATCTCTTGCTAATTTTCGGATTTTCAATAAACACGCATTTAAAAACGTCTTGTCGTTTTAGTTATTTTGGCATCAGAAATATGGTGTACTTTGAAAATAAAAGGGAACTTTGTGTCTTTCCGGTGGTCTTTTATGTCATCGAGTAAAGTAAATATTTTGATGTTGAATGTATAAAGAGCGGTATTTACTGCCTCAGCCTAAAATTTATTACCCATACCTACAAAACATAACGTGGATCGAATGATATATTGGCGCTCATTGGACTGAAAATATCACAATGAATTATTTCAAACATGATCGAAACTTTACTTTATAACACAAGCTTCGCATTAATCAGTCAAATCACCATTCTTTTCCCAGTATTTACAAACTTCTACAATCACCATTGTTTGAAGACAACAATTAGTGTACAGCCAATATATAACTTCTCCATAAGAAAAAAATTACTCATCATCTACCAAAATCAATCTACATTGTTGTTTGACCTCTATATAAAATGATAGACTATTTTTTCAAATGTCATTATTGCCTGGGTTGCTCCCAAATTTATTATCCATCCACATCTCGTCTGACTTCCACTTGTACGTATAAAGGTCCTTTTTTGTGAGATGTTCTACTTAAATTTTTACTTGAATTTCTGGGGTTATTATTCTTACATTGTGTACAATCTTTCGCAAAATGTCCTCACTTCTTACAGGCATGTCGGATTCCTCATATTGTATTTTTCATTTGATTTCTTTTTTCTCCCTTTAAACGATCAATGTATTGCATTAGTATCTTCAACTTTATTTCAATCAGCAACATAATTTATTATCATTCCTTTCACCTTCTGAAATGTCAGCAAATTCGTACTTTGCCAATACATACCTGTGTTAAACGCCAGATTTTTATAATTTAATCATGAAAGCTTACAAACACCAAAATAGATCTTCGAGGTATATCTTCCACTGTTTGCCTACCTGTGTTCTTCGTACAAATATCCTGAATATTGTGGTGCACTTACTAAAATTCCATGCCAGTTAATGTCAGAAGTAAATCAGTTACACAAATTGAAAGAAAAATTGCTGTTCAACATAAAAATGTTTTTCTTATCTAGTTTAGTTAGTGGTGTTTATCATATTTTATCATTGCAAATTTTTTACATGTTCACACTTATTAAACTGTAAACAGTTAAGATTATTATACCGTTTAGCTTTGTTGCTTGAATGCCAAAAAGTGTAAAATATACATGTTTTAATCTATTTTTATATTTTTTATGTATAGGAACTGACAATTACTGCCAAAGCAGTTTGTCCAAATGAGATTTCGTCCAAAAGTACTACTAGTCATAACTTGAGTGCTGGAAGTGTACTTGTTATTATGTGAGTACGTAGGTATTTTTATACAAATAAATTGAAAATGTTGTTCTTCTTTGTAATATAAATAAGTCAGAACGCAAAGTTGAAAAAACTGTTGTTGTTTGAAAGCTTGCACTTTCTTTTCGAACTCGTTTTTCCTCAATGACCGCTGTCTTGGTGTGCCCCTAGCATGCGTAAAAGCAATGTAGGCAATACACGTAGATGTTACACCATAAACAACAAGAAAACAACTGTTTTTTTAACTGTAGCTTTTGATGAGTTTTATTGAAATGTTCTTATTTGCCATTAAATCAATGGATGTTTCCCTAATACATAAATCAAAATCAAATGTAAGTTAATGAAGAAATGTATGAAACATTTTATGGTTGATTCAAAATACAAATCTAAATATCGTTTTATTTTTGAAACATTGCAAGGTAATATGCTGTTCTTGATAAGCATTTTTTCTTATAGTTTTTTCACGTTGATTGTGGTTTATTTTGTGGCTGGTATATTATTTATGAAGTATAAAAGAGGAGCCACTGGAAAAGAAGTTATACCAAACATTGAATTCTGGTCTTCCCTTCCTGGATTAATAAAGGTAGTGATACTACCAGTTTTTGATATAGATATTTTTGATACGCTCTTGACATCGCAGCTGTTCATATACCAAGCTTGAGTTTTATATTGAGATGTGATTATCTATCTTAAGAATGCGACTGAGATTCATTTATTGTTACCTACGGTTATCAATAATGTATCTAGTCGGCGGTGCATGACCTTGTCGAGACTAAATTACCATGCAGAGTATAAAATTGTTCTTAAATAACAACCATATTTAGAGTGAGAATTGTATTACCGAGAAGGACTTTTAAAATAGCTTGCGCACTGAAATGACAAAACTGAAGAGCAATTGGAACACATAGTGTTAAAATATGGCGCATGTTGTTCAAGCTAACAGAGTTTCTGGAAATTTGTCTTAAGCGTACATGAACTAATTAAAGCTAAAACCCCCCTTACCCACCCCGCTTCCTACGCCTAGGATGAGGATTACAATAAAATGACATTTGTAAACGAAAAATTCAACATTACCCGCGACTCGAAAGCTAAGCAATCGCCTATGCATAAGCGAATTTTTATAAAACTTTGTTAGCTTGAACAACTTATGCTATAATTTAATCCTGTGTGTTTCAATTGTTTTTACGTGGCTGTGTCATTTTCGTGCGTAAGCTATTTCGAACGGGCTTCTCGGTAACACATTTTTTACTATAAAAATGTTTATTATTTGCAACAATTTTATTGTCAGATTAACCATTGGAAGTCCTTCCAACTAACTATTGCCATCAAAAGTTTTGGCAAATCTTACGTGCTCAAATCTTACGTGCTCAAATCTTGCGTGCTCTCTTAGGGCCTGTTCATATGAGCCCGGGTAGCCGGGATTCAGCGAAGCGTTTATTCATTTTAGCAAATGGAAAAGATTAACTCCTTCACAACAAAAAACTTATTTAAGCAATTTCTCTATGTTCGGAATTTGCAAATTCACAAAACCTTTAAAATGAAAACAAATAATTTGGCCAGATTTGAAAATTACAACTAAAATGACTCATGACTTATAAGAAAGGTTGTAAGTTTTGTGTTTAAAGTTTTTACTCCTTTCAATACCTCAAAATCATTTCACGCCTCGCTGAATCCCGGTTAGCTGGGCTCATGTGAACAGCCCCTTAGTTTTGTTTTCCAACTGTTCAGTTTTTTTGATATACCCTTTAGATCATTATGGTTTGGTCAGTTTAACAGTTAAATGTGAACAATTACTTCAGTTCAACAATCATAATGTAGATAGAAATGATATAAAGTTGAGCTAATTTGGAAAATTTCTATTTACCTCACATTAAAACCTTGTGCATTGACTCAATTTAGGCTTCTTGAAAAGTATGATTGCTGTATTTTCGAAAATGTTTTCTTGTTATTTAGGATGGTTGCATTTTCTTTGCGAACAAAACGAAATCGTTTTTTGGTAGATGCTGTAATAGAGAAGGATACAATGAAATTTGAAGAAGCAGATTTAGTCTTGTTAACAAGATTTTTCCTCCTTCATAGCCAATCATAGTTATATCTGCAATATTTTTTTACTATTTTATGCATCGATTGATTAATTTAATTCAATAATGAAAAATTTTACACTTTGTCATTTTTAAATTCTTTAGCAAATTATGGACGATTAAAACGAAATCTTATGAAAGCTTTGAATTTTATTTCTTCTGCAATCCATTAGACTAAACATATCACTGTAAAACTATCGCAATGTAAACATATGTACTTAAAACTTTACCTCAGCACACGCTTCTATATGAGTCAATTTATGAAGTTGGAGACATGACTGTATAGACACCGTTTTGTACATTATTCACATGTCATGTTTTTCATTATGAATTAAAAAGTTTTCGCAATAAAACCTTGATTTTCAAGTTGTTCCAAATTGTTATAACGATTTTGACAGTTGGAGGTTCTAGAATATTTTATTTTTTGTAAAGATCATCACATTCAAAAGTATCAAACGTTTTAATCCCTTTCCGAGGCATTGTTTTGTAAAATATATTTGATAAAATCTAGCTTCGTTTCAGGTCCAATAATGCCATATAATAATCTTTTAAATAACCTCGCTTTCTCGGTCTTTACTCAGAAATATCGGACCTATAACATAAGAAGAGCAGCTACGAACTTAGCAACCCGCGATTTGAATAAACGTAACGTTTCTCAGTTGAACCTGAGGTTTTGCTTGTCAAACGTGTGACGTTTGAAACGTAAACAAACGGGAAAAATTCAATAGATAAGTTCCAACACGAACCACTACCCGTTAGCCTCGTTTCATGCGAGGGCCGAAAAGCCATGACGCCATCTCGCCAACAGCTATTTGTTTGACTAATAATAATGAAAATAAGCTTTTTATAAAATTTGTGCAATATCATTTTTTTTATGTATTTTATGCTGACATTGTCGGGAGCGAACAATCATATCAGTAGAAGCTACTACCACGTTATGAACACGAAAATTTACATGGTTTAATAAATAATAGCTAATGTAATGTTATATTTTAATATCGCCTGTGGCGCTTCCAAGAAAAACAAAGAATTTCCAAGTAAAATTCGTCGCATGTGTTCGCTTTTTTTACTTTCTGCTGTCGTTACACAGAAAACGTTTTATTAGCAATGGATTTTAACAATTTCTTCGAATTCAAATGCTTGCTATGCATCCTGCTTTCTTCTGTTATACATTTTAGTGATGCTACAAAGTTTGATTGCATCAAAACTGACGAATGTTCTTGTAAAATTAATTCCTCCACTAAACAAGAAATATCATTATGGAATATGAAAGGGTAAGTGCGATATAATTTATAAAGTTTTCGTTAATTGCCAACACATATTCAATTGCTTAGATGCCTATCTATTTATACAACGTTTATGTAGCTTATTTTAATCTTATCATCATTAATACTAATGTGCTCGACGCGCGGAGAAAATTATATCGTTTTTTCCCAAAGAATAACTTATTAATATTTACTGGGTGTAATCATTCTAAAGGTAGTTATCTGAACATGAGTTAAATTAATATGAAACTAAATTTTCTCAGCTGTTTTTTATTAACTTGAATAATTTGTAATAACGACTACTGTGCTCTTGAATAATTTTCTTTTTTAGTGTATTACATCAGTGGTTTGCTTTTATATAGTAGCTAGTACTTAGAAAAATATTTTTTCAAAAACAAGAATTGGCGTAATTTTTTACCAGTACTGTATTGTGGCTACCCTGCACTCAGCAGTAGTTTCGTAAAAAGATAATGCATGTATTGGGCTGGAAATAAAGCTATTTATAAATAACGCATTTCACTATATAAATACTCACTACGTGTTGTCGTTGCCATTAACTTGCTTATTTGTCCACTCCTGAACCATTTTATGCAATTTCTTTTTTCAATTCCATTTGCTGAATGAATGTTCTTTACTTATTTTTTTGCAATATAGAAATATTCACGAGCAATTGTGTTTAATTTGGCAATTATTTGTTAAGTTTTTGGTTTGAGATTTTTTAAATATTAGAATGTATATGCATTATGTAACATTTGTTTTTTAGAAAAATTGGGGAAAATTAACAAAATCTCTCGATATTTATATTTTATCCATATTTTGAAAGATGTTTTCTTTAATTTATTTACAGTGAAAGCGACATTGAAGGCGCAACGCTTTATTTTAAAATTGATCTTTGTAATCATTTTGATAAAAACACGAATGCGTCAAATGGAGGATGCAAAAATGCGACGGTAAAATGTTTTTAATCTTTTGAGAAAAATTTACCAAAGTTTGTAAACTTTCAAAGTGTTACAGGTTTGCCAGTATTCAAAGTCGAATACAAGCTTAACATTCGAAATTGGAAAATTTGGTACCGCAAAATTTGGGAAATACGACAATGAATCAAAGTCTATCGATGTTAAATATCATGGTGTAAAACAAGGCAATAGTATAAGGTTTGCGGTTAATATTTTGATATTTTGAAACAATTGCATTGGAACGTAAACTCGGAAATTTAATTGTAGAAAATGAGCAGGGGCGCCACAATTGGCGGCGGGGCAGCCATTTTGAAAGGGTGCCTATTTTTACATTACGTTTGTGTAAAATGTTTGCTAATTTGTAATTCAAAAACATATGAAAACAATACACTTCCATGAAAGTGTGAAAGCGTGCATTAGTTTTCCCTTACACCTTTAGTGTTTATACAATTATGCAACCTTAGCCATTAAATTTTATAAGGCTTGTAGCTACTTTAAGTAGCATTTTATATTAAACTGATAAAAGAAATTTAGTATTTTAATAATGATAACTTTTAAATGGTTTTGTTAGAGATGTAATGTAATATGTTTGTTGAGAGTTCTCTTTTGTCATCTTTATTCAAACGATGCAAAATAGTTTCTTCGTTTCCCATTGGCCTGTGTAAAATCTTGAGGAATGATAATGGTACAGACGTCATCAATCCTGTTTTTATGGATTGTGCTAAACATTTTAGACTGTCATTAGACATAGTTGAACGTATCCATGATTTTATCCGACGTATAACACTGAAACCTCTCTCTGCTGTTGCTAACACAAAGCGCACAGCGTTGTAAAAGGAGAACAACTTGTCAATTTGGGGTTAGGTTTCCTTTAAAGCTTGGTTTCATGGCTTGTACATCACAAATAGTGAAAACCTTGGTGACTTTCTTTAAAGGAGTTTTTGACTCGTTGTTATATAAGCTTTATATATACAGGAAGTTTCACAATCTCGCTTTTCAGCTCATCCAAGTCGATTACTTCGGACAGACCACCCAGCTTGTTCAAAGGCTGATCAGCATTGGAAAACTCCTTATTTGCTGCAGTCAATAAGCAGCTTTCAATTTTTCAAGACATTAAAGTCATCATGGTCGAAGTGAGTCTTGATAGCTTCTTCAGCCAAGTCCAATATTTCGTAAAACTGGCGTCGTAATTCATGTTTCTCCTGTAACATTTCTTGTGTAACTGGATTTCTGGAATTGGCTATATAATCAGTCATAAAAAAAGGCATAGTTCTTTTTCTTTTTGTTCTTGGTTGGTCACTTTGTTGAAGTTGGTCCTCTTCATCTTGTTGAAATCTTGTCATGTTCTCTGCTTTTGCAAATAGACGTTCGAACTCTTCAGATGATCGGAGCTCTCCTAACCGTATGTAATGTTTGTCGATGCTTGTCCTGGCTTGTTCTGCCGTCAGGTCTGCCCTATGGAGGTGTTTAAAGTTATTCTCGAGAAGGAACGCATACTCGTTCATTGAAACCACATTAAACATGTCAGAAACGGACTTAAGTTTTCGTAGCAGCCCTTTCGATTTTTCCCGACATTGTGGAGTAACACTCACATCTGTAGACAAAGTTTCCAACGTTTCTTGCAGCTCTTGGTTCTTTTGATAATGGCATCTGCTGCAGCTCCTTTTGTGGTCAACCTAGTTCTTGAAAGGTTCTTTAGCTTAAGGTTACTTTCTCCATGAATCGTAGTCTCCTTGGACTCCTTCAAAAATTCTTTCTGGATATTTTGAAAAAGTAAAACCCTCTTTGGGCTAACACCAGCGAGGACATACAAGTTTTCGCATAAATCTTAGGCTTCAGCAAGCATTTTCGAAAGCGACGAAACATGTTTGAATACCAGCTCGTTTTAGTTGGCAAAGCAGTGAATATAAAGCGCATGTTTACAAACTTCATCTTTTATTAGCACCGCCAACCGTTTCATTGCTGAAGCTCCATCAAATGCCATACCAGTCATTCATTGAGGATTCAAATTGCAACGCATCAAAATATCTTTAAAATACTTTAAAAGGGTTTCAGATGATAAGCCCTCGTCACATGGCATGATGCCAATAAAATCTTCTAAAACGTCGGAGTTTTCAGTACAATGGCGAACAAAAAAAGATAATTGTCCAGTTTTCGAAATGTCTCTTGATTCATCACAAATGATGGCATAAAATTAACTCCCATCTACTTCATTTATAAGACTTCTTCTTGCACTCAGCACCAATCTTTCTACTTGTTGAACTAAAATATCGTGAGACATGTATCGATTTTCTTTTAAAAGAAGATTTAATCCTTCATGATCGATGGTTTTGTCTTCGTTAAATTGAATTATGTTCGAATCTTATTCTGTATGACTCCGAATTGCTACACCTTGTCTAAGAAGTTGTTTTAATGTATTCAAATGGGCTACCAAACCTTGTCGCCTCAGACGTTGCTGCTCTTTTACATGGCTACTTATTTGCAAATCAAATGCAGGCTGGTATTTCTTTTTGGTAGCATTCTTGTGGTTAACGCTTTGGTCGTGATCTGTTAGACGTTCTACGCTTTTCTTCCAGTTACAGAAACCAGTGGCAGATGGAGTGAAGATGAATGGTGAATATCGTGTGCTTTCCTGTATTCTGTACACGTTTCACAAAATGCTGTTAGCTTCTTGCGGTGATATGAAAGCCATTTGTATTTTTTGAGCCGATCGGACTGGAAAAACCTCCTTTATTCTTACTTCAAAGCTTTTTGCCATCGTTGAAGTCGCTCATTACTTTGATCCATGGATCAACATTCGCTGTTGATGTTTCACGACCCAGGTCACAGTCAGTGCTACTAGTTGATGGGGTGGCATCTTCTCTTTCTAATGTTTCGGCATCTTCTCTTTCGTGTGTCGACTTTCCATCAATTTCTTGAATATCTTGAGAATGAAAAAAATGATGCTATTTTGGCTTGACCACTCGCATCAGATAAAAGTCAAAAAATCTGTAAGTGGGGAACTTGCATATCGGGAATTAAGATATACATCTACTATTTGTTCAAAATGTGAAAAGAGGCAACCATCTGCCCCGCGCTGCTGCTCGGGCTCCGGCGCCGAGAAAAACGTCAATTAGCTTATATTATTTGCAAAAATGATTATAACTGCCTCTTCAAGCATGAAAATTTCATATTCAGTAATGTTTATATTTTCTATTTTTGTATTTACAGATCAATAACTATTAAATTAACCTGCAACGAAAATTTCACAAAAACAGACTTCGATCAGGTCAAAACATCCCTTTTTCATCCTACAAAATTTGTAAGTATCAAAATTTCTAAAATTGTTAATTTTACCACTAAGTTGTCTTCCTTTTGGCTGAATTGATTTTTGTATGCAGAGGACAACACAAATTACACAATAACTATTCGGTTATCGGCTGTAAGTTGTCAAAGGTGCAAAATTTTCTTATTTGTAAACTTTGGTGATTTTCCTAAATGACTTCGTTAGTGATATACGAGGTTTTTATCGTTATTGGATAGTTTTTGCACGTCCACACGTTTGTGATAAATTTGATAACGCTGATAATATTTGAAAGTGTGCTCTTAAGTATACAACGGTGCAAGATTTGCAGACACAACACCCACACAAACAAGACGCACTGACGCAGCGCTAAATAAAAGAGTTTCTCCATCAAAATAAAGAAATAGAGTGTTTCGTTGCCGATACATCGCTTATATTTTTATTTTTGTCTTCCCACTGTCCTCACAGAAAAATGTTGTTGCGTTTTCAAAAGTTTACATTGTGCATCTGGGCGTTACATTCTGAATGTGTATAGATTGAACTCTTAACGTAAAAATATTTTTATGTTTTTATGTTTATCCAGATATGGGTAGTTAATCAGCTTATAGAATGACGTGAATTATTTTAGAGGACTGAAATCACGAATAAAGCCGCATGTCCTATAACTATCCCTATTAATCCTACGCCTACGTCATCTCCTCGTGTTGGGTCAAATAATGGAGGATTGAAAACAATTTATTACGTTCTTATTGGGTTTGCCGGGTAAGTTTAGTTTTAATGGTAATCCTGAAAGATGAAATATAATAGATTGGCTTTTGATGTAAATTAATAAACGATAAATATTGGAAAATGATAAACATTTCAGCCTTAATCTGTTCTCCCTGTCAGAGTCTCTGTAATTATGTACTGTGTTATACAATATACTTTTGTTCAAGTACAATTTTGTTTGAATAAGTATTGCTCCGTCAAATCAAGTAAAATTTAGTCAATATTTTTAAATTTCTCTACCACACAAATATGACCCAATATCTTTCTGGTAGAGAGCCAATCAGAAGGAAAATTAGCTGACATCAACTTAGCTGTAAAAAACATGTGGTCTTTCATTCAGAATTATTGAGCGTTCATCTTAGCTAAACGATAAGTCTTGAAATCACGCAAATTGTGAACGTAAGAATTTATTCAACGTATTGTCATGTATTAATAAATGTTTGTGTTAAAAATGTTGAGTTAAAGTATCCAAGAATTAAGACCAAGTGTGCAATCACTGTTTAAATTCCAATCTTTAATACTCTTTTTTGCTGAAAGTAACAGTTTTTCACCTACAAATCAGCTTTATTTGAACAACACTTCCTAAACTCCTTTTTAGTTTAAGGTATTCTTGCAGATGTCTTTTGTTTCTCGGTCATCTTAGGTTAGTTGTTGCTGTTTGTGTCGTATGTGCTGTTGCTTACAAGATCCACACAAAACAAAAAGGACGTCCTCTCCTCCAAGATGACGAAAATGAAGATTATGGAGCTGTCCCAAATGTTCGTGTTCAGGTGAAAAATGGTTGATCTTGTAATTTATGTTGCATGCCATATGAAACATCAGAGAAAGCATAGCTAAGTTATACTATTTAACTTTATTTTCATCAATTCTTTTTGATTAAACGAATTTTGATATCTTTACATTTATAGAATGTCAGTAACGCGTCCAAGTCTGATGCAATTTAATTCTTTGATAAAATGTCTCAAGAAAATTATCACTTTTAATGACAGATCGTTCTAGTATAGTTTTTACTGTTATAATGAATAACATATAAAGTATATGATTAAATATTTCTCTATAGTAAATCGATAGCAACTATTCCTATAAAGTGCCTGCATTTATAGCTTTGAGAAATATTACAATGTGATTTTTGAGTTAAAAAATTCAGTACTACAATAATATTGATTTGCAACTCCTGAGTCGATGCTTACGTCACATGTATTTTGAGTATTTTTACCAAACCAATTCATCTAGTTAGAAAAAGTCGACACACGTCAAATCAACTCTGGTTTGTTTTCCGTATTTTTTGTCTGTAACATCATGTTTTTCACAAGATGCAATTGTCTGAGACTCTGAGTTGAAATGATCCATACCACAACTCGCTACCATCGTCAACAAGCAACGAGAGCCTATTTGATATTTTTCCCTCTTCTATATACAAAAATTGAAAAATTATTAGTATTAGCCTATAGCCAATATTCCCTCAATACTACCAGATAAACAAAGGAAGAACAATGAATAAAAATAGGATTCAATTTTAAGATTGTCTTTGGATCTCATTTGCTACACATGAACAGTTCGCTAATAAATATATGCAAATAAATACAACATCGGGATTTTGCATGCGTTTGACTTGGTAAACATGGATGTTCATGTGGTTGTGTACTATTTGTTAATTTTTAGCGGCTGTTCATCGTTTAAGTACATTACTAAGACACAAAGCGATGGCAACTTATGTATTAAGGCAAGCAATTCACGTTGTACATTTTATTGTGGAAAAGATACCATAGATTTATCTGCAATAGATGGGACGGCAACCGAACCAAGGTATCAAAGCTTTAGCATGATGGAATAGTTGAAATAACTGCATAGTATTATTTCTTTATACATCTTAACGTCTAATGGGAAAGGAGAAAAAAGTAGGAAAATATGGCCGAAGATGTAAAACGTTTAAAACAGAAACTGAAGAAGCAAAGTGTTTCAAACATATACATATTGGGATTGGAAGTGCACAAATATGCAGAAATTTTATATCTATGAGTATGAGGTTTCCATTGCAGTTCATTTGCATTTTAACGATTCCGTTATTTCATATTTTGTCTTTTAACGATTCACCATTTTCCCATTTCTTGTTGCAGATATTCCACAGTTTTCTCAGTGGATTATTTAATTTTCCATTTCTACATCTTATTCTTAATTTTAATTACTTTCTTGTTCCCTAAAAATTCTAAAGATGGAAGGAAAATCACTGTCTTCAATGGATAAACAAAATTTGTTATGGAGGACTATCGAAAACGACCAATTAATCATTCATGTGAAAATTATATCTTTTACAGCTTTGAAAACATTCACGACAGTGTAGAAAATGATGTTTTCTATCATTGGAGTCCTTGTACAAAATTTTTAAAAAATTGCAGCTATTTAGTAAACGTAAGTATATAGAATTAGTGTAATGTTAAAGTTTTAGCGAATTTCAAATTTGACCATGTCAATGTTTACTTTGACGAATGTACACGTGCATAAAATTACTTAAATAAAACTTGTCGACAACTTTAAAGTCAGTTGTACCAAAGAATGGTTGGCTTCTGAGTTGATTCTAGAGTGTAGTTTACACTGTAAAGCAATTTGATTTTGATTGCTTTGTCTTATTAATTAACGGTTTTGTCTTATTAACGGTTCGATTATTTTGAGGTTTTCTTCTCTTTACCCTCCCTCTCCTAACCATGTTAACTTTTCTTGATTGTTTTCTGTACCAAACATATGAAACGTTTGGGAGCCAGTTTGGTGGCAAGCAATTTTGTAAATGGAATTGAGTTCTGACAACTTGTAAAAACAAAAATATTTTCTCTTTACGTGAATCAAAGAAAGCGTATTCAATTTTCTACTTATAAGTGTTTCAAATTATTTTATTTTCTCAAGCGAAATAATGAAAACAATTTTACGAAATTACGAGTGAAAAATTCAGGAGACTCGACGTCGTAAAGTTTAAAACATTACAGAGTGCATTAAGTAATAATGTTAACGATGTTATAAGTTTTCGGCTCTCGTCATTATTAAACCATTCTTGTGTTTGACGGCCGCTCATGAGATTTTTGTCAGCTAAACGGTATACATGAATGAATCGCTTTGTTTTGAGGCGATTTTTGCCAGTTTTTAATTCAGAACTACGCCATCTAATGTTGTTTTTATAGTAAATTTCTTGTCATGTTCATATAACTTATAAACTGTCTTAAAATGATAACATCTATAAATGCAAAAAAGTTTGTCGTTATCAAGCATTCACACTAAATTGTCACTAATTTTATCATTAGAGCAACTTTACCTGTTATTAAAACTTTTATAGAAAATATTACATAGATTATATATATTATTGTTTTAATCAGAAATTAGAATACAACTAGTTTAGTATGTCAGAAAAGAGCTATCACTTACTTTCCTATTATGCCCAACCACCTGGGAAAACGAAAAAAATGGTTTGTTGACTAGCCCCCTCCCCGATGGTGTGCATGATAACATAAGGTTTTCTTTTCAATTTTTTAGAGTTGGTAAAAACTAATTTTATTCACGCCATTATATTCTAGGTTTGTCGAGTGTTGGAAAGTTACAAACGTTCAGAAAATTTGGGAGTTAATGGCCCAACTATGAAATTTGATGTTGAGCAACAAAAATATAAATTGATATATATGGGTCCAAAAGATCACGTTATTGGTGAATTGTAGGTAGCAATTGTTACTTACAAAGTTGCAAAATCTCTTTTGATGAAAAGCAGGTCATTTATTCCATTTTTAGAAAAACGAACGTGTATATAGAATATGACAGTTCTAGTGAAGGTAGAACTAGTTTTATGAAGAACTATGGGAATTTCTTTGTGAGTACTTTTCAAAAATCATTGTTGAGCAAAGTGAATTAAAACAAGATGAATAATTAGATTAAGTTTCGTTGATCATATTACTCCACGATTCAATGGCCCTTTTTATCTTTTCATCTTGATTTTCTATATTCTTTGCATCACTTATTTACTACAATCATATGCCAAAATAAAACCTATCCCTGGGGAATAGAAATTACTCCTGTAGCCAGCTTGCTAGCAAGAAAGACATAAAATCCAAATTCATGTTGTGAGCATAAATCATAAATGTTAGTAAGCTTATTGGTTTGTGCAATTGATTTCAAGTTATAAAGTTTGTAACGTTTTCCGCTTTTTGCAGTTATTGCTGAGATAGTCCTTTCAACAATCTTAATATAGGAAATGACATTGTTTACTAAATATGCAACAAAAAGTTCTCGAAATAAGAAGGGTGATGATAGAAGATTAAGTGCAGGATCAATAGTTCTCATTGTGTAAGTATACTCTGTTTTCATTTCTCTTCACTTCGGGCGTACATGTCTTTTAGGCCTTAAACCATTGAAATAAAGTAGATCTATTTCAGTTCTATGGCTATTGTACCTGTTTATGGCAGCCTGCACTTTGGCAATGCCTTTTATGACACATATCGTTCATCATTCAATCTACAACATAAAGTACACTACAGAAAGTTGAATAGAAATTTGAATAAAAAGTACTCAAGACAAAAAAGTGGTCAATATCTGAATAGATAGAGCGCCGATGTCCAAAAACGTCATCTGAATTTTTTATTTTGATTTGCCTCAGCACGTTTTGCATCGTCGTACTATATCTTGGATTTGGTATTTTATATATGAAGTTTCATCGAGGTGCAGAAGGGATGGAAATGATTCCTCATTATTCCTTTTGGTCAGAAATTCCAGCGTTAGTGAAGGTAAAAATGTATAACATACTGTAAGTAATGTTTATTTATTTGTGAAACTGCATTAGTAATGTGTTAGTGTACGCTGTGGCCGTGAAGCACAAAAGAAACAAACCTTGTATGACGTTATTTGTCTGCTTGACTAACAGACCAATTCACCAAACGGTAGAAAGAAGTTAAAAAAAAACAATAAAAAGTTAACTATATTTTCAAACACTGCAGAAATCTTTGCCTGTGCTCGTAACCGTCAACGTTGGAGAGACATGGTAGCCCAAGCATGCATCATGCATGGCACCTGAACAGAACATATTTTCAAATAAATTTGTGTTTGTTGTAATCGAGCTCTTTCTGTATTGGAACTGTTATTACACAAAGTTAATCCTTCAACCTTTTCATTTCTTTCTTTTAGGATGGTTGTACATATTCCATTGAAACTGTTAAGACTTGTCCCTCGTTAGGCAGAAGAGATTATGAAAAAATATAATTATTTACGTATAATATATAATGAAAAAAGATCATTAAACTATACTGGAAAAATATTGTGTTTATTTCTAGCAAGAAAACTGATGTTCTGCAACAATTAAATAATCATTCACTCATATAGATTACTTTTATATTTCACACCAATCCATGATCTGGAAATTATATTAACTTATATGAAATATCTTGAAAATTTATCAAAACAATGATGAAAATTAATGTCTCTTTGTAGTTAAGTGTGTCGTGGTGAACCAAATCGTGCAATGTATGACAAGCAATTATTGAAAATAGTCAATTTTCTACTGTGAATTTATATGATATAATAACACCTCTTCATACACCATTGTATTTTTCTGCCTTTCTATGAACAAAAATAAGTGAAAGGGGAAGAACGTTTTACAAAGACTCGTGCAGCAAGGTTCTTTTGGCATACTACATTATAAAATTTTTTGCTAGCCTCATGTTTTGTGTTTTGTGCTGGAATTTCATCATCTAAAATTTCATCATCGTAGTCTAAAGCACATGTACAACGACATTCTAAAAATCTATTATTTAACAAATTATTGTGAAACGGAAGAGGTGCAACTGTTCTCTTTTGAATGCAAAAACGACGGAATATTTGACATGTTTGGTGACGTTTAGCTACAATGTAAATTAGGAAAAGTATGAAAATATTTTGTCAAAATCATCCACTGACCAATGCAAATGCAAAACAGTCGACCTCTCCTAAAAATCAGAATACAAATAAATATTAGATCTAGGATAACTCGACGTCAACTGTAGCAGATCATTTTTATTGCCAAATGAGAACTTTGGCTGAATTCTTTTGCTACAAATATACGACTATTGTTCGGCCAACTTAATTGTTTTTTTACTTATTATTTTATAATTTTTATTAAATAAATAATGTGAGTTTAGTAACATGTTTTTATGTCTAGTTCAACTGTTAGAAAAGTCTTTGAGCAGGGGACCGACCAAAAGCTTTGTTCTGCTCCCAGATTAGTGGGACTCTTAAAACAGTTTACATATAATTAAAATTGAGACATTTTTGTCACATGATTGATTGTCATTGTGTCATCGTCATTTCATTTTGTATTACAAACTTACAAAATGAGAAGAAAGTGTTTCAAGAAAAGCATCACCAAAAATGAAATTGCTGAGGTGTTTTGTGTCATTCTTCTCAACTTTGTGATCTCAGTTCACAGCGATTCAAGGGTTTCCTGCAAAGAAATGCCGTCATGTAAATTTAACTGTAGTAATATTCCCAATCACGAAGATATTTACGTTGACTTATCAGCATTAGTGAAAATGGAACATAGTCCTCTGTAAGTATGAACATGTTATTATATGTCTTCAGTTACTGCATTTGGAATCGGTAAAATTTCCCGGGTTTTAGCCAGGAGATAATAGGTTTTGATTACTTCCTCCCGACCTGCCACTTTTCATAATTTTCTCGCTGTTGATGAAGAGGTCAAGCAGGAATGAATAAATTTCTTGCTGCTATTTTATTAGTTGTCTGAATAGTGACATCTCGCTTGATTTTGGGCAATTTATGAAAACGATTTCTAAATTTCCTGTTTGTGAATTCAAGCATTCAAGCATTCTAGCACTTTACTTCACCTTATGTTTTGATTGAACTGCGCATGTCAAGTATAATTTAAAATGGCGTCAAAACGATTGCAAATTCAAATGCACGACAATACTTCTGAAGATGAAAACGAAAGTTATTGTTAATGTGCTACTGGATAAATTTATTATTTAGTATTACACATCTCATGAATTTATTAAATGGTTAGTCAAACTATGTAATCTTTCCATTATGTTCACAGAACCAAATGGTAAACACAGCTGAGCTGACAGCTTCAATGCGTTTATTTTCTTTTCAGTTTACCTATAGGCAACAGTGTGGTTCAAGTAAACAGACAAAAATTTATAGAACTAAATCTATTTTTGCACCGTGTAGTTTAAAGAATCCAAGTGAATAACCTACTGTAATGTAGTAAATGGTTTGAACCCGGGAGTATCGTTATATGTTTGTAAATGATGACTCTGAAGATGAGTCTGAATGTGAATGTTTGACTCTGAAGATGACTACCGCTAAGGTTGTCGAAACGTCAGTCAACAACAACAAAAACAGTCCTTCTCAGGACTTTATTAACCTGGACGATCATCATTTACAAACATATAACTACTGTAATGTTATAAATGGTACAAAATCTACTCCTGGCAATCTGCGTAAATCCTTCAAACATTTAAAACTTTCAAACTTGTTAGCCTTTGTGTTGCCTTTATTGTCAACCTTTCGTACAGTTTCTTTACATTTCGCTTGGGCTTGTGATTTCATGAGTCAGAATTTTTAATCATAAAATGTGAATATTTTTTCATTTAGAGTATTTATGATTCAAAAAATGTTTCTACTCAGATTATTATCATTATTGATCACTATCAAAATGGTGATTAAAGTGTAATTCAAAATATCCTTATTATTATAAAATGTATTTAAATTTAATATTATAGGTATAAAGATATTCCTGATGCTGATGCAAGAAAATCAAACATATTGTATGACTGGAGTCCATGTACAAAATTTGGAAAGACAACATTTACTTGTTTTAATGTCTTCGTAAGTAGCTTATAGTTTAATGTATTCAGTTGTGGATGTGTATTTACATTGTATTGATATGACTTGCTAAAAATAAACCGAGCTTAGCTCTGCTATGAATAATTGTGGCATATAGTAAAGTTTAGACACCAAAATTTCCAGTGGCATAGCCATTCCACAAATTTTAGTCCTCTTCTTATTTGGTCCTATAAATCATTTTTCATTTTAGTAATTGATTGTTTTTAGAGTATAGAAAAATTTATTTAGCATCATAGCAGGACCAAATATGCAGTCTGGTCAGGCTGCTAAAATTTTTTTAGTTCTATCGTAAGACATTTTGGTATACTATTGAGGTACTTTAGAATAAAGCACATTTCATTATTTATTTGCTGAAGTAGTAAATGTTTATTTCATGCTTGAAGAAGAATAGGAATCATGTGGACAGTAGTAATACAAAACAAATTTTTTACTAAAAGATCTAAGACTTCTTTCGTACCAACTAAGTTCAGAAAGTAACACAAAACATTGCTGCTCTGCAGTTGGTCCTATTTATTCACATTAGTAATCATAAGTGTTTGCCTCGCAATTGTATGTATGTATGATGTTGTCTGGCTGATTTTCTACTTTAACCTTCCTTTTTTTGTTAATTGGTCTTAATGAATGTTTGTAAATTTATCTGCATTTATATTATGTCACATTTCTGGCAGCATTTTAAGCTAGAAGTTTTTTCCAACATTTTATACACCCTGGTAAGTTGTTATTTGTGATTTATTGTCACAGTGAAAAAACATCTTTTTGAAGGTATAGTTATGTTACATTCATAGTACTCATTGAATCTTGTTAGTTGTAATATTTAGATTACGTAAATATTTGAAGAATATAGCTTTAAATGACTGCATAACAGGGCACATTGGCCCAGTGAGGAATAAGCGCCGCTGACACCTGATAGACTTTCTTATTTTACTGACTAGAAAATTAGAGGATACTGAAACTCTTGAGGTTTACAGAAACGTTGTGTTTCTAATTAAAAAATTAAACTTTTGAGGCTTACAGAAATCTCTTGTTTCTAAATATAAAACTTAAACTTTTGAGGCTTACAGAAATGCCTTGTATTTAATGACAACAACATAAAAAAAAGAATTTCTTTATTATATTCTCTAGGCATGTCAAAAAATTGGTTCTCCTCCATCCAGTTATCATAGTCTTGGCTCAAAACTTTCTGCTTTTTATTCAACTGACAGCAAACATTTTATTTTACAATACAAGTCAGATTTAGGCAGGTAATTACTAAAAAACATCAATAAAATTATGTAATTCACAAAGTGGGAAACTTTGAAAAGGCAATTTTGCCACCATTTAAAATTGTTGAAATCTGTTCTTGCACCCCCTACTTTATACACCCCACCTCATCCCCTGTTTGAACAAAAAATATGCTCTGCGTCCCGATTTAATAAAGTCATGAGCAAACAATGCTTTAAAAGAGAGACCTGTATGAAGTTGGAAACATACATCTGAAATGGCTTTATTAAAATAGTGAAGCACAATTATTGCCAAAATGTTAAATAGTAATAAATACAAAGTTAGTATTAGAAAAATTTTTACCAAAGCTTGCATTTCACATTTTTAGGCCAATAATCTTTCTTCAGAATATGAAGACATCCATTTTCTAAATCCTTCCTCTTTAACAGGCGAAGATGCTTAATTAAATTAATCACTAACAATCATTTGTAGATAGGACACAAATCTTAAAATATTATAACCGGAAAGCCATGAAATATACAAGCCTTTAACTAAATTAAACTAGGGATTCAAAGATAAAGCAGCAAAATTTCAAAAAGCAAATGTTTTTAACATTCCAGGTGAAAAGCATTGCTATTGTTCTACAGTCATGGCATTTTACTGACCGTCTAACTGAAATTAATTTTCTGAAATCTTGGCAATGGCTTAGAGTAGGTTATTTAGGAAATGAGGGGTTTGTGTTGAGAAGGAATAATATCAATCCTCAGTGTAGGATATGTGGTAGAGAAGTGGAGTCTGTAGGGCATTTGGCAAGTGGTTGTACTGGCTTAGTGCAGAGAATATATGATAGGATGGGTTTGAGAGTATTGGGAATTGTGTAAAAATATGAATTGGAGTGTCTAGATGTATGGTAAAAAGAGGTTCTGCATGAGATGAGAATATCAAAGGACTGCAAGGTAGAAATATGGTGGTATAGGAGTGTCGAAACAACACATAAAATGGAACATTATCATCTTGATGTTACTGTGTTGGATCGAGCAGCTCGGAGATGAAAGTTTGTTTATTTTGCTGTGCCGTGGGATATAAATGTAAGAGAAAAGGAGGTGAAAAAATATCTAATTCTCCTCTTGCAAAAGAAATAAGGATGCACAGTGTTTCAACAAATGTGATTCAACTTTTGATGGGTTATTAGGGGGCTGTCTCAAATAGGATAGTAAGTTATGTCAGAAGATAGGTACTCCAGATATCTTGAGCAGAATGCAAGCACCTGCGATAAATTGGGACACTCCAAATTTTACATTAAGCACTTAGTTTCTAAGTTCCAGATATGGATCCTAGACAAAGTTAATTTACACTTGCTAAATTTATGTTAACAGGTTGATTTCTTTACAGAAAAAAAATGAAATTATTAGTAGTAGTAGCATTATTTTATTGTTATTATAAGTATTATTTTTGTTCTTTTCAGAGTACTTACGGTGACGCTGAAGTACAAGAATGTTGATGTCAAACCTAAACATGTTGAAGAAAAGGGTAAAGAATATGTATGTAAAGTCAAAATTTTACAGAAAATATTCGTCGTCATTGACTGTGGCATTTTCGAAGAAGGAACTATAACTTTGGTTATTGAGTTGATGTCCATGTACGTCAACTTTTGCATGTCTTTCGTTATGTAGAAAGTAAAAACTTGGTAATTTTGATGTTTGCCCAAATATGTACTTATGTATTATTTCTTTTGACAAATGTTTAATTTGCCAAAAATATTATTTCTTTGTACAGTTACACTCTCACATCCTTTTTATGGTTATTGTCTATTTCGTAGGTAATAAAGCCCTAATTACGTATGTCAAAAGCTTTAACTGTATGCAAGTGCTTGCAGATGAAAAAACGTTTATTTCTCATGATTGATTTTACAATGGTTAACCTACTTTTTTAGTCGTTTTTAATCCGTCATTGACTGTATATTATTTTATAGACAATGATATTTTACACAAAATATGCCCCAAGAATTCAATATAAGGACGATGGCCATGGTGGTATTAGTGTTGGAACAATATTATGTATCATGTGAGTATTATGGGGTCATGTGTGTACTTTATGGGATCATTAGAGATTAACCATACAAAACAATTGCTATGAAAAATAAGAACTGTGCGAAGGACTGGTACATATTTATTGCTATTAGTCATGTAAGAAAATTAAAATGGATTATCACGTGACTTTATTGGCGTATTTAAGATTTCTGGTGGTCATTTTGTTGTACTTGGTTATTGGAATTGCATGGACACATAAACAAGGAGCTCATGGCAAAGAAAGAATTCCAAATTATGAATTTTGGAGAGAGATCCCTGGATTAATACAGGTTTTAATAAATCAAACGTTTTAATTATATTATAGTGATCATATATATCATGATGTCTAATTTAAATTCAGATGATCCAGAAATTTAATTTCTTTTTTAGGATGGGAGTGTGTTTTCAGTGAAAAAAACGAAAGAATGTTTTTTGAAATGTTTAAGGAAAGACAAAGGTTATGAAACATTGTAACATATCAACATTTCCAGGTGATTTTGCTGTAAAAAAATGTTTTAATTTCTTTTAAATACGTCGTTACTCGCTTCAATTCTGACTTGTGGATAGCGATATTCGTCCCCGAACACGACGGTCATCGCGGACATCATTTTTTGCTTTTTATTATGTTTATACAAATATTTTCTTTAAATGTGGATCTGGTGATTCTTTCTTCTTTTGTTTTTGTACTTACATCCTTAAGTTGCTCTTTTCTGTTGTTACAAAAACATGGTGATTTGGAGTGGAACCCACCATGTATCATATTATTTAACAGATTTTAGACAATCAAATATGTATGCTGTTGTAATTTAATTGTTCATTTCACCATCTTTAATGTTTTCAAAAAAACGTGCTTCTTTTTTGCTTTTATTTATTCATATCATACGAGTACAAGTGCGACATTCTGCCAACTTCATGAGTAAGTTTCTAATACGGAAGTTTCAAATGTTCTGACTGCAGCCAGGGGTAGATTTGGTTCTTAGTTATAAATTATGCTGTTGTGTGGAATGAAAAGAATCGGTTAGAAAGATGACAATCCTGGTAATGTGTGTTTAAAGGCTTGGCCAGTGTCCATTCATCAAATAGCCAATAATTTAATTCTGGCTTAAAAATTTAAAAAACGAGTAATTTACTATACTGAATATCCAACCAAATGACATCAAACAACCAGAGTAAAAACGTAATCGAGCTGTACAGAATAAACGACCTTTGTTCAAACACGATACCTGGCAACGATCTACCCAGAAATTGACATTCACAACTGCCAAACTTTGTATTAAACTGGTATATTGAGGTGGTGTATCTCATCTTGTCATAATTTGGGGAAAAAGAACGAGTGAATATATAGTTGTTGTAATAAATAAGTGAAGAAATATGTTAAATGGGAAGGATCAGAGGAGACGAGACAGATGAGTGGAAAGAAATGTTTCATGAAGAAATTTTTAATTTGTAAGATTCACGTATATAAGCAATAATATCTCGTACTTCGTAGTCGTGTAGATTAATTGCAGATCGTATCAAATTATCAAATCTTTTCAAGAACTTCTTTGGCTGCCCGAAAACCAGACTCAACAGCACCATCAACGTAACCACGCCAAGTTGATCCCAAATCTGTACCAGCCCAATGTATTCTGTACAAATAAAACAACAAAAACTACATCATTTAAAGCAATATATGATTTCTATAGTTAATTTTGTACCTTTTGAAGGGTTTTTTAAGAATATCACCAAACTGTGTTATTCCTCCTGGTGTCATAACTGCCACTGAACAACTACCACTCCATTCATCGAGACACCAATCCTATAAACACAATAAAATGGTAACGTTTTTGTAAAAGCTATGCGATCTTTAACAAGAAATCACAATGTCATTGTTTGCACATATTAGTGCTAATGCCACAGCCAATACCTTGATGGCAAAATCTAACGGATTCTCTGCTTTGCTACCAAAAAAACTTTTTAAAGTCTCCAGAGCTGCATGCTTTTTTTCTTCATCCTGAAGAAAATTTAAACTACTTAAAAATACAAAATACTTGCAATTTAACTTTAATTCTATGAGAAACTGTTTGAATTATCATTACATTGCATAAAACTTGTCTGTTGAAAATATTAAAAACATTTACAGACGCTAAAATTGTAAAAGTGTGTTGCTTTGATTTCAAATAAACGGTAAACATGAAAATATTCTTCTGAGACAAAAAAATGAGGGTATCTTCAATGAAACATACCCTACTTACAGAGGCGTAACTGGAACGTTAATTGGGGGGGGGGGATGTATATTCATATATTCATAAATTCAAATCACTTTCAAAAGAAATCAGTAGGGCACAGCGGAATATATGAATATGCACCCCCCAATTAACGTTCTAGTTACGCCTCTGCCTACTGAATTATGAAAACACATATACCGATTTAGCAGCCCAAAGACTTGCTCCATAGCCAGTAAAAAAACCCACAAGGGCAGGATTATTTTCAGACGTCACGGCATCTTTGACCAAACCAACAGGTGATGACATTGCTGACTCTTTTGAGTTTGTGTAACGAGTCAGCTGACCAGAAAGACCGGCTTGCCTCCAAAATGACGTTTTGTAGGTTGCAACAAATTTTGTGAAGCAGCCCATGATAATCTGTTGAGTCAATATACGTCTCTCGTAAGGCAAGGGAGGACTAAATTCAATCTTGTCTACATACAAAGAAATAGGAAAAAGTTATTGTTCACTCTAAGTTGACGATTAAAGTTACTTATGACGATTTTGAAAAGATTGTTTGGACTTTCTGCATAGTATCTACGTCAACAAGATTTTTTTTCGATTAATAGATTTTTGACTAACTTATTCAAAAATAAAACAAACTTAATTGCAATTTTTCCTAGAGGGTAAGAAAGTTATGGGACATTTTTATGACAACTACCTATTCCTGAAATGTTCAAGCCATAAAATAAAAATTTTGTTAAGAACATGTCTAGATAGATCGACTGAAATCAGAGGGGAGGAGGGGAAGGGTACACTGCCCTCCAAAATTTCTCACACTGAAATGTTACTTGATAGATCTACAACTATTAATTTTCCATTGAAAATCAGTCATTAAATCTCAATATTACGAACGTCGGAAAAGAAAACACATCTATGAGACATGTACCCGTTTCGTTAGCAGTTTCATATTTGTAGCTACAAAAAACACGTTTATTTAAACTCCAATAATCTAGGATACTTACCGACAAGTTTTGAAGGGGTAGCAATAATACAGTGTTTGCATTGAAAACATTTACCATTTGAAGTATGAACCTTCACCATATCATCATCCTTGAAATATTATACAAAACATATTTTGTCCGATGTATTAAGTCGTGCAGGTTAGATAAACAACAATTTTATAATTAAAAACTGTAGCCACAGCACTCTGAATTACATAAAACATCCAGCATTTCTTATATAACATTCAAATCATATATAATTACACTTTATTTCGGGTAAGATCAAGCGCTGAATTCGACAAATTATTAATCACATCATTTCATCCCGAATGAAACATTCTTAACAGTTATTGAAGGATAAACTGAACCAAAAGTAGACTGAATCAGTTCTTTCATATATTTTTATACCTGTTGAATACTTGTGACCGCATGTGTAAGTAAAATATTTTCTTTTCCAATTTCATTTTGTAACGACGTACAGATTTGATGCAAACCACCCTGAAGTATAGTCAAGAAGAGTTTAATAAAAATGTTCACTTTTTCAAACAAAATCTAAACGAAAAAAGTTAGAAAATCAAAATGATAATAAGCTACAATTAAAAGTCCTTGGAAACTCACAAGTGCACTTATTTTTCAAATTGAAAGCAAAACATTACAAAAACTTTTCAATTATGTTTAAGAAAGAATTAGTTGAACACGGCTGACGCAGTATTAAGTTGTTGTCAATTCATGTAGCCAAATATAATAAAAATTCAAATTGCTTTAAAAGTTCAAAATCAAATTGTTATAGTCACTTTATCTATGGATAATGTAGCCACTGCTCTCAACCAATCAATTTTGAGTACATTTTTCTATATTTCTATATGTTGGCATGTTTCTATATTTTTATATAAATAGCAACAGAGAGTCTTTGTTTTTTTCCCTGAGCAGAAACGTTTCAAATCCGAAAAAGCGATCACTATGGTAGTATAACTGTGGTCGTGTGCCTAAATTTCATATTGTAAACATCTTATATATATCATTAAAAATATATAGTTTGGGCATCAAAATATTTACACTGGACCAAAGAGTAGCAGACGAAAAAGTTTACCTTAACTTTCATTTCTTGTGTTCCACCTCCTAACAAACTCTGAAAACCACCACAAGTATTGCAAAAATGCAAGAAAAAGAGAAGGGAGATTTGTGATGGACTCAAACCAAACATAGCACTCACAGTTATGTCAAATATCTTTTTGGCGTCTGTTTAAAGTGAAAGAAATTGTTGTCATGAAGTATTTATTGATAAACAAAGACAGTTAAATAAGTCAACAATAGTCAAATCACTCACTAGGAAACTTGAAATGTACGACTATTCATGTTTGATACTTAGTTTCAAAACAAGGAACACTTTAATTCTACATTTGCAGCTGACTGAGCAACATTGCCTTCGCTATAGCTACTATTAGAATACTTGAATACTTGTAAACTTTGAAGTTATTTGGGCAAAAAGTTATGTAGGTCTCTGGCCCAAAGAAAAAGCATAAAAGGTAATGACCGTGGAAAAATAAATTTCTGAAGATTAAATTTTTCTTATGGATAAGCTAGAGAGTTGTGGACTCTATTGTTGGAATACATTTCTTGACGTAAATGAAGCATTGATTTTGTAGATTTATCAATTATAATTATTAAGTACGCCCTTACTAAGCCTGTGTTTATTTTTTTGAAAAAAATCATTTCTCTAACAATACCAAATGACTCTCATGCATGCAACTAAGTAGAAATTTCATATATTTTGTTAAAATATTTTGTGTTTCTAAACGTGTGTATACCCCTGGTCCAAAGAGTTTGATTTTTGAATGTCTCTACAGTCATTCCATCCCAGTCCTTTGCATTTGGTGCCTTTTCTGGTTTATCCAGCGGTACATGCTTGCACATATTTTCAATCTAAATAAAAATTTACAAATTTTTGGATTATTTGTCTGTCATGCTAGGATTTTTCAACGTTTTCATTTTTTAAAAAAATCCTTTGATCCGGATTTAGGGGTTAAAAAAATCAATGAAGCAATTTGAGATAACTCATGTGATGAGAATTCTCATAATTAATTTTAAAGAAACTGAGAAGTGTACGCAAAGCTTCTATATATGATATTTTCTGTTCAAAAATAAAAGTTTCTCCGGATTTTACTAATAGTTTTACTGAGCTTTCGACTCGTTGCTTCGAGCCTTCATCAGAATGAGGATATTTATTTACACGTGCTTTTAGCTTGGAGAAGTTTAGAGCGTCTAATTGGATTAGCGGGTGGATTAATGTGATTGGATGGGGTGAAATGCGTTGCCATAGGTTTTGGTGTATTGTTATGATATTTTCTCAATCTCACAGTAGGAAGAATTGCCATTCAAACGAGTTATGTTACATAAGTTTAATTTATCGTCATTACCTTCTTACAAGCAAGAAATATTTCCATAGATGTTATGAAACCAAGAGAAGACGTTTCATCGTCGGTACTTGTCACATCCCCAGGATTGATTTCTATCAATTTACTTCCTTTTGTATATTGTTTATAGGTTTGTAACTTGAATCTTTCGATAAGTTTACAAATATTATTTTGTCGTCTGTCAGTTGATCATATAATAAAAGTAAAAGAAATTGAAACATTGCATTTGTTAAAGAAAAATTTGCTAATGGTAATGGAACAAGCAACTGCTCGCATTGTTTAGTGACTTAGGTAGCTTTTCTACAAGTAGCTGTACAAAAAGTAAATTGTGAACGTAATTTTTTGTCATAAAATTTAAAGCGCAGTCAAAACGAAATCATGCCTTGGGAAAATGTGTCTAGGTCAAAAGCGACAACGAATTCTTCTACAAAAATGCAACGGTGTGGTACTTTAGGTAGACTGTTATGATTTTATCACAAGTCGCTTAATTAATGGGTTTTCATCCTTACCTACAAACCCATTGACCACCTAAGTCAAACAATTCTTTTTTGCCATTTTGGACGTTTAAAGAAACTGGACACAAGCGACCTCCAACTCGATCTAAACAAAGAAACACACTACAGTCGTGAAACACATTACGAGTCGTCAAACTTTTCCAATTGTTTGTTACATAACTCTTGTGAGGATTTTGCTTGTACGACATTGAATGCCATTTAAAAAAGAAGACTAAGGCTCATAGTTGGGCAACTTTTCAAGAACACGAAGAGCACTTCCCAAAATTTCCAGATAAATGAGATTAAAGAAGAGGGAGAGAAAAGACTAAGGCTCATAGTTGGGCAACTTTTCAAGAACACGAAGATAAATGAGATTAAAGACAGAGGAGAGAGAAGACTAAGGCTCATAGTTTGGCAACTTTTCAACAATAAGAGCACTTCCAGATAAATGAGATTAAAGACAGAGGGAGAGAGAAAGAAGACTAAGGCTCATAGTTGGGCAACTTTTCAACAATACGAAGAGCACTTCCCAATATTTCCAGATAAATGAGATTAAAGACAGAGGGAGAGAGAAAGAAGACTAAGGCTCATAGTTGGGCAACTTTTCAACAACACGAAGAGCACTTCCCAATATTTCCAGATAAATGAGATTAAAGACAGAGGGAGAGAGAAAGAGAAAGCAAAACTCTGGAATGAAATGAAGTGCCTGGAAACAGAACGATAAGTACTTTGCTAATATTAGCAATTGTGAGAGACGTAACGATATCTAACTAAAGAGTAGGGCGAAACTAGAACGTTAATTGGGGTATGCATTCATATATTTAGCTCTGTCCTGCTGATTTATTTTGTTTGCGATGTTAATTTCAAAAGAAGTCAGCAGGGCAGAGCTGAATATATGAATATTTACCCCACAATTAACGTTCTAGTTTCGCCCATGCTAAAGAGTATAGAGTCATTTACTTTAAAGGCCCGTTGTTGACGTAACAGAAGGAAAAGTACTGGAATAGTGAACTAGGGAAAGCGCTCAACGTGTCAGCGGATAACAATAGGTCTTTTATTAGCCCACCAGCATGGCGGATTGGCGGAAACGTTACAGAAATAGCAACTGACACAACCCAAAATTTAAAATAAGATAGCGCCGGGGCAGGGAGACAGCAGCCAAAACACTAAGAGCACTCATTAGAAATAGTTTTTTAAATAGAACCATCCAAGAGATGCAGAAGGCTTGTAGTTGCTTAGCTGTTTTGCTTCAAACCTTCAACATTGCCTTAATTATATTCCAACTACAATGCAAGCAAACCTCGTCTTGATTTCGAATTTAGCGTAGCGACTTACCCTAAATTATGTAATTTAAGACCTTGGAAAAAACCTGAAATCATATATTATTACTGTCCGACAATATAACCGTCAACAGAACATTATATTAATTCTATCGTACCTCTTGCCTCTAACACTATAATTTTACAGTTATGTCTTTTCTTGCTAATATCATAAGCCGCCGTTAATCCAGATACTCCGGCACCAATGACTGTTACATCGCATGAATATGCTTCCATTTCCTAACGTTTTTTTCTGCAATACATAACGTCGCAGAATAAAGGCTAAAGAACAATAACCTTTTTATATAAATACACGTAAACTACTCATTATCATTTATAATCATATGCAATATGCAAAAGCCCGGTTGTATAAACTTCATAGAAGAACAGCCTGCATATGTAGCGGATATGATATCGTCCTCTGATAAGATCAAAATCAACTCTCTTCCAAAAACCTCCCTTGTATTTCCGGTGGGTCTTATTGGAAAGAGAAACAAATGTTTTTTAGCGTTCGAGAGAAAGAAACAGAATTAAGTTTACTTAGTTGAGACATTACCGTCATGTTATTATTGTTATGCTTTCAAAGCTTTGACGAGAGATAATATATTCAACGGAAAGAAATGTATGTTAAGTAAGGGATAATATTTCTGATAATTAATTACCTCACTTCACCACGTTTCCGAAAAATATTGCAATTTATAAAATAAACACAATGAAACGCGTGCGCTGATGGTCTATAGCTGTGTTTGCATCATTAGCCTGTGCAAACCATTGATCATTGATGGTGAAACCAGTACAAACACAGTAAATATATGTTATTTACCGGCTGGGAGGTCCGTAGGCAAAAATATTTCCACGAGGTCTTGTTTTCGCATACATTCAGACTGGCTACGAACTCCTTTTATTATTGTCACATAAATTTAGCCAATCTGCATTAAGTTTGAGCATTCAAAAATATGACGAATGTTTAGATAAGTGTCCCCAGCCAAGGTTTCCAAAAGTATATCCCACGAGCCCTAAAAACATTCGCGTTTTTCATTTGCGTAGAAATACATTTGAATGTTAAAAAACTGCAAAAATATTGCAAAATTATTCGTTACTTATGAGATGTATTTGTTTTTCGTGTTTTAAAGTTTTGTGGATGTGTTTGTGTCAACGGTTGGTAATTTTGTGTTGAGTGTTGCCAACCTTGTCAAAAAATAAGACCTTTAAACCCATACATGCGTGGAAGTCACGCCAGATCGCGTGCGTGACAAACATTGCACATAAATAAAATAATCTATTTACTATTTACATAAATCGATTGAATAAAAAACCTAAACATATTTCTGGGCTGCCTAGCTATGACAGAACTCGATAATTTTTAGCATGTCACGTCAAGTAAATTGGTCAAAGGTCACTTTCCATGATCTATCCTAACATGAAGTATTTCAGGTGTTTCGCGGGCGAACGCCATGTGGCGGAATGACCTCCACGTGGAAGAAACCGAAAAAGTACAAATTACTGGGAAGAAACAAAATTTTCTATGACTGTGGGAGGGCAAGGAAAAGCTCGATAACTTAGCATTGAAATCTCTTCATTAATATCAAGTAAGCCATTATTTTTCAGGCTGTAATTGTACATTCGCTAATTTATGTACTTGTTTTATTTGTTTACATTTCCTTAGGTATAAATTCCATTCTTAAAGTCGACAACATGGCATTTGAACTGAAAATCGAGAAAGTTCTTATCAGTGACAACTTAGATAACTGCTGCAGTGAGATTTTGACAAATAATGGTCTTCAAGTAAAGACAGTGTCAAAGTTAACGAAGGAGGAGTTACTATCTGAAATTCCTGTGAGTGTTTTTCTGAGTTTCTTTGTTGTATTCATTGATTATTCTATGATTTAAACGTCTTTGTATCTTTCACATATTACAATTGAATAATTAGTAATTTATGCATTTCCTTTTTCTGCCCAAATGAAATAATTGGAAAGTTTGTTTTCTGCATTATTGTAATAATGATTTGGAACAAGTGTGATCCTCAGAATATAGGGTTATACTGGGATTTAAGTTCTGATATATGATGTTATTGATGATTTCAACTAATTTTTACTGAGCTTAATTCATATTTTATGTAAAGTCAAGGATGCTCATGATCATTTTTAAATACTATTCTTTTGTGCAGAATTATGATGCATTAATTGTGCGATCAGCGACCAAGGTCACTGAAGAAGTGCTTATAGCTGGCAAGAGACTGAAACTAGTTGGCCGTGCTGGAACTGGTGTTGATAATATTGATATTAATTCTGCGACATCACTTGGTATTGTTGTCATGAAGTAAGTTTGCAAAAAATTTTTATTGTATTCTTGTTATTAAGAACTTTGTAGTTTGGATAAATGTTGCAAAAGTATGAAAGTGCTTTAATTGTTCATTTATAATTTTGCTAGTTTATGTATATTCTTGTTTCATCTAATGTATATACTATATACGTTATCCAGAGATTTCAAGCTCATAAATCTACTTGTCTGCTTCATCATGTTGGGAAATCTGTGGGGAATTGTGTGTGATTCTAAATGTGCTTGTTTTCAAATGGTTTCTGCTTGAGTTATGTTGTAACACTTAAAGGACTTAGAAAACAATTGCTTGAAGACCACACAATTTGAAGTATTAAAAAAATTTCTCTGAATAATGTTACAATGCCTGATTTTTGGTTGCATGTTGGGAACACCACCTTTTAAAACCCTGATTATCTTAGTAATATTGCATCCACATTTGTTCCATGTTATTCAATTTTATCCACATTCTGAGCTGTTTGAGATTTCAAATGGTGACAAAACTTCACATGCATCCATTTAATGAAACAATGTTGTTTTAGTACACCAAGTGGTAACACGTTAAGTGCTGCAGAACAAACTTGTGCCATGATAATGTCTTTGGCAAGGTAGATTTATGCTGAATAATAATATAGTGCAGTAGTAATTATCTATAGTGTTGAATAAATTATGGATTTTTCAGACATATACCTCAGGCTGCTGCATCAATGCGTGAAGGGAAATGGGATCGAAAGAAGGTACAGTGTAATTCTTGAAATGATAGTCAATATATAGAATGGTTTGTTGTTCAGTTGTTTTGACAAAACTTGTAAATATGAATCTTTGATTCATATTTTAGTTATGGTTGTAGTATTCTAAATGAAACAACAAATTGTAAATTATTGAAGTTACGTATGTTGTGCTGTATGTGAAATACACATCTTTTGACATAATTTTTTACAGTACATGGGAAATGAACTCTTTGAGAAGACATTAGGTATTGTGGGTTTGGGAAGGATTGGCTTGGAGGTTGCTCAAAGAATGCAGTCATTTGGAATGACGGTAAGATAAATGTTGTTGATTGTAGGAAATGACAGTAACAGCATTTTTTCATTGTCTATCTTTCCTAATTTGTTAAGACAAAATATTCATTATCAAGATTAATATTTTTTACTCATTTTGCGCACTTTTTAAAAATGTATTGTTTATATTACAGCTATATTTCAGTTAAAGGCTTCCATATGGCCTGCTTATGAACAAATTGAATGTTTAGTTACCAAAATAACAATATGTACTAACTTGTGCTCAATAAATCAATTATATATAATAAAATTCTTTTTAAGTTGCAGCCCTTACGTACTTTAGTTTTGTCAAGTTTTTACTAGTGTAGTTTGTTAATCATTTTATTTCCTTGGGTCATTCTGTTTTCATAACAGACTATAGGTTATGATCCTCTTGTGTCTGCAGAGAAAGCAGCTGAGTTTAATATTGAATGGATGGATTTAGAAAAACTTTGGCCTTTAATAGATTATGTTACAGTTCATACTCCACTCATACCACAAACAAAAGGTAAGATTTGACAAATTTTTTATTTTCTGTTCTTTCACATTCTCATTCATTTTAAAGTTTCCTAAACAGTATTTTTGATAAAAAAATGTTGATTTTTTATTGCAACTATTCTGTCTCTTCATGCAATGTAAACCTGTCCAAGGAACATTTTTCCAACTTTTTAAAGTTTGCTGTAGAGTCACGACTTAAATTAATCTGGCTTCGCATGAAGCCCTTTTCTCAACATTGTGAAGTAGCTGTACAATATCCAAATTGTCCTTGCCCTGAATTTGACTGGTTTTCCTATACTATCTTTAAATAAGCACAACTTGAAATATTGATGAATGGAGCTACCCAAGTAGCAATGACAACATCCAGTCTCATTGATCTTTTAGTTACAAATACAACAGAGAAAATTTCTTACTCTGGTGTTATTTTTACTGGACGAAGTTAACGTAAAAACTACTATTTGCAATAAGGACGATTTCTGTCATTAAAAAACAAGAAAAGAAATAGAGATTAAAATATGAAAAAATGTGATTGTATCAATTTTCTGGACGATCTGAGACAACAACCTCGATAAAATGTACATTTCATTGCTGAAGATCCGAACACTATGTGGGAAATTTGGAAGAATTTGTTCTTAGAAGTGTTAAATAAACATGCACCACTTCAACATAAAAATGATTAAGAAATATAAAAAATCCATGGATTACTAGTTCTATAAAACAACTCATTCTCAAAAGGGGCGGACTAAAAATACCCTTCTTACTAATGCTGAGATAGACTGAATAAATTATAAAAAAGAAACCCCATCTTAAACATGACCAACGGCATATATGATTCTGTTGCATTAAAAGCATTAGGATGCAAGCCACTTAAAACTGAAAGGAAAAAAGCAAAAGTCATGTGCAAACTACTAAATCAGTTGCAATTGATTCAGTAGTTTGTACATGAGGCCGTATGTGGCCGAAATGACGCACTGATCTCTTTACATTTAAAAATGAGGAGACAAACTACAAACTTCGGAACGTTTTGAAAAGTCGTTGTCTACCACAACCACGCACAAATAAAATGAAATAAAGTTTCATGTAAGAGGGAGAATACTTTTGGAATTATTTTCCTAAGGTATGCTCAAAACAAACTCCTTACTCACTTTGATTGACAACAAAGTGCAAATACTAAAATCATTTTTTTATCTGTGATTTCATTTCTTGAATAATTTTTTTATTCAATCAATGTAATACAGTATATTATCTCATAATTTTTTAAATAGCTTTCAATTCTCTTTCTCTATGTGTTTTTCACACGCCTCTCCACCATCGCGGAATCAGCTTTGGTTTTAAGTGTCAGAGTGTTTAAATAAAGATATTCTATATATCTATCTGTATCTAGTAATAATTTCATTTCAAGGTTTGCTGAATGACAAGACATTTGCTAAATGTAAGAAAGGAGTACGTGTTATAAACTGTGCCAGAGGCGGTATTATTGATGAAGAAAGTTTACTTAGAGCTCTTGAGAGTGGACAATGTGCTGGGGCTGGATTAGATGTATTTGTCACTGAGCCTCCTACAGGTCTGTAATTTATTTGGGTGTTTTTTTCACGCTTATATTTGCTTGAGTTGATGGTTTTAATGCATTATGCGTGTGGAAATTGCATTGTATTTTTTTATATATAGTCCAAATTTTAAATAATTATTTCATTAAAGTAATGCTGTGGCTTATTTGTATAATGGACCAAAAGCCAAGAGCTCTCTACGGCGCTACACGTACTGACAGATTTAGTAATGTTCTTTCTGCTGAGTAGGAGTAAAATTTGATTGTAGGTATTTCTGAGAAAGTTGTTCAACATCCAAAGGTAATTAGCTGTCCTCATCTTGGTGCAAGTACTGTGGAAGCTCAGAAGAGAGTCGCAAAAGATATTGCAGAACAAATACTTAATAGCATAAGTGGAAAATCGCTGTACGGAGCTGTGAGTTAATGTATAGTTTTGTTTCTTTGAGTTATGCATGTCGGCCAAAGTTTTGATTATGGATATAAGAACAATGTGGTAACCATTGGATGTAAAGTAGTGACACATAAAGTCTGTTCATAAATGTACAGCAGTGGTACTAAGATCTGCTCATGGATGTACAATAGTGATACTAAGATCTGTTCATGGATGTACAGTAGTGATACTATTCATGTACATTTGTGGTAAAGTATGTTCATAGATGTACCGTAGTGATCATGGATGTAAATCTGTGATCGATGAGCAAGTTTGTTTCTTCGAAGTTGGTGGCAATTGATCCAGATGGTCGTTACCAAAACCATGTTGCATGTGATGCAGGATGCATGGACGTTCGTTTTCTGATGCAATTGAACTATTTAGATAAACGCTGGTTCTTTGCAAGGAGCTCTAAAACCTGAAGCTGGACCGTGGATTAATCTCAGCACAGCACTAGCTAGAGTTGCTCTTTGCTGTTGTGGAATGAAAGTTGAGAAGGTTCTTATCACAACAAGTGGTAGTCGACTTGAAAACGCTTCAACTTTTCTTACTTCTGCTGTTCTCATGGGAATAATTGATAAAGCAGATAATTCACTGAATCTCATCAATGCAGAATATTTTGCCAAGCAGTTGGGAGTGCAGGTAGACATTGTCATATTAAAATGGCAGTATTTGAAAATATGGAACACATGTTGTGTTGGTGTTTTTGTTCTTACAAGTAAGAGATTGTTCAAGTAATTCATGTGTTAATATTCTCATTCAAGTTGTTTCAGATTTTTAATTAGCTACTCATTTTTGATAAAGTAACAAATAAACGTTACTAATGAAAATATTCAGTCGATAACACCTTATGTATTAGCTTCCGATATTACTAAATAATTTCTAACACTTATTTTTCATTTGTTGATTTCGTTCATTTAGGTGGAAAAAGTACATGAAAATAAACAGCGTTACATGTGCGATGATAGTATCTCCATCACTGTGTATTTTAAAGACAACATAAGTTCGTCAGTCACTGGTACAATCTTTGGATCGAACACACCAACACTAGTACAGTTGAATGGTCATGTTTTCATTTCACCTGTTCCTCTTGCGGGAAAATTATGCTTCATCCAATTGAGTATATCAGAAGTGCTTGGAAAAATAGGTAAAGCGCAAAACCTAAAAGGTTTGTATAGTAGTGGTTCAGATAAAGGAGAACTGACTGCTGTGAGTATTGAAGAAGATGTAGACCTTACAAAAGCATTTCAGACATCAGATATGTTTGTCGTATCTCTTTAAACAACTTGATACTTTGAACTGTTTTCAAACTACCTTTCTTACATAAAATATTTTATGATATTTTCTCGATTACTTGTTTGTCGATATAAAGTATCCATACAGTTAAATATTTTACTTCAAAGTCTTAAATATCAAATTCGGTGGTTATTTTACGTTTGAATTTTTGGGTAAAGAAATAAATATTGATTTTAAAGAACGTGCTACCAACGAAATATTTTTCTTTGTAACTCCATGTACAGGGCGATAAAAATGTCATTGCCCATAAAATTGTAACGTAGTATGTTAAAATCAAAGGTTTTAACACGATGAATTTAATGCTCTTAAATAACTAAATGAAAGATTAAAGACTTGTGAACCAAGTTTTTAATTATATTATTAAGTGACTGTAGTCAAATTATTAACATATCAATCAACTTGTGCGCATAAACAATGGCGAAGCTTGATTGACTGGGATTTATTTTATTGGAAAATATATCGACCAACAAAATGTCCTGAATCGATGGGTAGAGAGAAATTGGAGGCTGTCACTCTCTACCTTTTTCTCAATAATTGTGCCTATAAGAACGAGATTGGTAGAACAATGAGAAGATACTTGTGAAGTGTTCAAACCTTTTACGATATCTTTTAAATAAGACTACACAACTCAACACACACGTTTAATACACAGTTAAGATCTCGAAAAATAAATATTTGTACGCATCCATTAACTTAGATCCTGTGTTACCCTTGCAAAATTTGGCAACATAAAGATAAAACAACAAAACCAAATGTTTGTGACTTTCATAGCAAATAGGACAAAATCGTAATCGTTATTTCTAATCTCTGCCTGGAATGTACCCATTTCCTGCATTACTTATTTTTCACTGCCTGGAATGTATCTTTTCATGTTCGGCTTTCATTTTGTTAGTATTTTTCTGCGTATAAGGAACAGGGAACTTGTTTAAATTGTTCATTTTCACAACTTGTTCGTTGTTAAAGGTTCAATTTTCTATTATCACCATTTTGAGCGTGCAGCGTAATATAAATTAGAATTATGACGTAATCAATTCATTACTAGTGATCTCTCAATCATTACTTATGGGTGAACCTTTTAAGAACCAATGGGCGCAGTTTGTTTTTTTTAAGACACGAATGACCATTAGTGATGACATATTTCAAGAAACATGGATTCCACAAGCAAAAGCTTTGAAAGCTAGAGGCATTAATTCTATTATTCTCTCGCAGAAAATAAATGCCAAAAATGACATGACAGATATTGTTTTTATGAGTAAAACGTGGTGGGATGCATTGAGTGCCTTCCAAAAATCATTTCCACAAGGATGTGACACACCACCGTCTTTGCAAAACTCAAGAGAATCTATTTTTGTGGTCAACGTACGTGGTTAATATTTTGTTTGTTTTTTTTGTAAATTTTTAAAAACTCTGGGTTAAGCTTGAACTTGTAGGGAGCTAGATAATGTATAACATCATTTTTACGTACTTTATTTTCTGGATGTCATTGTCAGATGAATATACAGACTTGGTTGAGTCATTTCGTCATTATAACAACCAGTCATCCCCCATCTCTCTAAAGATTAAACGAAATGACATGTTTGCTCAAATTTAAGGTTGGTTGTTTTCGAGTACGATCAACTAAGACAGCCAGTGGTGAAATGGCAGAGAATAGACACGAAGGCCTTGTAGAAGATGAAATAAAGGTTTTGATGATGAGAAAACAGCCATTGCCGAAAAAGGAGTTATTAACAACAGCTGAAAATTTGAGCTCACTTAAAGGTTTTCAAAGTTACTGCATTTATGAGCTTGAAAATGGTGCTTTCTCTGAAATAGAAAATGATTTCTGCTCCTGTATTATTGAAGTTTTCATTCAGAAATACTTCAAGGATGTTATCATGGAAGACATAGATGCAGGAGGGAAATTTACAGGTTGGAAACTTGCTGTACATGAGGACGTTGTGAAATTCACAATGTAAAAATTGTCAAAAATAATTTGAAACAATTATAACTGCGACTTTCTTTTCATATTTCAATTCCAAAACATTTATTCTCTTTAGTTTAAATGCCAATGCTGTCAATGCAGTATACCTTAGAGTAGACATTAATACAAATGACTAGGTACTTATTAAATAAGCAAAGCAACTCTGGTACTTTAGCATATCAGTTCGTCATAAACATACATATATTATGCACACTCTGCAAGTGGCAATATATGTCCTACTCTTGAACATATTTTTCAACTTTTTTCTTCAGCGTTCGTTTGTAAGATATTATGTCACCTTCCCACTTTGTAACCGCTTTATTTTCACAAACCCAAATTGCTTTGGCAACCTTGTTTAAAAAGTGAAGAAAATATTGTTAGGATTTTGAGTAGTTTGACCGCATTTCGTGGACAGCGAGCAATCACACACCTGATTAATAAGTCTAAAGTCATGGCTCACTAATAACATTCCGCCATCAAAATCATTAAGTGCATCAGCGAGAGCGTCGATTGTTTCGATATCTAAATGATTGGTAGGTTCGTCTAACAAAAGAAGATGTGGTCCTTGAAATGCAAGCCAAGCAAATACAACTCGACAACGTTGGCCGTCAGATAAATTCTTCATTGGACACATCTAAGCACAAATTGTCAATGTTTCATTTCATTTTTACACGTAGAGAGATGATGGCATAAGGCTCCGTTGTACCTGTTGTTTACCACTTAAACCATATCTCCCAATAGACTTCCTCATGTCATCGATTTCTTTTATTTCTGGAAAACACTGCATCATCCAAGAAACTGCAGACATTTCTAAATCCAGCATATCTTGAAGATGCTAAAACACGATTAAATGTTAAAGACACGCAAAGTAAAAATAAAGATTACTGATAACATGCAAACTACCTGATGGTAACGTCCAATTTTGAGATGGTTATGTCGGCGTATTAAGCCATCAGTTGGTGTTAACGTACCATCGAGAAGCTTTAGAAGAGTACTTTTGCCAGCACCATTTGGGCCAACCAACGCTAATCTTGTGTCCAAGTCGATACCAAAATCCAAATCTTTGTACAAAAGTGGCTAAAGAAAGAGAATATAAAATTGTACAGTTTACGACACATCGTCAACAACGCTAACACATATTTAATGAGCATCACCTTATCTTGAGAATATTTAAAAGAAACATGCTGTACTTGAATGACAGGAGGATGTAGTTTTTCACAGCTGGGGAAACTAAATGATATCACCTAGAACATAATCAAGTTCAAATGACCAATCATATGAAAACAAAATGTAAATACATAGAGAATTTAAATGTAAATGTAGGAACGAACCTTGTCCTTCTTCACTTTTTCTGTTAGACCACCAGCAACCATTTTCGCCAAAACTTTTTCCTTACTTTGTGCTTGTTGTGCCAGTTTAGCACTTCCATGTCCAAATCTTGCAATGTAGTCCTAAAGTAAAGTAGTATACGTACAAGAAAGCTTTTAAACATTGTACTAGGAATGGAAGTACAAACACAAGCATCAGTAACACGTATTAACAAACTTTCATGTGTTTTATTTGATCTTGCTCCCAGTTGTATTGTTTCATTTGATTTTCTTCAAGTTCAGCTCTAGTTTTAACATAACTGTCAAAATTACCCTTCATAAGCAAAAAGAAAAATTTGGTGAGAAAATCTTCCCGGAGGGACTTGTGGATACCTAGTTTTATGTATTTCAATACAAGAACCAATTAAAAATTAAAAGTTATATACCCCATAATATTTCAGAACTTTATCTTGCATATGTATAATGTTTGTACAAACACCATTTAAAAAATCTTGCGAATGAGAAACCACAACTAATATTCGTTTGTACCTGTAAAGAGTTATTCAAATGTATAAATAAAGACATCAGAAGAAAAGTTGACAATGAACATATTCACTTTTTTAATTCTTCTTCAAGCCACACGCATGCATCTAAATCCAAATGATTTGTGGGTTCATCAAGTAATAGTAAAGTTGGTCGAACAAAAAGAGCTCTAGCAAGCGCTATTCTCATTCTCCAACCACCAGAGAAATCTTTTGTCATAGTTCTTTGCATGGTTGAAGTAAAACCAAGACCATTTAAGATTCTAGCAGCTTGAGCAACAGCTTTGTCAACATCAAGCTCTTCCAAACGTTCGTACACATACATCAACCTGTTTTACATGAAATCATGAATCTTAAGCTGTTTAGCACATATTTAATCTGGCATTTAATTAAATTGTACCTTTCACTGCCTTGATCTCCTTCAGAAGTCAACTTTTCAGCTTCATGTTCGAGACGAGCTCGTTCCTCATTCACTTCGACAACACATTCCAAAGCAGTCTTATCACTTGCTATTATTTCATTTGACAAATGAAATATATCAATATGATCTGGAATTGGAATTTCACGATGTGCTATAACATTCATCAATGTTGATTTACCTAGAATGTCCAATTGAAAGTTAATCATGACTGCTGTACATTATTAAGATTAAAAAATGTCAAAAAGAAAAATACATAGAAGTTGTTATGAGATAATAAATAGATAGTTTTTGTATCCAACTAAAGGGATAGCATCTGTATTATAATTTATGCAGTGGATATTTATCTGACATCTAGTTTTCATTTTCATGTATTTATATTGACTATTTTATAAAATTTCATTTTGCTTGCTTTGTGTCCATGGTTTTGTAGCCTAATGGTAAGTTCAAGAAACATGAAACCAACATACTGTTTACAAGTTCGAAACCCGTCTTCGCATGTTGGATTTTATTGATTAATTGTTGTTCTCAATATCAAATAAATCCTTCATTTTTTACTAACCAAAACAAAAAAATACAGCAATAATCTTCGGTAGGGTAAGGGTTAGGTTTAAGTTTTTAAGACATAAATAGTTGTGTCGGATGAACAGCTTTTGAACATTAAGTTCTGATGTTGGATAAATATCCACGGAGAATAATTTATACTTCAACACGAATTGAAGTATATATGCAACAAAGCTACGTTATGTAGAAATCCTCAGCACGTAACAAAAGAAGAATATGATTTTAAATCTGTGGTCTAAAACGTTGATCCTTAACCTTAATCTATTAATCATAATATTATGAAGGACATTTAATACTTGTTTTATATTATCCTTTTGATTCACATATTTTACAAACTAATCTGCCACTGCCAACATCTTTTATGTTGTGTCGGTAAAGGTCTCACAAAAACATAATTTTATGTTTGACTCACCACAACCATTCAATCCCAACAACCCGTATCTTCTGCCACAATTCAACTCTAACCGTGTGTCACTTAGCAGTTCAACTCCGTGAAAAGTAATTGAAAAATTTTCAATGTGAACATCTCTTGACTCCGGATGAGAAGCTAAAACGCCGGTACACGATGCTATAGATAGACTTGATTCGCCATTCGCCGCGCCATTTACAACAGGTTCTACTTCGTTTTCTGCAGTTTTTTTGTCATTATTCGTATTCTTTGGCTTTCCTCTAGCTTGTGCCTGAGATTTCTTCTTTGCTTGGCGTTTCTTAGCGGCATCAGACGGCATATTTGCCGCTTTAAGACAAACGATTAAGATGCCAAGAGCTAGCGGATTTTTGAAGAGGAAGCCAAGAAACGCAACAAACGCGTTTCGCCATTTCCGACTCACGTGCTCACTTTGAATTTTGATTCTTAATACTCCATACTTACATGACGTGTTACTGTATTTGTTCTAGTGAGGGTGATTGCAGACTCGTGTTGTTAACAAGCACCGAAGTACGTGTTCTTTAATCCTTGATTTTGAGTAAAACGTTTAAACCAACTTCGTGCATAATTTTGTTAGAGCAGCAATACATGAATGAAAACTCATGAATGACTGGGAGGAAGTGAAGCGTTTGGCAGCTGATTTTCAGCGTGCTCAACTCAGTAGTACTTCTCATAAATTATCAGAAAGAAATTGTGTTGAACTTGTTCAGAAGTTGATTGATCTTGGTCTAATACATGTGATCTACACGACAGATGGTAGGGAGTATCTCACGCCCAATGAATTAGAAAAAGAAATTAGAGAGGAATTATTTGTGGAAGGAGGTTTGTGAGTGTGTTTAATTCGAAGAAATCTGAAGTATATTAAATGTGGTAATCGGAATTAATGGAAATATCATTTTAATTACCAGTTACCACATTTCCATGAATGATATTGTTTGAAATACTGATTTTGAAAAATCAGTGAAGAGGAGAAGTTAAGATGATTAGTGATAAGGCTAGGAGGAAGATCACTAAATTAACCACGAACACATCTCATTTTATGTCTTACTTGGTGCAAGTTATTGAAGTTAACCTTAATTATCCTCTCCCAGTTATTGTCTGTTTTATTCCGTTTTTTTCTGCCATCTTATTTACCTTTCAATTACTCTTAATTTTAAATTCATCAATGTTTTAAAAACATTCTTTTCTTTATTGGTGTGTACATGCATACAGTATATACATATAACCATCTAACTTTAACTGCAATTTTAAAAGTAAAATTTCTTCAATTCTCACATCTCCTTCCAAATGTTTTGGTGGGAGGTTTCATATTCTGTCATGCTATCCAACTGAATATGCCAATAACAAGCTTCATCATATAAGACCATGAAGAGAATATGAAAGAAGAGTTCCCTTACGACTTGTGTCTTTACTCTAAAGCTCTATAAGTAATGTCAAAGTTGTAATGCTATTAAGATACATTGTTCATAATGAATCTTTAGTAGTATAATGCATGGAGAATTTGCTAATGGACTGAAATTATCCCTGGAACATGAATAATAATGTTATATCTGAGAATAAAGTTGAATTTAAAGTTTTCTTTGTTTAGGCAGAATTAATCTCGTTGACCTTCAACAGGTAATTAAGATGATCAAGTCAATATGTTCTGTGTTATTTTTAGTTTAAGCTAAACTACATAAATAGGAAGATTTCAATTAGATGTTTCAGCAAGTATGTGGTTACAATTTACAAGAGATCACTAACAGAAAAAAATTCTAAGTTATGTTAGTAACAAGTAAAAGAAAATTTGTTAACACATTTTTCAATAGAATGTTTGAATATTGTATCATATTGTCAATTTTATGCGCACTGTGTTATTCTAATTATTGATAGTTCAGAAAAAGGCATGTTTTGTTCAATTGAACAAAATAAAAAATTTTATGCTTGTGGATGTCTTGTGAGGCAAAGTTTATCTTTGAAGATGCATTTTAAAATTAGAAGTTGTTTTGAGTTTTTTTTTATATTTCTTGTTTTCTTTTAGGTTATTAATGTTGGTCTTAATCACATTGAAAGTAAAGTTGCTGAGATTATTAAAGCTGATCGCGATCTTATTTTAATTCAAGGCGAACTGATAGACAAGTAAGAAAAGTGGCATGAAACAATTTCTTGTTTTGATTTCGCACAAAACATTTCAGTCATTTCTAGGAATTGTTCTGATTCTCTCATAATGGCTTTGAGAATAAAATGTTGTGCTTACAACGGTAAAATTAATGCTTTTTTACAGACAATATCTTGATCGTATAGCGGAGGAAATAAATGAAAAACTCCAAGAATCAGGTCTTGTTTCTATTGGAGAACTTGCAAAAACATTTGGTTTCGCTACAGAATTCATTGTTGAGGTATTTAAGATTCAGAAGTCAAGCAATAACTACGTAACATGAGTATTCTTCAACTCTCTTGTTCGCCATTTTACATCGTGTACGATATAAAATTGTAATTAATGGAAAAGTGTTTTTTGTCATAACCATAGACTTTTCAATGTTTTTAATCTGCTATCTCTTCTGTAGTTTTGTGCAATAATCATCGTGGATAGTTCTTTTTCTATAGTCATTAATCCTAGATCAGTACATAGTTCAGTGTGCATAAATAAACTTTTGTTTTAGATAATCATGTGTTCACTAAACGATAAATGATTGTTGTAATCTGTAATCGTAGATAGTTCAGTGTGCATAATCTGTTATTTTAGATAATCATGTGTTAACTATACGATAAATGATCGTTGTAATCTGTAATCGTAGATAGTTCAGTGTGCATAATCTGTTATTTTAGATAATCATGTGTTTATTAGACAGTTGAAGATCGTCTTGGATCACTTATTCACGGCAAACTTGATCGTCTCGAGAAAGGAGTTTTATTCACTGATTCTTTCATCGCTAGACACACAGCGCGTATCAGAGGTGTTCTTAGCGCAATCACAAGGTATGAATACTCAAGAAAAATGCACATTTTATACATTAATCACTGGTTGTGATTATCGTGTGCATACGTAAAATAGATGTGTGTTGACTTAGCATAAGATTATGTGCAAAGTTAATAACTTTGTGACAACAACTTTTAATTTCAGACCTGCTTCTCTTTCTAATCTTATTATTGAGTACGACTTCCAGGAAAAACTTTTTTACAGTAAGTAGTTGGTGTGTCTATTTTTGACTTTTTATTTCATATTCGATCACGGATTGCATTTTTGAAACTTGGAGTGAGAAATGTTAACACATTATTGGTTCTATGAAGAGCATTCATTTTTCATTTTGTTTAATAGAACGTTCCGTTTCTGCGAGTACAAAGTTTTGTTGTTTTTGTGCCAATGAATCAGTAACATCGAGAATTTTTCTTATCTTTCCAGCTGTAATGAACGACTTGCTGTCACAAAACAGACTGTGTGGTACAATTCAGGGTCGACACGATAAAGCCAGCTTTATTCCTGATATTTACTCACGTACTCAAAACGCCTGGGTCGATGCATTTTATCAACAAAATGGTTATTTTGGTAAGAACGCATCATCATTTTTGATGTATTTATGCAAACCCAGTTACCAGCTTTTTTTTGTACTGGCGGTCAAACAATGAAAATGGTCAATTTTTAAATTTGAGAGCTAGAAATCCAGCAAAATCATACTTTCGAACATCAAAATCCATTACAAAAGTTTTTAAAGTAGTCCGAACTATCTAAATGGCGCAAACGCAAAAACATGACTTGGGCACTTTAAATTAAAGTTTGTTTTTCTTAGTTTTTAGAAGTTCAATGATATTATTTAAAAGAAAATTAATGGTATTTCATATAATACAGTAACACAAATTTGTCATGATAAATTTTACCCCACGAACTGTTGTAATCAACAAAAAACTTAGTTATAAATACGTCTTTGTGGGCTTCAAAATGGCTTACATCACTAAAATTAGAGTTGGCGCTCCACTTTATAACATAGTTCACTTGCCTGAACTAGATGGCGCAGGATTGAGAATAACCCCATAACCGTTGACAACAATAGAACTGTAATTCCATATTCATTTTATACGTAAAACTGAAATTCTAAAATAAATTGAACGTTAATTTGCCTATCTTGTTGGAACGAGTTTATATCAGATTAAATTTGAGCAGCTCTAAATTATTCGTTTCTGCAATATTATAAAGAATTTATTGTATCTGCTGCAGCGGAAAAAATTATTTTGTTTTGTTTAGAATACGATAACTTGGCGCGACTTGGTATTACTGATGCACGAAATTATCTGAAACGTCGTTTTAAAAGCGAGTCTATTGTCTACTTAAAGACATGTTGTGCTGGCAGGCTAGTTGTTGATAATCTTGATGCGGCTATTGACGACGCTCTGTCGTCTGGGACTTGGCTTGATGTCATGGTGAGATTATTGAGAAATAATTGATCTCGGAGATTAGGACTAAGATTTGTGGTTAATTTTTTTTCATTTCAGACGGTCTTACCTTCTCCGTTCCTCCCGGATGATGCAGCTTTGCTATTGGAGAAATCCTTGAAGAGTGCTGGTCGTTCCTCTGCGCATGTCTTTTGTGGTTCAATTATTGTGAGCGAGAAATTTATCGAGGAGTGTATCGCACCTTTTGATAATTTGATGCAGGAAAAAGCAAAGAAGGTATAATTGCAAGAAATGTTATAATATATAGAAATAGACAAGGACTAAGGCAATATACGTATAGTCAGCAATATAATAAAATGTAGACTAAGAAAATGACCACAGCTTTATAAAGTCAACAATAGACATAGTAAAGACGTCGAAAGATAAGAAAATTATTGTTTATAATATCATTTGTAAAACATTGTTCTTTGTTTGAAAAGAAAATCCAATTATTTTCATTGAATTTTGAGCAAAAATTTTCATTAAATAAATCTTTTAGGACGCCGTTTTGTCACCTGCTCTACTCTCTGAGCTTTCTAAGAAAGATTTACTTGATCTATCTGAGACAAAACCGTCAAAACAAGACAAGAAAGACGAACGACGTGTAAAAGCTGCAGCTGGTGGGGGAAGCAAAGGTGGTGGAGGGAGAGGGGCTCGTGAAGTGAAAACAAAAAAGGTTTATTGTTACTAAACATATGATCTACTTTGAACTTGATGCATTTTCTGTGTTTGTGAGAGAAGCAAGGGGAGAGAGAGATAGTTTTTATGTGAAAACAAAAAAGAGAACTTTATGTAATGTATGATCTACGTTGAACTCGATATATTTAGAGTTGTTGAATTCGTGTTGCATGTGTTATTTATCGCAAGACTATCTTATTTTTTAATTGTTTATAAAGGGGCAGCATGCTTATTATGAATGTGAAATTAAGTGAGAACGAATTTTGAGGTGTTTATGGATTTTTCTTTTTCAGAAAGACAAGAGTAAGTTGAAAGCCGAGAAACAAATCGAAGATAGTGAGAAAAAGTCTTCAAATGAAGAATTAATGTTTATGGAAACAACCGAGGTATAAAGATAAGAAAACTTGTTTATTGTGATTTGTTAAAGCACTTGTTGTTGTTCTAACGATTGTTATGAAGGAAATCTTAGTTGGCAATTATAATGTCAGTTTCATCTTTTCTCATTCTTACACTGATATCGTCTGTTCGTTTTTATTAGATTGCTGAAGTTTTATTGAAACATCTCAAAGATATTCCTGAACAATTGATCGAGGAACTTTCGGATTATTTGCACAGGTTTGTTCTTCTAAATCGTTCACTTCAAGTTTTCTATAAGAAAATTAAAAGTCTCAGACTTCTTGATCTTAAACTTTCATTGTAGAAACAGGAATTATATAGCTCTCACTCTTAGTTGCTGTAGCTAAGTATTTGAAAATTCTTTATAATCTTATTTCGCTTTTGACGTTTTTTGAGATGCAACATCACAGAATGACCAAGAAACCCAAAGTATCGAATTTATTGCCTAATTCTTCATGCAGATTTTAAAAGGATTCCAGATCTCTACACGATTTCAAATATTCCAGAGTCATGTAGAAACGCAGGATGTGCACGAAGCTGTGAAATTTTCATCTCTTTATTATATCTATTTAAGAAATAAAAGATGTTCATTGTGCCTGCAAAGGCTTGTGATAACTGCAAAGTGCAGATCAGTGCTCATGTTTTCGTGTTTTCATAAGCCAGAGCAAACACGAAAAACTTCTTTATTTTTCTATAAAAAATAATAACAATGCGAAACAGAAAAATTTAAAACAAATGTTTTAATTTTTCCTCTTATGTACATGTATTCATGATTGTTTGGCAAATTTCTATAATTGATTTCATTGGTTGACCTTAGAACGGTTTTCACAGGCTAATGCAAAGCCAGCTAGGCCAATGAGTGCACGCGTTTTATTGTTTTTATAATTCATTATCATACACATTGTACAATTAGTGCAACAAACTATAACTAAGTAATATAATGGGTCATTTTCCTCCATTTATACATGGATTAACTTGTTTATGTTTCGATACACTTTGGTTAGTTAACATTGTAATGTTTTTTTTGTCTTGCTGTTTGATGTTTTATCACGAGTGCAAACTTGTGACTTGGACTTCACAGCTTCAAATATGGCAGCCAGATAGGTTTCAAAATTATAATCTTATACAAAGGGTTTTTGTCATTTTGTATAATTTAATTGTAGCCAGGGCCGTCCCTAAAACGTTAGTTAGGGGGGGAGGTGTTTTATTTATACATTCAGTTGTGCCTCACTGATTCTTTTGAAAGCAATTCACTGAAGGTATTAAGCAATGATACGTTCAATGATACGTCGGGCACATCTGAATACATAAATAAACACACACACACTCCCCTCTCCCATTAACGTTTTAGGAAGAGCTCTGATTGAAGCCTTCGTCGATAGCCAAAGTAATTCTCAGGAAGAAAATATTCGTACTTGTAATTAACACGTTAAACTAAAGAGTTTTGGATGTATTAATTGCTAAATTTTCTTTATACAATTGGTAGACCATTATTGAAGAAGTACCAAGAAGTTGCCCGAAATATGTTTTTATCGACTGGGGATGAAAAACGTAAAGTTCATGTCGATCTTCAAGATAAAGTAACAGGATTGTATTTAAATATTCGTCTTTTTCATAAAGGCGTGGAAAAATTTCCAGGTATGTAAAGTTGCACTTTTTTATAACTGAAAAGTTTCCATATCAAAATCTTGTAATTCTAAGTATGTGCTAAAAAATGACCACAAAACTTTTCAAACATGTTTTAAAAATTGGAATTGCACAATGCACTAAAGACAGATGTTTTGCTTCTATCAAGACCTTGTATAAGAGCTCGTTGATACTCTCAATACTTACGTACGAATATGTTAACTTTCAGATGAGGTTCAGTTAATCATAGCTCGTCATCTTCTCAAAACTTTATGCACCGACATGACCAATTTAGCGATAAATTGTTTGGCTGCTGACAATATGATGGCGGTCTCAGATGTTAAAACATTAACACATGAGGTAAGATCTTTGTATTGTAAAACTATTTATATGGTTAAAGCAGTGTAGGAGTGGACTACTGTAATTAAAATACATTTAAAGCGAGTAAAAGCGGTTGTTTTGTTATTCGTTTAAACTATATATGTAAAAAATACGGAGCTGTTTAAAAGTTCTGTATCCATGTATGTAATGAGAACTACACGCGTAGACAAATCACAAATTTTAAAAACAAAAAGTCTTGTTTAAACCACCCCTCCCGAATTTTATAATTTAAGACTAAGCGACCATATTATACTCCAAAATCGTTGTAAGTAAATCCAGTTGGGTATCGCCATGACAATAAACTCCAACACTTGGTCTAGTAGACTGCTTATGCTCAAATGCTTTTTCGAATACTAATTTGTTAGCGAGCGAGCTAGTTACTTTCAGAGCTATTCAAGGAAATCCAGTTATTAGTATAAGCTCCAATAGTTGGTTGAGTAGACTGCGTAAGTTTTCAGTCATGTATATCATTACATGTTGTCTGTCTTCTTCAGCAAGTTTTTAGTCATGTTTATCATTACATGTTGTCTGTCTTCTTCAGCTTGTTTCAACAAATGTATTTTCAAACTCGTGAACCTCATTACACTGTTGACAATAAGAAAATCGTTTACACGTAAACCGTGACGGAAGTAGTTATTTAGGCTACACTTTATGATAGGTTTTATCAAAAATGCTTTTATACCATGAAATCCGTTGATGTTCGCCTCATGATACGCGAATGAAAAGTCAAATGTAAGTTAATGAAGAAATGAATGAATGTACAGTATGAAACATTTTATGGTTCATTCAAAAGGCCGTTAATATTTGGAAACATTGCATTATCGTTGTATCCCTATTATTTAGCTGTAAACATTGTCGTGTGTGTGTATTTAAACCGAAGATCAGGTAGCCATCAGTGACCGTTTTATAACAATCTAAATCATTTGAATCATTTATCATCAAATAAATTTTCATTGCACAACTTGCATAATGTTTTCTTACCTATTACTTTTATTATATTTTCTACACTCTTACGTAAATACTTTTATTTAATTTGTTGATAAGGTCCTAGACAAATTTACTGTGTACTTTCATTGTAGTGAATGTTCGGAAATTAGTTTTTGTAAGGATACCTTATGCAGAAACATATTGTTAAAGAATTTAAATGATATACACGCTAGAAAACAATTTCATCCTGATTATAATTAGCTAATTTGCTTCGCTTTGTAGTTACGATTGAAAATCATTTCAAAAATGCCAGAAAAGCAAAAGAATGTTCTCAGCAAGTTGGTAGCTTCCCTAAATGGAAAGGTAAATTTACAGCTTTTTCTCAACATAGCTAGCCACATGAAGATATGATCATATCTTCATTTAATTTCAAACACCGCACTGCATATAACATTCTTTCATAGCTGGCTACAATCATTTATTTAAAAATCAATAAATTATATTTAGAGCCTTGACGAATTTTTCGTGCAATTTGACGAAGTTTGCGGTCCCGGATTTTGTGAAATTCTCATCAAGAAACTAGACAAGAAAAGGGAAAAGTAAATAAGTGTTTAATAAGTGTTTTTTTTTAAAAAAATGTCTATTTTAATTGAGCATAACACAAAAGAATGTTTGTTTTTGTCTCAGTCATTATTTTTAGTTTTTAAAAACGACTTAAGCGTATCTATCAAATCCAAAATTTTAAGTTTTCTTTCCTTAGATAAGAAATTTTCAATCATTTCAAATGCAACCAGTTAGGAATGGTCACGTTGTATTAAACTGTCATATTTCTTTAAGAACATTGTTGGCCGAGCATCGTCAAAACTTGTTAGAGCAGTTCAGACAAGAGAACGAGCCTGCAATGGCTTTACATTTGGCAGCGGTAACTTTGTTTCAAAATCACACTGGATGTATAGTGAACGTGCCTGGTAAATGTGTTCCATATATTATCACATTCTTGTCCGATTACATGTCACCAACTGATCATCTAAAACTAAAACAATATGAAAGTTTGGTAGTTAAAAAGTTAAGTAAAGTAAAGAATGATAATGATGTGAACGGTGGTGAAAAAAGTATAGAGACTTTACTCGAGGAAGGCTTGATAGAAATCAAAGACGTTGTTTTTAGAAGCAAAAAATCTTTTCCTCAACATAGCGAATGAACCTGAAACTACAATTAATCTTAGAGTGACGTGTGGTATTCAAACATCTATTGTTGAATAAAATTTGTCATTGACGTAACATGTTTGACGTAACGTGACATGTTTGAAGTAACGTAACTAAGCGCTAAACACGTAACAGCGTTTTTTTACAGAACTTTCTTTAATAGAAAATGCGTCATTCTTTTATCTTGCGTAAGATTGTTGTTGAAGTTCCGTCCAATGACATGTACTTCTGTATCTTAAGATTCTAGAATTTAGATCCTAAAATCAAAGAAATGGTGAACAATAATCTCCGTTTGTGAGGACGTGAAGTAGGATTATGAGTTATTTAGCTGCTGTTGGTATAACATTTAATTTCACACAATATTGTTAAATGTTTGTCCACGTTTAATTATAATTACTGGAATTTATGTTATTTCCGATTTATTTATATAGGTTGATTTTTAAAACTTGTTTTTTCTTATTAAATCAGTGTTGTCGTTTTTTTGTTTGTTTTGAATAGAAGTATTTAAGCGCTAAACACGTAACAATGTTTTTTTGCAGAACTTTCTTTAATAGAAAATGCGTCATTCTTTTATCTTGCGTAATATTGTTGTTGAAGTTCCGTCCAGTGATATGTATTTCTGTATCTTAAGATTCTAGAATTTAGATCCTAAAATTCAAGAAATGAATATAATTTCTAATATTCCCGATCCTACTTCTCTTAATCTAAAGTTAATTATAAACTGAATCGTAGACTAGCTGAGGCGTAAGATATAAAGTTCTTATGCATGTTATGAATATTTTCTCTGAGAACATATGTCTAAACAACATCTGTCGTTTTCTCCTTTGCTTGTTGAGTGATTGTTCGAATTATACGTGTGAAAATAGACCATTTTTGAAGCATGAAAGAATATAATTCCTTGAGAAACTGTACATGACTATATTACGCAGTACGTGTCATGAAAAATTTGCATAAATTGCTAAAAGTTTTTGGATGCCGTTATTGTCGATTTCAGTTAACTTTTCAAATGGCGGTTGCCAAGTTACTTTCTAATGTTGCCAACTATATTTCCAAATATGGAATATTCGTTATGAACTTGTCAACTTGAGTTGACAAGTTGTGTACTTGAGTACTGAAGTTGGGAACTTGAGTACTGAAGTTGGGAACTTTAGTACTGAAGTTGGGAACTAAAGTTGCGAAGTACTGGCAAACGCGAAAGGTCTTTGTACCCTGTAGACATTTGGCAATGAATCCGTTCAGTAAGCAAGGAAAAGCTTTACCAATAGAAGTAAGAAATGAAATACTTGAAAGGTGGTTAAATAACCAGCGTTTGACAAACATTTTGAAACAACTAAATCTACCGTATAAGACTATATCAAATTTAATAGATCTATGGGTAGACACTGGTTCTATTGCACCTCGCCAGGGCGAACGTGATGTTCGAGCCACGCGTACAGATGACGTTATTGCATACGCTGAATATCTAAAAATTAATAAACCATCTATTTACGCAAAAGAGATTCAGCAACACCTAGAAAATATCAAAGTTTGCCTTCCAGCAAACATACCTAGCAGGTCATCCATTAGTAGAATTTTGAATAAAGATCTTGGTTACTCTTACAAGGTAATAAGTCAAATTCCTCGAGAGACAGAACGGCCGGACGTTATGGAGAAGTTAGAAGCTTACGTAGCAAATATTTCATTGATTGTGATTGCAACCGTAGGCATTTCTTTGATGAGTCGTCTGTAGTTGTTACGAGTGGCAACAGACGTCGAGGGCACAGTTTGCAGGGTACTCCTGCATTTAAAATCCAACGATACTCTTCTAGTGCCACATTTACTGTAAATTTTTTACATAATGTAAACGGCGTATCGCATTATAACACTCTAAGAGGGCCGTCAAACGGATTAGAATTGCTAAAGCTTTTCCTTGCTTACTGAACGGATTCATTGCCAAATGTCTACAGGGTACAAAGACCTTTCGCGTTTGCTAGTACTTCGCAACTTTAGTTCACAACTTCGGTACTAAAGTTCCCAACTTCAGTACTCAAGTTCCCAACTTCAGTACTCAAGTACACAACTTGTCAACTCAAGTTGACAAGTTCATAACGAATATTCCATATTTGGAAATGTAGTTGGCAACATTAGAAAGTAACTTGGCAACCGCCATTTGAAAAGTTAACTGAAATCGACAATTACGTCTAACTGAGCAGAGAATTAATTTGCATTCAACACAACATGTGTATGAATTTGAATTTTTGTATTTGTCACACTAAACTGACTTAATGGCTTTTGAACAAGTAAATTTTGCTGTGTATAAATTTGCGAATGTTTTTGGCTTTATTCAGCTAATTATAGATGCACATGACATACGAAACTGACGAATAAAGTGTTCCGTAAATGCTGCTTTTGGCGCTGATAAGCTATTTACATGAGCCATACTTGTGTTTAAACCAAAAAATAACTCGCTTTCACAAACCTAGATCTAGGCAAAGCGATGTACTTGATTGCAAGCGATGTACCAGTAAATGCATTTACAGGCCGAAAATTTACACATTTGCGCTAAAAGTGTAGGCAGCACAGTAGCTGACAGTAGTCAATAAATTTTAACATTGTATTGTTTCCCTATTCTTAAGTTAGTTTATTGTAATGTTATGTCTTGAATACTTTGGGTCAGCCAAAAGTATTTTTGTCAGTAGCAGTTGGTTTAGATGATAGAAGCGCAATTTTTTCTGCGTGATTGCTACTGTAAATGTGTGATTATGGAATAGATAAAAATTACTTGGTCATTTTTTATCGTTGTCCTTTTTGCCATTCAAAGATAATGTCACAGCTATGTTGCTTTGACAGCTGGATGTAACTTTAAATTATTTAACACTGAAATCTACGTCGTATATGTGATTTATTAACTTGAGAATTTATCAAAGTACAATAACATAGCCTTGAAATGCATTTCATTCAATATTTGATTCAACCCTTTTGGCTCTACTCATCTTTGCCGTGAGACGTGTTGATATTAATACATGATATTAAAAATTGATTTTATCTCTCCTGTGAGATCAGAAAGATCTCTTTGTACAATTTGTTGTTATTTGCTAGATATAAAGCGTAATTGACGTGGTTGAAAATTTTTAGCTTTCCCATAAATTTGCATACGATTGTTGCGATGACAATTTGAAATTAATTACCCGTGTAAGCGAAGTCCTGATTTAACATTTTTCATTATCACGATTTAACCTTTCGTTTGAATGTTAGTAGACGTCGTTGGTAAGTTGTTAACTTCTCCGTCTTTACATTATCTCAATCTTAAACTTTATGCAATAGTAATTGCATGACATGTGTGAAATCATTTGCAAAACCGAATTTCAATATTGCTCAACCGGCGCGGTATAGTGATAAGTATATTTTCCTGCCTTCCACGGTTTTCTCATGATCGAATTCAGGGCGTTTTCATTCAACTTTTTGTAAATGCTTGTTATTTCATAACTTAGGTATATTTCATTTACGCAAACGTGTTTATATCTGTATCATTTATATGAACTGAATTGTGTATGAAATTTCGTAACGACTTGTTGAGTTTCAATTATAGTTCTAGATTTTTTAATTCAGCTTAAAGTGTTTACTAAATAAGCGACGTTTTTCTATTGATTGTATTTCTTTGCATATACTTGAGGATAAGTTTTTTTTTCATTGCAAATTTTCTTTGAAATCCTAAGAGATCAATCAATATATTTGATATTCTTGTAGATTTTAGAATCATGGACGAACGACGAATTTTAGATAGGCAAATTCAACGATTTTCTTTAACTTTGCTCATTTTTCGTCCGCGTTTAATGCCATATTCTCCTAAGTTCCTTTATTTGGTTTTGTTGTGAGAAATTTCGCTTACTAAATATTTACTCTTTTTTAGATTATTAAAAAAGTAGATGATATTTTTCAGTGAAACTCTGCTTTTTGCTTCGATTATTGGCTTTATCGGAGGTAATATGATAATACTTTATGAATTAATTAAAAGATCATTTTGTGAATACAACAATCTTGCTGGGTATTGCATGGTAGAAATTGTAGTTTTTATAACTAACATTAAATGAAAAAAATACCAAGCAGACAGTTAAATAATTGGTTTAAATAATTAATTTAAGGTGCACAGTGTTTAATGCGTTTGACCAATTTGTTGCGAAACAATTAAAATTGATTTTATAACGAGTGATTTCTTTCACTGATTTGTTTCTTCGATAAGTATTGCATCATGTTTTTAACATCAATAATATACTGGAGTCTAGACACTTGACATTTGTTTCAAAGTTTAAGTTTTTTTAAATACATGTACAAAACTCTGCGATGACAAAGTGTTTTCTTTTTGTTGGTCGTTTATCGTTTTTTTCCAAAGAGAGAATTGCAAATCTAGCTATGTAATGGGAAATGTAAAAGCGTATTTGTATGAGTATTAATTTCGAAGAATTCCGGTATATACAGCGGCATTTTTAAATGGCAACGTCTTTTTTGAGATATCTTGCTTGCTGTGCTTGTTCTTGACAAATTTTTAGCCAAATTGTGGCTTGTCTCGTTCACACTTGTTAAGTGTTGATTTCAGATACCATTGCATACCAGTCATGGCAAACATATTTCGGCAAAGAAACGTTTGATATAGATATTTGACATTTACGTAAAGACTTAATTGAACGGATGACAAAGCAACTTGTGTTGTACGAGCTGTATCCCTTTTACTTCGTCATGTTTTACATTCAATTCATTTAGCTTCGTTAAACTTGTCGAACACTTTTGCAATTGAACACTGTTCCAAAATGACAAATTTAAACCACCAACTATATAGTCATGACAATTCATGGCACTCTATAAGAAACCCTGTTTAGAACTAAAAGCGGAAGATAGAGTTTGTTTGAACTTGTCCAATCCTTGTCAAATCGATCGCAAATGCCAAAAATTTGTCTAGAAACTGGATATCACGTAAATGCTTTGCAAAAACTGTTTACTGTGTATTGAAATCATGTAAATGCAGAAATATAACTTATTAATGACATTGAAATATTCAAAATAATATATAATTAAAATAAGACGCTTTAGTTTCATTTTTTTTTAGTTTACTTAAAATCTGTTGTGCATGAGTCTCATGGGACCTGTGTGTAAATTATTAATGAAGAAAAAATATTTAGAGTTAGTTATCGGTCGTTTCGATGCAAATATATATTTATCGATTCAAATTTTACCCATATAGTATTAGATTTTTTGCTTGTCAAACCTCAGTTTTCAGGACAACTGTTGTTACTTTCAGTTAGTTTAAAATCTGCTTACAAGCAGCTATGACATAGTACGTCTGAAAAGAGAATCGAATGTAAACAACGTGCGCCAAGGTTTACTTTATGCACAGTATTTTATAAACATGTCCTGTTTATTATTCCCTGCCGATACAACCAACCGATATGATTAATGAGTTTGCGGATTATATCCTTTGTCGATATTCTTTTGGCAGTTGCAGTTGTATTTATCTGTAATTGACTATATTTATCTAAACAGCATTTGTTTTCGTATAGTGTATAGTCGTTTTTTAAATTTAATCTCATTGTAAAAAGAAAAATTTTTAGGCCCGTGGGCACGGGCCCAGTTGGCCCATTGGCTAATGCGGCACTGGATACAGCGAGGTTGAAACAATGTAGAAATGATTATAGAAACATGAAAATTTTTTTCACAAACAAATTATCTCAGTGAATTATTCAATATAAAACAAAATATTCAAAAACATAATAATTCATTGCCCATATGTGTTGTCACGATAAATTAGCGAAACAAATTTTTTACGTTCTGAAGTTTATCTTCTGTTATGTCCACTATACAAGTATACTATACTCAACTGGCGTTACCATAAATAAATAATATTTAGTTGAAGAGTTTTTGCAGTTACTTTACCAAGGAATGTTTGGGAGAGACAAATAACAAATTTCGAATATTATTTTGAATCAGAAGAATTTCAACGATAAAAAACAAAACTTAAAGACTTCAGTTTTATCTTTATATTGAAGGCCGTTAATAAAAAAGCGCGTTTGGTTGGAGTGCAAAATTCTTAGCATGTAATTTTGTATGTTGGCAATCAAATGCTCGTAGGTCTCAAAGAGATTCAGCTGATTCCGTGGGTCATAAACAAATTTATTTAGCTATTGTTTACCTGTAATTGAATTATAATATCATTTGTAACTCTAAAGTTTAACATCCATCCATATTTTGATACAGCCCACTCTCACAAGTTATGTGGTCAGCGATCAATAGAGTTACGCCATCGTGTTAAAAGGGTCGTTGGTGGTAAAGAAGCAGTTCCTCATTCTTGGCCATGGATAGTAAATTTCATCGATCAAGACAACCGTCAACAATGTGCAGGTTCTATCATTGCTAGAGAATGGATTCTCACTGCTGCTCATTGTTTCTTAGTTGACCCAGCGCCAGCTCCACCAATCATTAAAAACTACACTTTCCATGTTGCTGACCATCGATTAAACTTCACTGACCAAGAGGAGTATATTTTAAACATATCAAATGTTTACATTCATCCATGGTATGTTCCTGGTAGTTCTGTATCTCCTGGAGATTATGATATTGCGTTAGTCAAACTTTCGGAGCCATTGGTCTTTAGTGATTACGTTCAGCCAGTTTGTCTTGCTGAAAGTAATGCTACGTTTAATGAAAATGATACATGTTATCTCGTTGGTTGGGGAAACACAATGAATGTGCAAAGTTATAACCGATCATTTTATTTGAAAGAAGTCCAACTTGATTTGGTTAGTCTCAATGAATGCAACAGTAATGTATCCTACAAAGGTCAGGTATCAGAACGATTTATCTGTGCTGGTCGTAAGGAAGGTGGTATTGATGGATGTTATGGAGACAGTGGAGGGTCTTACCAATGTGATCGTAATGGTACATGGAAACAACTTGGAATTATGATTTGGGGTATTGGTTGTGCTGAACCAAATCACTATGGTGTTTATACTGACGTTAGAGCTTTTCATCCTTTTATAAACAGCATACAAGAAGGTAAAATTTGATTCACTTGTTTATCTAAGATGAAACTGTAATCAACAAAAACACCTAATTTTTATAAATCACTTAGCTGTTGCTAATTTATTTGTCAACCTTTTTCTACATGATGAAGAAATCATATATTTTCTTTATAGTTAGTAAATCTAGTTTTTTGTACCTTGTACAATTTATTGGTCTTTGATTCTTTTTTGTGTGGTTTCTTTTAAAATTAATTATATAAAAAATATCGTCCAGACTTAACAGCTAAATAAAGAATATTTTGTACGTTTACCATGATATTACAATTATGTTAGGATTCGGAATTTAATTTACATTGTGGGTTGTTGCGTGCTTCTTAGTTATTGGAACGCGTTGCATCTAATCTAAAATCTTCCACATCTAATAGTCTTAAGATGAATTACAGACGGTATTCCATGGTCATTAAAAAATAAGTTGCCAATAGTTTAAACGTGTATTTTTCAATAAATCTTTATAATTCCTTTTGTAAATATTAGCAATCATATGTCCATAAAATTCATTATTTAATTGATGTTGTTATATACAATGAACAATTTCGTTTTTCTACCCTTGTCATTTTTTCTTTGATTCATTGCAGGTGTTAACTCAAATTTGGTATCATACTACATGAAAACTTTAGTACAAATCGAACCTGACGAAGAAATAAGAAATTCAACAATCCTGTATCAGTTGATGACAAATAAAAGCGTGTTTTCTGCTGTTGATTTAGTGAGAAACTTTCAATTTATACCATATCAAATCACGTTACTGAACAAAACAACGCTAGAGGATCTTATTTTTGTGAGTTACATGCACAATTTGAGTGCAAACACAACATCATTAAAGTATATCAGTGAGACATTCAGTGTTCAGTCTCATAGACTTTATATTTACTACAAAAGTCGTGAGGTGATGAGAGAGTTCAATGTCACGTTCAACGAAATTATCATCTCCATCAATTTGACAAAAGATGAATTCTTGGATTCAATGATAAATGTGATAGAAAAAGCTAGACGTCAACTGTACATCATGAAATATGTTGCTGACTTGAAAGGATACAGGAATTTATTACTTACTTTCCAATCTGGTTTGAACGTCATATTGAATGAATCTAGAATTGTTAGTTATCTGAGTCGATGGAAAACTGATGAATTAAAAACATTGGACAAAAATACAATCAAACAACTTTTGGTAAAGCAAAATGGAAACTTGTTCACCGCAACGTTAACCATTCGTAACTTGTCATCATTCTTTGAAACGAGTTTAAATAATTTGAAAAACATGACAGTTCAAAGTTTACTCATCAAAATGTTAAACATCAGTGTTAGAAATTATAGAAAGTGGTATAACTTCAGTGAAATCCAGATGAAAGCTGTTGAAGACGTAAGGATTTCAACTGTTGCTATGTTTGGTCACATGACTTTGGTGGGCATCACCAACAATATTTTAATGAAAAAAGGTCAGTTTCGTTTTAGCTGAACTGACTTAGGCATTTGATATTAGTACCGTCATGTTTAGTCTCTTTTTCTTTTTGAAATTATTTTCATTTTATTTAGAAAATATGCCTTATATTTGTGGACAACGCAAGATTACAAACAATTTACACCATCGTGTTAAAAGGATCATTGGTGGTAAAGAAGCAGTTCCTCATTCTTGGCCATGGATAGTAAATTTCATCGATCAAGACAACCGTCAACAATGTGCAGGTTCTATCATTGCTAGAGAATGGATTCTAACTGCTGCCCATTGTTTCTTAGTTGACCCCGTGCCAGCTCCACCAATCATTAAAAACTACACTTTCCATGTTGCTGACCATCGTTTGAACGTTACTAATGCTAATGAACACACAGTTAAAACGTCGAATGTTTACATTCATCCATGGTATGTTCCTGGTAGTTCTGTATCTCCTGGAGATTATGATATTGCGTTAGTCAAACTTTCGGAGCCATTGGTCTTTAGTGATTACGTTCAGCCAGTTTGTCTTGCTGAAAGTAATGCTACGTTTAATGAAAATGATACATGTTATCTCGTTGGTTGGGGAAACACAATGAATGTGCTAAGTTATAACCGATCATCTTATTTGAAAGAAGTCCAACTTGATTTGGTTAGTCTCAATGAATGCAACAGTAATGTATCATATAAAGGTCAGGTATCAGAACGATTTATCTGTGCTGGTCGTAAGGAAGGTGGTATTGATGGATGTTATGGAGACAGTGGAGGGTCTTACCAATGTGATCGTAATGGTACATGGAATCAACTTGGAATTATGATTTGGGGAATTGGTTGTGCTGAACCAAATCACTATGGTGTTTATACTGACGTTAGAGGTTTTCATCCTTTTATAAACAGCATACAAGAAGGTAAAATTTGATTCACTTGTTTATCTAAGATGAAACTGTAATCAACAAAAACGCCTCATTTTTATAAATCACTTAGCTAGGTGTTGTGAATTTATTTGTCAACCTGTTTCTACATGATGAAGAAATCATATATTTTCTTATAGTTAAGTAATTTTGACAGTAGTTTCTGTGTCTTATAATTAATTGGTCTTTGGTTCTCTTTTTGGTTTTAAAATTAACATTAAAAATTTCATCCATGCATGCTAAACATTGCTTAGGTAACCTGCAGCATGAAAACTTTTTCTCCTCAGCATTCTGCTAAATCAACTGTGTCCAATCTGACTAATTTTACTATGCGTATTTTCATATAAATCTCTATACTTCCATTTTGTAAATATTCTAAATTATGAACCTAAAATTCATTGATTAATTTATCGATTTTGTTAAATACACTCTACGGTATTGCATTTTTTATAAACATTTTAAAACGTCATTTTTTCTTTGATTCATTGCAGGTGTTAACTCAAATTTGACATCATACTACATGAAAACTTTAATAGAAATTGAACCTGACGAGGAAATAAGAAATTCAGCAATCCTGTATCAGTTGATGACAAGTAAAAACGTGTTTTCTGCTGTTGATTTAGTGAGAAACTTTCAATTTATACCATATCAAATCACGTTACTGAACAAAACAACGCTAGAGGATCTTATTTTTGTGAGTTACATGCACAATTTGAGTGCAAACACAACATCATTGAAGTATATCAGTGAGACATTCAGTGTTCAGTCTCATAGACTTTATATTTACTACAAAAGTCGTGAGGTGATGAGAGAGTTCAATGTCACGTTCAACGAAATTATCATCTCCATCAATTTGACAAAAGATGAATTCTTGGATTCAATGATAAATGTGATAGAAAAAGCTAGACGTCAACTGTACATCATGAAATATGTTGCTGACTTGAAAGGATACAGGAATTTATTACTTACTTTCCAATCTGGTTTGAACGTCATATTGAATGAATCTAGAATTGTTAGTTATCTGAGTCGATGGAAAACTGATGAATTAAAAACATTGGACAAAAATACAATCAAACAACTTTTGGTAAAGCAAAATGGAAACTTGTTCACCGCAACGTTAACCATTCGTAACTTGTCATCATTCTTTGAAACGAGTTTAAATGATTTGAAAAACATGACAGTTCAAAGTTTACTCATCAAAATGTTAAACATCAGTGTTAGAAATTATAGAAAGTGGTATAACTTCAGTGAAATCCAGATGAAAGCTGTTGAAGACGTAAGGATTTCAACTGTTGCTATGTTTGGTCACATGACTTTGGTGGGCATCACCAACAATATTTTAATGAAAAAAGGTCAGTCTCGTTTTAGCTGAACTGACTTAGGCATTTTGATATTAGTACCGTCATATTTAGTCTCTTTTTCTTTTTGAAATTATTTTCATTTTATTTAGAAAATATGCCTTATATTTGTGGACAACGCAAGATTACAAACAATTTACACCAACGTGTTAAAAGAGTCATTGGTGGTAAAGAAGCAAATCCTCATTCTTGGCCATGGATAGTAAATTTCATCGATCAAGACAACCGTCAACAATGTGCAGGTTCTATCATTGCTAGAGAATGGATTCTAACTGCTGCCCATTGTTTCTTAGTTGACCCAGCGCCAGCTCCACCAATCATTAAAAACTACACTTTCCATGTTGCTGACCATCGCTTGAACGTTACTAATGCTAATGAACACACAGTTAAAACGTCAAATGTTTATATTCATCCATGGTATGTTCCTGGTAGTTCTGTATATCCTGGAGATTATGATATTGCGTTAGTCAAACTTTCGGAGCCATTGGTCTTTAGTGATTACGTTCAGCCAGTTTGTCTTGCTGAAAGTAATGCTACGTTTAATGAAAATGATACATGTTATCTCGTCGGTTGGGGAAACACAATGAATGTGCAAAGTTATAACCGATCATTTTATTTGAAAGAAGTCCAACTTGATTTGGTTAGTCTCAATGAATGCAACAGTAATGTATCCTACAAAGGTCAGGTATCAGAACGATTCATTTGTGCTGGTCGTAAGGAAGGTGGTATTGATGGATGTTATGGAGACAGTGGAGGGTCTTACCAATGTGATCGTAATGGTACATGGAATCAACTTGGAATTATGATTTGGGGAATTGGTTGTGCTGAACCAAATCACTATGGTGTTTATACTGACGTTAGAGCTTTTCATCCTTTTATAAACAGCATACAAGAAGGTAAAATTTGATTCACTTGTTTATCTAAGATGAAACTGTAATCAACAAAAACGCCTCATTTTTATAAATCACTTAGCTAGGTGTTGTTAATTTATTTGTCAACCTGTTTCTACATGATGAAGAAATCATATATTTTCTTATAGTTAAGTAATTTTGAAAGTAGTTTCTGTGTCTTATAATTAATTGGTCTTTGGTTCTCTTTTTGGTTTTGAAATTAACATTAAAAATTTCATCCATGCATGCTAAACATTGCTTAGGTAACCTGCAGCATGAAAACTTTTTCTCCTCAGCATTTTGCTAAATCAGCTGTCTCCAATCTGACTAATTTTACTATGCGTATTTTCATATAAATCTCTATACTTCCATTTTGTCAATATTCTAAATTATGACCCTAAAATTCATTGATTAATTGATCGATGTTGTTAAATACACTCTACAGTATCGCATTTTTTATAAACATTTTAAAACGTCATTTTGTCTTTGATTCATTGCAGGTGTTAACTCAAATTTGGCATCATACTACATGAATACTTTAATAGAAATTGAACCTGACGAAGAAATAAGAAACTCAATAATCCTGTATCAGTTGATGACAAATATAAACGTGTTTTCTGCTGTTGATTTAGTGAGAAACTTTCAATTTATACCATATCAAATCACGTTACTGAACAAAACAACGCTAGAGGATCTTATTTTTGTGAGTTACATGCACAATTTGAGTGCAAACACAACATCATTGAGGTATATCAGTGAAACATTCAGTGTTCAGTCTCATAGACTTTATATTTACTACAAAAGTCGTGAGGTGATGAGAGAGTTCAATGTCACGTTCAACGAAATTATCAAGTCTATCAATTTGACAAAAGATGAATTCTTGGATTCAATGATAAATGTGATAGAAAAAGCTAGACGTCAACTGTACATCATGAAATATGTCGCTGACTTGAAAAGATACAGGAATTTATTACTTACTTTCCAATCTGGTTTGAACGTCATATTGAATGAATCTAGAATTGTTAGTTATCTGAGTCGATGGAAAACTGATGAATTAAAAACATTGGACAAAAATACAATCAAACAACTTTTGGTAAAGCAAAATGGAAACTTGTTCACCGCAACGTTAACCATTCGTAACTTGTCATCATTCTTTGAAACGAGTTTAAATGATTTGAAAAACATGACAGTTCAAAGCTTACTCATCAAAATGTTAAACATCAGTGTTAGAAATTATAGAAAGTGGTATAACTTCAGTGAAATCCAGATGAAAGCTGTTGAAGACGTCAAGATTTCAACTGTTGCTATGGTTGATCACATGACTTTAGTTGAAATTACTGATTATATTTTAATGGAAAAAGGTGCGTTTTTATTTCTGGCATTTTTGTTTAAAACCATTTCAATATCTATCGATTCTCCCAAATGTTTTGTCGATGTCATGTATGAAGGTCATAATATAATTCAATTCGTTTTGTTGTTTGTTAAGAGCTACAGGCCTAAGGTTGTTTCGACATATGCGCTTTGTACATACAAATGTTGTTTTATTTTACTTTGCTGCAGACAATGTAACTGCCATTAAGACAGTGTAAATATGAACTTTTTTATAAAAGCATTGAGAAGAAGTGAAGCAATTTGTATATGATCCATAAGAATACAAGCGCACAAAATGACCTCTTGTGAAATGGCTGTGTTTGTATAGTTATGTACCAAAAAACAGATTGACGTGGTTTCATTACCGAATTGGTACGATAAAAACCTTGATTTATCTCGAATAATTAATAATAGCTCGAAAAGCAACAGAAAGAGCAAAGTCGCTTTGCCAACGTTGAAAACATTAATCTTCAATTCTTTTCCGGCCAATTTTTTTTTGTTTTCTGTTGTAATTGTTTGAAATAAGTGAATTATACATTTTGTCGTTGTCTGTTCAGTTATATTCATATAACCTGACAAAAAGTGCCAACTCGTTTTTTGACGTCATAGTATGTAAAATTTTAGTCTGTGTGTTCGATGTTGGTAGTCATCTCCGAGATATTTTAATGTTTTGACCAGTTTCAAATGTTAGTTTTTGTTTCTAGAAAAAACAAATAAATGCAGTCGCTCAAAGTGTTCTATAAATGCTCAATGTAGTCAAAGTTCGCGACATTCTTACACATGTCGTTGTAATAATGGTTACATTGGTGATGGTGAGGAGTGCGAAACAGGAAACGCATTATTTCAATCACAGCTTGTTATTGACCAAACATTTACTGAAGCACTCAATGATCCAAACTCCGACGAATTCAAAAGAATTGCTAAAGCTATTGAAAGCAGTTTGTCAGCCTCAATTCGAAGTTCAAAGATGCTCATTGGTTTTATTGGCATTCAAGTAACAGAACTTAAAAGGGGAAGCATTATCGCTGTGTACATTATGATATTCAAGTTGAAGTCTGGAGAGTCAGTGAATACAACGACGTTGTCCACAGCTCTTAATAATGCAGTATTTTCTCTTCCTGTTTTACCATTAAATGGTAGCATCATCACCCGAACAGGTATGTCTTTTGAAACTTGCATACTTTGCTCATTGTTTATCGACTTTTTTAAATTCATTGCAACTCTATTTAATGGCACACATTTTTTAGTATAATTAAACATAAAAGTAGATTTTAGATATTACTAGTAATTATGAATGGAAGGTGTTAAAGAACATTAACGATGATACAATATCATGCAAGCTTCAATGGACCTTGATTGAGAATTGTTCAATTATAATTGAAAGTTATATGTAATATTGTATTGCTGCAAAATCCTATGGCGACTTAAAACCTATAATCATAGCATAAAATAGTGATTACTTTAGACCTTATAAACACACAAATGTTTCATACATGTAAGTGATATAAAATGACAAATATAGGCACATGACCATATAGTGGTACTCAATTTGTACTTGCATTAAAATCATTAGTATAGTCCTCAGAAGCTCTAGGAAAAATTATTTTCTTTTTAGATCTATGTATTCTTGGTTCACATGGCTGTCATGCAAATGCAAGTTGTAGTTCTGTAGGAAGCAGTGTTACTTGCTCATGTAAACAAAATTACTTCGGTGATGGGAAAAATTGTGTTGATCCATGTGCCGGTCATTCATGTCCCGCTTACTCGAACTGTTTACGAGAACTTGACGGCAACCGCCGATGTGTATGTAAAAATGGATACTCGAAAGAAGACGGCTATTGTGAGAAAGTTCCTAATGGTAAGAATATATTTTCTATTCCACATATTATTTGATTCGAGTTTAATGCTAGTTTGTGTTAAAGATGGAACATACCTTATATACCTACGTCTTTTGAGAATATAAGCCCTGGTTGATCTAATCCTATTGCAAAAATTAATTTCCTATTAAAGCTTTTAAGCAATTCTTTCCTTTTCATTCGATTTCCATGTTTTACAGATTACAGAGCAGCATTGATAGCTGTATGCTGCGTATTTGGTACAATGCTCTTACTCATACTCATTTTTGGTGTGTATCGATATTATACGAAGAGACGTGTGAATTCTTCCAACATTTCATCGAGAATGGCTCTTGAAAATGAAGGTTTCAATATGAAAGCTTTTTAAAAAAACAAAAAACACAATACGTTAATTTTGTATATATAGTATTCTAAACTCAAGTAATGAACAAACTATCGCTAGACACTGCTGTGTCTTGGATATATAAAATCCATAAGACAGTCGACATTTTGGGATTCACTAAGTTTTATGCTTTGTGTTATTCTAATTTATTTCACCATTTTCTTGCACCAGTTCGATTAATTTAAATTTCATATTCAATTTCAATTTTGAAACATCAAACTTTACAAGCGCGAATATATTTTGCCCTCTCCAAACAATTTTTCAAAAAACGAGTTAATGCATACAATCGCCAGTTAAATATTCCTATATCTTTTAGTAAGAACATGCGCAAACGGGAGTTAACATTTTCTAAGAGAACGATAAATATTTTCCCCAACTCACAATGAAATTTCTACCGTATTTGAACCCAACTAACGTTTAAATTTTCCCCAACTTTTCAGTCTTAAAACTTTCTCACGGGAGCTGTTAGCCTTTTCCCGGTGCCTTTGCGCCTTTCAGTGAGAATTTTTGTAGTGTGCACCGCGTCCCATCATTCCAGCAAGATGCTCAGGTTTCCACTTGATTCCAACCGCTGCAATAACATGACGTCATTTCTTCGTAAAGAACTCGAAAATATTTCAATATAAGAAATGACGTCAGGTCATTTTAGTGGTTGGGAACAAGTGAAAACCAAACCGGCCACCATTATTCCAGCAAGATGGAATAATGGCAGCCGATATGCGCAGTGCGCAGATGCGCGCAGCACAACATGCGTGAGGACAAACGCCCACCCCCCGTAAAAAAAAGAAACCGTCTATGCATTTAATAAAATTATACATGAATTTTAATTACTCTGTTTATAATTCACAAGTTTGGTGAACTGAAATTACTAAATGAATCCAAAATACATATATATGATTCTGTTAATTTTTCTTGAAAGATCGTTTGATTTCTTCTCACAACCTATCAACAGCTTGGCCGAGGAGTTAGTGTTTGACTTCTTCCTTGTGTAGGATGTCTTCTCCAGCCTTTTCTCCATCGAACCTTTTCTTCAGATGTTTACAGATTGCTTTAGACAATCACATTTGTTATTAAGGAGCAGTTTACAAGCTATGAGTTCATGGCAAATAAAAACATTTTTAATAAAACCTGTTGCAAGCTATTGTCTATATAACCACATGTTTTCTTGTTGTGGGGACCACCCCTTCCAGTGTCACTGCATGTGTTTCTTTGATCATTTAAAACATTAATTCATCTTTCTTTCAGCTTTCAGACTTAATGCATTTATTTTGAAATGCGTTTTAATGAATTTCAATAGAGATCTGTGGTTCTCGTCGAGATAAAATCAACACATCAGACCACTGTATGAGACTAACATGTACAATTGTCAATTTGATGCATTGAAAATACTTGTAATGCATGTTCACGTCATAATCAACAGGCAACGTCGACTCCACTGTTTGGCTGGATGAATGCGATGAAAATTGAAATGTTGTGAATGGTAGGTTGTATTTTTGTTAAGCAGATATCGCTCGTATTAATTTCTCTATTTATTTATTGCATTCTATTGTACGTACATCTGATAGGATGTCGACAACCTACTTGCAACATTGTTGTCGCTCGGATTTGATTATGATGAATGTCAATACGCGATAACACAAGGATTTACCGATGTAGAAAGGGCTGTAGAATGGTAAGTTAACATATACATATATTATGTTTATCACGAAAAATCGTTAAGATGCTATCATGATGCTGAGAAGGGCAAAACATTTAATTTTTGGCTGTACAGTTTCCCCAGCGAAAATTACAAATTAGAATGCTGCAATCGAAATTGTCAGATGTTAAAAGTTTTCTCCAAAAATCAAACATTTCATCTTCAACTGGACTAATAAATAGCTCACAATGTTGTCTATTTAGCTGAATCTGGCCATGATGCAAAGGTCAAAATTTTGGCATGGGTGGAGGGGGTGAGGGGACTTAATGGTACCTACAGTGGTCTCTTCATGTGATTGTTGTTAATATCACCATAGGTGGCTCAATAAATCAGTTTGCTAACTGAATTGTATAAACAAATGATAACTCGCCCCATTTCATTGTAACAGACTTTGTATTAATTGATTATATATATCTATATTGTACATAAAAGATAAAAGTTTCTCCGGATTTTAAATGATTTTTATTGAGCTTTCGACTCATTGCTTCGAGCCTTCATCAGAATGAGGATATTATTTATTTACACATGCTTTTAGCTTGGAGGCGTTTAGAGCGTCTAATTGGATTAATGGGTGGATTAATGTGATTGGATGGGGTGAAATGCATTGCCATGGGTTTTGGTGTATTGTGAATATGATTGGTGTTAATAATATTAGAGTGTAGTGTTTTAGTTTTGGTGTTGCTTTATTGTTCACATTAATCTATCCACTAAGCCAATTAGACGCTGTAAACGTCTCCAAGCTAAAAGCAAGTGTAAATAAATAATATCCTCATTCTGATGAAGGCTCAAAGCAACGAGTCGAAAGCTCAATAAAAATCATTAAAAATCCAGAGAAACTTTTATCTTTTATGTATTAAATGCCTGGATTACCAATTTTCAAACTTATATATATATTGTATATATTCCAAAGCTAGGCATACTTAGCTTTTGAAAAAGACAACAAAATCCCAAAAATATTTTCTGTCGCCATGCTGGATATTTTAAAATGGTGCATACGCCATTATTTTCAAAAAGACTCTTAACTGCAATTGGCTAATATAATTTCTAATTTTTTAGCCAATTGAGTCTTTATATATATCAATTAACACAAAGTTTGCGGCACACGGTCTGTTATGATGGAGTGGGGCGAGTTATCGATTCTTTATACAATTTAGCTACATAACTGATTTATTGGGCTGCCTATGATATCACAAGCCAACTTCTCATTGCTTCCATTGCAATAATGACTTGTCAATGGCCAAGTTATATCATACTTTTGTGCTGATTATACACACCCCCACATATTTATTATCATCTTCCACCCTGATTGTCATTACCTATGCCAGTAGCATAATTAAATTTTAATTTCTTTACTTTATAGTCTCTTAAATGGAAAAAGTAAGCCAACTGAAAATAAAGATTCTGGTTTCAGAAGAATCCAACTTGAATGTATGTGACACATATATACATTATATTTGGTTATATTTTTGTATTGTCTTGAATATTATATTTTCCATATTGTTAGTTAAGTCTTACATGTCAACAGATGTATTTCATTTAATTGTCATAAACTTACTTCTTTGTTGCATATATATGATGAAAGAATTTAATCATGCTGGGTTATAAATCCTGAAGGATTAGCCTTAGCTTGAGGGGTTTCACTCATGTAAGGATAGGAGTTTTGTCAAGGAAGTGTGTTAGGAGCAATAGATTTTTGGAAATGGAAATGTAAAACATTAGTTATTTGCAAAATTTTCCAGGAAATCATATTTAAAAACCAATTTTGCTTGTGATAACATTACAAAATTACATTGCATTTTTTTGTCCTAAAAATTAAACTTTGCAACCATTTCTCATGCAAATTAAGTGCCATGACATTTTATTGGGCAAATTAAGACCTCACCTTTCAATCTTATACTGCTACCACAAACTGTTGATTCTCGTGACTGTCACCATTTTTGAAAGCTGGAGTTTATGGAATTTACAGTTTTGTATATTGTTATGTGTCGTCTTGTACTATGGTGATGTGATTGATTTTGTATAAATTTTAAATTTAGCTTTGGAATAGTGTTGTATCTGATTATGAATTACTTTTTTAAAGAGCAATGATCCAGTTGTCAGTCGTTATAAATGTGACGATTCTCATAAAAAGTCTTTGGATCAATTTGAACAAAAGAAACGTGAAAATATAAAACATGAAAGTAAAAAACGGAGGCTTTTAGATAAACAGGTAGTCATGGAACAAACAAACATACTACTAGTGAAAACAAGACGTCTAAGCCAGTATTTATGAAGCATTCATACTTTACTTCAGGCAAGAAAAGCAGTTTTGCAACAAATCAAGGATGATAAAGAACAAAGAAAAATTGTTATGGGACAGCATAAGAAAAGCAACGAAACCTTATGTCCCATAGCAAGTCTCCATCAGATAATCTCAATAATATGTGCAGAATTAAGGTATGTGCTCTTTTTGAGCATCGAAATACGTAAAAAAACACGTCCCTTGATTTCCTGGAGAATTCTTATACGCATATATTTGGTTTAGTTAGCAATGTTTTATTTTGTAGATAAGATTATCAAATGGGAAAAACATTATTGAAACGTGCCAATGTAGTGAACTTTTGATTTCTGTAATATCAAAAGTAAAGAAAATATATAATGAAGATGATGATGTCCATATTATTCAGGTAGTATATTACTGTATATCGTTTGACTTTTTATCAAACTTATTTAAGCAAATTGGTAAGGTCAAATGTCCATACATCTGACAATGCTTCAATGGTAACCTGTGAAAAACGATATTTTACAATGTGTAATGAGTGACCTTTGAATCACAAATGAAGCGATATCTAATACAAAGATGATTACAATTTACTTAGACATGGATTTTGGTTTGACGAAATGAAAAAACCAATATTTTCATTGAATTTTTCACGTTTATATTCTTTCGAAATTCTACAAGAACTGTGCGTGTTTATTCGTACGTTACGTCATCTACATATTGCTTCTGTTTCCAAAACAATACTTACGTACGTATGACAATGAAATTTCTATTTTAGCCATTCCCGCATCGGAAATTCACAGAAGAAGATCTCCAACAATCTTTAATGCAATTAAATCTTTTTCCTGATGGTTGTATAACATTAAAGAAAGTAACAAGTAAGTGACAATGTAACTAATATTTTAAAAAGTACTGAACTCATCGTGTTAACGAAGTAATTTTTTTCTTGTTTTTTTTTATTCTTCAATGTTCATTTTACAATTGTAAGATTTCATACTCATTTATGAAGACAGTTGTAGTTTGGACATGGTAGAAAATACGGGTGGGCAGTTTTTTGATGTTCAAGGAGGCTCATATCCTTTGGTTCAAACATTCCGTATTTCTGGTTGGAAAATTTGTTTTCTGCCAAAGTAATAGACTAATAGTCAAGTAAAAGTTTAGCCTGGCGAATGCTTGTTTCGGTCTAAAATTTTCTGTTAACCGACTTTTATTTTGTGTTTGGTTTGTTTTTCTTTTGTTATTTATGAAGGGTTTGAAAAAAAGAGAGATTTATGAAATTGCCTGGTCACTTTGCTATAACCACGGGTGCAAATTTTGTTGTAAATTTTCAGGAGCAGAAAAACTTTATGCTTGTAACAAAGATATGTAATACGTACATGTAGCTGACAATACTTTATGTAATACATACACGTAGCTGACAATACTTTATGTAATACATACACGTAGCTGACAATACTTTATGCAACCAAAGGTTTAGCGTAGTGACTGGTATTGAATTTACAGTATTACCTACTTACGTCAATTCCCAAAGGTTTTTTTATTGATATACGTGCCCTGCATATAATACATGTGTTCGTGTTAAAATTTACGTTTTTCAATGAAATAATATTGTCAATTCAGTGTATGTAAAATAAATTTACTCAACATGTCAATCTTCCATAACTTTCACTGTATAATCAGTAAAATAAGAATTTTTATTTCATATCACGTGATCACAAGCAGTCGCACAGTTTGTCAATATTCTTATATAATTTTATAATATGCTATTTTTAATGTTAATAGGTTCTGTTGACAATCTCGAAGTTCACCAATTACAAAGTCTTGAAGTGAATGCTCAGTCACCTACTCCAGGAGGTGAAGAGATATACATGCATGGAGAGCAGGACGCTGATGATGACGAACAGGAAGTAGAGAATGTTCGTGATGATATAAGATGGCGTGGAAACGTTGGTGGATCTGGAATGATATTAGGTCGACATCCTCACAATCCTCATGCTATTGATCCTGTCATTCATGCTGAGTCAGCAGCTGAAGCTGCAGAGGCCCGAGCAAAAATTGAGAATATCCATCCAGGTATACAGACGATGACTTCTTAATACGTATATCATTGTGATGAAATCTCTATCAAGAAATAATAACTTTCTTTATATTTGTTTACTTATGACTCATTGCCACTTGCTCTGGATCAAAAACTTATAAGTAACTGAAACTCTGCATTGTTTCAAAACTAGGCAACTAAACAACTGTGCAACTTTTTCAATGCATCATTTTGAGAGGAAAAATTAAAATGTTTGCCTTTTTCGCATTATTGTTTTATTATAAAAAAGAAATAAAAGATGTTTTTCGTTTTTGCACAGGCTTACATGCAAACCTCGGAGACGTTTATGAGAACTCTCGAGTATGTGCAACCCTCGACCTTTGGTCTCAGGCTTGCACTGATCTGCTTTCGAGTTCTCCCAACGTTCTCCTCGGTTTGCATAAGCCTGTGCAAACACAGTAAACATCTTTTATTTCTTAAATGTTCACTGTTTTGTATGTGACATTAGTGCAAGATCACTGGTATATCTGATGCTTATTGTTGGCTTCTCATACATCATATATTGTTGTGATTTTGTTTCTTATTATAGTAATTGAAGAAGAAGTTGGCAAAGTTTTATCGATTTCCGGTGATGTTGAGAGCCTAGTGGATATGTGTCTTAATGATATTGCGAGACGTTTACCCGGTCATCAATATCCCGTAACTACTCTTTCTCCTTTATCGCATCGTTTATGCTCCAGACTTTTGAAATGTTTGATGAAGAGGAAGACACTGACTTCGAAAACTTTAAAATATTTTTTACCTTGGTACGTAAGTCAGCTAGTCACGTGTCAATTTTAATTGAAAAGAAACATAAAATCATTTAGTTAATACTTTAGTTAATCATTTAGTTAATGATTTTTTTGCTTTTTAGTAAATTGCAACGTTTATTATTGGACCATTATCTCTATGTTTCAAATGAGCTGTTTTATACAATGAGGTAATCTTGTATTTTCATATTTTGACGTCATCAAGGCATTGTTATATACGAACATGTGACCGGTGGAAGTTTTTCAATAGGACCTACTGGTGACGTCATCAAGGCATTGTTATATACGCACATGTGACCGGTGGAAGTTTCTCAGTAGGAACCACTTGTGTGACGTTATTTTTCCACCTTGTTTCAATGGTGAATTGCAAATTTTTGAAAACTGAAAAGTGTATTTTTGAGCGTGTAAATAAAAGCTTTGCTTACAGTTCAAACTGGCAAAAAATTTAAGACGATCGATACATCAAAAGCTGTATAAAAGTATTTGAAAACTATTGTTTTCATAAACATACAATTTTTAATAAACATAAATTTTTTCAGTATTTATCTACAAATTTTTAATATTGAAACTACGTTTCTATGATCATCTTTAAATTTACTTTGCTTGGCGTGTCTACTTTATGTGCTTATTTTCATCGGTGAACATGATTTGTTTCACAATTTTTTTTGGTAGGTTATTTCAAAGTTTGACTCACCTCAGTGTTCAATCGTGTACTGTGTTCACTGACAAAGCCTTGGAGTACATCTCAGGTTAAAAGTTTAAATGAAATAACAGGATTAAATAAAGACAATTGTGCAAGATGTTTCGTCATGTTATACAATATTTAAACCGACTAACTCAAAAGCTAAATGCGGAATTCCATATTTTTGTACTGGTACGTATAAACGGTTACTTGATATTGCTTTTTATTATGTAGGTCTAAAGAAGATTATATACTTAGATTTAAGTAATTGTACTCAACTTACCAACAAGTGCTTGATTCATTTAAAAAGTAAGTTGGTTCAAAGGATTTATGTTGTCTTGCGATTTAATAAGAAATTTATAATGTTGTCATCTACGTCGTTACGGATTACAAGTCGTGAGCTGCATGAATAAAATAACAATTATAATTATGTTTATATCATTGTAAAATATTCTTCAAAATGTTTTGCTATATATGCTTAAATATAAAAGGTTCTTCGTTCAACAGTGGAAAACCTTGAAGTTCTCAAACTTGACAACACTAAGGTACTTAACTCATATAAAAAAAGCAGTATAATATATGTTATTATTGATATGTTTTATTTCTATAAAAGGTGACCGATGAAGGATTATGTGAGCTGTTTAGGAATACACAATGGAGCAGACTTTCTATGTTGAGCCTATGCCAAACCATCGTCTCTAGTATGGACTATCTACAAGGTATGGTTTCATGCATTGTAGTTTAGTCATGACGTATTTTTAATATTTTTATAATAATGAAAATAGACCATTAACAGCCTATAATGGCTCTCTCCTCTGCAGAGGTTGTTCAGGTTTTTCTCAACTCGAGTGGCGAAGGAAAAGCCTGAACTTGGGTTGCAAAGGAGAGGGTTGTATTGGCATATAATAATTTTAAACTCAATTATTTATAGCGTGCTCTGTGCAAATAGCCTGATTTTTAATATTATGTTGTTATTTGTTTTATTATAATGAAATCAACGTGTGTGTATTAGTGAGGGGAGGGGAGGGGGGGACGAATTTTCTCATTTTTAACAACATAACTCTACATTGCATCATTACATCATTTGACTCAATTTTTTAGCCAAAAATTTAAAAGAACTTCGTTTGGCTCAAACCAAGGTAAAAATCTTGTTTTTTTAATGCAGTAGCTGCTCATATTTTTGTGCATGTACGTAAGTCGGAATTTGAAAAAATTGTTATTTAAGGTTTCAGATTTAAAAGGCTTGAGCAGTTTGACATGCTTGCGTGATTTGAATGTTTCTGGAAGTAGAATAAAAGATGACAATTTATCATCATTGGAAAAGCTTAAATCTTTGCGCAAACTTAATTTACGTCAAACTGAAATCTCTGATAATGGACTTTTTTATCTACGAGGTAAACTGCAAAGCACTAAGTTCTTTGAGTGTTTTTTGTCACATGTTTTTTTTTATAAATAAGACGACACTCTGTAATCTTTTTACTCCAAACGAAATAATTTTACATTGAAGAACTACCACTTGTGGAACTTTGTCTTCCTGAAAGATTAAGAATAACCGATGTTGGAGTCAATTATTTACAAGGTAAAGTGACATTGCAAGTCTGAATACGTCTAGAAGAAAATGAACAGGTTTAACTGGATTACGACTATTTTTTTTTTCTTCAAAAAAGTGTCTTAGATAATGTTACGTACCTGTCAAATGCAAACTTACATACATACACATTCCCATCAGTTAAACATGTGTAAAATATTGTTTAAAAATACATTTGTCCAGTTGTAGGTAAACCCTAAACAGTTATAGCTAATACATAAACTTTTTTTGAATGTTGCCAATCCACGGATGAATTCGATCTTAAAGCAAATCTCAAGCTAAGCGAATTTATGTAACGTCGTTTTCTATATATTTATTAGCAAAAGTTTAGTCTTATCTTGAGTGGTATCTATATTAAAGGAATGTCCATATTTTTCCAATTAAGATATACCGTTGATTTCTTTGGATCTTACGGACTATATCAACATTACTGACAAGGCGTTAAGTGCTATAGGCAGAATAACGACGTAAGTGTTCGCTAAATTAGTTCTGTCTTATGATTTCTATATGTCAGGATATACACTTTACATTGTGAGTACCATGTAGATCTATACAATATAAATCTATAGAATGTAGTTAGTTATGTAGATCTATACAATGTAGTTATGTATATCCATACAATGAAGTTATGTAGGTCTGTGCAATGTAGTTATGTACATCAGTACATGTAGATCTATACATGTAGATTATAGGTCATGACGATGTCATTTGCATATTGAAGAAAAGTTACATATCTCCAAAAAGAAATGTACAATTTCATTGAAGAAGTTATTATGTTATTTATAAATTTTTACAATAAAATCAGAAAACGCTGTGGTAAATTTTGGCGTCATAAATACTTTAACATTGTTTTATAGTCTTAAGAGATTATCACTGAGCAAAACCAAGATTTCTGATAAAGATATTTTACTTCTAAAGGGTATAGAATGCATTTAAAATTTATTTATTACAAATGTGCTTAGTTTTACTTATAAAGTTAATTATCTTCTTTCATATTTTTTTCAACCCAGGCCTTGTTGGTTTAAAGGAATTAGATTTTACTTTGACTGCGTTTGGTGACGGTGGTTTCGATGTGTTTTCATGTGAGTTTTTGTTGTAAAAATATGGCAAATGAATTTATTATTTACTTCATTGCTTCTCATTCGTAAATACTTTCATGATGAACTTATGAGTTACGTCATTGTTGGTTCAATACGAATTTTGAAACTCATGACAACTTTATTAATCTTTCCAAATTCCAATATCCTCATTTAGAGTTATTGTATGCTTGTATGTTACATGACAGAAATCCATGAAATGACAGAATATAAAAAAATTTGTTTGTTCTTTAACTTTTTCATTTAAAACTTGCAACTATAAATATTATATTGACAGTTTCAAACTTGGATATAAAAGTTCTAAGAATTATTTTTCAAATATTTGTGCATAACCATGGAGCCAATATTTGTGTTCATGTTAAAATATTTCTTTTCATACTAACAAAAAATGTTATTTGCCTGCAGACCTGACTCAACTTGAACAACTCAGTCTGTCTGGTACAAGAATTACGGATGATGGTTTGACTTCAGGAAAGTTAAACAGTTTAACTCTTTTGTGGAAATTAAACTTAAGCAGAACCACAATATCAGACAAAGGTATCAAACATCTAAAACTACCCGAATTATCTTCAATCAATTTGGATTCAACAATGATAAGCGAGAAGTGTTGGGATTTATTGATTGGTGAGTATTTGGAAAATCAGTTTTGCAGAAAATTAATAGAAAATTACAATGTTACCTGCACACAAATAATGCTAAAAAAACAATCTCATTTTTACTCTGTTTTTTAGATTGCCCAAAACTCCAATTTATCAGGAGAGAAAATTTTTAACTTTGAATTGCGAAGGCTGAAATGCCCATTGATCCTAACTACAGGATTTTAAAGTCTTAAATTTTACCACCACAAATTAAAAGTATTTCTTTGTTAGCTTCTAACAAACATTTTGAAGAATGAATCATCAAATACATGGTGAAAAATCATTGCAACAAGCTAATTATGCTTCAAATCAGTTCTTTACATGTCACATCTTTACCAACTATGAAACACTTAACAACTAACATTTTAATCATTAAATCATGTCATTATTCACTAATATCAATGATGAAATTGAAAAAATAACGTAAGTAGGTGCTCAACAAAGCTACTAATATCACAAATTAATTATTAAATCATTATGAAAAATTTCCTGTAATTTTCTGTTTCTTGAGAAACTCTTTCCACATTCAATTTCATTTTCCAAAGCAACAATTTTATTTTTCAATTTAGAATTTTCCTTTGCCATTCTATCTTCCATCATGAACAATTGCTCATGGCGATTTTTTTTCATCTTTCGAAACTTCTTACTTGCCACATTATTCCTGAGTCTTTTTTCATAAGCATTTTGCCCAGTATGTCCATTGTTAAGAATACAATGATCAAATCTTTCATTAAATTCTTTCCTTGATTCCTGAATCTTTGAGTGATCATCATCAAAAATCTCAGCCTCATTGTGGTTATCTTGGCAATATTGACTTTCACCAATTATTAATTCCATGTTTTGAAATAAGCATTGGTCCACAGTGACATTTTCAGATGAGTATTCAACAGCATCTTTCCATATACTGTCTGAGTTAATCCAAAAATCCTGTTGAATTTTTATTGGGGAAGCGTCAGTGATAGATCTGTAGGTCTCCAAAGAATCCCCAATTAAAAACTCTACAGAAAAATATAAAATATCTACTTTTAAAACTTTGTTTCCATTTAAATCTGGCGGTAATTTTTTCTTATTTCAATGTTTATCAAATACTTTCAATTCAATAATACGAAAATAAGCAATGTTAAATTAATCGACGTAAATAACGAGTTGAATTGTCGGTTTAAGCAATTGCTAGACACATGATGTACCTTTGTCAAAGACAACGCTTAGATTCGTGCCCTTGCGAAGCGCTCAATTCATTGAAAGCACACGAGGAAGCTTGATGCTGATTTTTTGTGGATTTCATTGTCTTGAGATGTGTCCCTCGAACATCAAACACGCCAGTAAAAGAAAGTTTATCGCCTTCCCACCTCAATCTGCTCATTGCCAAGCTTTTTATTACACTTGAAAGGTAGCTTGACACAGGAAAATACCTTAATTTAAATACCAAACTGGTGGCTATAAAGAAGATAATCAAAGGAAGAAGGAATAAAGTTAACGACCTTAGTCACCTTACATAATACAAATTTTAAATTATTCATTTGTATGACTTTAAAGGATGGAAAACAGGTAAACGCGTGCATTAGTCGTGTGCACTAGTCGTGTGTAGCTTGACCACTATATCCACAATTATTTTCATTAATTTTGCCAAAGTACATTATATAAATCATAAAATAACATATTAATGACATTATATTACAAGGCAAGCGACATCGGATGACAGATATCAAAAGGTTTTTATCCCTATAAGTATAATAGTCACAAAATTACAACATATTGCTTCGGTTATCGGTAAAATAGTCGAAACTTCGGATAAAATCGGGTATATATTTAACAAAATAGGTTGAAAAATAGAAAGAACTTTGAATGACTGGTTGAATATTGCCAACATTAGAATGGCGTTTGGTTTTAAAGAAATATACATGTCATCTTGCACGTTTTAATTCTTCAAATAGCAAAGCTGATGTAATTTCAATTTTAAACGACGTCATCCATCTACGTACTTAAAAATGTGTTCAAATATGCAGAAAAAGTTATATACAAACATTTCTCTGTGTGAAAAGAGGTTAGAGTTTTGTATCAAAATACTTCATTCAAAATAATGTATTTTTCAAAATGTGCTAAGTTATTCCAGTGGCATGGTGCTGGAACGCTTTCAAATGTTAAAATGGCAACTGCAACAAGGAATGTTGCCATACTTTCTATGAATCCAGGGGACACGCTTGTACAGCAACTCTCCTTCAGTGGACCAAGATCAAAACGTCTGACTCCATTATGTACGAAGGTCAGTTTTTCAAATTATTTACGATGAAACAAGCGATATGTGCATTTAATAAATACGAATAAATAGTTTTTCTTAAATAAATATGTTTCAACATCTCATGATGCCATCTTCAGTATAATAATATTATGCATATAATAAATAAATATGGTTGTAATGGAGTTATATGATACAGTGACTTTTTATACGTACAATTATGATTATATTATATGTAATACAATGAAATATTGGTTAGAATTAATGATGCGTGTATTTAATAAATGCGTATTATCTATAGTGCTTTACGCAGTTACAGTAAGCGATATGTTTTTATACTATTGTGTTGAATTTATCAAAATACATCATTGGGCCATTGGCACAGTGTTCAGTCATTACTCATTAGTGTCATGGTTTATGCCTGAGAAGTAGAAAATAATGTCATTATATTCTGTTTAGTAGTATGTTAATATGTCCAATGAGCAGACTGATCTTAGTGACACATATTTATTATATAGTATTCTTTTCTTGTTACTTTAAGAATTACCATAACTATTCTTTTTATGAGTTCATCCATTTTGGACAATTTTGATACAAAATTTTTGTTGTTACTCTTGCTAGATCTGTCTCTTGATATTAACATTTATGCATCCCACTCTTATGTTGTATTTTGTCCATATTGTACTTGTATGGCAAATGTATTAATAAAAATATGCTAGACAAAGTTATATCGTCTAAGTTGGTATAGTCCTGAGAAGGACTGTTTTTGTTGTTGTTAACTGACATTTCAACAACCTTAGCGGTAGTCATCTTCAGATCAAACATTCCGGGTATTTATTTTTTCCCTCGATTAACTTATACACATTTCTGGCATACTTATAATTATTATTGACTCTAGTTGTAGTAATGTAATGATTACATTTTGTAGAAATGCTTGTGTACAAGTTGTTATCTCACAAGCAATGGAGAAGTTAAGAGTGCGCCTGTGCATTTTAAAGAATCAATTGCTGAACATCCTCTTTCTGATGTTGAAAAAATGAAAGAAATCATCCGAAAGTCTAAGGACTACGTTCTTCCTCATCCAATATGGTTTGCATTATTTTTTTGATTGTAATTCACTGGGGCATGCACGGCACCAAAGTGTAGGCTCAGGGCTTGACCCCCTCCACTTTTTCTGACATTCACGTATTTTAGACTAACATGACGCAGTAAATTTAGTAAATATAAGTCATAGCCCCTCCCTAAGCTCAATTTTTTGGCGCCATCCCTGAAGTTTAGGATAGACAAAAAAAGAAGATAGTTTTGAAATACTCAGTTTCTGTGTGAACCAAAAGCTTGTGTGGCAGTGGCTCTTTTCTTGCATTTACTTTTGTTCAATAAAAGGCTATGTTTTTGACTCAAAGGGAAAACGAAAGCAACCATTTATGCATAAAATATTGTTCCACGAAAGAAAACGTTCTTGAGAGCAGGGAGTTTATGCAAAAAATAACCCAAGTTTACGCCTCGTGTTGGCGGAATTACTCTTTATGAAATTTTTTAAAATTTACTTACTTCGTAAACCAAAACCGAAACTTTCATCCCATCAAATCAAAATGATTTCATCTCCTAATTCGTACTTTCCCAAGCCCTTCAAAATGCAGTTTGGTTTTCTTTTTTTTAAAAAAAGAGATTTAATTTCTATTTATTTTTAGTGTTAGATTGAACTGAAGATCCTCTGTCGAAGTTGTGCAGACGCTTACTCCTTTGAAGAGTTTAGGGTCTGCACCATTCATTCATTATCTACTTTTTTAAACACTCTTTATTGCATTCATTACTTGCTTTATGAAAATGTGCATGATTAACCCAGCTCCCACACAATCTCTTTACAAAACATTGGCTCCAGCTAGACTTTGCTTTGACGAAGTTTACTTTGCTTTTTATTTTCCTGAAAATATTTGCAACTGCTCGCTTTGGCCTCCTTGGCGAGGCTAGTGATACAAGGAAAGTGAAACTGCCAATGGCCACTTGTTTAAGTATTAGGAAGTGTATTTTATCTGCCAAAGCGTGCACGAACGCTAGACATGCAAATTACCGATTTTTTGTCTTTTATCCTTTTAAATTGCCATTTTCTTAAAACCTTCATAAATTATTCTTATTCAAAATAATCCGCAATTTGAAATTCAAGTCTTCACGTAAACATCAGCCAAATTTCCTAAAACGTTCTAAGCTTGAACAACATGCGCCATATTTTAAACCTATGTGTTCGAATTGCTTTTAGCTTCGTCCTTTTTTTGCGCAAACTATTTCAAAAGTGCTTCTTGGTAACACAATTTTCTCTCATTATTTGCTAACATTAAAGTCCAACTATCCAAAGTTTTGCAGATCTTGCGCGCTAATATCTTTAGCGACATTTTCTAAGTTTAGTTTTTTGATACACCTTGTGATTGACAAATAAGCTTTGAAACAGTCGGACGTAGCGCAACAATGAATATTCATTAATGAAAATGGTCTGGAAATCGTCTGCTCTCCTGTCCATTTGGTGTATTTTTAGCAGTACGTTTGCGCGTTTAAAATAATAAAAATTTTTTTCTTTTCAAAGGACAGACAAAGATTTACAATCAGTTGCTATAACACATGAAGAACCAGAAGGAAGAGTTGATAAGGTGAGTCGCGTTAAACTAATTTTTTTACAATGCAAAGCGATAATCATATTTTATCTTTCAGTCAAAACATTACATTCAGGACAGCATGTTTATTACCTTGCATATAAAATATACAAATTGTATGAAATATATAAATACCATTCGATGTTGCTAATTTACTGCAATATATTATATTTTTTCGATTCATAATATTTTCAGAAATTTTTTTTGTCATGTTCAGTCATAAAAACGAACGTTTGAATTTCTTAACTTCCAGCTTGCTTACTTCACCGTTCAAGCTTTACGACTTTCGTTTGATGGGATTTCCATGTACAAAATTGGCAAAATGACAGAAAGCAAATGGCTTACGTATGTATTTGAATTATATATTCTTGTTATATGACAGCTATTGAATTAAATTTGTAATGACTTAAATGCAAGTTATCGATAGCTATTGATCTTTATGCTCTACTGCTTTTGTGGGACTGAGATGTTCCTAATCCTAAATCAGACACGAGATTTCTAATCAGCTTGACACCACCCCCGTCCCCTTGTTCTGAATTTTGCGACTATGCGAAAGGTGGGAGAGTCTAAACTCAGACAACGACCAGTAAAAAAGAGTCATGTATGGCCACAATGAATCTAGGGCTAATATGAGAGGGTAAAAAGGAAACTTTGGAAAAAAAATATTTCCAATTTGAAAATGGAATTTTTCACTATTCTTATTTGCTAAAGAAACGTAAATGTTAAAAATAAACTGCGTTTTTAACTAGACGAATTATTCTCCTGGAGACTGTAGCTGGCGTACCAGGTATGGTTGGCGCTATGACCAGACATTTTCATTCTTTGCGACGTATGAGAAGAGATCATGGTTGGATACATACGTTACTAGGTAAGTGTTATGATGTTATTACCATTACGTACATCACAAAAGCAATTCATGACATGACGAAAGCATATACAAGCGAGGACAAAAAAGTCCGAAGATTGCTTTTGAAGTTGCAATTTCCATTTTGGGGGTTTTTTTTATCGTAGAAGAGGCTGAAAATGAACGCATGCATTTAATGACGGCACTTGAATTGAAAAAACCGAACATTTTTTTTCGTGGAATGGTCTTAATGATGCAAGGTAAATATTTTTCTTACGATTTATGCATCAGTTTCTTAACTACGTAGATACATGGTAAATGTTTCTTAGTATGTATGTATCAGTTTCTTAACTAGATATAGGATATTTCTTATGGTGTATTCACCAGTTTCTTAACAAGATACTTATGGTAAATATTTTGTCCAGTATCTTAAGTACGAAATATTTTATCAGTAAGAACATCTTTAAAACTTTGTATCATGAAAGTGAAAACATTTCTATTTGCTTTAAAAGCTAATTATGCGAAATATTATAAAGAAAAATAATTGTTTTATTAGGAGTATTCGTGAACATGTTTTTCATTTCGTACTTGTTGAGTCCAAGATTTTGCCATCGTTTTGTTGGCTATCTTGAAGAAGAAGCAGTAAGGACTTACACCCATTGTATTGAGGTATGACATTTTATTACTATATGACACCGTTCATATTCATACGTTCATTTTAACTAATATGTTCATTTTACGTGGTCTCTTATGTATGTCGCGTGCAGATGATGGACTCGGGTGCATTAGATGTGTGGAACACAAAACCAGCTCCTTTGATTGCCAAAAAATACTGGAGACTTAAGGTTGGCTATTTGTTTCTTTTTGTTTTCAGTCATGTTTTTTATATTTGTAAACTTTGTTTTCTTCTTAGAGCCTACCTAGAAACAAAGTAAAAAGTGAAACTTATCATTTTAAAGCAATTACGTATTTTGTACTACAGCAGAACCTGTATTAAGCGGCACCGTATTATAAGCGGTCATATGACAAAGTACCGAAAATTTCATAGTATAAATACTATTAAAGTGACCTTTATTAAACGGTCACCTCTGTTAAGCGGACACGGTCACCTTTTCCAATGTCCCAAACTAAATTTTTCATTGTTTTGAAACTGTATTAAACGGTCAAGTTAAGTAAATAAATACACCCCATAATAAAATATATATATAACTATTTATTCTGGAACACGTCACTTATATTGTATACATGTCTTTATGTTGTATTTATCTTCCGTAGTGACTCAAAAGAGCGAACATTATTTTCTGTTTGTGTGGATGATTTACACCAGCAATTTAAACTTTTCTTATGTTCCTTCAGCCATTGACAAGAAAACATATCTCCAAGAAAGGGATATATATACGCATGGACTTTATAAGTTACAACCCCCTTCTCTGTTGACACGCTCGCCATTGATTATTTTTCAGCAATTTGAGCCGTGACATTTTTATGTATTCTATTTTTAATTTCTATTTCAAACTAAGAAAAAAATTGTTTTATATAATGTTGTTATTTGGCATATATGCTAAGGACAATACCAATTGGTCCACTTTAGTGGTATGAAATATTACACTTAGCCTATCTGGTGATTTTCCTAAAGACCTGTATTAAGCGGTCAACCTGTATTAAACAGTCACACAAGAAATTCCCAAGGGTGACCGCTTAAGAAAGGTTCTACTGTATAACCATTTGCAATTGAGTTCCTACTATGCGCGTTTTCATTGAAATATTAAAATTGGATTAAATTACTAGACGCAAAGTAACCTGCTATACAACGATGCACCCCTTTGGACAATCTGTACCCTCCTGTTAAATGAGCATTGATCCGTACGTGGTTGAAAAAAATTAATTCATTATTTAATTTTTTAGGATAATTCTACAATGCGTGACGTCATTCTTGCCATACGGGCAGACGAAGCACATCATCGAAAAGTTAATCATACTTTTGCATCCATGCATCTGGATGAACAAAACCCTTTTGAACCATGGGAAAAAAAATTATAACTCCAGTCATTTAATTTGAACTAACAACTATCGTCTTTGGTATGAAAATGCGTAAATTGTTGTTTTAGCGTGAGCTTGTGTTAAAATGCATGAACTGAAGTCTTTCTTGTGAAAATGTTTGAACTATAGTTTTTTTTCCATGAAAATATTTGAAAATGTTTAAACTATAGTCTTTCGCATGAAAATGCGTGCAAATGCATGAACTATAGTCTTTTGCATGAAAATGCGTGAAAAGGCATGAACTGTACTCTTTAGCATGAAAATGCGTGAAAATGCATGAAATATAGTCTGTGGCATGAAAATGTGTGAAAAATTCTTTCCTTGATTCCTGAATCTTTAAGTGATTATCATTACAAATCTCAGCCTCACTGTGGTTATCTTGGCAATATTGACTTTCACCAATTATTAATTCCATGTTTTGAAATAAGCATTGGTCCACAGTGACATTTTCAGATAAGTATTCAACAGCATCTTTCCATATACTGTCTGAGTTAATCCAAAAATCCTATTGAATTTTTAGTGGGGAAGCGTCAGTGATAGATCTGTAAGGTCTCCAAAGAATCCCCAATTAAAAACTCTACAGAAAAATATAAAATATCTACTTTTAAAACTTTGTTTCCAACTAAACCTGGCGGTAATTCTATTCTTATTTCAATGTTTATCAAATACTTTCAATTCAATAATACAAAAATATGCAATTTCAAATTAATCGACGTAAATAACGAGTTGAATTGTCGGTTTAAGCAATTGCTGGACACATGATGTACCTTTGTCAAAGACAACGCTTAGATTCGTGCCCTTGCGAAGCGCTCAACTCATTGAAAGCACACGAGGAAGCTTGATGATGATTTTTCATGGGTTTCATTGTCTTTAGATGTGTCCCTCGAACATCAAACACGCCAGTAAAAGAAAGTTTATCGCCTTCCCACCTCAATCTGCTCATTGCCAAGCTTTTTATTACACTTGAAAGGTAGCTTGACACAGGAAAATACCTTAATTTAAATACCAAACTGGTGGCTATAAAGAAGATAATCAAAGAAAGAAGGAATAAAGTTAACGACCTCAGTCACCTTACATAATACAAATTTTAAATTATTCATTTGTATGACTTTAAAGGATGGAAAACAGGTAAACGCGTGCATTAGTCGTGTGCACTAGTCGTGTGTAGTGAGTTTAACCACTGTATCCACATTTACTTTCACTAATTTTGCCAAAATACATTATATAAATCATAAAATAACATATTAATGACATTATATTACAAGGCAAACGACATCGAATGACAGATATCAAAAGGTTTTTATTTCTATGACATAGATGCCAAGGTTTTTGGTTTGTATGGAGTGAGAAATGTAATCACCCCGAAGGGGCAATAGTGAGGCCCGGATGGCCGAACTTCTAGACTAGGGGGTCTGGGGGCATGCCCACTTCTAGACTAGGGGGTCTGCATGAACTCCACACTCTTCAAGAGCGAAGACTTCGCTGCTTGATTCATCTGACGAGTTCGACGCCATTTTGAAAATTTCTAATCTTGAACCCAGATCTCCCAAGACCATGGACCGGAAGATCTGGGTACGTAATGGGATAGATGAGATCCAGTTTCCGCGAGTTTCCGCGAGTTGTAATATTTAAAAAAAAGAGTGATATTTTGTCTGAATGGCGTGGTTGCGTGAGATTGCGTCGAAAAGCGTGAGTCTCACGCCAAAAGCGTGAGACTTGGTTACTGTCTCAAAAGGTTTTTATCCCTATGAGTATAATAGTCACAAAATTACAACATATTGCTTTGGTTATCGGTAAAAATGTCGAAACTTCGGATAAAATCGGGTACATATTGAACAAAATAGGTTGAAAAATAGAAAGAACTTTGAATGACTGGTTGAATATTGCCAACATTAGAATGGCGTTTGGTTTTAAAGAAATATACAAGTCATCTTGCACGTTTTAATCCTTTAAATAGCAAAGCTGATGTAATTTCAATTTTAAACGACGTCATCCATCTACTTAAAAATGTGTGTAAATATGCAGAAAAAGTTATAGACAAACATTTCACTGTGTGAAAAGAGGTTAGAGTTTTGTATCAAAATACTTCATTCAAAATAATGTATTTTTCAAAATGTGCTAAGTTATTCCAGCGGCATGGTGCTGGAACGCTTTCAAATGTTAAAATGGCAACTGCAACAAGAAATGTTGCCATACTTTTTATGAATCCAGGGGACAAGCTTGTACAGCAACTCTCCTTCAGTGGACCAAGATCAAAACGTCCGACTCCATTATGTACAAAGGTCAGTTTTTCAAATTATTTACGATGAAACAAGCGATATGTGCATTTAATAAATACGAATAAGTAAATAAATAAATAAATATGTTTCAACATCTCATGATGCCATCTTCAGTATAATAATATTATGCATATAATAAATAAATATAGTAGTAATGGAGTAATATGATACAGTGACTTTTTATACGTACAGTTGTGATTATATTATATGTATTACAATGAAATATTGGTTAGAATTAATGATGCGTGTATTTATTAAATGCATATTATCAATAGTGCTTTACACAGTCACAGCAAGCCATATATTTTTATACTATTGTGTTGAATTTATCAAAATATATCATTGGGCCATTAGCACAGTGTTCGGTCATTACTCATTAGTGTCATGGTTTATGCCTGAGAAGTAGAAACTAATGTCATTATATTCTGTTTAGTAGTATGGTAATATGTCCAATGGGTAGACTGATCATAGTGACACATATTACATAGTATTCTTTTGTTGTTACTTTAAGAATTACCATAACTATTCTTTTTATGAGTTCATCCATTTTGGACAATTTTGATACAAAATTTTTGTTTTGTAAGTTTTAGATGTTACTCTTGCTAGAACTGTCTCTTGATATTAACATTTATGCATCCCATTCTTATGTTGTATTTTGTTCATAATTGTACTTGTCTGGCAAATGTATTAATAAAAATATGCTAGACAAAGTTATATTTTTAACTTTTCATTGTTCAAACACTATTTTTGATTTAAAATTTATAATATATAGAGGATTTCAGTTTTAATAACTTGACATATAAATTTCTGTATCTTTTTCATAAACATCTGCTGTTTAACTTTGGATAGTACAATCATCGTAGAAGATGCTGTGTCAGTTCTTTGTGCATCAGAATGTGATTTTGGCACGTTGTATTTGAAGTCAACCATAGACAAAAAATGCCAGTACCAAATTTAAAGCTCTACTTTTACATCTATTAGTGATTACATCAACATTACTAATCAAAATTTTCTTTGACTATCTCAACATTCCCTGCTATCAAGTTACCACCTACTTCTCCAGTCAATGGCTGTAACCATGAGAATTAAGCTCTAAAGGCAGAGGCTCAAATTTCTGATTTTTCTATTCAAAATTTTTTACCCAAGTCATCTACTCAATATGGTTGTTGAACTTATATTCATCTACTTTAATCAATGGCTTTCATACTTGTCATCAACATTCATGTACATTCGTTTCAAGACTTCAAGTTTTGTTTATTGAACTGTACATCCCTCTTTGAAGTACTTCCCGTCCATTTGACGTTCACCCTGTTCCTGTTTATTTCCCGATGACCCTTTTAACTCGCTGTTCGTTTCGTTTTATTCTCCATTTGTTCGTTGGTCATTCCTTCATAAGTAAATATTATTTTAATGAAATTAATCCAACGTAAAATATTTCGGGTATTTATCCTTTCCCTTGATTAACTTATACACATTTCTGGTGTACTTATAATTATTATTGACTCTAGGTGTAGTAATGTAATGATTACATTTTGTAGAAATGCTTGTGTACAAGTTGTTATCTCACAAGCAATAGAGAAGTTAAGAGTGGGCCTGTGCATTTTACAGAGTCAATTGCTGAACATCCTCTTTCTGATGTTGAAAAAACGAAAGAAATCATCCGAAAGTCTAAGGACTACGTTCCTCCTCATCCAATATGGTTTGCATAATTTTGTGATTGTAATTCACAGGGGCAGGCACTGCACCAAAGTGTAGGCTGAGGGATTGACCCCCCCCCCTCCCCCACTTTTTCTGACATTCACGTATTTTAGACTAACATGACGCAGTAAATTTAGTAAATATAAGTCATAGCCCCTCCCTAAGCTCAATTTTTTGGCGCCATCCCTGAAGTTTAGGGTGGACATAAAAAGAAGATAGTTTTGAAATACTCAGTTTCTGTTTGAACTAAAAGCTTTGTGGCAGTGGCTCTTCTTGCATCAATGACTTCACGAACTTTGTATTTACTTTTGTTCAATAAAGGGCTATGTTTTTGACTCAAAGGGAAAACTCAAACAACCGTTTTTGCATAAAATATTGTTCCACGAAAGAAAAAGTTCTTGTGAGCATGGAGTTAATGCAGAAAGAAACCCAAGTTTACGCCTCGTCTTGGAGGACAAAACATTGGCTCCAGCTAGATATGGCTTGGACGAACTTTACTTTGCTTGATATGTTCCTGAAAATAGTTGCAACTCCTCGTTTTGGTCTCTATGGCGAGGCTAGTGATACAAGGAAAGTGAAACTGCCAATGGCCACTTGTTTAAGTATAAGGAAGTGTATTTTATCTGCCGAAGCGTGCACGAACGCTAGACATGCAAATTACCGATTTTTTGTGTGTTATCCTTTTAAATTGCCATTTTCGTAAAACCTTCATAAATTATTCTTATTCAAAATAATCCGCAATTTGAAATTCAAGTCTTCACGTAAGCATTAGCCAAATTTCCTAAAACGTTCTAAGCTTGAACAACATGCGCCATATTTTAAACCTATGTGTTCGAATTGCTTTTAGCTTCGTCCTTTTTTTGCGCAAATTATTTCAAAAGTGCTTTTTGGTAACACAATTTTCATTCAAAAAATTATCATTATTTGCTAATATTTTCCGTCAGATGAAACATTGAAAGTCTAACTATCAAAAGTTTTGCAGATCTTGCGCGCTAATAACTTTAGCGACATTTTCTAAGTTTAGATTTTTGATACACCTTGTGATTGACAAATAAGCTTTGAAACAGTCGGACGTAGCGCAACAATGAATATTCATTAATGAAAATGGTCTGGAAATCGTCTGCTCTCCTGTCCATTTGGTGTATTTTTAGCAGAACGTTTGCGCGTTTAAAATAATAAAAATAATTTTATTTTCAAAGGACGGACAAAGATTTACAATCAGTTGCTATAACACATAAAGAACCAGAAGGAAAAGTTGATAAGGTGAGTCGCGTTAAACTAATTTTTTTACAATGCAAAGCGATAATCATATTTTTATCTTTCAGTCAAAACATTACATTCTGGACAGCATGTTAATTACCTTGCATATAAAATATACAAATTGTATGAAATATATAAATACCATTCGATGTTGCTAATTACTGCAATATATTATATTTTTTCGATTCATAATATTTTCAGAAATTTTTTTTGTCATGTTCAGTCATAAAAACGAACGTTTGAATTTCTTAACTTCCAGCTTGCTTACTTCACCGTTCAAGCTTTACGACTTTCGTTTGATGGGATTTCCATGTACAAAATTGGCAAAATGACAGAAAGCAAATGGCTTACGTATGTATTTGAATTATATATTCTTGCTATATCACAGCTATTGAATTAAATTTGTAATGACTTAAATGCAAGTTATCGATAGCTATTGACCTTTATGCTCTACTGCTTTTGTGGGACTGAGATGTTCCTAATCCTAAATCAGACACGAGATTTCTAAACAGCTTGACACCACCCCCGTCCCCTTGTTCTGAATTTTGCGACTATGCGAAAGGTGGGAGAGTCAACAACCAGTAAAAAAATGTCATGTATGGCCACAATGAATATAGGGCTAATATGAGAGGGTAAAAAGGAAACGTTCGAAAAAAAATATTTCCAATTTGAAAATGGAATTTTTCACAAACTAGTTACATTGTTATAACTAATTTAATAATTATTCGTTGCCATTTTTTCACTATTCTTATTTGTTAAAGAAACGTAAATATTAAAAATAAACTGCGTGTTTAACTAGACGAATTATTCTCCTGGAGACTGTAGCTGGCGTACCAGGTATGGTTGGCGCTATGACCAGACATTTTCATTCTTTACGACGTATGAGAAGAGATCATGGTTGGATACATACATTACTAGGTAAGTGTTATGATGTTATTACCATTACGTACATCACAAAAGCAATTCATGACATGACGAAAGCATATACAAGCGAGGACAAAAAAGTCCGAAGATTGCTTTTGAAGTTGCAATTTCCATTTTTGGGGTTTTTTTTATCGTAGAAGAGGCTGAAAATGAACGCATGCATTTAATGACGGCACTTGAATTGAAAAAACCGAATATTTTTTTTCGTGGAATGGTCTTAATGATGCAAGGTAAATATTTTTCTTACGATTAATGCACCAGTTTCTTAACTACGTAGATACATGGTAAATATTTCTTAGTATGTATGTATCAGTTTCATAACTATACATAAGATATTTCTTATGGTGTATTCACCAGTTTCTTAACTAGATACTTATGGTAAATATTTTTTTCAGTATCTTAAGTACGAAATATTTTATCAGTAAGAACATCTTTAAAACTTTGTATCATGAAAGTGAAAACATTTCTATTTTCTTTAAAAGCTAATTATGCGAAATATTATAATGAAAAATAATTGTTTTAATAGGAGTATTCGTGAACATGTTTTTCATTTCGTACTTGTTGAGTCCGAGATTTTGCCATCGTTTTGTTGGCTATCTTGAAGAAGAAGCAGTAAGGACTTACACCCATTGTATTGAGGTATGACATTTTATTACTATATGACACCGTTCATATTCATACGTTCATTTTAACTAATATGTTCATTTTACGTGGTCTCTTATGTACGTCGCGTGCAGATGATGGACTCGGGTGCATTAGATGTGTGGAACACAAAACCAGCTCCTTTGATTGCCAAAAAATACTGGAGACTTAAGGTTGGCTATTTGTTTCTTTTTGTTTTTAGTCATGTTTTTTATATTTGTAAACTTTGTTTTCTTCTTAGAGCCTACCTAGAAACAAAGTAAAAAGTGAAACTTATCATTTTAAAGCAATTACGTATTTTGTACTACAGCAGAACCTGTATTAAGCGGCACCGTATTAAGCGGTCATATGGCAAAGTCCCGAAAATTTCATAGTATAAATACTATTAAAGCGACCTTTATTAAACGGTCACCTCTATTAAGCGGACGCGGTCACCTTTTCCAATGTCCCAAACTAAATTTTTCATTGTTTTGAAACTGTATTAAACGGTCCAGTTAAGTAAATAAATACACCCCATAATAAAATATATATATATAACTATTTATTCTGGAACATGTCACTTATATTGTATACATGTCCTTATGTTGTATTTATCTTCCGTAATGACTCAAAAGAGCGAACATTATTTTCTGTTTGTGTGGATGATTTCCACCAGCAATTTAAACTTTTCTTACGTTCCTTCAGCCATTGACAAGAAAACATACCTCCAAGAAAGGGATATAAGCATGGAATTTATAAGTTACAACCCCCTTCTCTGTTGACACGCTCGCCATTGATTATTTTTCACCAGTTTGAGCCGTGACATTTTTACGTATACTATTTTTAATTTCTATTTCAAACTAAGAAAAAAATTGTTTTATATAATGTTGTTATTTGGCATATATGCTAAGGACAATACCAATTGGTTCCACTTTAGTGGTATGAAATATTACACTTAGCCTATCTGGTGATTTTCCTAAAGACCTGTATTAAGCGGTCAACCTGTATTAAACAGTCACACAAGAAATTCCCAAGGGTGACCGCTTAAGAAAGGTTCTACTGTATAACCATTTGCAATTGAGTTCCTACTATGCGCGTTTTCATTGAAATATTAAAATTGGATTAAATTACTAGACGCAAAGTAACCTGCTATACAACGATGCACCCCTTTGGACAATCTGTACCCTCCTGTTAAATGAGCATTGATCCGTACGTGGTTGAAAAAAGTTAATTCATTATTTAATTTTTTAGGATAATTCTACAATGCGTGACGTCATTCTTGCTATACGTGCAGACGAAGCACATCATCGAAAAGTTAATCATACTTTTGCATCCATGCATCTGGATGAACAAAACCCTTTTGAACCATGGGAAAAAAATTATAACTCCAGTCATTTAATTTGAACTAACAACTATTGCTGGTGAAAACTGCATCGTGTTCTTAACATTATTTTATTATACACTTGCAACTAATTGCGAACTTTTGAATAGTGAAAATGTGTGAACTATAGTTTTTTTACATGAAAATGTGTGTAAATACGTGATCTATGCTCATTGGTGTAAATATATATGAATTATAGTCTTAGGCATAAAAATGTGTGAAAATACTTGAACTATCGTCTTTGGTATGAAAATGCGTAAATTGTTGTTTTAGCGTGAACTTGTGTAAAAATGCATGAACTGAAGTCTTTCTTGTGAAAATGTTTGAACTACAGTTTTTTTTCCATGAGAATATGTGAACATGTTTAAACTATAGTCTTCGGCATGAAAATCTGTGCAAATGCATGAATTATAGTCTTCGACATGAAAATGTAAGAAAATCATGAAATATAGTTATTTGTCATGAAAATATGTGAAATATAGTTTTTGGCATGAAAATGTGTGAAAATCATGAACTATAGTCTTTGGCATGAAAATGTAAGAAAATCATGAAATATAGTCTTTGGCATTAAAATGTGTTAAAATGCATTAACTATAGACTTAATAATTAAAATACGTGAAAATGCATGAACTGTAGTCTTTGACAAGAAAATGTGTGCAAATGCATGAAGTATAGTATTTGGCATGAAATTGTGTGCAAATGCTAGAACAATAGTCTTTGACATGAAAATGCGTAAAAATGCATGAAATATAGTCTTTGGAATGAAAATGTGTGAAAGGGCATAAACTATAGTCTTTGGCATGAAATTGTGTAAAAATGCGTGAACTATAGTCTTTGGCATGAAAATGTATAAAAATGCATGAACTATAGTCTTTCGCATAAAAACGCATAAACTATAGTCTTTGGCATGAAAATGCATGAAAATGCATGAACTATAGTCCTTAGCATGAAAATGTGTGAAAATGCGTGAACTATAACCTTTAGCGTGAAAAAGTGCGCAAATGCATGAACTATAGTATTTGGAATGAATATATCTGAAAATTCATGAACTGAAAAGACTTGCATGAATGCATGAATTATAAGACTTTTGCACAGACTTTTAGAACAAATGCATGAATTATAGACTTTCGCATGAAAATTTGTGATATGGCATGAACTTTGTCTTTGGCATAAAAATGTGTGCAAATGCATGAAGTATAGTATTGGGCATGAAATTGTGTGCAAATGCTAGAACAATAGTCTTTGGCATGAAAATGCGTAAAAATGCATGAAATATAGTCTTTGGAATGAAAATATGTAAAAGGGCATAAACTATAGTCTTTGGCATGAAATTGTGTAAAAATGCGTGAACTATAGTCTTTCGAATAAAAGTGCATAAACTATAGTCTTTGGCATGAAAATGCATGAAAATGCATGAACTATAGTCCTTAGCATGAAAATGTGTGAAAATGCATGAACTATAGCCTTTAGCATGAAAAAGTGCGCAAATGCATGAACTATAGTATTTGGAATTAATATTTCTGAAAATTCATGAACGGAAAAGACTTGCATGAATGCGTGAATTATAAGACTTTTGCATGAAAATTTATGATATGGCATGAACTATATTCTTTGGCATAAAAATGTGTGCAAATGCATGAACTATAGTCTTTGGCATAAAAATGTCTCTTTGGCATTATATTTCACATATTTTCATGCCAAAGATTATATTTCATGATTTTCTTACATTTTCATGCCAAAGACTATAGTTCATGAGTTTCACATATTTTCATGCCAAAGACTATAGTTCATGATTTTCACATATTTTCATGCCAAAGACTATAGTTTATGCATTTTGACACATTTTCATGATAAAGACTATAGTTCATGATTTTCAAACATTTTCATGCTAAAGTCTATATTTCACATATTTTCATGACAAAGAATATACTTCATGATTTTCTTACATTTTCATGCCAAAGACTATAGTTCAAGATTTTCAAACATTTTCATGATAAAGACTATATTTCACATATTTTCATGACAAAGACTATATTTCATGATTTTTTTACATTTTCATGCCAAAGACTATATTTCACATATTTTCATGACAAAGAATATACTTCATGATTTTCTTACATTTTCATGCCAAAGACTATAGTTCATGATTTTCACACATTTTCATGCTAAAGACTATAGTTCATGATTTTCACACATTTTCATTCCAAAGTCTATATTTCACATATTTTCATTACAAAGATTATATTTCATGATTTTCTTACATTTTCATGCCGAAGAATATAATTCATGATTTTCTTACATTTTCATGCCAAAGACTATATTTCGCATATTTTCATGACAAGGACTATATTTCACATATTTTCCTAAAAAACACTATATTGCATGATTTTCAGACATTTTCATGCCATGCCTTTAATTCATGAATTTTCGCACATTTTCATGCCAAAGACTATAAATCATGATTTCCTTACATTTTCATGCCAAAAACTATATTTCATGATTTTCACACATTTTCATGCCAAAGACCATATTTCACACATTTTCATGACAAAGACTATATTTCATGATTTTCTTACATTTTCATGACACAGACTATAATTCACATATTTTCATCACAAAGACTACATTTCATGATTTTCTTACATTTTCATGCCAAACACTATAGTTCATGATTTTCACACATTTTCATGCCAAAGACAATATTTCACATATTTTCATGACAAAGACTACATTTCATTATTTTCTTACATTTTCATGCCAAAGACTATAGTTCATGATTTTCACATATTTTCATGACAAAGACTATCGATCATGATTTTCTTACATTTTCATGCCAAAGTCTATATTTCATGATTTTCTCACATTTTCATGCCAAAGACTATAGTTCATGATTTTCACACATTTTCATGCCAAAGAATATATTTCACATATTTTCATGACAAAGACTATATTTCATGATTTTCTTACATTTTCAAGCCAAAGACTATAGTTCATGATTTTCTCACATTTTCATGCCAAAGACTATAGTTCATGATTTTCACACATTTTCATGCCAAAGACTTTATTTCACATATTTTAATGACAAAGACTATATTTCATGATTTTCACACATTTTCATGCCAAAGAATATATATTACATATTTTCATCACAAAGACTATATTTCATGATTTTCTTACATTTTTATGACGAAGTCTATATTTCATGATTTTAACACATTTTCATGCTAAAGACTATAGTTCATGATTTTCACACATTTTCATGCCAAAAACTATATTTCACATATTTTCATGACAAAGATTATATTTCATGATTTTCCTACATTTTCATGTTAAAGACTATAGTTCATGATTTTCACACATTTTCATGCAAAAAACTATATTTCACATATATTCAT